GCAAACCAGTCAAGAATTCTGTCTTGCCGGGGGTGTCTCCTGAGAAGATAACCCACTGTCCCTGACTAAACGGGGATCCTGGGTGGGTGTAGTACTCTGGGAGCTCTTCATTGTTACTGTCGGAGTACTCGGTGAATATGATGTTCTCAGCTTGTCCGAGTATGACGTTGTCAGATCCGTCTTCGATGGCATCATTAGTGGAAGTTTCTGAGATGTGGGCAAATCGTGGCTCGGCAAAATCTCTAAGGTCGGTGATGTGGATAATTGTTCGGGGTAAGACTTCGGACTCAGGACGGGGGGAGGGCCAAACGAAGTCTGACTCATGGATGGACTCATCGTCCCACCAGGATGGGGGTCCTTCAACTCTGTAGGTTCCATCGGGGGTGTATGATGCGAAAGAGGTTGGAGCATCATGCCACTCCGGCTCGGGAGATTCATCTCTTCGATGTCCTCCTGCGTCGGGTATTCCCCATACTTCCCCTCGTTCCCGGGCAGGGAGGAATGGGTTTTCACCCTCTTCGAAGGTGGTTCTTCCCCTGGTTCATCCATGGATGATTCGATCGAATATGTCACGGTAGAACCCACTTGTTCCTCTCTGATAGAGACGCTCTCCATCGTCGTCGAACCCTGGGATGGCTGCAGATAACTCTGTGGAGGCGATGGATGGCTCCTTGGAGTCATTGTCATCGCCCCATGTCATGTCATCCCAGGATCCATCCGTGTTGGTCCAGTACTCGGCAGTAAATCTGGGGTCGACTCGGTCGTCTCCATCATCTGGAGGGATGCCGAGTCGTCCGAGCTCTTCTTCCCGAAGGGATTCTTCGCCTTCACCGTCTCGGTGATCCTGTCCCTGAAACTCGAGCATGGGGGGTTGCTCTTCTCTGTCGGGTAAGGGGTGTCGAAGTGCGTCTCGCTCCCCCCTTGGCCGTGGTGTGAGGGACCGGAACCAGACGGTGCTTGTTGTTCATGAGGTTCCTGTTGATGAGCCATTGAGTCCATGTATCCTTCCTCTTCTGGGGGTCGGTGCTCTTTGGCAGCGGGTTGGTCAGAGAATATGAAGAACTGCGACTGCAGTTACTAGTGTCAAGATACTGAAGGTACTTCTGAAGATAATGGCAGTGCGGTCTGTGGGGGTGAGCGGCATAAAGTTTGTTGTACCACAATGAATGTTTATGATCTCGGGGAATGGTGGTTGCTGTTTTTGAATAATGGGCTGTAGGTTTCTTTTCTTTGGAAGTATAACAGTGACTGCCTTGAAGCGGTACAGTTACCATTGTCAACAGTAAGGGTAGTAAGGGCAAGCTTTGGCTAATTGTTAAGCACTAACTCAAACCTTCGCCAAGGCTGGTCTCTATCCTGTCACTCGCATTCAGTGATTCAGTGTTAGAGAGGCGTTGGTAGATTGCGAGAAGTTAGGCGTCACTTATAGCAAAAGCAAGGAGCTTGTAAGAGTTAGGAGTGTATAACCTTAGCCGAAGCTGGGGTCTAAGGCCACAGCATAGGCTAGCTTAAATACATGTTAGACTCGTACTAAGAATAGTGTCTACAAGGGCACACGCAGCGAGAAGTGCGTCGTTCAGTGAATGAGGAGTGAGGACACTAAAGGAAGTGTACTCCCGACGAATGAGAGTAAAGAGCACATATCACCTGCATCTGCGTGGGACTCCATCTGAATAGGCTGCATCCTGTAGACCGCCCTCGACTGGCGGTCGACTCTCGTCCAACTACTAAGAAGCATGATGCCATCAAGAGAAGCGTGATGGCACATGCAGGTCACTGGTCATCTGGGAGGCAGCAGCGTGAACTGGGGTGATGGCAGCCGGGTAACCGGGTAAAGAGTGTGCCAGCAGAATATCATGGGTCCGGGGGATAAGATAGGTAGGTCTGGGGTTCTGAGAGATAAGGATAAGATAAGATAAGGAAAATAGGGGTAAAACCGTAATACTTTTCATCTATTCCACAGAACATAAACTCCAGTGGCTGGAGAAGTCACAGTTGAAAATGATCACGACACCCATTGCTGCTATCAACTGGACTATGGTTGGTCCGATTTTAGACAACATAGCACCGATGGGATATTGGATCCGACTGGTAAAGTGTTCTAAAGAAGATCAAGTACAGAACCTTCGCAAGCAGTCCAAGGATTCGGTGATTGATTATGATCAAGTTGATCTAATACTTCATCAGGAAAAATCCTTTTGCTACATATCTGCCACTCAGATATATGTAGCTTATGTATTGCCAGTAGTGATGGTAGAGGGTGCACAGCACTAGGTAGCAGTAGGTAGCATTCTGTATATACTGCTGGTAGCTATGTACACATCTGTATACTTCAGTGAAACCTACTGAATGCTACAACATTGGTCAGTATTATCTCTTTTTTTGAGTCTTCGATAGTGGCTGATGGTACAAGTTGAGTGTCAGCTAAAAGAGGATATTGAGTCTGACTGAAATATGGACTTGAATAAGAATAGAAAAGTAATGTGAAGACAAAATCAGCACATCGGAAGGTAATTAGAACAATATATGCCTTGTGAAGTATGGACAGCTACAATGGCAGTGCCAAGGATGAGTAGCTGGGGGGGGAGTTCTAATAAGTTCATTTGAAACTCCAACACAGAGTCCATCCATCACGTGCATAATCAACCAAGATCATGCCATCAGATCCTGACCAAATCTAACCACCCTTGCTTCCTTTCCTCCATCAACATTTCAGCACCCACCTCTCTCATTCCTCTTCACATGTCACCATTTATAGTTCTATCTTCCTTCTGGCTTACCAGTGTGGGCAACCTATGTTCTCTTCAGATGGTCCTCTTCGCCATTCATGCGCTCCTTGGATATGTGTCTCTTATGCTTTGAATGCTAAATTTACTGTTCATTGTGCATGTTCGTGCTGTCTCTTTCACTTGATCTCACACGGCCTTGTTTCACAGCACTTGGATGAGATGTCTTGTACTCAAGGCTGCTGGTGAGTACCCCAACTGCAACCCCATGCTTTTTTACTGACTCGTCTCATGCTTTTCATAGGAATAGTGTTCTAAGGGTACCTGTCCTGGAATGTATGTAACTTGAATTGTTTTGACATTCATCATATTTATGCCATAGCACTTAGGACTCAGAACAACCCATGAACTGTGATGGTGCCAAAGACCAGGTGCAACAACTGCAGTTATTGCACCGTCTCTATATTTCCCATTTTTCATAGCAACACAATCAGTTGTAAGTGCTGTAGCCTTGTTTCTATCAGCTACTACTGATCTCACTGCTGTTCTGCTAGGATTTCAATCTGTTTTGGTGTACTTTGTGATGACAGGGTGGATTGCGATGCTACTCAGAGTTCAGACATTGGAGGTGGTCTAGTGCATGTGATGTCGTACAGCTATATTGGTGTAGTAGCTAGTAGCAATATATTGATTTCATTCATTTCATGGTCTGCTCTCTTCTGTGTTCATCAGAATATGTCTTTGTAGGTATCAATATGATGCTGCTACTGTAGCAATACAATAGTTCAGGTGGGGTGCTATCACTTGATACAAACTACTACGTACTCTTAGTGGTGTGCTACAAGCTGCTACATATGGGGGACTGTGCTATGGTGCTACAAGTGCTACATAGACTACATATTGCGATGTAACAAAGTAGTTTTTTCCTGATGTTGGCTTTATAATTCTATCAAGGACATGTCCCTTTACACCTTTCATTGTTTCCTTTCTCTGTTTCTTTGCAGGAAAGAACATCGACAACAAAGGCGACAAACAATAAACTACAATAAGGCATTGTTCACTAGGGTTGCATGAAAAACTAGAGGTTTTTCACCAAATTAGTTTTTCACGGTAATTTACCAGTAAGTTACCAGGCTGGGAATAGGGGTTCAAATGGGTAGGTTAATTACTGAATTCAGAGCTCAACTTCAGGCAACACAGAGAAGGAAAAATGACAGGGAGTAGCCTGGAGTGCAGGAAAATATAATCTGAGGCTTCTGGCTGAGGTATTTGGTACAAACATAAAAGATGCCCAATTACCTTGCTTGTCAAGGTCTCTCTAGGTCTAAAATCTTCGCTTACACAAGCCATGGTCTTCCCGTGATATGACATCATTCCCCACACATCAAAATCCTTGCCGCTGACAATTTCACCCTTTCCATCACGCATCGAATGTCTTTTCACAACAGATATCAAATCGCCAACATATTAAACCCTCTAGATCTACTGGTCACTGTGGATATCTTACAGTGTTACGGGGTAGGTACATTAAGTCAAATAAAACTGTATGTTCACTCGGTGTGTACTCAGATCAATGTGTCAATGGCGATATCCTGTCATCAAAGTGCAGTATATTATTTCATTGAACAATGCAATATTCCTCTTCAAGATAGCATCCAATGGGTAGCTCTGCAAGAATCTAATCGAATCAATGAAAATTGTGGACTTTGAAAGAGGTGAGGCGAAGAAAGTTCATGCTTAAATGTAATGATTTCAGGTAACTAACAGTTTGATTCTCTTAAAGGCATGTATGTATTATTATGGTGATGTATGATTATTTTCAAAGTGTGCCTCACATAAGTTGGATTCTGCAAATTTGGGATGGCGATGAACTGTTTGATATTCGAACTCACATTGTCACCAAGCGACAGCACTGATCATTAACTGTCTCCAGTCGCCGCTTGTTATTATTCTCTCATTAGTTGTATGTATTCGTTGCTTATACTCGTGGCTTTTAGTTAGAACTGTTGTATAAAAGGACTGCACTCACGTAGCATACACCATCTCGTTTGCAACGGATATATACTCCCTTTTCTCTCGCTCATTTCACTGTCCTGAGCCTCGCGATTCCAATATGAACACCGCTTAAGCAAGGTATGATAGTCATCAGCCGACGACCGCTAGTTGTACTCGCCATAGTCCCATGAGGCGGCGAGAGAAAAAAATATTCCATTTTACCACGTGACTTGGTAATTTACCGGTAATATACTTGGTAAATTACCACCCCCCTGGAGCCGGCTTGGTAACTTACCGTAACTAACCTCGGTCAAGGTTTTTCACGCAGCCCTATTGTTCACCTCGACAACCGTGGCAACTGTTACGTCTGACGAATATTTACTCTCGACCACCGCGACAGTATCTTCAATACCGTTTACCACCATGGCCCCAGTTTTACGATCCACCAAATCGCCTACTAAACCAGCATCCTCTGGCGGCAATACTCCTGCCACTACGCCGAACTCGACGCCGCGTAAAGCCCCGCAATGCGCTCAATGCGGGCGTCCCAGAGCAGGTCACCCTCGCCAAGGCTGTCCGTACGCGGCAGCGGCTACAAAGGACGATGGCCCTACCGGCGAGGAGACCAATATCACTGATGCACTAGGTTCCATGAAAATCGAGACGTCCCCCATACGCCACGATGATCCAGACACCACGGATACTTGGGAACTCGAAGACACCAAATCTGCAGTTCGCCAGAGACGCCGGCGCGAATCTGCTCAACGGGCGACCATCGTTCCCTCCGAAAGCATCGCCTCTATATCCACGTCTTCGAGCGAGATTCTCAATTTGCTGTTACATGATATTGACGCCGAGGACGAAGATGACGGGTTTGGGAAAACGGTTGTCAGATGGCAGGACGCACTCAGTACGCCTAAAGCCAAACCACGGAAGAGTAGAACCAAAGACAAGACCATGCCTTGCACTTTTCCGGGGACAGCTCCGTCTGTTGCAAGCGCCACTCCTCACTCAGCCGTTCCAGAGCCACAACCCACTTCAAAACCGGCGAAGGACGAAGAACCCATAATTGATTTATCGGCCACGGTCGACGTTCCACCTTCCTCCACTCCCTCCGCCAAACCTCTCACCCGTAGCATGTCCTCTTTGCAACGCAGCTCTTTCATCGATAGTCTAAACAGTCGCTACAAACAGACCACTGCATACCTCCTTCCAAAATCTGACATCACTGAAATCGAAGCTGCCGCATTGAAGCACGGGTTACACACACGGAGAGTCACTTCTGTGGAGTCAGAGAACGAAGAACAGGTCCTTGTTGTGGGTCAAGACCCAGCGGATACGCAGAAGTTTTATGCGACGATTGAGGGGCAGGCTAAACTGCTGGTCAATGACGCTGAGGCCAAGGCTGCTAACAGACGAAGTAGCGGTTTGAAAACCGTAGCAGGAGCGGCAGTTGTCGGTGCTGTTGCAACGTTTACTGGTTTGGCATTTTCTTGATTTTTGGACATTTAAGTACGGAAAGATATATCGATGATTAGTTGAACTGTAATGGGGATTACTATATCCATATTCCTGATACCATTCATTCCGACTTGGTTGGCGTGAGGAGGAATCATTCTGATTAAGCAAAGCAAGTCAATGATACATACAAGGGTTGAAGTAATGAATATTGGTTGTAAAATACAGTATGCTCTGTCTACTATGGATACAGTTTATTATCGTGCAGTATATCGTAGTACTTGAATCTTCATTGCCATGAGCACCAACCTTGATACATTTTCGCCTAAGAAAGCTCAGATGTCTAGCATGAACCGACGGCTAAGCCACTCACTAAATTCGCTTCATCTGTAGCCTCCTGTATAATCATCTGAACAAGATTACTCGTCGAAATCTCTTTCTGATGTGCCGGTTTCTCTTTACTCGTTGAGTATACCCCACGAAGCTTCCTCTCGATGAGGCCAAGCGCACCCTGGGCCAGATCACGAAGGTTGACTTGTCCCTTTACTTGGTTCCGGGTTTTACTGCGTTCCTATTGATTAGAGGTCAGAGAGGATCAGAAAGACGCGTAAATTCCTTTTACCCTCTTGCGTTTCTCGTCTTCCCATTCAACAAGTGGATCATGGATGAACGCATCAAGGACAGTCATCAGTGAATCCTTGTTGTCTCGTAGTAAGCCAAGCGTTACATCGCACGCAGCACGGAAAACGCCTATCCCAAATCAGCTGAGGGTGTTTCCTTCATTGAAAGAGCATACCTTCTACTCCAGTGACGCCAAGACCATCCAGCATATTCTGGGTAAGTCTGAAGGGCACCCTTTCTGGTGTTTCGAGCTTTTTGCCCTTCTCAAAGAGACAGTTGAAGTCGACGTGTACGACATCTCCTGTGTTGATGTCCATCAAGATGTTCTCCAAGTGCCGATCGCCCAATCTGAAAAAGAATCTTCCTCAATGACCCTCTCTCCCAAAAGAAGGAAGCGTTTCTTACCCTAAAATAAAGCCAACCATCGACATCACAGCTGCGGTGCGCCCGTACGTGAGACGGCTTGTGAGCCACGCCGAGGGTTCAGGGAATGTTTCGATAAACCACTCATGGAAGACAGGCGGATAGCTGTTATTAGCGTCAGCTTTCCAAAAAACGAAGTTGGGGAGTTCTGCACTTACTGCCTCAAAATCTTCGCCTTGAATATCTCTACGGCTTCTTTGTCCGTGGCAGCCTTAATTTTAGCGGCAATTTCGTTGATGTCAGAGGGCTGAATCACCGAAAATGTTACCAAGGTACCAGGAAGAATGCGGTTCACATACCCAACTCCTGATTCGTCTCGCCTCGTATGCCTTGATAAGAATTGGCCGCATGGGAATCGTATTAGGCACCCATTGAATGAATCCACACTCTTCATTTAGCGTCACAACCCCATACGTTCGAATATCTGATAAACCTCAGCTTCAGGTATCACATAGAAATGCAAACACGTACGAAGCTGCCTCCGTCGGGATTCCGAATTAGCCTTGAGGAGCTTGTTGATAATGGCGTTGAAGTCCATAAGACGGGCATCCTTCCGCAGGTCGTCTTTCGGCTTCCCGAGAAACATGTAAATCTGACCGTTGCTACCGCGGATGGTTATCTTCCGCGGTCTGGCCAAAGAGGACATGACCTCAATGTCGTCATAGAACTCTATCGAAAGGTTAAAGTACGGTTTGGCATATCCATGAAACTCTTCACACCTGTGAACGTAGGTGCATCTACAGGAAAAGGATTGAAGTCGGAAATATTGATCGACACCGGGGGTATATTAGCTGTCAAAGACTCTTGCAGAGGTATAATCAAATCAGAACGTCCAAGCCTAACCAGGTTCGGAAACGTTCGACTCATGCTCAACGATTTTCGGGAAGTGTCGTCAATGGGGTATTCACATAAAGCAAGAAGTTCGTCTGTCATGGCGACACACTGGGTGATCAGGTCACAGACGCGACGATGAGTGCTAGGTTTGCTCTAACATTCCTTGGATCAGGACCCCGCACGAGTTTTCTCCAAGTTAAGCTCACCCGAATTTTATCCACAATAGTTTTGCCTCTCTGCTCCCTCTCGGTCTTCTTGGATTTCGTTACCGAGATGAATTGCCAGAGTGCTTGTTGGGGGTACTCTTCCAAGACTTTCGATATGAGGTTCGAGAGTAGCGTTAAAACTCCCTCATTCGTATGTCCGATCCTAGAAACGATTTGAGGGAAGGCAGTGTACCACTGTGATATTATGAGCTCCTTCAAGATACCATGCATGGAGAAATTAACCTGGTACACTGGTGTTTGGTCGGTAGCAACCTTGATAATATCACTGATCGTTTTGAAGTACTCTGTCTTCCTCAAGCTCTTGTCGTCACCTAGATCCAGCCAAAGTGTCAATAGACGAGGAACAGTCTGATACACATATTTGGAGCCGTATTTCATGGCCGACGCATAAGAGCGGACGGTGTTTACATTCATTTTCAATCCCCTGCACAACCAGTATAAGCACATTCACGAACCAGAGACCAGCTTTAGGTTTACCGAGTCCTCTGGTCTTCTCGCGTCAGGTTTTTGTAGCTGTCATCTTGGAATTGTCCGAGGTAGAAATGCGCATTCTCCCATCTGTACGAAGTCAGATTAGATTAAGCGAGGAGCAGAGGTAATAAGAAATCACGTTGAAGATAGATTCGCAGCCCCCCTAAACATGTTAAGAATGGATGCTGCTTCATAACGTTCCGACTCGTTCATCCAGCGTGCTCGTAAAAGGCGGGCCTATGAGTATCTCAATAGTCAGGCTTTGTGGAGACGATGTCGATAATCCGTACCTTCGCCTTGATAATGTTGGTCTCTTCATCGTCGTTTCCCGTTAGATCCAGGACTTGCGAATCATCATCCATCAAGCTTAGCAGCTTCATAGAACTTTCCAGTTCATGCAGTGCTGCTAATGGTTCTCCGTTCGCCTTCGTCAGTTTGGCGCTTTGCATGAAATAGTCTTTAGTCTTTCCCTGTTTCGCCTGAAGCATAGCGCTAAAAGCAGTTTGCCATTGGCACGCTTTCCTAGCAAACTTTGCACTAGCCAGCCACGTTCGGTGGATTTCGCGTGTCGCTTCGATGGACTCTGGGCTACAACAATAGGTCAGTGCTTGTCAGCTATGGCATAGTGCATACATACAACAAACGAAAGGCAGTCCTCCTCATGCTGAGGATGGGTTCACGAGTGCGAAACGTCGGAAATGTCGATTCCAATCTAGCTGAGAACAAATCAGATAGTTCGGCCAGCGCATTCTTTGTCTGTGATTGCCGTAAGGACCCAGCAACTGCTTGTCCCATAATACTGTGCACAGATCCAAGCTCATACAGTAGATGTAGACTGAGGACATTCTCGTATGATCGCTTATAGCCTTTCGCCCCTGCGGCTGCAATTGGAGCTCCTAGGACGGAACGAGCCGCAGATAAAGTTTCGTTTATGGCAACGTTGTCCCCACTTCTGATTGCAAGTAGAACTCTCGCGAGTACGAGCTCAGGATTTTGCTGTGTACTATGACTGACAATGTTTTGAACATCAGCCCAATCGCCAACCATCCATGCACTTTCGACTTGAAAGCCTGCGAGAGCAGAAGCGCACGCAGGGTTGCGAGTAAGGACTCCAAGGACATGAGTACGCAGCGTATCTATGAGGATGATGAGTATCACTATTTGATAATAAGGATCAGAAGGAGTTACCATAATGTCCTAGATTCCGTAGGCAACGCAAAAGACCGAGATGAAAGTCTACGTTATCTGGAGACTGTTGAAGACGAAGTTCCCAGCAACTCTGAGCGGCAGTCCATCTACCCGTGCTTTCGTGCTGTCGAATTTGATGTTCCAGGGACGGCGACAAGATCAACGTAGACACGCCTTCCATGCCATCTGGCTCGTCTAGGTGCGCGTAGATTTCGTGAAGCCTGTCATAGTAGACGGGCAGGTCATGATGATTCAATGAACGTTCTCGGAGAGTAACAATTTGACGTTCGAAGCTCATCAGAGAACGTGCATAAGCTCTGCATTGAAAAGCCGCTCTGGCCATTAGACTTTGGTCGATGCTAGTCAAGATAGAATCGACTTGTGACAGTTGTTCATCTGTTCCGACGGTAACTCCGCGGGAGCGTTTCGTTTCGCCTTTCTTCGTTCCCATGTCATGCCGAACCCTCCGAACCCACTTATTTAGATGATCCAGGAGCATAAAAACAGCCTTCATGTTGTCGTCAATACAAGGTAATCAATACAATGGTTCCCACGTACTTGTGCACTGAGCAATCTCTTATCGGCTGAGGAAGTACTCTGCGGGTTAACTTGGTCTTGTAAAACAGCAATTAACTCTGCGCGTATATTCTCGCATCCAACCTCGTCGCTTGAAACTAGGACATTGAGAACCAAATGCGGAAGGAGATGGTGGGCAACAACTACGTCCTTGTTGCGCACTGCAGGTCTGAAAACGCCAAATATGGTCTTCGCAACGGGACCCGAAGCCCGAGTGATAAGATACGTGGTCCAAAGTTGGATCCATTCACGATAAGTTGGTTGATCGTTATAGATAGGGTGCCGAAATTCTGGTGTGGGGACTTCTTGCAAGGTGAAACGAGCCTCTAATAGTGGGGTGACGGTTTCGAGAACATGCTTAGGCAGATTGTTCCACTTTGTTCGAACTTTCATTGGTACAGATTGATTGCCCGCGGAGACAAGGGATGGCGTAAACCTGCAAAACCGCAAAAGTTCCTGAATACTGTAGGCCAGATGTCCCTGATATTTGATATCGCTGGTGGAACGGAACGCGCCAACAAGTAGATCAGTGATCAGGTGTAAAGCAAACATAACGGATTCGTCGTCGTCGGTGTAATTGCTGAGGACGATCATTCTAGTATCATTGACAGCGATCTCGCATCTGTCAGGATCTACAGCTCCCAAAATACCTATGCATTCGAACGCGAGAGAGCGTATTGCCTCAGCGCCATCTCCGTCGCGACAAGCGGCGGAAAGCAAAGTTGTCAGAATCTGGCCGACCATAGGATCAAATGTGTCGCCAGACGCCAGTTCCCGAATAAGAGTTTGGTTCTCCGAAAGCATGAACGCCTTCAGCTCGACAAGCGTCTGAACAGCCATCGTCTGATTGTCCGGCAGCGCGCGAGCCAAAATTTTGCAGAGATGCTCCTTCGGGGACCAGTTACCTCGTATTACGGTCAGCCGATCTTGAAGAGGTTTCAGCTTGGGAATAGCGGATAGATCTACGATGTCATCAAGATACTGGCCAAGTTGATTGCCTATGTCGTTGATCATGTACTCCAATGAGCTGATGGCAATGTGTCGACTCGCGGAGGTCAGCGTGGGCCAAGATGTGGTAATAGTTGCGCTCGTTGTCCCAACGTAAGAACCGACATCTTTAGGATCTAACGTCACCAGGAATTTTTGCCAACTACTGAGGGTCACTTCAGATAACTCGGCGACATTCACCATAGTCTGGAAGGTTGCCATTATCTGTAATGGCCTGTAAGCATAACAAGTATATAAAGAATAATACTCGGCCAACCTGGGGTGCAACCGTACTTATGGGAGAACCGATCAAAGAAACTACAGCACCGAGACTCCGGAGGATCTTCTGTTTCATGGACATCGGAATCTTCCCATGCACCTCTTGCAGCATCTCGTTGATATGCGTAATCAAGCCCAACATATACTGCTTGAGAAAGGCTCCGATATCTGGTATCGGTTGTGATCGCCCCGCGACACTCGGAGGAATCAACGACTTGGACACCCTCTTAAGAGCAGGAACAGCCTGACATGGATGGATAAATGAGCTGCAGGAACTATCATCAAACGCAGTCTAAATTTACCTTCGCTGCGACGTCCGCATTCTCGTCGCCCAAAACAATGACCAAGTCGGCGAGAACAGGAACGACAAATCCTTTCACCAAACTCTGGATGTCGATTGTATCTGCTTGAGCGGCAGCCTTCAGAATGTCGGTCACGAACGTGAGGGCTTTGTTGGTTTGATCTGTTTGACCCAAGAGATAAATATGGGCGAGAACCCGATGACATTCATTGATCAAAAGAGTGGCTGGTTTTGATTCCAACTGCTTTGCGATATCCTCTAATAGTTTCTGATCACATTTTGCGAATATGACGGGAAGGGTGTAGCGCAATGAAAGTTGGATCAAATGCCGGGGTGAAACCATCATCAATCGACAGGCTTCCGTCAAAAGACTGGGTTGCGAGCAGATACGGAGAACGAGATACGGCGCAATTCGATCCATATAGGGAATAAACAAAGGAAAAGGTGTCGTTTTCTTGTGATACTTAGTCAGAGAGATGATCTAGTCAAGGGAACGATTAGTACCAAAGAGAGCGAAAAGGTACAGTAGGGATTACATGATTAGACGCTTCTGCTTTGAGCATTGGGTTCGACCTCCCTAACTGTGAAAGCAAGAAAACGAGTACATGACCAAGAACTTCTTTGTCCCTTGTCCTGATGATGATGCGGCTCAATCACGGCAAATTGTTGTCTCCTAGAATAACAAACATACCTTCCTGAAGCACCGACACTAATGATGATTGTATCCTTGGTAGGGAGCTTCATGCCATCCGTCAAATCGTTCAATTGAGTAAACAGCGTTGCTAGAGCTCGAGATGCATCCCGTTTCATATGTGTAATGGAGAGAATAAAATTCTGCAATGCTCGGCTAAATCAGAGTGAGTATCCCAAAAATCTGCATCGGACAAGGAAAACATACCCGGCGACTATCCTGACCCCTCTATCCATGTCCGTCATGCCCGAAAAGATCATTTGTCGAGCAGCCGTAAGGTCTTCAGTATCACCGAAGGAATGAAATTTGACTAGATCGGCAATGACTTTGAAGGCTCGTTTTCGTACCTCCGTTGTTATCTCCTCTGGTTTTCCGTTAAGTGTCGACTGCGTTAAAGCTACGCAAAGAGGGACAGTTGTCAGTTGAGCATCAGGGCGCAGGAGAGCGCAGAACTCTTGCAACTGATCAATGACAGACAGCCGGTATGGTGTAAGGGTATCCTCAAGGGGCCTAACTCGTATAGATCAGCCACACTTCATACTATACATACAGCGGCAAACCTTGAATATTGTCCTACAATATCATCAATGGCTCGCTGCATATACCGCCGGTCGCTCATATTGTCATCATCCATCCAATCAAGAGTTTCCGGTAGCATAATCTTTTCAGTAGCTGTCCGTAGCAACTGTCTCCAGTGCTCTTCGTCCTGTTGCTGTTGATTGGGAGTCTCTGTAGCTACCGTAGACGGGGTTTCGAGCATCCGTTGAGCGATTTCATTGCGCTCGCTTCCAAAATCGATGGCAGCCAGTAAGGAACGCAGAATGTTTCTTTCTATATGAGGAAAACACGAATTGAAGAGAGAAAATGCCCATTCCTATGAAGACAATTAGATAAAAATTTTAATCGCGTGACGAAATGAAAAACCTCTACGGACTTGGGCCATTGTCTTGATCCCAATAGCCCGACAATCTCGCAGATGTCCGACTTGGATGGCACAACGAAAGAGCTCGACGCCAATTCTTTTGTAAGATATCGATCAATATGTTCCCAGCCAGGATTAGGTTCTTGAAGCAATCGGAAGCGGAGAAGAATATAATGCCAATGATACAATTCGTTTTCTGAAAGAGAGCGCAGCGAGGGTATCAAAGCCACGATTCTGACAAGTCCCTTAGAACGCACTGCAGGCTCAAGATTGCAAGGGGTAGACATGCAGTAATCGAAACACGATCGTACTTCCTGGGCTAGTCGTTGTCCGAAATCATGTAGAAACCATTGTAGTTGTGTTGATCGCAACATAAAAGATGTCCAAACCTCAAACAGTGTGATAACAAAGTTGAGGGTATCGGAAGAAGCATGCAAACGGCATGTACTCTTTTCGTCACTGGCCTGAAAGGACATGAGAAAACTATGAGACTATGTTAACCGACACTCACTGTCAAGTCTCCCGGTTTCAGCAATCTTGGCTTCTGCAATATTCGAACATAGATGGGGTACGACAACGTTTGAGCCTCCGTTAATTCTGGACCTAAATCAGCCGGTAACAGACACGAGGGTGAAAGAGGGACGTACCGTGCACGACGTGTTGGCATTCTTCGAACATCTCTCTCAACTGAGTACGCTGCTCATTCTGCGGAATTCCCTTCACAAAGGTCCCTCCGATATGCTGCAGGATATCCACGATGCGGTCAAAGGCCTTTGCTTGCAGGGAAGTTGCTACTTCTGCCTCCTTCTTCCACGACTCCATCACAGTCATGAGGCGAAGCAGTCCCGATACCACCATCCACACAAATGAGGGTTCTCTCCAGTTATCGATGCCCAACACCTCTCCAATCGACTCTAAAACACTAGGGACTGGTGCCATTTTCCGGGCGGCTTCTGCGGTTGACACGGACCCACAACGTGGAATCGTATCCAACAGCTGCGTTATCACTGCTTCTATACCGGTGCGGCTGACCTCCCTATCGTTCTGCACGGCACATCCCCTCATCCACTTCAGAAATTCACTGTGAAAATCCGTCGAGATGGTCTTGAGAACATCACCGAGAGGAGGAAAGGGTTGAGGAGCTTCGTAGCTCATGACAATCGGCTCCAGTGCATTCGTATGGCTGAGTACTGGATAGAGGTGACCTAGCGGCGGGCAGTACGTGAATGAGGAAACCAAAGACGCGTTATTTGTACATTGCTAGTGGCCCCCTTGACCCTTAGAATAGACCACATTGTCCTCATATCGAAACGAGGTTCAAACTCATCGCTCATCGGTCGCGACGATAACATTGTAAATATGTATACAACGTCTAACTCACGGCCACGACGGGACTATATGGAAGGCAGTATCTACGGCACGCTCGAACCTTTGTACTTCCCGGTCATCTCCCACGTTCCTGGGCCTTCAGCGCTCAGCTTTAGTAGCCTGGCGAGCTGGTGTTATAGATACTCGTGGTACACATAACTGTGCATAAACTTCAGCTTCTGCAGCCTGATACGACCCCGTGACTCGCGCGCTGCAAAATACCGAATCTTTATGTTAACATCCTTCTTCACGCGGAGTGTTTCTCTAACACCGGCATGTCTGTCCTTCCGAGCTCTTGTGCGCAGCTCCTAGTGTTGACGGCAGTAGTCTCGTTGAGTATCCCACTCCATTCCACATGCCCTCCAAAACTTCGATACCCCACCTCGGTGCCAATCTTAAACCGCTGGATTCTTCTGGGTTCGATACTCCGGGTCAACGCCCATAATGCATGTGGTACACGGGTGCCACAATCTATCACGCCCGGTATATAAAGATTTCGACGACTAAGTTCGTCGCAATGAAAATGGAAGGACAGATCTGGCGCTGAGCGCTGGTGGGCCGCACTGATGATATTGGGTCACAGATCATCAACCAGCGTTAGAAAATTTTCGTTCCTTCCATACAAATGTTTCCCTTTCTGAAAAAAGAAACTTTGCTTAAACCGACAGGCGCTTAACCCTTCGAGGTCTGGACGCTCGTAAAGACAAGGCACTGGCATATGGCATGGAGGTTTGATACTCATCTTCTTCTAAAGAACTGTGAGGACTGTTTTGATACTATAGATTCGAAAGCCTGGCCTATCACGAGTCTATTGGCTGCGTGCACGCCGTCAACTCTATGTGACGGTACTGCATAAATCGAAGACACGGTGTGCTATGACCACCGTTGACTGGATGTCGTCTCGCCTGCAGGATAGAACCTTCCGTGCCGGATAGTGCACCCCTGCAAGGAAGAACCCGCATCACTTACAAGACACGCCCTCGCCCTATCCGGACGACTCCGCGATATTGGTGCCAAGTACAAGGGCTAGACTCCACCTCTCGAATGTGATTCGAATTCTCAGGAAGTTGAAGAAGAAATTGAGATAGACATTTAGGAGAAAGCGTGTAATGTTTGTTTAAGTTCGATTCATATTGGAAGGGTAGCTTTATAGGATACCACGACGTGTATTTACTTCTTGCCCTGTCGAATGGATGTTGGTTCATTCACACACCAACGAAAAGACCTGGAACGCACAAGAATCAAAGAAGCCGCTCCGTAAACACCGTACGCGGCGGTGAAGATGAAGGTTCCGTAGAACAGACCTATATAGAGTAATCGTCATCCTTTGAATACTCCGAACGTGTGTCCACAAACGACTAACGGAGCTTGACAGGCCTTCCAGGAGCACGGAAGTGTACAGGCCTCGTGTCAGCCTATTAGAAAAACAAGCGGTCCATGAGCTCTTAGAAACAGCCGTAGTAAAACGACAACGCACCTGCCAGAACTTCTGCTTGTCAATGATATCGTATTTGCCTAAAAAGTCCCAATAAATCGATATATTTTCCACAGAGAAGCAAATAGTGAGGTCTTACGGTATACAAGTCCGTCAATGATACCCATGGTGGTGGTTGGTGATGAGGAGGCTGGCGGCGGGTAATGTCGGAGTTTGGTTTTGCGGTCGACCGAAAGGGAAAGAGCCGAGGCCCAGCCTTGCACCCTTTTCACCATGGCTGACCGCGTTCGCGTTAGAGTATGTATTCTTCGTTTCTTTTCTCTTTCATTTTGCTTAAAGAATCATTATTAGGGTCTCAGCATCTTCAGACCGATAATATACGGAAACACCGCGACGCTTTTGACCCCAGAGGAACGAGCAGCGTTGGACCCTAGTCGCCATGAACACACTCATCGCTGGACAGTCGCTGTCCGTAGCGCTGCATCTGCTGAAAACTCGGACATCGTCGGTGGTGCAGATGACCTTGGTTATTTCATAAAACGCGTCAACTTCAAGTTGCACGACACGTATAATAACCCAAGCAGAGGTCCGTCTCGCATCTATATTTTGACTTCCTCTTCTAATCTAAAAATCCAAAATAGTCGTCGACAAGCCTCCTTTCGAAGTGACAGAGACAGGGTGCGTTTCTATATCTCATTTCTATCCGTTTCTGAACCAACGAAACCACAGATGGGGTGAATTCGATATTCTCATTCGTATAACCTATATTGCCGACTCGGGTGAAAAAGCCGCTTCTGTCTACCATCACCTCAAACTACATCCATGGGCTGGTCCAGGAGAACCAGAAATTCCCTCTATGGACGTTGCCATCAAAGCCGGTCCAGTGCACTCCTGGCAGTACGACGAGATCGTCTTCAACGAACCTTTCAACAGCTTCTTAAACACCCTCACTGCTCATCCTCCGACGCTCCTCCCAAAGACCAAGAGAAGACCAGTTCCCTTCCATATCGCACACCCTCAGTCGCTGGAAGATACCAAGTTGACGGAGACGCCCGAGTTCAGCCAGGAGATGGAGAAGGAGGAGGCGGACCGACTTGAACAGGCGAAAAAGAAAACCGTAGCAGAGCAGGAGCGGCTGAGAAATATCTTGATTGAGAAGGAGAAAGAGCTGCAAGAGTTGCAAAAGCTGGTGGGTAACCCATAGTGGTACATATACCGTAATGAATATGATATGTAGCAAATAGTCTTGTAAAATATAACATGTATAGCATTTAATTCATGTCCTTGCTTCTCTGCCCACATCTTACCTTCCGAAAAACAATTGCTTATAACATAAAATCCTCCATCGCTACAGAAGGCGTTCACGTCGGAGGGAGATGGAGGACTTTCATCGAATCCAATTCAGATGTTCCGAGGTCTGGGAAAGGTCCTCAGAATGTAGCAGTCCCAAGTGTCGAGTATGCATTCAGTTGAACACTGCCGATTCCACCGGTTGTGCATCGGGTTTGATCATCGCTCCTCTACAAAGGCTCTTGAATGGGAACGCTGGATCACCAGAGACAAGAATAATGGCCCGTCCGCCGCAAGGCAAACGAGAGCCTATCAACGTCGTGAATGGCGTAAGATAGAAATTAATGAGATGTCGGCAAGAGCTGCTTAGAAGTGACGTTGAACATGACGACTGCAAAGCGGACCAATCCTCAACTCAATCTTAAAGGCTCCGTGGCGTGGTTACGTGGAACCACAAATGCCGAAAGTGGGTCACTGGGACTTGAATGCGATTTCAAAGGACAATACGTGTAAACGCCGTACAGACATCTATGAAAACGTCCGAGCAACCCAAATACCGAGAGGTGACGTTGTTCCATTACCGTTGAGTGTCGCCAGTTTATTCTACCGATAAGATAGGTAACGAACAGAAGCTAAGCCAATAGAAAATGGAAGAGAAACACAAGCAGGGCCGGGGGTTAAGTTCTAATATCCGGACCGTCGTGGGTGGTAGTCCGTGGCTGTTCTTGGCAACTCATAGCAACTCGCCCATATGGATATCGGCAGGGTCGCAGATCCCCTCTTCCTCTCAGCGTCTGCTCCTGCAGTCATAAGGCTCCGGCGCCATGATCTACCTCAAAGTCTTTGTTCTTTGTTCTGATGGCTGGCACCGGCCCACATGCATGGACGGGCCATGGGTTCCATCATCATGCCAGGTGGCAATAAATTGAACCTCATATATTGTAGTTAAGGCTATCGTGATGGGTGTGCTTCTCCGAATCGCGTGTTGTTCTCCCTTCCAACGATATCGATGGTGTGGCCACGTTTTTTGCCAGCTCTGCGCGTATTGTGCCTACTGTGCTGGCTAATCGTTGGCGGCGTCCAGGCTTTCACACAACGTATTTATCGTATCTTCATCTCCGTATTCTAATTTTTTCTCATAACCGAACGTCCAGGGTCTTGGGCAGAAGCCTATTCTCTTGCGAATGAGACCGTCCAACAGTTGACACTGGACGAAAAGCTAGGGTTGGTTATTGGAGTAGGGCAATTCGGCAGTACGTTTTAATTCAGTTTTCGTCATTCTTTGGAGGTTCCTCTTTTGATATTGAATTTGTAGGTCGGTGTGTAGGAAATATTACACCCCCCAGCCGTTCCATAACGCTATCATCGACGACCCTTACTATCCCGCCTATATGTTTTAACGACGGTCCCGCTGGTCTGCGGCTCGTTAAGGAGGTCACCGGATTCCCAACGGGTATTAATGCCGCAAGTACGTTTAGCCGTCGTCTGATGCGAGCAAGAGGCGTGGCACTCGCCGAAGAATTCAGAGGCAAGGGCGTTCAGTAAGAATAAGGTTCCCACATTTTCGCCGACCCTTATTTATGAGCCGCAGCGTCCTTCTCGGTCCGGCTATGGATATTGTGAGAACAAACATCTTGTCGCCGTGTTCTAAGCACTTATGACTTTACGAAAATTAGATGAGAAACCCCAAAGCTGGACGAGGATGGGAGAGGTGATACACCCTGCTGTTACATTACGAACGCTGCGTGTCCTGATAAGATGTTGTCCCGATTTCTAGCGCCGGCCCTGACCCTTACCTGAGTGGGGAATTTGCATACGAAACGATAGTCGGCGTCCAGAGCGTGGGTGTTCAGGCCTGCGCGAAGCATTTGATAGCCAATAATCAAGAGCATTGGAGGTATGAGTGATAGAATTTTCGCGTCAGTCTTCTCGTGACATTTTTTTTCTCAGGCATGTCATTCTTTTTTCTGCTATGACTTCCTATGAATACGAATTCTAGGTACGGTCTAAGCGCAGATGTGGACGACAGAACGCTCCATGAAATATATTGGTGGCCTTTCATGCGGAGTATCGACGTATGTGCCTCGGTCTATTATTTTCATATGCTCGTGAACAGGAAACACTTTCCAGGCTGATGTCGCTTCCGTCATGTGTGCGTATAATCGGTTTAACCAAACATCGTCTTGTCATAATGAGGCGCTTATCGGCTCAAATGGGTTGTTAAGACAAGGTGGATTCCAAGGTAAGTGCCCCGAACCGTCCGGAGCGTTTCCTGTGGCCTCAGACGTAGCATCACAGGTTACGTTGTATCGGATTGGGGTGCTACGCATGACTCCGCCAGCGATAATGCGAACGCCGGGTTAGACATGGAACAACCAGGAGACTACATCGTGATAGGTAATTATTAATATGCTTGCACCGTTAACCGGGGATACCTTCTCAACTTATAGTTTACTTGCACATTAGGTGGCGGCGTGTACGGCAATGGAGGCCTGAAAAGCGCTGTGAACAACGGAGGCGTTTCCGTCACTGTGAGCTTTTACCTTCAAGTCCAATAAGTCCGTATTAACTAAATTTTTCGCCGCCAGAGACTCAATGAAATGGTTGTCCGAGTACTCGCTTCCTTCCTTCACCTCGGCCAGGATTCCGTGAGTTTGTCGAAATCGCTCGTTCCTGTCGTAGACTCAGACCTCCTGAGCCCAGGACTACCCAGACATCAATTTCAACGCTCAAGAGCCTGACGGGTCTGGGAACTTGAACCTGGGCGTCTCAGTTCGGTCAGAAGCTCATACTGCTCTGACACGAGAAATTGGGGCCGCTTCTGCCGTCTTGCTCAAAAACAACCGAACTACTACAACTGGTATGTTTAGGCTGTGCCGCGTGCTACCATATGTTGATGTGTTGATTCTGTATGGAGGGTCCGTTTCGGGGGTGACCGTAAGAGGCCTTCCCGTGGCGCAGGAAAGGATCAAGACAATCGCTATAGTTGGCCAGGATGCCAAGATGCCAAATCTGAACTGTAATGGCTTGGGCGAGTGTAACGACGGGACGATGAGCGTTGGGTATGTGCCTATACATAGGAATGGTTTCTCATCTAAGACGCATTGAAAGCTGGGGCTCTGGTACCAACTCATTGCAATACATTGTCCCACCAATCGATGCCATTACCGATTTCGTTGGCAGTTCGGCAACGATAACTTCGTCCTTGTCGAATGATTTATCCGCTGGTCCCGCCGCCGCGAAAGGGAAGGATCTGGCCATTGTATTTGTAAATGCGTCAGTTCTATTTTCTCGTATGGTGGGATTGTCGTTCATCTCCGGTTGACATAGAATGAGTGGCGAGCTCGGGGCTTATGACATTGTGGTGGGCAATATGGGTGATAGGAATGATTTGGACCTCTGGTATAAGGGTGGCAGTCTCGTAAGTTCAGACACGGTAATCTTGGGCTTGTTCTAATTGCGCTCTTTATCCTAAGGTTAAAGCTGTTGCCGCCGTTTGTAACAATACCGTTGTGGTCGTGCATTCGGTTGGACCGGTCTATCTGGACTGGAGTACGCACGTTAACGTATCGGCAGTGATATACGCTGGTGCTCCCGGTGAACAGACCGGACCCAGTATTGTTGATATTATTTGGGGAGCCGTTAATCCTAGCGGACGGCTCCCCTTCTCCATTGCATATGTGAACAAAACAGACACTTCTTTTTGCAAGGCACTGATTCGTGTATTTTGATAGGACGAAGACGCGTATGGCACCGAAATTGTATACAACAGTCTAGGCTTTCCCACCGTATGTCCATGCTCCTTGTGCTTTTCATTTTTGCACAACTCATGACTGTTGTCTTCTTTAGGATCACCTACAACGAGAAGCTACTCCTCGATTACCGTTACATGGATCAACAGGGAATTACGCCTCAATTCGAATTTGGCTTTGGTTTGTCGTTCACAACCTTTTCATACTCGTCTCTTTCCATTACTTCCTCTGGAAGTTCCAAAGTGATATCATTCAATATTGCCAACACCGGGGCTTTTGACGGGACCGAGATTCCCCAGATGTACCTCGGTTTACCCGATGGTGCCGGCGAACCTCAGAAGGTGCTTAGGGGCTTCGACGAAGTTGTTCTAGCGGTTGGAGAGACAAGTACCGTTAGCATGACCATCTCCCAGAAGGAAATGAGGTGAGGTGTCGTTATACCGAGATGTTTCATTGTTGACTGTATCATTTAGTATATGGGACGTTCCGAGTCAATCATGGGTGAAACCCTCGGGCACTTTTACAGTGTACGTTGGAGCCTCCATCAAGGACATTCGTTTAACAGGGTCCTTTTGACATGGATGTTTCCGTGATCATGGTGGAACTTGGATCTGGGATCTCTCTTCCGTATTCTATTCGCTCTAAACAGTGGAAGCCGTTTTATATTCTTGCTGAAAAAAGACATTTGTATAGCTGTCATCTTTTCATACTCGCCTGTATTGCTTCCGGTGACTCTGAGAAGATTTTAGGCTATTACACATGCTGACAATTTAGATGACCCCACTTTCACACATCCTTGCATTACAAGTGGGTCGTTTTAATTCTGCTACTCCCCGCGACGTGGTTTGAAATTGTACTGGTTGCGAATGATCTTCATGCTTCTTCTTTGGCAGCTGCAGTCGGAGGCAATGTCCAGTTCGTCCGCGGATGTAAATTGCGCAATCTTGTTTCATTTAAATGTATTGGCCCGCAACTTGTATCTGGTTGCTTTCAGGTCCTCAGGCCTAGGGTGGCATACAAATCTAACATCAACTGCATAGGATCATCAGGAACGTCCTGTTTCTTACAGTAACATGCGAACCGTTCGTCGGCGCCACATCTGACGTCGGAGCTTTTAATCTTCTTTTTACCCGTGAAGGACGGTATGACTTCAGGGACCACGGAGTGCCTTATAATCATCCAGGTAAGGCCTACGCTTACTTCAAAGAGAAAACGTAGACGATACGTCGGACGCGATTGGCTCAGGTATATCCAGGCTCTCGATAAGGTATCTGGCGGGAATAGTAAATAGACAGTGGTATACCACTGAACTCTTTGCGTAGGCATCCCTCGTCGCTCGTAAGCTTAGAATTTTGCATCGCTTATACGGTGAATGTCAGATATTCCCCAAGTAAATACCATGCTGTCTCTTGACTTCCTCGCCATCGGTACCACGACTAGAACTCGGGATAAACGGGATAGCTAGCTACTAGGTTCTTAGACCTCGCCGGGAGCCGCTCTTTAACCTTCCCCCTCGATACCAAAAATCGTCCGGGCGGGATACTGCGCTCAACTGAGGGCTCATAGCTAACTCCGTTTCACCTTTCTCCGTTTAAACTATACTCCAGTACACTTCTCCGTCTGTATATTCGCCCGATGCCTCTTACATTGGCCACCATGGTCAATACGTGTTCACGCCAGTTACCAGCCTGGGCCCTGTCCATTTTTTGAGCGATGGAGAGAATATTATGGTTGAACAATTGTAATTGTCTTGTGAACCTAATAATATTATCTCGATCGTTCTGTTTCCCTCAGCTCAAGTTTGCAAGACCACTGGCCCCTACATCGTTTCGGCTGACGTGAGTTTATGGTTTTCCCCTAGCGTTCACTGTCATAATGTTCGGTGTAAGTACGCCTTGACGTATTCGCCCATGTCACAGTTTTCCTGCTTGTGCTCTATCGCTGCCGTAAGGCCTACTCGACTCACCTCACCAAGATAAGTAAACATTGATTTTCACCATACATGGCTTTGTGATGCAAGGGTATCCGGGGGCAGTACAGCATTTAAATTACCCACCAATTATAAACCTCCGGCTCTAGATCTGTCTCCCAATCCGGTTTCAACTTAATTGCTAGCCTACGGCTTTACGATAGCTCAGATCTACCAACGACGTATCTATCTGCTTTAGTTTCACTGCTCAGTATGCAAAGTGAGCAGACGCCTAAACACTGCCCTGATGCATATCTGCTAGGCATTTACTTAACCCCAGTACTTTGTATTTTGGAGCTGCAGCTTGCTACGTACCAAAAGGATGTCCGTTCCTAGCCCCCCTTGAAACAAAGGAAGTAGAAGTTTTCACTCTCGGTTTCTCTCGGTCCGTACCGTACTGTGGCGACGACAAAAGACGGCGAAATAGACCACTACAAAGGAGGACAAGGAACACTCAAACACAGCCCAAAGCCAAAGATAGTCCTTTCGTCCGGGATTGCATGCGCACAAGCATTTATAGAGATGTTGATATAAAATACATGTTATGTCTCGAAAAGTAACGAGGACGGAAGCCATACAAATAACAGATACCAGAGATTCGATATAACGAGACTAGGACAGATAGCAAGGTCTTGTGTGAAAGAAGCAACTTATTTAAGAAAGGACAATATCGACAAACGCTCAAGGAGACCGTTACCGTGTGTACGCAGGGTCAGACAAGAGAGCGAATCAGGTTCTACCGGCGGTGACGGCCCCTGTGGAAGAAATGTAGCACCGACGAATAAACCAAACCGTCAAGGCGAGATAGAGGGGTCTAAGTTGCCTGAGGACGACCTTGCTTTGTCGGGGCTGTCTTGGTCCAGCGTTATGTTGCACCCATGGCAACGGCCACGCTTTCACCAAAGGGTACATGAGGCGTCGTTTCTTTTGGAGTATATACCGTTGCTGAAGGTCCCGCACTGGGTGTCAGATTCATAGCTGAGGTTCCATTTGAACTAGACTTCAGCGGTGCGTTGGTTGGAGGCGGATGGGACGACCTGCGGGAGACATAGTCAATGCATCTCGATACGACGCGCAAGAGGGAATATTTTGAGAAACCAACGTTCTGATTTTCTTGTTCGGCATGTCCGGTGAAGTATGGCTCGACTTGCCTGGACCCTTGAAGTGTGCGAATTAACCAAATAAGTGGTAGCTTTCTAGGGTGCAAATGGAATGACATACCTTGGATCGTTTTTGGGCTGACTTCGGCTGGCGTTCGCCAGGGTCAAAAACATCATCGGGGAGACCGGAGCTGAGGAAGAGGATGAATGAGCTAGTGCAAAATTATTGCGGCCCTGGAGCGACAAACCTTTTGATATGTCGAACAACGATACCCATGGTAAGATCGTCGTACTTCTCCCACATCTTGACAAGCTTCGTAAATTCGGTTGTCGGATATGATATATCCAGTCGTCGAGGACCAACGAGACCAGCTTGAAAGTACACGTTAGCGAGGTCCACAGCACCGATTAACGCTACTCACGTTGTTTCGGTTCAATTGCGAGTCCTATGTAGAAGGTAGTTGAGTATACAACACTACAGCCATCCTTGCCCTCGATATCTTGCTTTGTTCGCTTAGCGATAGCATCCGAAATATCGCCCTGAGCAACCATATGCATTTCGTCGTCGGAAAGGCAGTACGAAACTCGGTCGAAGCCCTTGATGAAAGGATGTGCCAAGATTAGTGAATCAACATACTCCAATTTCATGACCAGTTGTCTTATTCGAGATTCAACAGTCCCGGCCCTAGAAGTGACAAAATTCAGGGAAGGGAATGACTTCAAGTGTCTTGCCTCACCATTTTATCTGCAGTTCTGCGTCGCCAGTAGATGCAATGACCTGTAGATAATACCTGTACTTGTGGAAGAAGTCATGCTTGGCAAACAGCTCAGACCAAGAGGCAGACCCGACAAAAACTCTGTCGACGATTTCGGAAGCTGGAGGAGGCTTATCAGCGGTATTAAATGCGCAAGGGAGAATTCACACCTCGTTTGAATTCTTGGGTTGTAATCATCTGAGTGGACTGTGTCACGTTGTGGGTAGCGCACATGGCAGGATAAGCAGGTGTTATTATAGGCATACGGTGTGCTCGATCAGCGGGGTAGAGCTGTCGACCAGTTAAAGATGAAAACAGGGTACAGATAGTGTGACAGTGCAAGCACTTACTTTAGGATTCCACACTTTCACTTGTAATGGTCCCTCTTCTATCTGTTTCAGAAGTACGGGCTGTGGCCACGTCCTGGCAAAGAGTCAAATTTAGCGAAGAAGCTCGACTCCAGTAGTTGACTCTCTTCACCATTGGAACATGATAATGAAAAAGCGGCTAACAATAGCACCAGCCACGGCGTTAGGATACAGTTGACATATTCGAGCGACTAATATCGCCCAGGCAACACCGCCAAAGAATCCATTGACGTTCGAGTAAATTGCTCTCCCTAAAGGTCGAATCAGATCAACCTAGAGGGAACCCGGTAGAACTTTGACGCACGCGTTGCCCAGAGCTTGATGCAACGTAGAGCATTCCGGAACACTTCTACATTGGGGACTAGTCGAAGAATCTCATTCACAACCCGCGAACCTGGCATTCCTCGTTACAGCAGTATTGTCATATCAAAGAGATCATCACACACCGTTCAGACTTCGCACACATCGCTCGTCTAGATTTCGTAATAGATTGTCATCCTGCAGTGAGAGGTCGTCTGGTATTGAGGATAGAGCCAAGCGTGCCATCAAGAAATCCACAGGTATCCCAGAAATGCTCGCTGTTATGATGGGTACATACGCTTCTGGTATTCCCTGCGCCGACTTTCGAGTCATGAAATACCACAACAAAAAAAGGCCACGCACCGCTACTTCAGTAGCACCCTCCAACTCCTTTAGCATAGGCTCGAATACCTCAAAGAAGTCTTCTCGCGAAACATGCTTGGGTACCACGCACAACGTATCAATATCAGAACCAGGCCCATGAACGCCTAATCGATATGATCCAAAAGTGAAAATCTTGCCACCAGCAGCGTTGGCTGCAGCTTCGGATAGACCTCGTTTCAACGAAACATTTCGAACGAATTTTTTTACGAGAGCATCTACACGGCCCAGAACAAGCTCCCTAAGAAGATGAAAAAGCCGAGCTTTAGTACCGAACCATTGGAATTGCATCCTAGATGAAGAAGAAAAAAGGACTCGATCCGACATAAAAATCGCCGTCATTCCGGGTTGTGGTCGGGTTGCAAAAAAGGTCGCACAACGTAAAAGACGAGTAGAACGGGTGCGAAAAGGCGATTTGAACGAGGTCCTCCCAGGTAAGGGAGAAAAATGGAGAAAGCTGCAAGACGCCAGGAGAACACTGAAACGAAGAACTCTTCACTCACCTCGTTGCCGCTTCCTCTGCTGACTCGAATGTATTTTGCCGACGCAGTTCCTCCATAAGAGTAATCGTGACCTCTTTTTCTCTTTCGTTAGATTCATGGATCGATATTGGCGCTGTAACCCCAAGATGACTGTAAGGACGTCAAACGTGAATGAGCAGCAGCAGTGAAAAGAGTGATGTACAAGTACCTTTTTGGTCTCTCCATATTCATCAAAAGACAGGAACCAGAGTTTGACGGAAGAGGTAGAAGTAGGAGTATAAAAGGAGAGTAGATGTGGCGAGTGGTTGCCCTTGGAACTGTTCTAACGAGACAAACCGGACGGCGGACAATAGAGGAATGGATGACGGAGAGGTCACACGTGACTGGCATAATTACAGTCGGCAAATGCCGACTGCTCAAGGGCAGTTTCCAGTTGCCGGTGCCACAACGATTTTCTGCTGGATGTGGCGAATAATATTACTACTGTACAGAATAAATAGTAGTAGGGATTGTATGAAACAATAGTTGAACAACAGACTGCTCTATCTCATGAGAATAAAATATAGACTGTATGTACGTAGCAATGTCCGATGAAATGGTCGTAGACTGAATGATCTGTAGAATTCATGGCGGGTATGATGTGATCCAATGTCCAGATGGAGAGAAGACAACTAGAAATTCTTCAAATATCGCGACTTGCGCGTGGAGTTGTACAAGCGCTTCGACTCAGAACGATTAATGGCCCACTTGCGAAGGAACCAAGCACCCAGAGCAAGAGCAATGACGCCGGCTACCACGCCAATAGCAATGCCCACCTTGGCTCCCGTGGATGTCCCACCACCACCACTGCTGCTGTTGCTGTTACTTCCGCTACCCGATGAACCAGAACTGGTCTCCGGGTTTCCACCATACGGCCAATAGTCGCCGCCAGCGGGAGGAGCCACGCAAGTAATAGAGTCCCCTTTAGTGATGTTCTGGAAATTGGACTGCATAGACATGTCTGAGGTGAAATTCCTATCTATCACGAACGGGGCGGGAGTCGGGATGTCAGCATCGGTGATAGTGCAGTTCGGCCCAACAGCGCCAATGAAGGACGTATTTCCGAACAAGACGTTGTCCTGAACTGTGAAATTGGTGGCCGATGTGATGGCGATAGCATAGCTGAACGCTCCGGAGAACCTGTTGTCGTAGACCGTCCCCGAACGACTGAGATTAGTGCCATACCGGGGTCCAAACCACGTCCGAGGTCCAATAGCTACGCCGATCCTAATATATAGCGGTCAAGGCCTGAATGTATATAAATATGGGAACAACCTACTTCATGATAGCATCGTCAACATTGTCGCCCTTGGTTTCACTGCCTTCTGGTGTGTCCGTAGCGAAGCCTCCCAGCATAGTGTTGTTATGAACGACCGTCCCGCTATAGTCGCCACTCCAAGGATCGTAATCCACCATGTTAATGCCCCCGAGAAGGGTTTGCTATCAGATTTTGCATTAGTTGCTAGGCCCATCTCTGAATAGAAGTACTCACGTTTACGACCCAGATTGTATTGTTGTACACCTGGGTGCCGGGAGATCCAAACAGAACAATCCCACCGTCCGTGGGATTCTCCACCATGTTGTTACGGACGACGCTGTTGGCGCAAGCTACACTGATACCATCGGCCCATTGCTGAAAAGCATCGCTCCCACAGGGACCAATGTCATTATTTTGAATCTGAGTGTTCGCATCAGGTACCAGCCGACACATCGTATCAGATAGAAGACTCACGGTAGCGTTCTTACATTGTAAGCCACCCTCCGCGATATGAAGACATGACCAGCTTCGAGGATCAAACGATCTCACATATTCGACGACTTGATCTGTATTAGGCCCACCGATCTCAATATTGGCCCCTCCAGAAGTTGGTGTGGCTCCGAGACGAGTACCATTGATCTTCGAAATAATTATAACATGATTTCTGTAATAAAGCGGATGACATACCTGAATGTTCCTGATCTTTATACCTGTACAATTGGCGCAGGTCCCATCTATAGCGGTTGTGTGGCCTGTTCCATTGAAGACCGGTCCATTAACAATGAGAGTGGCGCGCTCATCTCCAGTAGGATAGCCGACCGTGCTTATCTCCTGCTGAGGGGCGGCGAAAAGAATGGGAGCTTGCAACAGGTACTCTGCCCCGGCGCAAAGTTGCAGTGTATAACCAGCTCCAGAAGAATTGAGAAGCGTATTGAGTCGGTCAGTGATCGTATTGGCGGGATTGGGATTCACGCAGTCATTATTGTCCTGTCGACCGAGAATGATCGCTTCCCTGTTTAGCAGCCGGCTGTTAGTCCGAGCCTTTTCCGCGTGGACCACGAGCCCGCCTTACCTGGAATGCATTTCAATGCAAGAAGAGTATTAAAAGAAAGACCAGTTGTCGTGGAGAATGGGAAGATAAGAGTATCGCAAAAGGAGAAAGATGTGGGTGGGGGCCGCTGAGGACTGCCGTAACCTGCTATCGCAGTTGAGCTTCTCCATACGTTCAGTAACAAACTACAGCGCCCGACGGTATATTTCTCACCTTGAGTAACCGCGTGGGCCCTTCCCCGTTTGAGCGAGCAGTCGGGTAGTAGTCGGTAGACGGTGTCGAGAGTGCGACGTCTAGCCAAATTTGAAACACAACCTTCTTTCTGTCTTTTCTTTGGGCGGGTACATGTGGCGCAAACAAACATAGGCAAACTTCTTAGCTGACGTGCGTCATTCGGCCCTCCCACTTCAAAGTCCATTCTTCTTGGCTTATAAACGTCCCCAAACCCTGGAGTCCATATGATAGCTCTCTCTGCGTTATTCTATGGTAGCAACGTACCCACCCACCTTTCTTCAGCACCCTGTATTTTCTCAGGCTATCCGTTTCATCTCTCGGCGCAATTCACGTGTACAGGAGATAGAAGCCCGTCTTTTCTCCTTGGCCCGGAAGACGGCCAGACAGTTCACCTTGCGAGTTCCAGTTCTATTCTCGTTCAACTGTCAATTTCATGGGCGTTCTTCGTCAACCTGCAGTCAGGGCCAGAACACCGCAAAGACAAGTTCTGAGTAATGCTGAAAAACTTATAGATGGTCTACTAGCCGTTGAGCCCCATGATCTCCGAAGTGAGGTTCTGCGGCTCGGAAGGTATATCTGTGGAGGAACTTTGAACCTTGCTGAACCTTCTCAATGTGGAACATCCCGAACGACCCGCGCCCATGGGAACACAGTTGTGTGCCTTATCGTTTGCAGTCAATATGAATCCAACACCACGGTAATAATACATGAACGGCTGCGATCCCGTTCTATCTAGGACTAACTCAAGTTGACCTGGCTTCTTTGATTGTTGATTTCCGTATTACAGTTACCGATAACCTGTACTCCCAGCATACTATGTCTTCTCCGTCAGTTCGCGTTTCACTTCTCCCTGGTCTTCGCAATACGGTCTTCCAATAAAACACCAATGGGAATTCTTTGAGTACCTCGACCTGTACTGTCCCCGCCTCTAATTGACCCCGGCCTCTGACAGCCCAGACCAAAACGAGGTATTCGACAGTGTAAATGGAATAACATATGACTGACAGTTGCTCAAGGCGATTCTCCTCCATTCAAAGAACGCTCCCCCATTTGTATGCTGATACTATTAGCTCGCTGCACATAGAAGACCCATTCCTCGCAACGCGTCGGCATACGCTGGCATGTCTTTGTCAATCATCTATCAAATGTCTCGATATCTATCCCCGTCCCGGACCCCCGTTACCCCCTCCTACGTTGCTTCTTCTCATCCCTCATCCCTTGCCCCGTTTCATCGATTGCATTTTGACTTCGAGTTTCTCATACCCGTCCGACAGGCCCAAACAATCGGGCTCTGATAAATCTGGACTCATCAATGCCATTCATTTAAACAGGCATCCTTGGTGGCACGATCATGATCGTAACGGGCTTTCGAGCGACGCCCCTACTACGATCGAAAATCAACGCCGCTTTCCAGTGTCAGTCTGTGTAATACTGTAATACTCTCGCAGCTCAATGCGCACGTCAGAATATGGTTTCGTAGCACGAGGACGTCGAGCTCCAATTGCAATTTCCAAGAGTCTCAACTCCCCTGATAGCTTACGGCCCATACAAATATACCAAGTCGATCCATAATACCAAACTACTAGCAAGCGATACCGATTTCTCATGATCTACCGACCAATACCTGACCTAGGCCCCCAATGAAACCCTTCAATACTTAATACGGGCGCCTGGCTTACCCTTCTCGGCGTGCCATCAACCATCAACAATGCACTGCACCTGTACTATGAAATACCCCCTTTCTCCCGTCCCCCCTTCTATTGCCAGACGAGTCACGACCTATGCTTATCGTGCGCGCCGCAGGAATAGCCCCTACTTACCAACATCCCCACAGTGGTTATGGCAACGTCTTACCGTGTACTAGTCACGTCAGGTGCATTGATTGCATTGACTCATTTGAATTCGGTCCATTGCGAAGTAGTTCGAACCTGCATGGTGTCCATATTGACCATGTCGTTTCTTACGAAGGAACGACGGCGCCGCTGCCCTATTACAATGTAAATACCACAAGGCACCCTCGCCGAGCCCGAAGATCCAACGTCGCGCATCCACACTGCACGAGCTGCGATCTAGAAATGGAATAGGTACCAACCGGTCAAGGTAAATCCACAACCGGGGGGTTGGTATCACATTTGTCTCCGTTTTCTCGCACCCGCCAAGTCCTGAAACAAAACGTCGCAAGTGATACACTCGCTCTTCCTTCCATCTAGAATTTCCATCGTCTTCCAAACACCTTGTTGCCATGGTTAACAATAGCCCGTCCTGTTTTGATCCATAATGGAGCCTGCCTCAAATCCATTTTCCGGATAATACAGGTACACAAACATATCAGTACGTGCCTTGAATTATTGGGTGTACGTACAACGGAAGGGGGAATTTCGAAATTGCGCTCTGCTTCTTCTGTGACTGAGTCTGCGCCTCTAATCCTGCAAACTTACGCGTGATCTTGATAGAATCAGTACACGCAGCAGTGATCCTAGCCTCGAGGCGCTTCAAGATCGACAATTCTCCTTATACACGGCCCTCACAGCACGGGATTGTCGTCCGAAGTGCTAAACGCGGGGTCATAGCTCCCACTCTCGGTTATACGGTTATAATATTGTAACGTTAGTCCATGGACCATTGGCCATTGACTGGACACAATCATCCCTTCAATCAACCGACACCCACAATTGAGTGCGGGCCTCCAATCTCAAACAATACTGCAATTTAGCTTATCTTTCCCCCATTGATCAGTGTCTTTCTACCTACTAATGATATCGAAAACACCGCTTCATCTGTGTCTCCACTAATTTCTAACGACGAACAAATAATTTCACTGCGGTCTCGCCCCAATCCCCGTCCGACCTCCATCAAAAAAACAAAGGAACACCTTTCCTGAGGGAGAAATATTAACTCACTCCTTTCAAATCTCCTCCCAACTCCGCAAGTAAACATTGACTTGTTGATAAATCTGTTTCACTCAGAGCAACCTGCACAGCTTCGATCATCATCATAACTCTCGAGTCGGCAACTAAGATCACATCGGCAGGCGAACTACGTCCAACTATCCATCTCGTTGGCTGGGTTATCATGATCCTAGACCTCTTCGCTTCTTTTATACCAGCAGTGGCGCCGCTTCCTGAGATACATACAACCCCTCGTGAATCCGGAATTTTTTTCTTACTTCCATATTATCTCAAGTCCTACCCTCTACGAATAATCCATAATTAAAAACACGCACCATCGGGATTTTCCTCTAGACCTGTTTCACCAACACGAGGCGCTTCATGATTCACACATCAATTCCGTCTTGCGATTCCGGGACGTTCGCACCTAGTCGTCTATTCAATTGCATGGGCCCAGTAGTCTACCTGAAATCAGTTTCAATTTAACCTCAATCTCACGCCTATGCTCTCGAACATCAACTTCTAACGAAGACCTCCCGGCGCAGACCCTCAAACACCTACATCTGATTTACAATAGCAGTAATCATCTTCGCGGACCCGGAACGAAACCCGGTAAGGGAGAGGACCAGACATACGGTCGATTTAGCTACGAGTCCTTGATCTCGCACCGGAGCTTCGGTGGGAAAGACTCCATGACTCTCCCCATGTTACTATCACTTCCTTCATCAACTCGACTCGAGGTTCTCTAGATGCGCGCCGGAGCCCCGGATCACATCGATTCGAAGGCCTCATTAACGCACCGCTTTGTGGCACAAGAAGGCTTCTTCCACACCGGTGGCTATGACCGCACCTCGTTCTTCCACACTCCACAGGCAATGAACATTTAAATCTGTTTCACCCACATGTACACGTACATAGGTGGTGCCTATCCCATAGTCTATGCTGCAATCAGTTTCACTTTTCACACTCCCCGCGAGGCTAAAATCTCCACGGTAATTTTTACTCGGATCGGTGTGCCGAGAGGGGAGGGAAAGAAAACTGTCGAGGGTGAGTGTGACCTCCGTGATGTACATCCAGATCTGCCGCCAAATCAGTTTCACTGACACACGTTGTAGCTCAGGGTAGAGACTAGGGATCCAACTCGACGCGTCGCCACCAATTAATTCAATGAGAGTGAATTTATATCATCCAATGTCCTGTGCTTATCTCTCAACGAGCGGTGGTCTCGGTGATGCACAAAAGCACAGCTCCAGGACTTATCATCTCTTTTCTATTCCTACTATTCCTATGGGGGGCGGTGTAGCCAAGCGTAAAGTCCATAATAAACTCCAAGTTGATTTTCGATCATGGGCGGGTCGGGATTCTCAGGGAGGCTGACAGGATAAAGTCCGTCGCTGCTAGTACGTTATCACCATAGATGCTAGATGCGTTTACAGGAGGGATAGTGATTCATCGGTTCCTATCTCCTTCAACTGATCCGTTTGAAGGAGAGATGGGGGGGGGGGGCTTCTTCGTGCGTGGCTATGACCACTTCGAGTCCGTTCGGGCAACTCAAACCTTTCTCCGAGCCGGTAGTAACCAAAAAAAACCCTCCTGGCGAAATCAAAAAATAGTCTTGAAGCCTCAATCCACAGCTACCAAACCTCTTCCGGGACACTACTCATCCGATTTTCTTCTGAACTGTACTGTACTGTTCAAAGCCGCGGGTCCGGTGCAGTGTCCCAGTCGAGTTGGTAGCGCTGGGATTCTCAGGGGTGGCTGTCCAAGTCGGTATCACTTCGCAGATTCCTATCCCACTTCGGTTCCTAGCTGATGAGGAGATGAAGGACCCGGAAGCATGAGAACTCCAAAGCTTCTTCATAGTACGTACGTGGCTATGCGTCTCGGCAACTCAGTTCTAGGAAGTCATCACTGCTTTTGCGTCTAATGGGCTTCACTGTTCATATGCATACAGGTTTTTACAACAGCTTAAACTCAAACGAGATCTGTATCTCCGTGACCGGCGTCTAATCACCATGAACGATGAACCAGTTTCGAATCTGCAAGCACAAGCCTTCCTTCCTCTGGGGCAGTGTCCTTCAAGAGGCGCGTCGAAATGAGTGAGAGGGAAGGACCTTCACTTGCCCGCCGGTGGCTAAAATGCAACACGAATCAAGATATCCATCTTGCACCACACCGACTCCGATTCTTCACACAGAGACCATAAAATATTCTTGTACCCAATTTTTTTAGTTAGTTATTATAATCACCGCATCTCGACATACGAATAAAAAATCCCTATTACACGACATCCCGCCCCGAATTCGGGTCGTTTCACCGCTCATTACTCATACCAACTCAGATAGTACCACCTTTCTCGGTGGTAACTGCAACGACAACAACTATTACTAAGTAAATCTCACCGCTCATCCAGATCTTTTACTTACACGGGATCTGTATCAACACGAGCGTATCGGAATGGTGATAGTCAAAGCCGCGGATCCTATCATTTATCACCTCTTGGGGCACTGTTCACTGTTCGAGTGCAAGTTGGTGGAAGTTTCTCCCAATGGGCATGGTCGGGATTCTCAAATCCGTATCACTTGGGGCACTGTCGAGTTCTCCCAAGCAAGATGAACTTGAGATTCGCAGGGAGGGCTATCTGTGTCGCTTCACAGTGGCTTCGGTTCCTAGCTGATCCGTTTGAACTTGAAGGAAGGGAACGAGAAAGACCCGGAAACGAAGCATGCGAAGGCTTCTTCATACGTGGCTATGCGCCTCGGCAACTCAGTTCGCCAAGAAGCCTTCCTCGCAGACACTGCTTTTGCATCTAACTAATGGGCTTGTATCAGACAACATCCAGATTTCATTTTACTTGCGCCAGAAGATATCTGTATCACCCAGCGCCGTGTACGATGGAGCTGGTGGGGTCAAATCTGCAAACACAGACGCGGGGCTCAGTAGACGTACAGACAACTTATCACCACCACCACCTCTGGGGCAGTGTGCCTAGATGGGCGCGTCGGATTATCAGGGTAAGCAACCAATGAACTGGAAGACATTCAAAAGCACACTTGGCTACCACTGGTGACTAAAAATTACCTTTACGAATCAAAAGCAGTTAGGCTTTCGTCGTCCTAATTCAGAACACGCACCGACTCCGAAGCACCGCGACGACCATACGAGGCACCTTACACTTTTGTTTTTAGTTGCTCGTACGGGAATTCATATCACCGGCCCCATAGAAACATACACTCGAACGAAAACACACGACATCCCGATGTCGTTTCACCACTCATGAGAAAAAAACGACCAACTCGTACCTGCACTTGAAGGTTCGAAATCATCGGCTGTGCCACCTCCCCACAGATAAAGTTAGTTATCAGCACCCTCAAACACGTTGCAGGCTGTGTCGTGGGACTGGGGAGGGTGGGATCGTGTGAAGGATCCTGGTATTTCGGAAGCAATTTCGTTTTAGTTGAGTTCCGTTTGTTTTGCCTGCCGGGCTCTGGGGGCAAATACCTATTGACTTGACCACGTTACGGGCGGGGGATACTCGGAGGATCCGTTGTATTTCCGTGTATCCCAAAAAAAAACACACACACAAAGCGACATTGTATTTCCCAGTCAAATTCGGAGTTGCTCGTACTATTTAATTTACGACTCGGAGCAGGCGTACATAAGCGTCGCGCCCCGACCTCAGTCCACCGCATCCCATAGGCGCATCACGACATTTCCCGAGTCCATGTCGGTGGCTCGTGACTCGTGACAAAACTCCACGTCGGGACAGCGGGGACACGGGCCCGCGCGTGCTAAACATGGCGGGACCAATAAGTAAGGGGGAAAAAAGTCGGGCCACAGTTTCTTTTTTGTCGATGCCAACGGCACCGAACGAAGCCGAGGCGCCTAGAGCGACAGTAGGGTCGAGCTGATCACGCTACTGTGAGTAAGTAGATCTCTCGCGAAGCACCTAGAGTGAGGGTCACAAAAGTAGAGAACACCAGTCTGTAAGCCGCTCCACATAACCGTGACCGACCCTCAGTCGTATGTAAGCGCAGTGGAATTTAGGTCCCACCGGTTACGGTCCCGCCCATATCGCAAACAAAAGAAAGAAAGACATTCGAATCAGAAAGATTCCAATTGCGAGATCTGGCCATGGCATGGGGGAAAGGACCCGCGCTAGGTACGCGCGCGAAGAAAGAAAAAGGTGTGCCGCGATGACGCGTGCAAAAAGAAAGGAAATCTGGAAGACAAGAGAACCCACTTGAATTCCTAGTTTGGAAAGGACCCGCGCCGCGCTCTAGGTGCGCGCCAAAGAAAGGAAGATGACGCATGCGCACGCGTAGGAAATCTGGAAGACAAGAACCCACTTGAATTCCTAGTTTCTTTAATATCCGATGGAGAGTTCGGTGAGGGATTCACTAAGCCGGGTGTTATCCACGCGGTTCGAATATTCGAAAATGCGCAATAAACATGCAGACTACGGGTTCATATGTATGCATATGTAAACCGGAATTTACAAGATCGCGAGATCTGGGGAAGGGAACTGCGTGCGTGCGACTAGGTACACGCCAACAAGGGAAAAATGCTCGTGTCGTTTTATTTTGTTCATGGCAACACGAAGAGACAAATGCCACCAGTCACTCACACCTCCTCCGCAGCCCCGCCTCCCTCCGCCTCGCCGCCCTCCTCCTCCTCGTCCACAAACGTCCCCATCGGCACAGCATACAACCTCACAACCGGCTTATTCGGATCCCTCACCAACACAAACTTGCCCTCCCCCAAGCCCAAACACACATCCGCCACACACCTCACCACCCCCCACCCATTACTCACCCCCACATTCAACTGGCCCGCAAACTCCCCCGGCCTCATACTCGCCGTGCTCAACACCACATGCCGCGTATTGTCCCGCGCACTCACCCGGCTCACGTACCCCACTTTGAGCGTGTCGGACCCCGCGAGGAGGGCTTGGACAGCCCATCGCGCGAGCTTGGCAGAGTTGTTTTTCATCTCGGTGGCTACGACCGCTCCGCGTTGGCTGTCCAGCTTCGTGCGCCAATCGGGGGCTCCGCACGCTTTGGGCTCGTACTCGTTCAACGCGCGGATCGTCGCGTACCCCGTCCCGCCCGTCCCAGGAAGAACAGCATCCACCTCGGTCCGCACAACAATCTTCACATCCTCATCCTCGCTAATCCCCAAATCAAACTCCCTATACCTATACCCACACGACGCCAGAGGCTCCCTCTCCTCGGGCGGATGGAACGGATTCGGATGACCCAAATCCACGTGCCTTCTCTCATCCACACTCTGGAATCCAAAATTCTGGTTAATAAACGTCGCCTCCAGACTCAAATTCAACGGGGTGTTGATACTCGGGCCTTCTGCCGAGGGGGGGTCCGTAGCGTTCTCGTTGACGGTGACAGTGTCAAAGGGGCCCCCGTCGCGTTTATCGAGGAATAGCGCGTTTTTGGTGCGGAGGATGACGATGTCCCAGGGGTAGACGGAGCGCGTGGCGCACATGAGCACGGAGAGGATCGTGTCGGTTGTGTAGATCCGTACGGTGCCGGGGGGTTGTTTGGCGTGCAGGGATTGGATGACGGGGTCGTCTGATGTGGTTGGGTTGTATTTGAGCCTGTCGAGGATCTGCAAGGGCCTCTCGCTCTTGGTGGTTATCCTATCGTAGGATTTGTCGTATTCGTATAATCGGCCGTACGAGTCGCTGCAAACAAAGGAAATTTAGAATAAGATATAATAGAAAGTAGGAAACGCACATATCCTCAGGCTCATCAACGTCCAACCTAAGCTTCGCAAGCCTATGAAACTCAATCTCCTCTTTCAAATCCCAACTCGGGCTAATCACAACACTACTCTCTCTCGCCCGATTACTCTTCTCCCAATCCCTCCAATTCCTCCTCCCGCCCCCTCTCCCACCTTGCGCCCCGCCTCTCCCGCCTTGCTGAGTCCCTCCCGCTCCACCACCCCTACCCGACCCACCCCTACCCCCACGTCCACCACCCCCCCTAGCGCCCCCACGTCCCCTCCCAACAACCGCACTCTTCCCCGCCGTATTATCCACCAACGAAAAACTCGCCTCGTCCTCCGCATGGAAATACGCAAACGCACTAGCCGTCCCGCTCCCATACGCCTGCGTCCCCCCTCCCCCTCCACCAGCGCGCTTCGTCTGCGTCTGCGCCTGCGCCTGCGACTGAACCGGCAAGGCGTTCCAGTCCGCGAATCGTCCCAGTTTATCAGACTTGGAGTAGGGCGCGTAGGGGACGTCCGTTAGCGAGGAGGGGAGCGAGGAGAGCGGGGGTGGGCCCCAGGGCGAGTCGGGCGTGTCGTGGATGGGGGGCAGGGTGAATTTTGGTGTGCTCATTTTTTTCTCGTGTCTGTTGTGGGTGTTGGGACGAAAAAAATAGCGTGGGAAGGTTTTGCTTGATTGATTTTGACTCTCATGAAGTACGCCAAATCCTTGCTGTTCAAATGATTCATACTAACATTTCTACAGCGTCGTCCGCGAAATCAACGCTATAAACGAAGCAGAACTCCGCCTAGGCGTAACAGGCTCATGGCACGACACATACAAAGACTCTGCCTACATCTACGTCGGGGGTCTCAACTACGAGCTCACCGAAGGGGACATCATCACTATCTTCTCCCAATACGGTGAGATTGCCAACATCCACTTGCCGCGGGACAAGAGCACAGGGAAACAACGGGGGTTCGGGTTCCTCATGTACGAGGACCAGCGGTCGACGGTGTTGGCTGTGGATAACTTGAACGGGGCCAAGGTGCTGGGGAAGACGCTTAGGGTGGATCATGTGAGGGATTATAAGCAGCCGAGGGAGAAGGGGGAGGATGGGGAGTGGAGGGAGGTCGAGGGGGAACTGTTTAATGCTAGGCCGGAGGAGATTGGTGATAATGCGGAAGAGGAGGAGGAGGAAGAGGATTTGGGCAAGGATATCGATCCGGAGGACCCGATGAGAGAATTTATCATCGCTCAAAGGCGGGAAGAGGCGAAAAAGGGCAAGGGAAAGGGGAAGAAGAAGAGAAAACATGAAGGGGAGACCAAGGAAGAGAGACGACGGCGCAAAGAGGAGAAACGCAGGAAAAAGAGTAGTGCAGCAAAAGATGTAGAGGCCTTATTGCATAGCTTGGGTTCGAGGTAAACCAAATATATTAACTACTAAGCAATGTATCAACAGCAGCTGTAACATTCGGACTACGCTGAAGAGCACCAATAACCGCCTCCCTAGGCAAATCCGGAAACATATTCGTCACCTGTGTGATCTCCTCCTCTGGCGGGGCACGTACACCTGGTGTGGCGGGTGTGAGCTGGGTGACCCACTCGCGCATCGAACTGGTCGTAGGAGGAGCCGGACTCGGGCTCGGGGCAGGGAACGCGCGCCTTGACCGTGGCACACTGGGTGTCTCAGCACCGACAAACGGGAGCGGGGGACGGAAGCGTTTTATAGGAACGGGCAGGAGCGGGGAGCGGTAGAGCACCGCACCGAGTACCCCCAGCACCGCCAGCACCGGGGACGTCAACAGGGCGAGTAGGACAAGGAGCACCCACGTCGGTGCATGGGGCGTGAGGGTCACAAACCCCACCGAGTACGTGTACGACGGGGGCACCAGCAACGCATGAGTATACACACACGCCGCCGTCAGCGCCACAGGACCCAACGGCGCGATGAGCACAAGCAGCGCCGCCAAATGACGCGACGACAACCTCCTCTCCAGCGTCGGAGCGGTCTGCACCGAGGATCAACAACGCCAAGAGCAACGACGGCGAGTCGGGGAGGAACACGGCATGAGTCAGGGCCCGATACGGCTGGGCCAGCGTCGGTGGGAGGGCAAGGGACGGGCCGATATCGAATAGGGACACCAGGAGGGTATTCGCACTGAGGAGGACGAGTAGTATTTTGGTAACGGGAGCAAATTGGAGGGACATGGACATGGCTGTCCGAGTCGGTGTCCATTACGTACCCCGTATTTGGCTTTGTTTGCGTCTTGCGATGTGAACGTTGTTCGGCAAGCGCCTTGTGTTGCACGCTGGCGGTGTTCTGGGGCCCAAGACCCAGCGGAACGGTAGACGGTAGAGATCCCCCCTCCCGATATGGATGTGGCCCAATGCGGTAGGGGGGGACCCTTAAGCTGACAGTTGAAGGGATAGAAAAGCGGGTCTTGGGAGTTGATTCCAATGCCAGTTCAAACATCCACTTGTCATGGATTCGCAACAGCTTGTGTTCCCCTCATACGCGTCTAACACTCCTCGTACGCCCTCTCCAAGGGAGGACCCCTTCTTCTCCGCGTACCCTTCCCACACTTCATACGAGACCGGCGCAGGCGGCGGGGGGTCTCTCCTCCAAGAGCTCTATGACGACCACCACCCCGCTGTAGTCCGCCGCGCCACATTTCCCTATGTGCGCGCCGACTACCCGGGTGAACCCATCAAGCTCGAACACACCCTCCCCCCGATGCATCTCCCCCCGCATCACTCACACCACCCGCACCACCAACAACACCACCACCAATTCTACCAACCCTTCCCCTCCCCGCCCCCTCCCTCCTACACACTCTCCCCCCACACCGGCCTCCCCGTCCAACACACAGACGACGCCGCCTCCAAAGAAACCCAGTACCTCCGTCGGCGCTGCTTCAACTGCCACACCACCGAGCCTCCCTCCTGGCGCCGCTCCACCCTCAACCCCGGAAAGATCGTCTGCAACAAATGCGGCCTCTACGAACGCACACACCTCCGGCCTAGGCCTCTCCGCTTTGACGAGCTCAGAGCAGGCAACAAGGCGAGGAAAGCTGCTGCTGCGGGGGTGGTGCTCCTCAGAAGAAACCGCTCTCTCCAAAGAAGGAGCAGAGTCGGAGCCCACAGCTCTTGCCTAGGCGGGAATCGCAGGAATGGGATGATTCGCGTAGGTCCCCCGCCTTCCAATTCGTATTCTCATTCTAATCATACGCTACAGTCTCCATCTACTCGTCCTCTTCAACCTCATCAACCTACCCCTCCCCCTCACCAACGACCTACCCCCATCCCCTCCCCTCACATTCACCCTCCCCTCCCCCCATCCGCCTCCCCAACGTCGACTTTGCCCACTACGCCGACTACACCACCCTTCCTCCAGAAGTAGTCACCGCTTAAACCTTTCCTTTCCTTCTCTTCGCTATACATATCTATTTCGCTATCTATCTTATCTATTTATTCCCCCCCTTCCTTCCGTTTGTTGGTGTTGTTGTGTTGTTTTCTTTCTGTACGAATATCTATTAGACCCTCCGTCGTCGTTTCAAAACTACCCACTCCCCAACCCCCGTGTACTACTAGATGAAATGTGCATGACTTTTAAGCAGGTTTATCTTTGCCATGGAATCTAAGTCTATTGTTATTGTGTCTGAACTACAAATTCGCCCTTATTCGCCTCCCTGCGGAAAAGGGAGAGGGCCTCGTCGAGTCCAATTCATTTCCCAGCGCCGCCCCATGCATTAGTCCAAAATCAGAGGTAGGGGAGAGAACCCTACGAATGACGTCGTATCTAAATCTCGAGGAGCCACAATCAGGATTAGGGAATGTTTGTCTTCCCCCAGGGTCTACAAGGTTGTCTTTCTTTCCTCGAGGGCGGCGGTCGCACGTCAAAAGACAAAAGAGACGCCCCACTTACCCGACCCCACACGAACACACGACCTGAAACCCAAACGTTAAACGCCCAACACTCAATGTTAACATCCATATTCAACCCCCGCGCCTATCCTTCTCCCGCCGCCCACTGACCTCGGTGTCCAAAAACCTCACGTCTCCGAGGTTGCGACAAACGGGCTCTCTCCCTCTTTTTTAATAAACGGGACCCAGCCATTACGACACCACCACCCTCTCACTACTTGTGATCGATCGACTCTCTCCGATTCGTGAGTTGTTTTGCCTCCGAGTATGTATTGATCGATCAACGAAAGTACGAATGTTTAAGAGAGATAAACAGCTTGGCCTCCTCCCACCTTCTCTTCTTTGGTAACGTATGAAACCAAAGTGTCTTCTCCTCGGATACTAATCAACCGCGAACCTCCCAGTCCTAATAATACCAAGGCACACCCGCACCCGTTCTCCCATTCACTCACTCAGTCTTACGTTCTCAGTACCATATGTAGATTTCTTCTCTTCGTCTTCTTCATTATGCCGTTTCGTTCTCATACACAGCAGAAGATATAACCGCGAACGTTCGTACGCTCACGGATTGAATGAATAGCCGTTCTCGTTGTCATTCGGTACCTCCGTAGGGAAATACTTAAACATCGTATCCATGAATATGAATGCCGTTGTCAATTATCACACATACCACCACCCCGTTTCGTTGTATAATACCTCATCCTCAACACACCTTTCACCTCCGTAGAGAAATAAATAACTACAACAATCAGTATCTGCTATCGCATCCATCTCGTCAACACACCGACCGGCCAACTTACAAGGAGGGGAGAATACAAATCCCCTCTCAACCAGCCAGGCACCACCACACCCCTACCTCCTATACAAATTCAAGCTGATATCTAGGTACCTCCTCAACACTCATCGTAACCAACCACTCTCTCGCGATGTGCAGTGCACGAGGTTACCGTAGCCCATTATGATCGGGATCACAACAACATAATGTTCACTTGTCGAGTTCTCCCCAGCTCTAACCTGACGACTAAATGAAAATGAAATCCTCTCCTCTCCATCGCCGACGCTAGCACGTTTCAAGCCCGAGACTCAAACGCCTAACCTGAGGGGCGCCTACGAACCCGGCGGTACCCTCATTGTCGGTTTGTCGGCTTGTCGTCTAGACTAGGCGGGGCTCTATTATCGTTTTGTCGCCGGTACCGTATAATTGAACACCTCCGTCTCCAGGTACTTCTGACATCGGAACTCATTGCCCAGGTCGGCTGTATATGACACCGGAAGGACGCCCCAGTCTCACTCCCATAGCCAGCCGAGTCGGATATACAAGCACGAGAAGGAGCAATGGGCTACGGCGCAAGCGCAACATCCCGATTATACATACCTCCTCATAGTTCATCCCACCGACTCGGATTCGAGTGCCCGTCGTCCATACGCAGCGCCTCAATAAACGATCACATCACGATCACAAGTCAACTAACCATCCATCCATCAATCGGGCGGGTCGGTGGTGTCGGTAACCAAGCCTTAGAGCCAAGTCGAACGTGACCAAGGTCATGTGCACACCCTCCCGCGTCTACGTCAGCTGCACACGTCCCCGCGCCCGAACACTGTACCCTTCCAGATCTCGCACCTCGGCGAGGCACACAAGATCCCGGCAGTCATACACACACCACACATATATTTATGTCGGGTGCGAAGGACCACACTGACATGCCGTGTTCTGCGGGGAGGGGGGAGGGCACTTTGTGTGGGCGAAACAGAGGGAGCGGAGAAAACTCCGTTGTCCGTGCTTTAATTAAGACATAACAAGTCCAGCACCCGTGTCCCGTCTACTTATATTCTTCCGAAAACTTGGTTACCGACCTTCCCACTTGGTGGGTGGACGGAGATTCAGAAGAAAAAAATACTTCCGTGGGATCACACTGCACAGGAGATAGGGGGCACCCACAGGAGTCCACATAAGCGCTGTGAACGAAACACAGAGCGCCTGAGTCTTTCTTCTAATAAGCGCACCCCCGCTCAGTCACCGCAGAGACGTAATAAAGCCCACTGGCTGGGTGGGGTAGGGTGGGTAAGTATTGGAAATCGTGCCCTTGGAAGGAAGGAAGGAGTATTATCGCGCGCCCCGCGTGAAAGCAGGAGAATGGGCGAACGTAAATTGGCAAAATGTCTAAGGCGGCCTATGGATCGATGGAGATATATATGTCCTTACGAACGTTTGGGAATGGAAGCATCTCTCTGTCCAAGGATGAAACACGCATGCATGCACGCACGCATGGAGGGAGGAAGAAGGGGGAAGCCTTGGCCAAATCTGTACCTCCCCCTTCATGTTCTCACCCCCGACGTACCGGCGACGGCTGGGTGATGTCGGCTAGGGCTAGACATAGGCAGGTCGGTGAGGAACCAACATGGGGAAATAGACCGAGAATTGAGGGTACGATAGCCCGATACACGTAAGGATCCCTCCCAGATCCCAAGAGATCTCCAAGAAGAAAAGAAAAAGAGAACGGGTGCATAATGGAGGCGAGAAGTACGACGAGGTCTGATTCGGTCGTCGAAACTTCTCTCCTCTTCCAAGACGAACACGAAACGGGTTGCCATGTGTGGCGTAAGAGATCTGAGGAATCACCGCGAATCGAGGCTGAATCTCGTCGGTCGAGTTCCATTCTCTGCCCCTCCCCTACCGTGACTTCGATAGATACATAATGATCATCAGATGGACGAACGAACCATCGACTTGTGCTCTCGGCTCTCGAGTCCGACTCGAGCGAGTATGACATGAGAGATCGCTTCCGGCGGCAACCCACAATGAATTCGAAGGGAATGAACCTGAGTGACCAAGTGAGTCTTAGCGACAGAGAGGGAAGGCATGATTTACGAGTTTGATCATGATCTCAAATGGTGGCCCGTGCACGGCCCTGCAAATCCAAAACGCGGTAGCTCGCCCCCCAAGCCAACCCACCCAGCCTTGGGAAGGAACCATCTGTGCATGATGAAATTGAACGGGTGCGAAGAAGCATCGTCGGGTGCACTTGGGCTGCGCGGGTCTTGATAAGATAGAGGAGTATAACGCCACACGGAAATTTTCCGGGTTTTGAGTTGATGATAAGAACAAACAGCCGAGATTGGACGCGAGGCGAGAGTGAGTGTGAGAGGTTCGCGTTGAAATGTGACTGTGGCTGTGTGTAGATCACGAGCGGCTGCTCACCGTCGGTGTCATGACATGCATGGGCAGACAGCCCATAACGAGAATATGAATAAAACAAATGAAAATCACTTGCAAACGTGATCAGTTAGTTGTCAACGTTCGTCCTCTCGTGCCACTGTCACAGAGGAGCCCGAAGGACTTACCCATAGCCAAAATACTTCTGCCAGCAGTTACAAATTCCCTCACGAGTACCACAACGATCCCGCCTCCCCCCCCCTCTTTATGGCGACTTGCAAGTTGAAAATCTCGTCATTGTATCTTCAACCCCCTGCCACCAGACCAGAAGCATCTCGTCTCCGAGTGATTATTCGAGGTTCGAACACGCCCACGCCCCGCCAATCACTGATAAGTGCCGTTATCGCCGCCCTCCTACAATGAAATTCTGATCACACCGGCTGCAGGCGCGGGTGTTGATTGAACACGATCGAGGAGCGATCTGATAGATGATCGTATGTTGATTCACTCATATCCGTTTCTCTGAATGGATGGTTCTCCCTGCGAAAGAAGGTTAGATATCACGGTGGCGGTGGTGAGTAATTTGGCAACTAGCCTCTCTGCGCAGAGTAAGTAGGACCGTCAATTGCCGATTTTCGAATGCCTGTAATCGAAACTGCCTGCCATGATTGATCACGTCTATTGCTTTGATCATGCGTAAGTCTCTTCACGGTAAGGCACCTGCTCTCCGAAAATTAATCACAACGTTAAACTGTCAGGGAGAGACGGCACTTCGTATCGGCACTTCGAAGACCTTGCAAGTTGACAGTGAGATTTAGTCTGGGGAAGATAGAATGAATACATTTCAGGGACCTCGGGGGGGAGCCCGAGTCCTAGCGTATGCTGCGTGTCGTTCCTCCTCGGACAGAGGGATTGACTCACAAGAATGCTTGACCCTGGATCAAACACGCAATCTGAGAAGTGCCAGTCGGACTGGGGATACAGGAAGGGGTGATTGGGGTCCAAGCACGTCGCGCGAGTCCCTGGAAAAACAATTCGGATTTACAGTCCGTTCGTTGAATTTGTTTGAGCTATCGTCATAATTGGACGCGTGCGTATTGAATTCGCACCGCCCTGATGCGCCATGTGCAGGTGAATTGAGCTCATAAGGTTGGTGGGAAATTTTTCGATATGTCGTGATAAATTTCTCCGGGAGGTATTGTCAGGTGGTGAGAGTTTTGCGTACGAAGGGAGCGGGTAAGCCGGAGAGGGGTACTTGCGGGTTGTCTAGAGGACGTGTGGTAGACGGATTTTCGATCGACGTCGATCGCATGCAGTCTACCCTGGCGCATGGACTAGTTTTGGTATGAAGGGGGCGGGATAGGGGCGTGAATTCCGGAGTAAGAGTGCGAGTCCGCTGTCGCCAACAGGGATGTGTAAAATCAATAAACTCAAAGGCCTGGACGCAGGGTAAACGAAATCGTCAATTGAAGAAGACACCGGTACGTACGCACAGCCTTGAACCTCTAGAGAACTGACGTTGCCGATCTCTGGATCTCTACGCATAGTAGAATGATAAGATATTCGACCGGCTGGGTGGAAATCTGATGCGCCAGGGGCACAATGTGATGCGCATTGCTTCGTGTGGTCCCCCAGGGAGTTAGACGGCACCGAATCCTCGGATGCTGAAGTTATCGTGAGCTCGCAATCTGGTGACAACCCGCAAAACGAGAGTTCCTGGTGAAAAAAAAAAACAGAAAAGCTCCTGAGAAAGCTATATCGCGAATTGGAATCATGTGCTCCTTGCCAGATGTACATGGCGTCGAAATGTCACAATTTGTAACCACACAACATCCGAGTGTACACACGGCAAGAAAACAAAAGTGATGAAACAAGGTAAAGAAGAGGACAGCGAACCGGGAGCGGGAAGTGTCGGTGTTTGGACTTGATTACCTACGCCATCATCTTCCTCCTCTTCGACATCCATCATGATCGCTTCCTGAAAATCCCAATCGCAAGCGTGGATCATCTGTCCGATGGTGGCAGACGACGTGCTTATTATAGGCAAACTAGAGTGTTCACAGCCTGATCCTGCCTTAACCACGTTTTCGAAGCCGGCGGTTGCGGCATGTACAACGCTTTGAACAATGATCAAGTATGACGACTGACTCCTGTCCTACTTCCTTTCATCTCGATTACCGCTGTAAGCCCCAAATCGTGCACCTGTCTTTCCCATGATCAAAAAACTTATAAATGTTGGATATTGGAGTCGGTTCAAATTAAAGATAGGAAATTCACAAGGTCAAACGTGTACCCCGACAACTTTTCTTGCGCAGTGGAGCTTAGAAGGTTTCCGGAAGTGTTGTCCTCACTCCCTCAAGCCAATTCACGGTACCCGGACCCCGAGTATTGTGCCGCGGGAAAGACCCCTTATAGACGATAAGTGGTGCTGCGAGTGTATCATACATCCCTTTTAGATAGACATTACACACGTACTTATTACATTGAATTCCCATGGTCGGCGACGGGCACGACTGGACGTTGCCTACTTACTTTACCTAGATCCGCTCTACAAATATGCGTTTATGTTCAGCTGCCAAGACGGGGGCCTCATAAACGCAAAAGGTCTAGTCGCGATCCATTCCAAGTTACGCCTTGTAAGTACTTCCTATAGATACCCTCCCTCAAACTCGACGTAGGGGTACGTCTCTCCGCAGGGTCGCTAGGGACCTAAGGTCACCAGGCCCGATCCATGAATTATAACTCCCAATTTGTCCCGGAAAAACAAAGACACCCAAATGCTCATTTATGTCGGCGTTTCTCGCGTGTGTCCACTCCTGATGACCTTTCTTCTCTTTTCTTTTCGACGTGAAATTCATTAACCTTAGTGCTTCCCTGAAGAATCCTACAGCTGGGCCGGCGTCATGATGTCATACAGGTATCAATAAGTTCCGGGGGTCTAGTCGCCTGCTGTGGAACATTCCCACAGCTCTACCTTTTGGGATCCTTAGACGTTCCAATCCCCGTAGCGCTGTGAGATGCATGCGCAAGGCGATACGGCCCTGGACCATATTGATAGCATCCTTGAACGCATGTTGACGCCGTTCGCGGGATCCCGATCCTTTTGCTTATCGACACTTCTTTAGCATTTGTATTTGCCTTGTTTAACCCCGTTGACTCCCAGAAATATGGGGGAGGGGAACAACCCGAAAGTGAGTCTTCTTAGCGCTTCTGAATGTCCAGGGGATCTCGGTCTAGTATGCCCTTTGTAACGGTAACTTAAGCGACCACGGTCGCCATCCTCCTGGATCTTGAAGTGGGGGAACGATTTCGAAAGGGAAAATGAAGGTACCCGTAATTATTTGGTTACAAATGGCCTGCCGGAGACTGCCAGCGCGATCGTCGTTAATTTATGCGAGTCCTGTTACTTCTCAGCACATGTTTTTGACATGGGGCGCTTGAGTGGAAACATGAGAAACATTTTGGAGAATGTACGTACAAAATACATAACTGAGAGGAGGCCTTGGAGCAGCCGCTGGATGCAATTATAATCCACGTACCGTATGATAACGTCGCCACTCATGCAACTAATTCAAGTCGGAATTGACACTATTTCCAAATTGCCTGTGGCAGGGGGGGGACGGGCTGCGGCGAGCTTGAATCACGATCGAGAAGGAAGTCCAAAGATAATCGGCGGGTATTGGAAAGGCGAACTTCCATTTCTAGATATTCCATACAGCACGTTCTACCTGTGTCCCCAATAAGGCATTCAACTGATTTAACGAAAGCGCTTGAAGAGAAGACCGCATTTGTTCGACTGCTATAGAAGCTATTGTTTTCTGAGAAGAATGGAAGGGTCGCGTCGCGACAATAATTGAGACATATACAAGAGTCTTGTACTCTCAGTCCCTGTTATTAGCGTCCCCATATATCGGCTATATCGGAAGCAATTTCTTGGTATGTATTTGCATAGGTAGGGTTGCGTACCAACATTACTAACTGCTGTCGTACTTACATACATGCAAGATCTCGCAGTAATCTTGTATGGCGGCAGCTATATACGTCTCCAATACCAGTTGGAAGCGCCGATAGCGTGAGCAATGACTTAATATACGAGTCGTTTCAAAGCTACGAACAGGGCTGAAATCCCCATCACAGGACGAAAATTGGAGCTACAACGGAAAATAGCTTTTATACAAGTTCTAAGGTCAAGCCCATAAGCCAGGGTTCACGAACACCCAGAGACATCCCAACAACCGGGATTGCGTTCAGGCTGTTAATAGACTCCCCAGACAATCTTACCGTATCGTAAATCCTACATGCATCCTAGCGAAAAGAGGTAGGTGCAGAATTTGTAGAGCGGGAACAGGAATAAGAAGCTCCGGGCCACATTCAGTCAAGCGTTGACGGTCCCTGACTTTTGCCACGTCCGTTTCACCCGAGGAGAAACAAATAGTACAGCGATGAGAAGTACGTACATTGAATAGGTGAGGACAGTGCAATCACTCACGAGAATAATTTCGTAATTTCAATCATTGGGATGTCGCGCTGGTAGTAGCTGAATCTAAAATCTCAGACCTTAAAGTTATAATTGGACGTTCAAATGACGCTCGTCACTTACGTTGGGCCGGTCGGGACAGCACTTGTCCAACGGAAGAGCTTCAGTGCCTATACCACGGCTATTAAGTACAGTCTTCATACTAACGTGGTTCTCCCGGGCTTTGCCTGTATAGTAGGGTCTGTCCGACGTTCACGGCAGAACGCTGAGAATACGCTCCTTGTTGAGGGTTTGGACACTGGTACGAGAATAGTACCGTCGCACAGCCTCTTCAAATCATGTATCCGCGAGGGTCGTAGGGGGCCCGTGAAAAAGGTGGAAAATTCTGTAGGCCATACTCGTGGTTCCATGGCTCGGGTCGAAACATACACATGCATTTAAAGAGGTTCGGACGAAGATACCGCCCGGGGCGAGAACCAAAGCCCTTACCTTCTTCTGAAGTAGTTGAACGAGGGCGTCAGGCATTATTGACCGTGTCATCTTGTGGCATAGAAGCCTGAATTCTAGGCGCAGGGAAGTCAGGCTCGTGGGGAAATGCGGGCCGTCACAGGGTTTGTATGAATCTCACCTGAGCCCTCAGCATCTCATTGGGTTAGAATCGTTCGGTAGTGAAAATTTGACGTCGAAATCCGAGGACTGTGCTGGCATAAGACTTGGTGCCCTGAAAGTTCAATTCATTGCAAAGTTAGCAGTTTACAAGCGGGGCGGCGTCCTTCAGGCACCCACCAACTTCGGCTGCATAGCAAAACAGCGAATGACGCGCACGAACTACTACTTTCACGTTGCGTGGCATGTGAACGAGTAGATAAACACAGGATACCTGGCGTCTTCTTGGTGTGGCGTCGGTCCGCAAATGCATTATGATTTCCGAAAAGCGAAGTGGATGTTACGACTGAGCCCTATTATCCTAGTTTCAGGTTGCTGTTAACAGGATCCTTGAGCATGAGGGTGAAAAGCGAAATTGCGAACCACATGGGAATGAATGGGCGTTTCTGGGCTTCGTTGTATAGTAGGGACAAGGCACCACGTTGAGAAGCATCAGGTGAGAGTGACGGTCTCTTACTTAGCTTGGGCGGCTTGAAAATTTCATGAGTGAAGGCGGACCTTGTACCCAGGTTAAGGGATCATAATAGGAATTCCTTGTGGAGTGGTCGCTAGTAGTATGGGATCTACATGGAGACTCCTTTGAGCAAGGAGAGACTTGTATGGTCATATAGACAGAGATAGACTCCTCGTGGCTAGTTGGCGTCTAACCGTCTCCGTCCTAGTACAATCGAAGGTCTTGTGTGAAACGGTGTGGCTACCACTTTTGGCCACCTGAGTCTTGAGACCATGAGCGTTTATCATACTTGGGATAGGGCCTTTGTAAATCCATCGGATAGCGAAATGCATAGTGTTACAAGAATATCATTACTCTCTAGAAGACTTTAGGACACAGCTACTTACAAATTCTTGCACAGCCGTCCATGCCAACGATTCTTCAAAATTTAGTCATGTAGGCGGCGTTCAGAAGTGTAAATGGTACTTTTGATAACGCGTCAGGCGACCCTCTGATAAAGATACCGCCGGCCTTATCTCGATGTTTCCCGGACCCCGCACATCTCGAGTTCCCCCACAACGCCCTATGACCTCGGTGTGGCGCCACAATTCACCGAAACTCGTCACAGCCCAAAACACACTCCCAATCGAGACAAAAGCATATGGTTCTTGAATGAGGAGATGGCGTATCGGAGTGAGTGGGTCAATGACCATACGTCTGCTTGGCAGACTTGACATAGGCCATTGGACCGTTCACTAGATCGCGGTTTTCGGCAGCAGCACCGTCATGATTCGTGGGATGTTCTGAGTCGTGGAGATGAGGATGGTCCGATATCCTTGTCAAGAACCTGGAATTGTACGAGAGACCCTTCGCAGCCAGTCGGCTAAGAATCCAGTGCGCAAAAGATACTCCTGGTAACAGACCCATCAAATCCTTCACATCCCAGTAATCTCGATGGTTGGTGATGTGACCTTGTTCGTTGAACGAGAGCCGCGTTATGACATGAAGTTTAAAGTGGAAAGGTGAGGGAAGAGACAATGATGTTCCGGGAATAGGCAATGATGGAGAAGCAGGGTGGTAATTGTATGACGAACGTACGAGCGAATCGGTGGACAGGGCAGAGCGATGAAATGGGGCACGTTTGTATGAATCGATGTGGATGCTTGGAAGAACAAGGATGTTGAGGGTATGCTCTATCACAGCCTTTCTATGTCCATCTATACAATTGGTCAATGATCGGTTCATGACTGAAAATGATTTCATTGCTCACCGAAGCTCTCGTGTTCGCTGATATCTCCGACCTCGTTCCACACGCGCAGGGCTTTCAACAAGGGGTTACTGGTGTCTTCTGGCGGTTTCAGGCGAAGAAGCGTATAGAATACTGCAAGTGGCTGGGGAATGTCAACAGCATGTAGTCGCCTGCCTAATTTAAAGATGTCAAAAATAACGGAACGTGATGTTGCCGTGAGTACAGGGTTTTCGTATCTAGAATATTGGGAGGCATGTCAGCGCATACGACAAGTCACAACACGTTCCTTACACTGTCAATCTGTTAGCAATGTCCATCGAACGATAGAGAACACGACTCACTGGCGCTTGACTCGTAAAATCGATCGATAACATCCGAAGACAAGGTGAGTTCTCCATATATCGTATAGCAAATTTCGAGGGCGGTAGCATGGACGGAGGCCATGGACTCCATGTTGGATAAATTGGTTAGAGAGTTTTCGCGCGTAACATCGTTGGATGGCAGAAGAAATTTGGCGGTTGAGTTATATACCATCGCATCGGCTATCGTGAGGAATAGAGGTCTATAAAGGGGGAGTGTGTCACAGCGGCCGTTATGCTTTGGCCACGAGACTCACGTGTTTCGTGTCCCGCCTCTGAACCCTAACCCCAGTAAATGACATCATTGATTGATCATCCCAGTGACTTCCGATCCGGCCTTCATGGCAGCCGCACTTCCTTATTTCGCATGTCCAGTCCCAGCCTGACGCAGTAACTGCGATGCAAATTTTCTGCTCTCTACGCGCCAATTCTCCCGACACATGCTCTTGACAACTTCTATGGCTTCGTTTCTGGCCGACGGACTGGCAGTCAACCGGCAGTGGTTATGATCAATATATGCAATATATCACTATTGTATTGGCTACTTGTTCAGTCCGACTCGGTTCCCTACACTACGGTTCTGTCGAGCACGTCCTTTCTATTACTTCTACTACCCAGGCGATTTTCAAACGCGGGTCCTTTGTACTGTCCATCGATCCATTCAGTCGCCGGAGTGATTTCCGTGAGGTGAAGGACTTATCCTTTCTTGCAATATTGGACTATACCAGCACGAGAGTATAAACTCCGAGACGGGCAGATACCAGCACATAGCGGTGTGTTTCATGTCAAATTGTGTGAGGATTTACCAGTCCTCCGTTCATCTGCGGTCCGACCTGCTGTTTAACTTTGTCTTATTCATTGGCTTGCCACATCTTCTGTTGAAGAGTTTCATCACTGGTCAGATCCCCATTAACCAATAAGATGCCGCAATTCTGACCGGAGTAAGCATTTTGATGATTTGTTCAAATGCTGACAATTACTCCTTACAACCATTGACAAAGGCGTACCAGAGCTTTGCCACGTCCTGTCGGAGGGTTGGGCATGTCCATCTACAGCTGAAACTTGGGTGGCAACGCGTTTGCTGATACTTCTTCGTACTCTCCGCCAAGGTGTCAATGTGTCAACACTGCCACCTCCGGATTTATTCTTTAAATGACTATAGTTATTGGCTTATTTGAATGATGGTGCGGCTTCTTTTTCTTCTTTTCCCTTCTGTCGTACTATACTGATCCTAGTAGACGTCCATTCAATACTACTGCATTGCCGTGTCATCATATTTCCTCGGAGTTCAACGTTCAACGCCGATTCGTGACATTAGCATAATGCATGTGGTGAGTGTCTCAGATAGTGCGTGGCGCTACTGCATTATCTGTCACGTACTTACGCTTTGACGTACATAGACCCTTGATTTTTCATGAGGATATGCTAACAATGTTTGCACCCGGAATGCGCTGTCTGCACAGTCATTGATTTCATAGCCTTCTTCCCATATATTGCCTGCCGTTCCGTTTCCCAGTCCCGACCACACCGTTCTCAGTTGACCCGCCCTTGGACATTGGAGATGTTGATCGTCCCCAAGATCGAAAGCTGATGGATCATAACATGTTATTTGTCCTTTTTTCCCGACTCGGGCACGGCAAACTGAGATAGGCAATGCATATGATCTGCTGGCCAATCCTCCATATGGAACCGTCATTCAGAAAATACATTCTATGATCGCGACGTGCATGCTGAAGGAAATACTACCGTGATACTATCTAAGAAACGCTATCATGGAGGCAGTGACAGAGATACCACCTCTACGAGTAAATTCGTTCAAATACCGCGATATGGGAAGCCATCGACATAGCATCGCACATACAAGGTTGGTCCCGCAGATTTTAGGTGCTCAACGCTGTTTTGATGCGACGCCGTCTTGTTCCTATCTCCGTATGCTGTTACGATCGTCTCTGGTGGGACCCCTAAGCCCTGAGGATCTACTTACTGGTACGACACTACCCTCTTTCTAGCATGTGAAGTGTTGACCCGCGTTAAGGTCCAATGCCCTTTATCACCCTCGAGCAGTTACTCACGTCGGCGGAAGTCACGGTCTCAAACTATATGGTACTAGACAGTTCAGCTGGGTCAATATATAAACACGGCTATAGGAGGCTTTTAGTTTATCCTTCTTACAAGCAACGTAACATCCATGCTCACATTTGCTAGCTATTTTTGTTCGCGTCTCCCAGATAGCACAGGCTCCCAGACTACTGTTATTTGTGATACATTTTGAAACTAAACCGGCAGGCTCCCTCCCCCCTGAGAATGCCGGCCAAGCCTGCCATTCTTTAGAAGACATTCTCACGAATGACACTACCTGAACTGTTGGTTCTCGCACTATCTGGTATTTGGTGGCAGCTGTGAAACGTTACGATGTGAGTAGTCGTCAATGGGCATCATCAACATCTTGAAGGCACTACGAGATATCTGTTTGACAGTGGGAACATCACGGTTCCTTCGAAATCCATTTCTTTCATCTTGGAAGATAGCATAGATAGACTGTCCACGAGTGAACGCCAAGTCAGGCCACTGAGATCGATGTTTTTTTTTGGATCTCCGGATTTTCGGCCCGATATTGAGCAGGTATTGATGGTGTGACCGTCACAGAATTTTTTCCAAGTTCTCGTCTAGCATGGCAAAAGGGTCTCAGCTTTCCCAACTGAAATCCGCTCTTTCCCAAGCAGGTGTTACCGGGAGGCCTCAAGGTACTAAACGCAAGCGGTCTACAAACCAAGCAAATGACAAGGCGAAGCGCGAAAGTAAACTTGCTGAAATTCAGCAGAAGCTAAATCCTTTCGACACCAAAGTCACCAAGTTAAAGCACGATGTCGGTGGCCGTAAGCTCAAAGGTGTCATTGGGAAGCCTGCACAAAGCAAAATGGCAGGGCTAGAACAGGTATGTCATACTTGAACCGTGTCTAACCGTCATTCTCAAAAGATATTATACAACAGCGTAAGAAAACTTTGCTTAAAGAATTTCAAGAGAAGGACCGAGCGGGAGGCATCGTGGATCGTCGTTTCGGAGAGAACGATCCATCTATGAGTTTAGAGGATAGAATGCTGGAACGGTTCACGAAAGAACGGCAACGAGCGTCGCGGGGGGCTGCGTTCAATTTGGAAGACGAGGATGAGCTTACGCATTATGGACAAAGTCTATCAAAACTCGACGACTTTGATGACGTGGAGATGGGTTTAGATGACGAAGAGGAGGAGCAAGGTTGATTCACTGTCTTCGCTTTCTATTAAGACTAACAACATACAGGTCAAATTGACCGCGAGGTTGTCCAAAAAGCTCACTTCGGAGGATTTGATGGCGATGAGGAGGAGGAAGAGGACGGTGAGGTATGTGGAATAGTTCGCGCTACCATGACGTGAAAGCCTGACTTCTTGAATTAGCCTGCAAGGAAGAAGTCGAAAGCCGAAGTTATGGCAGAGGTCATGGCCAAAAGTAAGGAGCATAAGGTTTGTGTTTCAAGGCATGTGTCCTAATTTCGGTATCTAATTTGGTCAATACAGCTTCTAAGGCAAATGGAACGAGAGAAAGAAGACAATGTCAGACACGAACTGGACGAAGCTTTTGATTCGCTGCGAGACTTGTTATTTGTTCCAGTCGCTTCGACCTCCAACTCTGTGACCGAAACGTCGAAAGACGCTCCTGCAAAGGAAGCCTCTTCTGCCACTGATCCGCTAGACGGTCTCGAAACACAAGATCTTGATTATGACCAACGAGTTCGCGAACTTGCGTTTGACAAACGAGCGAAGCCCAAGGACCGAACAAAGACAGAAGAAGAATTAGCGCTGGAGGAGAAGGAGACCCTAGAAAAGGCCGAGCGCAGGAGGCAAAAACGAATGCTGGGACTGGATGATAGTGACAGCGAAGGTGAAGGCGTGCCAAAGAATGGGAAGAGGAGAAGAGAAGCAGACGATCTCGATGACGATCTTATTGACGAAGATGAAGAATGGGCGGGCATCGGTGCTGGGTTAGGTGATCGTCAAGCTGACGATGATGTTTCGGGGTCCGAAGATGAAAGCGGCGTGGAAGATGACGAAGATAGCCGGGAAGATGAGGGGAGTGGCGACGATGAGGGACGGCCGTTAGGCGACGTATCTGACCATGAAGATCTGACGACAAAACCTAACACGACAAAGGTGGCTCTGGGGTCCAAATCCAAGGAGTTACCTTATACCTTCGACTGCCCTTCCACGCATGCCGAATTCTTGGATATTGTAGATGGTATCGATGACAAAGACGTCCCAACTGTCGTCCATCGAATCCGGGCACTGCACCACACCAGTTTGGCGCCCGAGAACAAATTCAAGCTCCAAGTATGCCTTTTTACTTACTATAGTCTGGCTTATGCTCACGTTCTTTCAGGCCCTTGCAGGTGTACTTATCGATCACGTCCTTTATCTTTGCTCTCCTCCGACCCCCCGCCTTACTCATCTCTCGGCTCTCTTACCACACCTCTTTGCATTGACTAAAGCATATCCCGTACAATCGGCGGAGTTCTTCGTCAAAAAGCTTACTCTCATGCACAAAAATCTCAATCGAGGTTTGTCTCGTGGTGCGGTGGACCCCGAGGCTAAAACATGGCCTGGTCTTCCAGAGTTATCCCTACTGCGCATTATCGGCGTTGTTTGGTCGACCAGTGACTTGAACCACGCGGTCGTCTCACCTACGCGAGTGCTCATGGGGGCGTATCTAGGGTTGGGGCGAGTTCGGTCACTCGCCGACATTGCGAGTGGACTTTTCCTCTGCTCCTTGTTTTTGCAGTTTGAAAAGTTATCCAAGCGTTTGGTGCCGGAAGCAGTCAATTTCGTTATCAATGCAGTCTTGCATCTAGCTCCGAATAGCTATAAGGATGCGTCTGCTCTCCCGGGGTCTTTTCCCTCACCAGACTTCAGATCTGAGCTATCTAGCTCCTTCACGGTCCAACGTGGCACTGGATCCCCTTCAAGCCAGAAGCTGGACTTACTGGAAGTCCTGATAGCAGGTTCTGCGAATGAAGGGACAAAATTTGGTCTTCTCAGCGTAGCACTGGATCTCGTGGTGCGGTTCGCGGAACTGTATAAGGGCTTAGAGGGGTTCGTGGAACTATACGAACCTATTTCTACCATCCTGAAACACATATTAAAACAAACCGGGCTCAGCGAAGCTCTCGAGGTAAGGGTGCTAATCTTGTATAAGTTCCGGATTACTCATGCTCTCGTTATAGACTCGCGTAAAAGCCGTATCGGATAGTACCAAGAGGCTATTGAAGTTTGCACGCCAAGCCAGACAGCCTCTCCAGCTGCAGGCTCACAAGCCTATTCCTATTCCTACTTATATTCCCAAGTTCGAGACGTCGTCATCCTCTTATCTTCGTCATCAAGATCCTGACCATGAACGGAACGAGGCTTCGAAGTTACGGAATCAGTATAAGAAGGAGAGGAAGGGCGCGATTCGGGAACTTCGAAAGGACGCCAAATTCCTTGCTGGCGTGCAGCAACAGAAGCAGAAAGATAAAGATAGGGCATATAACGAAAACATGCGGCGTGTTTTCGGGTCTATTGAGGGCGAGAGAGCGGAGGAAAAGTCTATGGAGAGAGAGAAAGCCAAGGAGAAGAGGAGGGCAGGTCGGAAGTAACCTGGTACCAGAGTTCTTACCGCCAATTCCTTCTTCATCTTATTGTCCTGCTACTTTAGATAGAAATGAGAATTGGCTGGCATAGCGCTCTGAATAATGTCGCATATGGCGTCGAATTTAGATTGCTGGTCGAGGGCCTGTCTGTCTGGGGAGGCCGGGTTCCTCGTGACCGTTCTCATCCTCAGCAGAGTTAACTCCAAGTCTCTGCCCAGTTCGATTTAATGGAATGTCTGCTGAGATCGGGGGTCAACCGGTCATCTATCTGCGTCTTGTCTCCAGCCTATTCACTTTCTACGCTAGTGCTAAGAGGCTGCAGCTTTGGGTTTGGGGGTTAGGCTGCCTGTAATCACTAAATGGGAATATGTGTTCGGTCCCGTAGCAGTATGTGATCTTTACGGCCCATGGGTCATACACGTGAAGTACACCCTGTTTTGCTTCCTCCTCGGACTTTGGGATCAGAATGACAGTTCCTCTCTCGCCTATTCAAGTGCACGTGCAATATTATTACGCTAAGTGACAAACCCTATATAATTATGCTTCCAAAGCCCCCGATGCTTGGCTCGTGCTTATTGAGTATTCAAGAAACCTTGGAGAGTCTGGATCTCCTCCAAGGGACCACCATCATCGCCTTCTGAACCAATAATCAGAAGTATCTGGCGTGCCTGTTTGAGATATTTGCGCGGCAGCTCCAGATTGGATGATCCTATATTGACAGCCTGATTCCATCCAGTTTTCGCCATTTCCAACAGATGCAGTCCTGACATGGTTTAATCAGAACCACCAAGAAAATAGGTACAGGGCGCAAATCTGAAGCATACCGATCTGAGGATAGTTTTCTGGATAGATGAGTTGATAGATCTGTAGTATAGTCTCGCCGACGTCGAGGGCCAAGTCATATGGGCCATCATGGGAAGCATTGCTAAATGTTTCCGAGATTTTGGAGAGGAAAGATTCGTGGAAGACACAGAGCAGCTCGTCCGGGAGTAGTCTGGTCCCGCTGAAAATTTCATGACTTGAAGCAGGCACAAACTCTCGCAATTTTCTAACGACCCTTGTAATATCGTCCGGATTACTGGGTAGCTCGGGAATGCGACCGAGTCTTTCGACAAAAACGCATGACGAACAGCGGCATTTAAATCCGTAGGTCAACTCGAAAATTTGCTGCCGTGATTGTAGAAGTGCAGGATCCACATATGTTAGACATATCTTTGTGAAAACGGTAAGCCGCGGTTTACGTAGGAAAGTATATAGACATACTTCTTCTCCTGGGTCAATTTTTCTGAGGGCAACGACATCCATTTTTGGTGGATGTGATGGGGATATGATATATTTCGCCGCAGCGTTGGGCATGCAAGAATGGTTGAATAATCGACTACCGGGAGGGAAAATCCCGTGGCCAAAGGTATTGAAGTGGGAATGCATTGCAAAATTATTGTTCCCGAATCGTGAGAAGAGAAATCGCAGGGTTTCAGGTGGTGAGGATCCGCTTGGGCATATGGGCGGGTTCGTGACCTCTACGGGACCCGGTAGTAAAGACATGAATACAGCCAAGGCGGAATTGCCTTCTTCTCGGACTTCGTGAGAAGGTAGAAGAGCAGCAAGATGAGACAATAAAAGCGCATCCATCTTCTCGTGAGCAGCAAGGGCTTGAAAAGAGGGTGAAGCCATATATCCATTGAAATGCTTGCACATCCGTTTGTGGAACGTCTTCCAATGCATTGACTGGCCTGAAAGTAATCAATCGGCTGGTGCTGATACGTTTATTCCTAATGAACCATACATGAAGCATCACAATAGTAGAACGACGCGCATCCTGAGCACCTTCGTAGAGACGTAGGTATTGTATGGCAGGCGTCACATCTTCTGCCTTTTTCAACGGGTAGGAGGACTGTCGCCAATGATTCAACAGAGACAATTAGAGCACCTGGTTTGAGTAGAGAAACAGCTACCGCTTTGCTTCTGGCGGTTGGGTGGTTCTCTAGTCGTACATTTGCGCCAGTTTCGATGGTGCTCATGACTGGAAGCAAGAACCAAGACCGGGCCGGAAAACAACCTGCATGTTACGTCATAGCACTTACATAAGCTGAAGGTCAGGCGCCCACACGCGTCAACAGTTGCTGCTCTTGTATGTACGGACATGACCACGATCAAGAGGGTGAACACCGGCGAGATGCTGGGTGCAAGGGAGTACAAATACACCCAGGAGATCTCACAGATGGTATGTGTTCTTGATTTCTCATACAGCAGTTTGCTCAATCCAATGATAGATGTTTGTATTCGGCGAGGTGCAGGAACCTAACTTGGACACTGTGAATCTCGTCGAGGATATCGTTCGAGGACAGCTAATTGAGCTGGTAAGTTTTTTTATTCTTTTCATACTTACAATCTGACCTTCCCCAGATTGTACAAGCCCGAGCACTGGCTGTACGACGGGGAGCGCGTTACCTGACAGCTGAGGACCTCATCTTTCTAATTCGTCACGACCGAGGCAAGGTCAATCGACTACGAACATACCTTTCCTGGAAAGACGTGCGTAAACATGCTAAGGATTCTGGCGGCGATGGGGGAGGTGGTGTCGAAGTCGAGACCTTGGAAGACGGTGCTGATGGTACGTCGTCCTTTCTTAGTGCTGCTAACGTACCCTTACTATGGACAAAGACAAACTTGCTGCAAAGGCTCAGAAGATCACTATTAAACTGCCCTGGGAAATTACGACAATATATTCGGAGGTCCTTAAGCAAAGCGGGCATCAATCGGACGACGAAGAAGACGAGGATGATATTGAAGCTCATGAAGCATCTATACAGCGTCTAAAGGCAAGTAGTATCCCGTTAGATATCTGCCCTGCTGACCATACCCCAGGAAGCCGATGATGCCACTCGTCAAATGACCAGAGAGGAATATCAACATTATTCTGACTGCCGACAGGCTTCATTTACATACCGCAAAGGCAGGCGCTTGATATCCCCTGCTTTGTCGTCATCTATTAATATCCCTCTCAGCCAAACGATTCCGCGAGTTCCTCAACCTTCCACCACACCTCGATCTGAAAGCGAACGACGACACGGTTGACATCGTCGGTTTCCTTGCTTTTGAAATGGTCCGCTCCCTCACCCTGGCTGGTCTCTCTGTCAAAAAGTCACTGGAAGAGGCCTCTCTACTCGACGAATACACGTCGCCCGTCATGGGCAAGCGGAAGGCAAATTCACTAGGCGGCTCTGCAGAGAAGCGCAGAAGGGAGGAGGAAGAGGAACGCGACGAATATACGCTTCCCGTCAACTCACTATTCTTACCCCCACCGGAGGCACGGATAGCTATACAGCCAGAACACATCCAGGACGCATTTTCGCGAATGCAAGGCGACTGGTCACATCATCGAGCCGCTGGAATGCACAATTGGAGGGGTGGTCTTGTTCGAACCAGAGTTACTCTCATCTAAGCTCGTTTTTCTCCTTCTAAGTTCCAATTCCTGTATTCAATTATTCACTGTACACCATCACGCACTTATTATATATGCATGCTCGTTAATCGAGCCCTAGATTTACATTGCTTTGCTTTTATGTACTACTACTACCCAACCATCTAGAACAGCAGCGAGGCGGCGACGTCAATGTTCCCACCAGCAGCATCCAAAGTGCTTATTGCGACCTCTCTTGTCACACCAAGATCCATAATTGTCTTTATGTACTCCTCTGAATGACGAGGCGTCGATGCAGAAGCACGCGGTGGTGTTGGCCGGGGGGCTCCTCCCAGAGTGTTTCCACCCCCGGGGAACCGAGCAGCAGGCTGACTGGGACCGGAAGAGCCAGAACCTGATGCAGAGGATGATGAAGGCGTACTCTCTAAAACATCCTCATCCCTAGCTTTGTCCGGAAGCTCATGCTCAGACAAGAAAGTCACTTCCCGTCCTTGTATCCGGAGTACATTCTTCTCCAGGTCGATACACGCTTGGTGAGCTTTTAGCATGTCCAAGCCAAAGAGTAGGTCGACGCCTTGTCCCTAGAGACATATATAAGCAACATAAGCGGCGTGGAGCCGGGACGACGTGCCTCCATGACTTGGAAGGAACAAGGAAGGAACAGATCAGCTAGCTTGAGCTGGGTACTGTGTATCCGTCCCAAGATTTTGGCGGTACCCACACCTTGGGCTATACCCGAATAACGACTGTCGAGAAGACGCATGATACTGTCAAGATGAAACTAGATTAGTCTCTTTCTAGTGTCATGTTCCAACAAACGTGAAATACGAACTTGCAGGCTTCCGCACATTGCGGACTCACTAGTACGCAAGCTGTCAATGTTACGGACTCGGATATTCACTGAAAGACTCACTGATGGTGAATTGTGCGCCGCTGTCAACAAATGCCTTTACTTTATGGCCGTTTACCTCCACCGGGATGCTGTTACGCGGTTAAGCTTAAGGTGCCCAAGGACAAGCGTACACCACCTACTAGAGCATCGTGACTCTCCCAAAGCTCTCCGGAGAATACTCTAGAGCGTGAGCCATATTCTCCATGATTGCTTGTTGCCTGATAGCTTCTTCGATCTTTCGTTGAGCCTCAACATCGAAAGGATCCGCGTTCAAGGTGGCGATCTCCCGCTGTTGTGCTAGCTCGGCCTCGTATTGTCGTTCTTTCGTCAACCGTAAGAGCTCGGAGAAGCGAGCAGGGTCATGCTCTACTGCGTGGGCTAGCTCAGGTTGGGTCTGTCCTTTGCCTTTTAGTGTCCATGACACGACATCGGGGTGGCGGACGTACCTCTCTGAGCTCACGCATAAGAGACGGATCCCCAAGCAATTGTAATCGCATCATCTCATCGTCTTGAGGTACAGCTCTATGGTTCCATCAGTCAGATAACAAGAGGGACAGAGTAGATAGACGCACGCTCCCGCAGGATTAGCAACTGTGCGCCGCAACAATAGCATAGCTTTATCCGCCACGCCTAGTTGTTGTATCGTGGCCTTGGGGTCATTGAGATGCCGCCCCTCGTGTGATATGTGCTGCTCTGATACTGGAATACCCGACTAGGTTCAATGACAGTTATTAGTAGAAGTGACAAAGAGATGAGGCGGTCGACGCACCTCGGCCTCAAGTAGTGCCATAACGTTTTCCAGCTCCATCTGTGGGTCGATTTCAATGACGAAGGAGTGACCAAGGTCGTTGACGAACGTGAGCTCCATAATGGTAGTGGTGGTAAGAAGTTGGAGTCAATATTTGACACAGCAAACTCGGATTAGGTATAAAAGAAGTTGTTCAGCCAAACTCAGCACGCGCTGTGCCTTGATCAATCGCGTAAACGCGGTTTGCCAAGCCAGAAGGGCGTCGAAAGTGCTGGAACATGGCGAAACACCGAAATAATTATAATATTTACTTCTAAGTGTAGAGAGATTCAGCGCGTCACCCTGAACGCCCACATTTACAGTAGAGACGTTCCGAAAAACGTTGTCCATACTGCCAAACAAGGCAAGTAAAATTTAAAAAATTAAAAAATGCAAGAAAATCGTGAAAACAGCATGGTGCCTTCATTCGTGAGCGTAATGTATCATAAATAGATTCGTCGAGGATGTACGAGGTGTATAGAGTTAATGTAACAGGTATGAGGCCAATAAATCAGTGGTAGGACGTTATGAGCGGGGTCTGTGCTAGCAGTAATGGGAGGCAGCGGCAGAGCATAATTAGGGTGGTGTGGGAGGCTGTGGAGATGTTTTCTCCGTTGTAAACAGCAATAAGTCATTCCGAAATGAGAGCGGATAACTTCCCTCTTCAGATGTATGCTTAGCATACCAGCCACTGCGCCCTCTCCAAAGTTTCCCAGTCTACAACGCCCGAACCCCCATTAGCCCATTCCTAACCGTGAAAACCGACAAAATAAAGCCAGGATATCCAGTTGCAGGTGTCTTGGTCGCAGTGAAATGGCGCGAGCGGGTCATGGTATTATGTAGCAGGAGGCCGGGAGTTGTCCAAGTCCAAACTGTGGCTAAATCACGGCGACGGCCTGCTTGACTGGATGCAGAACCGTTCTTCAAAGCTTTCTTGTCTTTTCTTGTCTCTTGAATGACAATGATGGCAAGAACGAAGGTGTGACCGGCTGTTCGGTGCGAGACAGCCTGAACATGTAAATCTGGCCGCGCTCAACAGTCCTTCATCAGCCAGATGCTCTTATTTCAAGTATTATCTTTACGACACACTGCAGCACCCATGGATCATTAAATTCGTATATTTCTACTGAATGACACGCACAAATGAAGTCTGCTTGCTATTTCTACGATTTTCTTGTATTTATCTAATTTTTTGATTTTACCTGCCTTATTTGGCAGTGTGGACAACGTTTTTCGGAACGTCTGTAGTGATACAGTACCATTTAATTCTAAAATACACGAAATTTAGTGAGGGACACCATTGCTTCTACTTCCAAAACGACTCTTAGTAAAATAAGAACTAGGGGGAAATTTTTGAGTAAGACAGTAGCGTGTACGGGATTCAGGGAACTTACAGCCGAGATCCGGTGCCGCGCATATTCGAAAGCATGGCGTTCTCCAATGAAGAGATAGACAAACTATCTGATAGCGACTACAATTCAGTACACAGACAATTGTTAGAGGTAAGAGTACTGACCACTGATATCACTGAAACTGGAAGCTTCAGAGCCACCATTACTTCCATCGCTGGCAGTACGACGAACGAGATGCCCGTAACGTTGCCCAATTGCACTGCGGGGAGACAGAGCAGGTGGACTGGATGATTTACTCGGCGACATATGTCGACTGATTGGTGAATGCGGCTGGGATTCAGAAGGTGGAGAGGGCATATCTGGTATTGATCCCTGTGGCGAACTCGCACTCGACAGGCTCTGGCTAGCACTCCGACTCGAATAGGTATCACGTCGCAAGTTCCCAATGGACATAGGCGACACCATTCCCATACAACCACGGTCGATGACCTGTCCGTTCTTCCTTCCGAGGCTAACAAGTCCCAAGGAGTCACTCGTCATCATCTTCTGGAGGTCCTTTAGCTTTCTATCCAGAGCTTCTTGTTCCTCTGCCTGCCGGTCAGCTTCCTCTTCTTTCAGCACATCCTCGTCCTCCGAATCTGTGCTTTCCGATGACGACGCTGAGGGGGCACGAACAGGGACTTGAGGTTTCGCAGTGCTCTGTAGCGTAAGTGTAGAAGACGAAGACGCCTTTTTCGGCCGAGGAGAATTGTGGCCTAGTGAGCTGAGGCGGGCACGGATTCCCAATGGTGTCGAATTACGTCCGCCAGAGCCAGAAAGTCGAGAGCTGCTGGCCAACCTGCTAGCCGCTCGTGCAGCCATGGACGGTGGCTCGGTGAAGGGGAATTCCTCTCCTGCTTTGCCTGGCACACGGGTAGTAGCAGAAGGACTTACGACGCCAGGTATGTTATGCAGCCCTCTGAGTTCCTCTTGGAATCTGGCGTGAACACGGTATAAAAGGTACGGTAACGGAACCTCAAGGTGAGCCGCCAATCCTTTCCCTAGGGCGCATTCAGGACCGTCACGGCAGTAATGAAAGCAACAGAGGCTCACAGTCTGTTCCTCCATTGTCAGTCGTCCGTGACCGCTCAATTACCTTCCACAAAATGTCCGCCTTTTCTGGGGTCCATTCTATCTAAACCTGGATCAAACCCAACGAAGACAGTTATCCCTGTGGTCCACGTACTCGTGGTGGGTCGCTAGGCGGATTCTCGGGCCTATTGTATGGCAAACGAACGACAACACGAACGGGCGGTGCATCTGTAGGCATGCACGATATCTTGGCAATGAACAGGCCCCCAACGGAGAATAGCACTGGTTGACGCAGACGTGCGGTGAGAGAAATGAGGGCCTGAAGTGGCTGTACCCTCTACCATACTTGGTTAGACTCCTGCCTGATCAGGACATGATGGAATTTTCCTCCGACGGAGATAGTCTTAAACATCCACTGTCTACATCGTCCTTAAATCATCTCCGACGGACCACCTCAGATTTCTACAATTTCTATTCGACATTTACGGTATAAAAGGATGAAAGACATGGACCCTCTTGTTCACAGCACCCCCCATTTTGATGTTCTCGACCAAACGTCTCTCTGCAAGCATGAACTTAGCCGCAGCGGCGATATTATACATGGCCAGAGACACGGCCGAAAATGGTACATACACACGTTCTCATATCCTATATATTATGCTCAAACCCCTTCTCAGCCGCAGTAAACTCCCAACCGACGCGAACAGAGGTTGTCTATGGAGAAATCCCTAGTAAATCTGCAGCGCTTGCTGTTGGCATAATCTATGTCTTGTTTTCGCTCGTTCTATTTTTTCGCGTCTGTCAATACCGCAACTGGTGGGGTCATTGTCTTCCTATCGGCGCAGTAGGTTAGTTCCCTTCATATGCTTCCGATCCTATAAGTCCCCGCCAACAATATCTTCCATGACCCAGTCAGCGGCATAGGCTTCTTCGTCAAGGTCGTCCTGGTCTCCTCCGTGGAAAATGAGAACTCCAAAGCCCTTCTCGCCACACAAAACGTCCTCATCGCGTGCGCGCCTGCCGCGTTCCTGGCTTTCAACTATATCGTCTACGGCCGCCTCGTCGTCCAATGCCTTGGAGCTCGGTTCTGTATGTTGACGCCCACACGTGTCTCCATGATTTTCATATGCAGCGACATTATCACCTTCATCGTTCAGGTACGATTGACACTTCACTTTGTAAACAATTCTAAGCCAACCATTTTACTTAGGCTGGAGGAGCTGCCATGATTATCAACCCAGACAAGGCAACACTCGGGAAAAATATATTTCTTGCCGGCCTGATCCTTCAGTCCATCTCATACTACATATTCACCTTGATGATGTTATGGACCCACTGGAAAGTCAAGAGGGCTCGCGTTACTTGTGGAGAAGAATACTGGTGGAAGGCTTTGTGGCTGCTCTATGTGTCTTCATTTTTGATCATCGTAAGCTCGATTCTATGCTGCCCTCTCGCCTATTCTAACTTGACCTAGATCCGTACTATATATCGTCTCGTCGAAGGAGCTTCTGATCGCGGAAGTTACGTTCGTACACATGAGGGTACGTGAATTTTGGTTAAACACGTCAAAACGGCACTTACGATTATTGTCTAGTCTTTTTCTATTGCCTCGACTCATTGCCTCTCCTTCTCTCCATCGGCGTGTACATGCCATTCTGGCCTGGAAAGTACATCACCAAGGATTCCATTGTACCAGGACACCAATACAAATTGACGAAGGCTTCGAGTGTATGACTGTCCAACTAGAGTTACCCTAATCTTCATTATTTACAATAATCTAAATCCGTTTCTAGCATTTTTCAAAGTTCATGATCGTGAGCACCTATGTACCGACTGTCTGAGACTCTGGTTTCCGTGCATGGGTAGGTTCGGTCCCAGAATTGATCGTACGAGTTCAACTCGCTTCGTAGAGACCTTTTTGCGGCCGTCCTTCAAGGAACCCCTTCCAGAGTCTAGATTGTTTGAGGGTGAATTCCCCGCGGTTAATAAACAAATTTGCTAAGGCTACACAATTAGGAATACAAAAACACTGCTGCGGGTCGACACTAGTTATATGTCTCGCGCATGTTACTCTGAGGGTAAGCCGTCGAGTCCGCACCCGACTGTCCGCCGAATAAAGTAGACCAAAACTGAATATCCTGAAACATTGCAGGATCCGGATCCGGATTCTCATGCCTCATCCTCCCCCGTTCCCTGCGCCCGAAGTAGGGAAGTTCGTGCCAGACTGAAATGCTGACAACGGGGCCCATATAGTTAAGCTCGCTTTTTTGCCTCTTTATCCACGAGGCATGAAACGCATCCATCAACGCTGAACACCGGTGAGCAACATGGTCCGGCGAAAAGGCCACTTGCGAGAGGAGTCGGACACTCTGCTCGAGCAACGCAGTCACCCGAGCCAAGAAGCTCTATCCCAACCCTATCCACCATCAGAAATTTAACCCCCACAATAAGAGCACCAGCAAACGCCATCGTCATGAACGTGATGTCCGGTGTTGTAGGGAAGCAATGTCTTCTCAGCTTGCAGCACCGACACAAGAACAGCCTCTCCCTATGGAAAGGCATTCTTTCCCCCATGTTGTAACAATGCTAAGACCATGAGGTCTAACCTCTAAAAACCAGAACATGTTGGTCTCACCGTCAGCATTGCGGACGGCAGTACGCGCTAGGTGGATAGCATGGTACAGGACCAACAGTCGAACACCTTGGAGGAGGAGGAGAAGCATATGATAGTAGAATTGCTCGTGACTTAGGACCACTAGAATACGGTAAGTTCTAGTTTATCATAAATCCAGAAATAAAGAATTTACCCGAGAGCGGTAGAATCAATCTAGAGAGCCTATCCATCGCTGCCAGCGTGTTTGATATTCCGTTGTACCAAGATTTCCATATCTTCACGAGTAGCAAATTCTACCGCCATTCCTTGTTCGGCAGCATTGTAGATTTCCTGCGAGTAGTCGTATTCGTAAGTCGCGCCCTTCTGATGGATTCGAGGGTGATATTATGCGGAATATTGACATGTCAGAGGGTGAACGACGAGACAGAGGTGCACGTCGTGAGCCAATACATAGCCTAGCAACATAGTTTGAACTTAGAAACCAAAACGGGTGCTGAGCTAGACTCACATAGATTCAGTAGTCGAGAGGGTGATCCACTATGAAAGGATGAGTAGAAGCTTTTTCTCTTCGAAGGACCACTTACTAGTCTCGCCTTGTTTGTGGCTTCATCCAGCGCCGCTTGGTCGTATGGTACTTTATCTCGGATGCTGATTGCCGTTGCAGATGCTTCATTCAATCCAAGATTCAAAGCCATGCTGACAGCCATACTAATCAACATCCGACCATCCCGGCCACCGCCTTTCGACGGGCCACATATAGGCGTCCACAACGACAGAATAATGAGACCCTTTATAGTCTCTTGAGACTCAAACAATTCGGGATTGAAAATCATACGGGCGATGGTATCTTCGGTCAATCTTTGAAGTCGTGGCGCTACCAGGGCTCGTGTAGAAGCATCAAGGTAACGCGATGCCACTGTGCAACGGACAAGATCGAGGAATGGTGTTGGACCTTCTCGAGCTAACGTGAAGTTTAGCCAAGGTGTGTAATTAACAGAAAATCTGTCAAGAGTTAATCGTCTCGTATTAAGACAGACAAAAAAATAAGATAAGACGTACAAAGTGATGAGATGATCAATTTCTACTGGAGAGAGAATATTGGATATTGATTGGTCATTCATCACGGGTGCATGGAACTGGTCTTGCGGAGGCTGCTTTGCTAACTCCTGTATTGCAACCAAAGGCGCCGACCAGTCAAGACGGTAAGGTACAAAAAACCACATATTGTCAGGGCGCGGAAACTCGTTGTTTGCGTCGCTTCCTGGACCACGAGGCGATTCGGACATAGTGCTAGGACTGCCAGAGCTAGTTCCGCTATTAATAAGTCTACTGCCCACTCCTAAATCGTATGCCGACTGTAAAGTCGGGCCCTCTGCACTGGATCCCGGCGAAGATTTCGCAGGTCGAAGATTCTGGAGCGAAAACAGATTTATCCATGCCCTCATAAGAGCACTCGATTTTTAAAACATTGCATCGATGACATCGCACGACGCTTCGTTCCAAATCAAGAACTTCGCAGCGCGTTTTATGCCTGCGACACGAGGAGCACGCCTGGACTTTGGAGCGTTTTGAGCGCGAACGTGATGAACTCGCGACGCTTTCTTCGGCGGGTGAGGCCTTCGTGTCGCGAGAGCGCTTCATGGTGCTGGCGGGCGCAAGTGAAAGAAGAGAGACAGGTGTAGAATTTCCTCGTTCTATATATAACCTTGCGGTGCAATCACTGCCTCGTCGGCAGATCTGAACTGCCGTCTTAGTCATCAGAAAGTTTATCTCCCAATCAGTTTCCCATGCAGTGGTACTTAATTGCTTCCTATTCTCGTGGCTTTGTACCAGGTCCTGAAAGGACACTCATATTATTCGCCATCTAGAAAGATAAGGTCCCTTATTACGACCAAAAACTGACTCCCCCAGAAAAATAACGCGGTTAGCGTGAATTTTCGATCATAGACCATTTAACACGCTGATCAGAACGCTTGACAGATACTGTGAGCGCTTAGACGCGAATCATCGCAGTGACGCGTATTCTTGTACCTGTGAACCTTGATATATTCTGCCTGTGGTATAGGATCCTTTGCACTGCTCGGAGCATTGGATGTCCGATGTCGACCCGAAACAAAAGTCGACTCCAAGATACTGACTCACTGATTCTTCTGGTGCAAGCCTGTGCACCTCAAAACATTTCATTGCAATCTATACATTGAAAATATAACCCACTATCTTATGTAAAAGCTTCCGGGTTCAACTTTTACATGCCAGTTGATGATGTGTCAAGATTCACTAGATTTTTATAAACTATTATTTATAACGTGTATGCGACGATGGTGCTAGCCGCGTGTGAAGAAAGAAAACTTGTTAACAGTTACACAAGCGGGAAAAACCGAATGCTGTTACGTTCGACAACGTCGTACATGTTCAAGGTACAGCGCCCATTTCAGGCTAGATCTGATGCATCAATGATATAGTAGAGTAGATGAGCTGCTTGTTCGCACCAGTCTTAGGTCGTACTATCCCTGCGTCGCTATACCTTGACTTTGTTGGCTCTCTTCTCAAGGGAACAAGGGACCAAGCTTCGGCCATTTACCTCGGAGTCTGGGTTCAGTTGGCGAAGCACCTGAGTGTTTCTCCGTCTCGCTACGCAATGATATTGAATTATAAACTCACATTATCCCTACCTTAAGGACCGGTCCCTCTATAAGAAGACGGGAAAATTAGCTTCCATGGTGTGCGTCGTTGAGGCCTTCTGAGCCTCAAGTTAGTATTCCACAATAACACCCCTGGTTCATCCACAACTGCGGACGCATCACCACGAACAGCATCTGATCAGTCGTTCTGCACAAGACGAATAAACTTATGGTAGCCGAAAGTGATAGACTAGAGGCTGAGGGGTGCTGGAAGACTGCGCTACGAGGCTTACAATGACAGAATGACAGAATAAGTGTTGGGAGGGGAGTAAATAGGCTGTAGATTGTTTCTTGACATTATCATCTACATGCAGTTCAAGCAGGACACCATTAGCAAGAAGAAGACGCGCCAATGTGGGCATACCACGTATACAGGATGAAAGAAATGATTGGATGTGCTTTCCTTGCCATTCCGCACTCACAAATATCAGTGCAGAATCAGTACGGTGAGAGTGCAAGTTATCATGCATCATGAATCAGCATCAGTGATCAAAGAGCTATGCGAGTACTATAATTATTGGTGCATGACAACTGAAAGCAGGTCGGCGTGCCTCCGAGCTTCAAACCCTGCCATTGAAGCACGCAAAGTAATTTCATGTTACGGCTCATAATGTTACGAATCGAATCTATTCAATGGGACAATCCCCGAAGTTTGGAGAGTCAGTTGATCATCGATCATCTCTAGGCTGCGCTTGTGCTAATATTGTTTGGCGTTTGTTCCGAATTGGATTACAATAATACCCACTTCGTTGTTTCCGTTTCAAGTCTGTCAAGGTACAGATACGCTACGCAATGCAATGTCGTAGAAGCCCGCACGTATACGATACCTAAATACAAGTCAGTTGCAGGAGTCGGTCAAGATGATCGTAGTCGTGGACAAGGTGTCGGTGTTAGTGCTTACGTTATCACAATTTTTGGGTTCTTTGACCATCACGTTCGCTGAGCTGTTGCCTTTAACACCAGGCTTCGATGTGCGTTGGCTCTTTTTGAAGGCCAGGTTGACGTTCCTTTCATATGATTCAGCGAAGAACGCGCATTTATCTATTTCATGAACACCGTCGTCGATTCCGATTCTATTCAAGTCCAGGTTTACACGACGAAAGGAGATGGGACTTCCAACTCGTACCAGCAGCGGAACATGTATCGAATGTCTTCTTAGGACCTGCAACACAGGTTGCCTGCTACTCGCGTCTTGATAACTCTCTCGTGAAATACGACAAAACGCTTCTACGGCGGTTCCGGTGGCCGGCGCCTGGGAGAAACTTGACTATTGGCGCCAAGCACTATGCGGCCCAAGACCCTTATAGACTTCACGAGCCCGTTAGAGTTGATCATATGCTGGAGGCTTGCCTGGAGCATGGGAATCATTATAGTTGGTTGAAATCCGACGTTATAGCGACATGCGAGGCATTATCCAAGTATGTGTACGGTTTTTCTCTTACTGGCTGTGCAATTCAAACTTGTCTTGAGGGTCATACGCGGCGTGGGCCAATTCAACGTGTCCTACATCAGTGGAAAACTATATTTAGAATCCCATGCCTGGAAGCGGTATGTTACAAGTTTCAAACCTATTCATTGGCTGACAGGCTATTCATAACGTCAGGAAGCGAAGTACTATAGAGAGCTACGTCGGGTTTGTCAGGCTGTTGAGTAAGACTACTGTGATCTCAATTGACACTGTTTGCAGTGGTTACGGTTTTCGAAGAGCTGCAACCCAGCTGTGCGATCCAAATATGCTTGAAGCATTTTCTACCCCAAAAGATCCGGTCGGTGTCAATGTCTTCAATACAGTGATAACCCGTACATTGGGCGGTTTACAGCTCCTCACGGCTGGAGAGATACATTGTGTCCAGGGTACGATCACCATCCCATCCGGATATTTGTACATCTAAGCCGTTAACTTGCTGTTTAGACGACCGCAGTGGGCACCCCAACCGTTATATTGAGCTTAGGTGCAAGAAAGATGGCCGCGAACCTCAGTAAGTCTGCATGTATGGTGATGCCCAGCACATCTCTGATTATCATCCCAGGAAATTGGCAGAGGATCTGAAAAAGTGGCGGGTTCGGTGCCATTTGCTTGGTATCCCGGTCATATTTTTCGGATTTAGAAAGCAGGAGATTCTCTCAGAAGGCCGGTTTTTGGGCGTGGCTCAAATGAACGAGCTTATCGGACGATCGACGACAGAAGGGCAACTACCTTGGGACGTCGAGGACGTTTTTGATTGTGGGTTCAGGGTCTTGTGTAGGCTGAGGGAATACTGTCAGGTTGCGGACGATTGGAGGGTTGCTATCAATGATTCCAAGATGGATCGAATCTGGAGAGTGCATATGTGCAGGTCAAAGATGGGATTCTACATCCGCGAGCTTACCAGAGAGGAGAGGGTCACACTGAGAGGCGATAAAGCACGTATCGGCATCGTTCCTCAGAGACTGTATGACACTCTTAGGGCACGGTCCGCAATCTATTAAAGTGCGTTCCGATACAATCTATCAAGGGGAACTTCATCAACGATCAATTGTTTGATCAGGCGACTCGTATCCCATACGGAATGGTCTACCCACACGAACCATAACTGGTCTGATGCGTGATCCGGGGTACCCAGTGCTATGGGGCTAGCGCTTAGTTTAACATACAAACCGCATGCTCACGGCTGTTTTGCGGATCCCACTGTCCCCTCTTCCCAAACTGTCACGAAAATGTCCTACGTCGACTTCGAGCGCACCGTTTTCGACCCAGCTCCAGACTATGTTGCGATAACCCGTAGGTCAGTCAACATCCATCATAAAGCCATCTGCGCCATCGAGCTCACTTGGAATCAACCCCCATCACAGTAACACCGGTACAACAAGCTCGAGCACATTCAGTCGCTCTCAGTCCGTCGACAATCTCCGCAAGAACAGTCGAAGTTTAAGGTGTGCCTTGCTAGTTCATGTTGCAGAAAGCTTTTGTGTCGCTGACCAAAAGCTTATTATCATCAAGCCTTAATGATAGACCCCCCTCTGCACGCCGCGCCACACGACATGCTCACGAACGATACGAATACGCCTACAACGTCTACGCCGGTTCAGCGCAAATGCAATTCATCATATCGTCAGCAATCTTTTTGCCTGGTCCACCGATATCATCCTAACACACACCTAGAGTTGAGCCCGTCCATGGAACCCCAACACCAGGAAAATTTACCTTGTCCCTTTCCCTCAAAGTCAACAAAATGTCACGCTCCCTTGCTGAACCTGTAACTCTCAAACTCAGCGTGGATCCCCGACAATTAAATTTCGCCGTCTTGTGCGTGTATCTCTCACGGGGACCGACATGTACTCATACCTCTCCACAGCCTTGTTCCTGGAAAAACAAGCTTACCCGTGGGCACGCTCTTCTCATACCGCGTCTGGCTGCGAGTCGGCGATTTCTGCCATCGCCTATTCGGAGAAGATGACCTCTGGATAGGGAAAGATCCGGATTTCTCGAGCATTGCCGATGCGTCGTTCGCACGGTTAAGACGGGTGCTTGCTAGTCATGAAGTATATGAAGCGCTCGTTGGGAGGGCCAAAGTACAATTTATCATTCGGTGAGTCTTGTACTGCGGTGACGAAGCGACGAGCGCTGAAAACATTCTGATTGTTCTTCCCCAGATGGCATCGCGTTAGTGAAGGCGTGTATGATTATTCCATGGAGTATGAGTGCTGTGGGGTAGGAGCCGTGCTTTTTGAAGATCTACGACTAAAACTTGAGTGTGATCCGAGAGAGGTGACATTTTGCATTTAGTGAGTGTTGCTTCTTGGTCCATGATTGTTTTGCTCATTATGACTGCCCTGAAGCACCGTTCCATTGAAATCCCTACCCGTTGGGGCATCACATCGATTACGGGTCTGGCTCAAAACTTTCTCTGGCGGACAACCATCACAGATTACCACACAAAACATTATGCCCTTCACCGACTCGCATGTCTACCAGCGAGTGTGGAAATCGGACACCCTGAAAATCGGTGCACGACTCGACTTCGATGCACTGGGTAGCAAAATGACGATGGGCTACATGCAGGGCGGCCCAAAGACTGTGGCCACCACGATAAGCTCAAGCGTCAAGAAACGATTTGGATACACGGGCGTCATTGGAGAAGAAGTCAATGAGCCAGTGGAAATATGAATACGAATATCACGATTTCATGACGTCGAGACGAATACAGTAATGCATGGACAATATTCCTTCTAACTTATCCCATTCTTGACTTCACTATCGTACAGTTTCCCTTTCTTTGTAGTATGGTACATCCCTCAAACCTTTACTTTTGCCGCCAGAAATTCGGTCCACTCCTTCTCTCCCCAACTGCTGGAGATTTCGCCTGCAACGAGACCATCCCAAAGGACAGTGGGAGAGACGTGAATACTATTTTGCCTCGAGAATTTGACTGTTATATCAGGACCGAATAAGATAAAGTATGAGGAAACGGGGTAACTAGACGTACTAGTGTACTTCAAATCATCGGTTACAGCAACGCCTCCGTTCGGGCTTGACTTGAGCGAGAGCAAGTCTTTGAATTCGTCCGTGACGCTCTTTGATTGGGTGACTTCAGCCGCAAGCTTGGCGAGGTTTTCGCGAATTTGAAGCGGAGTGAGGGTGGAAGTCGGAATGTCAAAGTATTCGCCTTGATGTTTGAAGAGCTATAATTGAATGAGTTGTGAATCAAAAACCTTTGGAGGACGAATCCGGCGAGTGGAGCACGATATGCTTTACCCATGACCCCGGTCATACAGGAGCGGCGAAGGAGAGAAGACTCACCGCGAGAGAAAATGTCCAGAATGATTCCGGAGATGCGCGCGCGATCTAAGCAGGCGATGAGTAAAGGTGACTGCGGACAATAGTGTAGATGCCGGGAGGAAGTATTAAAGGAGTGTTCTCAAGGAAGAACCTTCTGATTCAGAAGCACCGATGTCAGCGGCTCTAGACTGCTTGCCCGTCAACAGATTTGAGTCTGCCTAGGAGAGACTAAGCGCGTCTTGTTCTTGGCTCTTCCCGGTGTAATGATTATATATGGCAACGATGGCTTACCGCTAACCCAGCCTCGTGGGTAAATGTAGAGCAGCCATGCCACGGTTGGACTTGGAGACGAAAGATGGCTTTCACTTTGCCATCGTATTTCCCGCCAGGTCCGAACAAAGGCCTGAGGACGGTGTCTATGGTCAAGGCCATTTTAGCGCTGCGAGTCGAATGTCAGAAATGCAGCGTTGGGTGAGCAACAAGGGGAGTACCTGAAGGGACAAACATAGTCCACTGGGCGGTAGTCAGGACATGAGACATCTTGAGGCTGTGATAAGCAATGCTACTCACAGAAGATATCCAAGGTGTGAGGTGCATCAGGGCGACCAGCGATGATGAGAGGTCGAAGGGACGGTTGCAGAGCCATGGCGGAAAGTAAGCAAAGAGGTCTGACTTGACGCCACTCGAATTTATCATGATCATGATAAGGCGTCATCGGGCCGATTCGGGAAAATCCCGACGCGTCTGTAATCATGTCCGCCAGGAGCCGACGCGGAGACAGCTTAGAGCGGCATCCATTTTATGATAATAAAAGAAGATTTAAGATATATTTCTAACAAAAATCGAAGGTATTATATCAGAACGTATCCCGTTCTAGCTCCATCCTTCTGCACTCCTCAATCAATTTTCGCAACTCACCTACTCCGGACGTGTCTTCCTGTTCCATTGGCGGCACTTCGTACTCCCAAGATAAATCCTCATCCTCATCCTCATCCTCATCCTCATCTTCGTCCTCTTGAGCATCCTCCTCTTCTTCGACAGGTAACACTCCTAGCACACCCCCAGTACAATCCTCCAATTTAACACCGGCCTTGTAACATGTATCCCACCATCTCTCCCAACGTTTGTACCCATCCTCAAGCTCGTCTATATACCCGTACTCATTGGGTGGCGCATTCTCAGGGCCTCCATTTTTCTCCAGTGCCGTCAGGACATTCGGGCTCAGTACTCGCACCGTGGCAAGTTTGGGGAACTTGGCCTTGTCCAGCACAGCGATAAAGTTGGAGTCATTTGCGCGCCGAATCATTGAATCAAGGAGAGATAGTTGGGAAGGCCCGTCTTTTTTCACGGCGGTAAACGCCAATGACAAGCCGTGCAGGCCAACATCACGGACATTATCGTGCATCATCTGACCCTCGATACGCCAGTCAGGCAGTTAAAACACACCGTTTCGAGGCTCGGGCAGCGTTGGAGAACTAGATCCATCGCGATGGGATGCGAACAAGTCACATCAAGGAGAATAAGTTTGCTGCCATGCACATCCAAGACAGGTAAAATGTCGGATTGGAATGTGTTGAGCGATAGGAATCGAAGAGATGGCAGGGTCCAATTCAGGGTCTGTTCGAGAAACTGCGCGGTATTTCCGTACAAGGAGAGCTGGGTGAGATGAGGTAGGGTGAGAGTAATGGATTCGGCTGCCCCGAGTGGCGGAATTATCATCATCATCAAGGCCCTTGAGCGATCTGAAAGAAAAATGTGCCGAAGTGAGGAAGAGGAAGGGATGATAACATCCAGATCAGCTTGGAGAGGCTTGAAACTGGGACGTTGAGGTTAAGGGTATGAATCGTGCGCCTCACATAGGGTGCTGATGGTATCTGCGACGAGTGTAAACGCGCTGCTACTAGCTGGAAATGACATGACCATGATTTCGAGGTTAGGACAGTGCCTGATGACGGTCGATAGCGCGGTTGCCGATTCTGGAGTGAGAACGACAGTCCGAATAAGAGGTGAGGTGGAGGCGCTTAGTCCACCATCCTGGAGAAGGATCAGATTTGTTAGAGTCGAGGACGGCACAAAGACCGGAGATTTTGGACGGTCCGTTGAAGAAGAGGCAATGGAATAAAAGTTCGTAGCCGACGCGATGGAATGTTTTGCAGGTCAAGATAATGCTCTTCTTCGTCGAGTAGCTGCGTCGTTGGAGCGCATTGATAGCCTCTCCAGGGCTACGCAAGGACCATAAGCCAAAGGCATTACTGAACCACACACTGGATGCCATCGATGTCGGGCAGCGCATGGTGAAAGAGGACATCCTCGTCAGCAGCCAAAGTGAATATGGCAGACAATATCTCAGAGGGAAGGGACTCCATCTATACGAATTTAAGTCAAATGTCAACGCTGAGTATTGCATCATACCTTGGCCGGAGAAGAGCGGGAGGTGGGTGACGGTAAGCAATCAACGGTGCAAACCCAACACGAGGCGCGTGTGTGGCGTGGGAACTTGGAAGTTTGCAGCCGGCGGCAATGACTTTTTGTTCCTCCGGCCATTTTTTCTGTATCCTGCAGCTATGCTGAGGCACCTCTCCTCCATCGTCCGCCGTCATGGCCTGACGAGCAGACGTTACGCCTCCACCCAGACCTTGCGTGTTGCTCGCATAGGAAAGCTTCCAGAAGGATACAATGTCAATGAAGTCCTTCGCGCAAGCGCCGGCATGGTGTCACCCATTGAACAGATAGTCCCCTGTAAAGATCATATCCTTATACGATTTTTCGACGAAGATCTTGCCAAACGCTTTTGCCTCACAAAGACCAGCGCCTACATGGAAAATTGCGAGTATGACAAGCCAGTACCACCTGTCTCGGCGAAAACAGCAGCCCACTGCGGTCTGGGAGCTCAACGCAAAGTCAGGCTTGTTGCCACGACGCCTTTGACCATGGAGACTGTCCATGCTGCTCTTTCGCGTTACGAAGACCCCACAGTCACAGACATCCGAATTCACGAAGGCATTGCATACATCGACTTTGCAGATGTAAATAGTGCCATCAAGGTTTGGCATTTTTCTACTTATAATTATGCACTCTCATGCATCGTGATTAATTCAGGTCGTCACTTCTCCTAATATAACGGGTCTTCTAGGTGCTGAGTTTGACTACTTCGAGAAAATCAGGCAACTTAGATTACCGCAATTCGTTTCAAGAGCGGCTGAAATGAAACTAAATGCAAAGAGGTCTGTTGTTATCAGTGGTATTCAAGACGTTGCTAAGGTGGAGGAAGCGGTATGGTCAGCTGTCGGGTCCAAGACAAGCGACAGGGTGCTAGATTCACAATTTGTTGCGGAGCGGAATGTGAGTCAACATCTGTGTCCTCGACTCTCAACAGTTCTATATGACCTCGTTTCAAGGCTATGGTTTTCTTGTTCTCCACGGCATTATTTGCTAAAGAATTCAGAAAGAACTTCAGACCTGACTTTCTGAGCGTCAACACGACTATGGTCAAGTCGCATATGTACAAGTCGGCGGTTATAGCCATTGGTATGGGTGCGAGTCGGACTTTGCAAATTGGTGGAGTCGGGAGCCAGGATCTAGCACAGTTCAGCAAGTTTGGTCCGGTGCTGCAGGCCGTTCAGAAGTGAGTCGGTGTCAGTTTCTCCCATCCACGCTAACTAACATTTTTTTCTCTAGAGGTGATATTACCGAAATCACATACAAGAGTTTCTGGGACTCTATGAATGCCCTACTCCAGCTTGAGTCCGGCGACCATGCCGTGACTGGATTTGACGGTGCTTCAATATCCTTCTCAAAGACAGAGCCTGTCACCATTGCTCCGCCCCAGTTACCTCCATCATCTGAACCATCTCAATCACTAGGCGGCAAAACCTTTGTTGGGATGGCACAATTGCTGGTTGCGGAGGCCTTAACAGGGAAAAGGAAGGGTTGAAAAGTTCACCGAATCCTGAATCTCAGAATACCGTCCGTTCGTCACGGAAAAGCAGATGGGTGAGACATATTTCTCCAGGGTCGAAATAATACCACTATCTAAAATGTCAATGTACTGAAGCGTTGAAGCTCCCTCACAGTACTTCACGCTAAACTCAAAGAACAAACCTAACAAGGGGAGTCGTAATATCGAGAATATGCCCCATTTCGATTCTCAAGATGTCAATCAGATATTCAAGTCCACAAGCAACAGCACCCTGGTGACCGTGCTTCATAGGCAAATGCTTTTTAAGTATACGACTTCACAACTTCGACAGCGCGGCAAACTCCTCTGCCTTCGCCAGGAAATTCTTCCCTTGCGCTGAAAGAGTGGGTTCCGTCTGTGGCGATAAGGTAGGATACGCGACGGTCACAGGTTCGGTATTCGCTATGTATATCGAGGCGCCGTCGAATCCAGTAAGACTATGAGCTCCGGACTCAAGCTGGAGAAGAGCGTTCATAGCATCATGGAAAGACTTAAACGTGACTTCGGTGATGTCGTTGCTAAAGTAGTAATTTAAGAAAATCGTTTTGCGGCAAGTGGGAAGGGCCACTCACTTTGTGACAACCTGCATTACCGGTCCAAATTGCTCGAATTGTACTGAATCCTCGATCTTCCTATTTGCGCGAACGCACAATGTTCGACTTCCACCGAGTCCTATGACCGAGATTGCTGATCTGTCTAGATCCAGTTTTTGTAACTCAACTTGGACGCCAAGAGCTTCGACAGAAGGAGTGAAGTTGTTCTTGAACTCAAGTGCAGCTTTGGCAGTAGCAAATTTCAGAACGATAGACTAGAACCAGTCAGTTGAGTGACCATAGAACGAAGACGTTGAGCTAACGTTTTGGGATGCAACAACTTCAGAGTCCAGCACCAATGGTTCCGTTTTCGATCCGATGGTAGACCATATGGCTTGTTCAACTTGAGGTATGGCCTTAATTCCGCTGATGACGACGCCACGTCTCCCTCCATAGCGAAGCTCCGTGCCTGCGTGCACAAAGGGGGGATAATTGTAGGATCGGGAATCATTGGCATAGCTGATGATTGTGTCATGTAGGAGTCCCACCTTCGGCGTACCCATAGCCTATCGCGACGAACATAGTCAGACGTATTGGATAGTACCACAGGAAAAAGGGAAAAAACCTTAATAGCAGAGCGTATGTCTGCAAACTCCAGATAGGCGTTAGCCGTACCCCGCTGCTCCTTCTTCACGATTGCCGTATGTGCCATCACATCCCAGCAATCAGCAAATGTCTCCCTCAGTGAATCCACTGTCACAGAAATGGGCAGGTTCAATATGCGTATCTTTCGGAAGGCACCCAAGCCAATATGAGCGGCGACTTTTGCCGACAGAGGTGGTATCGGGCCCTCGTAGGTCAAAGTTTCATCACGTCTGGATTTTGCATCAACAACACGAGCCGCGCTAGCAGTGTCCGGAAACCATAAAAGAAGATGGTCCTTGCTCGGTATTGCTTTCTCGACGGGTATCGCTCTCGCGTTGTAGAGCGTCGTTTGAATGTCGTACCCGTCGGTAAGATTACCTATTCGTACTAGGCGAGAAGGAGAGGGAGAGTTGTGTACTACCGCCGAGGTCGATAGCGAGCGATTCAGGACATGGCGCCGGAGAGTAAAGGAGCAGGGCCTAAACATGCCGGACAGTGAGAAAATGACTGGTAGTGGTGATCCCGCGCCACAAACGCGTTCCCAAAGTAGCTGATCGATTTCAAATTTCCTGCACTGAACTTGTCCTCCATCTGGTCCTTTAGCATTTTACGTGGCAAACCTTGAGAAAGTTAAACAGGGCACTCAGTTCTCAAATTCAATATTCGAGACCCAACACCCATCTTCCTCAAAGTTTTACAAGTCTAATTCTTGTGCACCATCCAAATATTTAAACTGTCAGCAACGTTTGAGTAACATCCGAGTCATGACTCACTTCGTAACCTCACGGGCTTTCACTATATGTATTTTTCCCTGAGTTCTGGAGGATAGCTTGACCCCGGTGGCAGTTGTCTGCGTGGCTCGATTGGCCTGTAATTATGACTGTACATATACATCACTTCGTTGGTACGTTAAACCTCCCTGTCTTGCGTATCTATGATGCTCGCAGGGAAATTAACGAGCACCCCCCGTCTCTCACAATGGAGCAGCGGTCAGCTCCTTGTAGTGGATAATCATGCAATAATTACGGTTCGCTTTTGTTTGTGCGGTGAAAGTTCACTTTACATAAAGCATCAGTACCGTCTCAGTTCTAGTTTAGCTCATGATTGTGTGTAGCATTCTACTGTATATAATGCAGTTCCCTTCCTTCCGCATAATATTCCGACGGAATTCTCGTGTTCCTCAGGTGCCCCACCCAACCGGCCCGGACCAATGATAGAAACATAAAGCCGTGATTGCGGCAAAATCGCGCCTTTCCAGTCTTTCCCAACTGCGGGCTTCTGACAAACACCTTCCCTCCAGCTCTTACACGATTGAAATTAGAAATGGCACCCATCAAGACAGTAAGCTCACTGGTAACGTTTAGAGGCTCTTCTTTGATGGCAGCTCTTCTTTCTAGCAATGGACACGTCTGATTCGGTTCGTAGCTGTCGAGACTTCACGTGTGCACATTGGTGAACCTGTGGATGCCTCTTTGGATGGTATGTCGTCGTCCTTTCTTAGCACACATTTGGTGGCTAATGTGATATATTCATTCCAGTGGGCCTGGCTGCCCACGAAGGCAAGACTATCAAGGCCTATGAAATCATCGGTTCTGCGTTGGACCCTGCCACTCAGGTTTCGAAGAACGTACTTACCGTGAAGCACCTCTTGACACCTCTGGCTGCAGAAGAAGTTAAGGTAGTTCGGTGCTTGGGGCTCAACTATTCGGACCACGCTGTTAGTTTCCTGGTTTTGACGCTAGCGCTGTTTCAAACTCACATGGGGCTAACTTTTGCCTAACAGCTCGAGGCGAAGATGGCTAAACCAGTGTGAGACCAACTACCCGAGGTAGTTTCGCTGTATTGACCTTGTGATTTGCTCCAGCTACCCGGTTTTGTTCTACAAACCCGTCAACTCTCTCATCGGGCCTCTGGCGCCCATCATTATTCCACCAGCAGTTCAGCCCTCAAAGGAGCACCAGTCAGACTACGAAGTCGAGTTTACTATCGTGATCGGAAAGCCAGCGAAGGACGTGTCAGAGAAAGACGCTCTGGACTATGTTCTTGCATACACGGGGGCGAATGATGTTAGCATAATCTTTCTTACAGCTCTTCCTCCCTGTTACAAACCAGCATTATTCCATAGGTATCTTTCCGAAAACACCAAATGATCGTGTCACAATGGGGCTTCTCCAAAAGCTTTGGTACGTTCTTCATCGTTGTCTCAACTGGTTCCTTACTCACGTCTTTCAGATAACACGAATCCATTGGGACCTTGTCTGGTCTCTGCATCGGCAATCCCTGACCCTCAGGCAGTGCCTCTCAAGTCTGTTCTAAATGGAACGCTCGTACAAAACGGAACAACGGCGTAACTATTTGTCTTTTACTTCCCTTACCCTTGGTAACACAAGCCGTCCTTTTTAGCGATCAGATCTTCAATGTCAGGCAGACAATTGCTCACTTATCTCAAGGCACTACGCTGGAGCCTGGCTCGATTATCTTGACAGGTACACCTGCTGGTGTTGGCTTTGTCCGCAAACCACCCTTGTACCTCAAGGATGGCGACAACATTTCGGTGTGGGTAGGAAATGGTATTGGTACACTAGTTAACGATGTGCAGGAGGAGAAGGCGCCAGTCAAAGCAAAGCTGTAATAATCCACACACCCAATAACATGTATCGCGAGAGCTTAACGAATGAAAAATCCCTGAAATTTTGATAGGCTTCGTATCTCTCGCGGGTATATCAAGGCTCGGAAAGCTCGAGATCGCTGATATTCTGAGTTCCTGGTACGTGAACTAGCTCCCCGGTAGTCTCGACGCGCCGGGCAGGTTCCCTCGGATAGTAATGCCGGACCCTGGGGTGCAGCCACGCGATCCAGTTCTTCATTGTCTTTCTCAGCCAATTTGATAGATCAACTTCATCCCTGTGCCCTTCTTAGCAGTAGCTTTCACGATCTTCAAATGTGGTTCAAGCCAGTTGACGAGATTTAGAAAAAAAAAAAACCAAACATGGAAGTTGAATGTCACGGTAACAACATGTCAAGCACGATTCTCAAGGATTTGCTTGTAGATCATATGTATAGGTGGGGGCAGTGGCTGCTGTCCGTGGCAATCAATTTCGTACGTCTCGCCGACGCCGAGCCAGATAGAAGACCCCCCAAAATAACAAAAAGATTGCATTCCTTCACATCAGCTCCCTAATGAGACCGGTCTGCAAGGATTTCTTGTGAGTGAATGCGAAAAAGAGGGATTGCGGGCTCCCGTGCAGGCAGTTGAGCGGTAGTCCGGTTTGACGAAGCGCTCAAGCAAAACCAGACTCTGATGAAGTCCTTTTTCAACGATTATAGAGAGGTTTCTTGGATGGATAAATGATAATGCTCTCACCATATGAGTCCCAAAAAGAAAGAAAGTAACTATCGGTACTCCCTACATAAAAGCATCATGCATGAGAGATCATCTGTGGTGCGTTTAAATAGCACACTCACAGCCAACGCTAGATTCCATACGGGGTTGGCCTCCGAGAGCTGTGAATACGACGTTATGGCCATGCTATGTAATCGGATCATAATCGAAGCTGGAGTTTAGTATTGTGAGGAGGTGAAGACTCACACTACGCCGAACACTGTAAGCGCTGTCACAAACGAGTTTCTCCGAATGAGATCTGACGTGGACAATAGCGACGCTGTGCTCGTGCTCTGAGATGCTCCCACTTTCCTCTTGTGCTGCAAAATAATCACATTGTTCCAGACTAACCACGACAAGTTTCAGCACAAAACAGAAGGTAAGAATGACCTCAATCACACTACCTGAGAATATTATTATGAGAGACCCCACCAGCATTGCCAGCGCGGCGCTTACGACAGACCTGTAACACCAGGAAAGATCACCGAATGAACTGAACGATACATAAACCATAGACATACGGTTGGGCCAAACTAATTCCCTCCGAGTCGGTAGGACTTCTGATATGGCAGAACATATGAGCAGGCTCGCGTTCCAGTAGATTCGGGTGCGATAGGCCAACCTGGTTAAGATGAGCCTTGGCAGAGGAAGGAACATGACATCAAGTGAAAGCTTACAGTAATCACCCAAGCGAGCATTATACAGTAAACCAAGAGAGGGAACAAGACGAGCTGCAATGTCGTTGACGAAGATGATCATGAAGCAGGAATAGGTACTGACCCCCCACACCCCTTTTACACCCAGTCCGCCAGTTTGGTTCACGAGAGCTTTCAAGTTGATGAACAGCTGAAATGAAGAGTAGAATATAAGCTGAAATGAGCCGTTAAGAGTCATTTCCACAACGAACCTCTAATTCCAGTGCAAGGGCGGCACTAGGGCCACTACAACATACATAACTCAGATGAAATTTACCAGCTACATAGAACTGGTACTCACAATGGATTGGTAGAATAGATGACAGCTGCTTGGAATGCACAGAGACCGACGGGTGGACCATCGCCGATTTGGTGTCCGAAGAGAAGAAGATACGAGGCACACCACCCCACAATGCTCCCGATGAAGACAAACCAGGTTTTCGAGCGTTTTACAGCGGAAGAAAATTGTGCTGTTAACAGGACAAGCAGTAGAAGCGAGAAGAGCAGTCCTTGCAAAATGTCGAAGAGCATGACATAGAAGATGCTTGCCGGGAAACTGGTTTTGGGACCCACGTCATCCATTATAGTTGCGATAGGCCTGAAAGATGTCGTAGGATACAGATGCGGGAATCAGGAAAACATGTATGCATCGAGCTTTTAAGGTCGCGAAAAGTTTCATCAGATGCCAATCGAAGCCACCCACTAACACGATGATATAACCCCCTCACAGAGAACCTGAACGTTATTATCAGGTCGGGCCTCGTTTCAGATAGCATCTCCATTCAACGGGTAGCATCTCACAAAATATCTTGATGGTCTCGAAGTCCCTGAGCGATGATCATTGTCGGTGACAGATTATGGGGATGCGCGCGGATCTCCAGGGCCCTTTGGGTTCACCAAATAGTCGAAAGCAAGAGACAGGTGCCCAAAACGAACCCGTGCATTCCCCCATACTGTGTCCTGAATTAGCAACATCCAGTCCAAGTCACAGTGTAAGCCAGATTCCACTTGAAGGACGAACCCGAAGGCACGAGCGCTTATTCGGCACTTTATGAACATCGTCTCACTCGTTCGGCTGATGCCCAACTTCGTTTAGCTGTGTGACACAATGCAGTTAACTAGAAAGGCATGATCCACTTAAGACGGGCGGTATGGACCCGTGCAGATGGGTACGATGGGAGGGCTTCACTACGATCAATCGTCCTCCAAACTTCTCCCACTTTCCATTCTCTTCAGTCCAGATCGCAATACGTTAGTTCGCAGGATGTGTTGGAAGTGTCTTGACGAGATAATACACGTTGCATGAATGTCGACATAAACAAGGGAGAAGGAAAAATGCACAAACAGTATTCGTCGGGCAATGCCAGTGTGAACTACCATGACGAAACCAGATCTGGTGAGTCATGGCAGTGTTTGATTGATGCACTGGGGAATGCGACACGTAGCATTAAAATGTTATTTTCTTACTGCACTTCGTGGACGGGAGGACGGCAGCAGATTGTCGCTGAGCCTGGGTCAGCGCAGCCCCTGATTACGATAGTTAGCAAGACCTACTCCACCTCGTCTGTTTCCGTTCCGTCTTGTCGAAGGACTCTGGTAAACCGAAGACCTTTTGGTTTTGACGCGCCACGTTGTATAGCGTCCACCGACGCGTACTCAACGACAAGATCTCGGTCGTTCATGTGGGATTCTTAATGTTATTTAGCGCGGCGATAGTACCCGAGAAGTCAACGAATGCAAATCTGAGGGTGCGGATAAGTATGAAAGTTGATGTGACCCGCTGCAGAGAGGACATTACCTTGTCTGAGTCTTCGAATGTGCCCCATACGTATATTTCGTATCCACGGCTTGCGCCTCGATATCCGTTTTATCCTTACCCTTCAGCTTCAGGTTCCGATGGCCCTCGGAAAATTGACGAATGGAATCTTTGGTAGTATCGAATCCCGAATTTCCCAGGAATAGTCTAGGTGCCAGAGGTTGTTTCTGCGCAGTGTACACACAAATTTTTCTGTGCTGGTTTTGGATGTGTTTTGCCATCCGTTAACAGTTTGCTGTCTTCTGCAACCTCGCCTGCAACTGTAGCCGTATATATAGCGTCTGTCTACAAGATACTAGGGTCGGGCTGGGTCAAGCCTGACCCGGATATCACTCTTAAATGTCAGACAAACGATTTCTCACCTATCCTAAGGCACTACGCTCGATTATCTCGACACGTGCACCTGCTGGTGTTGGATATGTCCGAAACCCACCCTTGTTCCAAGTCTTATGAATATAGTAGACTGGTGACCGTCTGTCTGACCACACTAGTCGTTGCAACTTCAAGCAAGAAAGCGAGATGAGACTCAGAGAGAGGTAAAATTGGATCTGAAATTTGAGTTTGGTGTAAAACAGTCAGGTGAATATCACGTGTGGGCATCGGAGACTACCCTTGTCGCAAAGATTGTCGTTTTCACTTGATACACGTATAATTAGAATATATGTGGCCTTGGGAGATTCTTCATGGTACATGAAGTACTTAATTTTAAATAAGGCTCAGAAAAGCTGGAGAAAAACAGTTGCCTTCCCGGCCATATTACATTCAAGTTTGTTTCTACTCATCTACGCCTCTGTTCCCTTAGGCTTGTTCACCGGATACCTGGGTCGGCCAGTCTCAAGGAACGTCCGTACGTTATCCAAGACTTGGCATTCACCAACATATATCGTTCCCTATAGGTAAATATAAGAACAAACGCATCGCTGAAAATAGCAATGCCTCACCGTAGTGAATGCACCCCAATGTGGTTGGACGGTCACTTGATTAGACTGAAGGAACCATGGATTGGGATTGGGTTCGCCGACGAAAACATCAAGGCCTGCACGCTTGATTTTACCACTCTCAAGAGCTTGGATAAGCGCGGCCTCATCGACAATTGCACCACGAGCAGTCTATATGGGACGTCAATATCCCAAACAATAGGAGAGATAACAAAATCGGCTAACGTTAACAAAGAACGCGCCATGTTTCAATTTTGCGATACGCTCGGCGTTGAACCATTCTCTCGTTTCGGGCGTGAGGGGACAGTGCAAGCTGAGAACATCGGAGGAGGCGAGGAGCTCGTCTTCGGTAACATATGAGACATCCAAGCTCTTTTCCTCCTCGTCGCTCAATTTCGTCCGGACTGTGATAAATCACCTTCATTCCTGTGCCCTGGACCTTCTTGGCAGTAGCTTTCGCGATCTTGCCCATGCCAAATATCCCAAAGGTCTTCCCAAAAGGATCTTCGTTTAGTTCCAAATCATCACGCCATCTGCCGGCTCGACAGTTGGCTTCAACTTGGGAGGTGTTCCTCAAGACAGCGAGGGTAAGGAACAGAGCCATGTCAGCGGTTGCATTGGTTACTGCGGTGGGAGTATTAGCAGCATAGGCACCTAGATGCGAGTTCAGATGCATGCCTGAATGTACCATATGGCAAATCATACACACCGTTCTCTGCCAAGAATTTAGTAGGGATGTCATCGTACCCCGCACCACCAGATGCGAACAATCCGCACCCAGGAAAAAGAGGCCGGAGCATCTCTTCAGTGAAAGGGCCATATCTCGCCGTCCCAAATAAAACATAGGCCGCATCGAAAGGACCGTGTTCTTCACATAGTCTCTTGACCTCGCGAATCACTTGGGGATGACCGTCGGGTACGAACCAATGGATGTCGGCTACTGCTTTGAGAGCAGTGAATTCCTCAGTGGCGAAGCGAGGAGCACCGATGCCCAGGACCTTTTTGCGTTGCGACATGACAGTAGGACCAACACCTGAGGATAGAAGGCCGAGATAGCTTTATCGGAGAAAAGATAAAAGTATGTTCCTGAACTGTTCCGAAGACCCGGCGGTGAAGAGAAATGAAAGAATGATGCTAGAAATTGATACAATTCGCCAACTGGATAGGATGGGGAGAGATAGGCAATTAGACCCTTCACTTTAAGATAAGGAACAAGCCTGCGCGATGCAGTCGTTAGAAGTGGGCCGTTCTCTTGTAACACATGCATACTCTGTTACGGCGTCGGTAGATGGAAGTATAGGCAAAGAAGAGGGAGAGAGGTAAGTAAAACAAGACGAGAAATGAACAAAGAAGACGTAAATCGTCGCCACTGCTCGGCATCATCCGAAGGTCCGTGCCGCTTTGCCTACAACCAGTTCCTCGAGAGATAACTTGTCTTTCAAAAATGGGTGTTGAAATGATACCTGCCTCAAATTCCCATGGCTGCGCTGCAAGACAAGAAAGTCATCATCATTGGGGGCGCCGTTGCCGGACTCAGCACTAGTCTTCACCTCGCTCGCTCTGGAGTCGATGTTACCGTGCTTGACTACCAGCCTTACGAAGCGAACGGGTGCGCGCCATCCAAAGGGTGCGATGCTCCGTCGGCAGATGTGAACAAAGTCTTTCGTTGCTGGTGTAAGTGCTTTGCAAACTTTCTCTATCCATATAACTTTTCCTCTAGATGGCAACCAAACGGAATACCAGCATCTCGCGTTCGCGGCAAGGGAAGAATGGTTCCAGTGGAACAAGGATCTCGCAGCGACACCTGCTGAAGACCTCCCACCCTCGCTGACCCCAAACACGCAATTGCTGTATCTGTCTGGCGTCCTTCGTCTTCCTTCAACGGAGTCTTCACCTAGTATCAGCAAGTTCGATCAGGATAGCCTGGCAACACTTACACCTGAGCAAAGGAGTCACGCATATATTTTATCAGAGGGCGGTGATCTCGGAGGAGAAGGCAGGAGAGTGCGCGCAGTCAACTGGAATGGGGATGGCTTGCTAGATTTGAACGGCGGTTTCACTAGAGCTGATAAAGCTTGTGCGTATGCAAAAGTATGCCAATTTGAATTCCCTGTGCACATATGTTGACGTTTTGCAGTACCTTGCTGGTAAAGCAGGCGTCAAGTTTATTTTTGGTCCAGAGAAAGGCAAGGTCGTCGAGATCATCACGGAGGACAAGGACGGCGAGAAGAAAGCTACAGGCGTCAAGACGAAGGATGGCGTCGTTCACACCGGCGATCTTATCATTGTTGCAGCAGGAGGCTGGACGCCGTCACTCCTCCCAGCAACCGTCGATCGTCTCGAGACCACCGCTGGGTCCGTTATGCTCTATCAGTTCCCTCCCAAAGAACAGGACCCCGAACTTTGGTCCAAGTACTCCCCCGAGAACTTCCTCGTCTGGGCATGGGGACTTAGCGACGCTAGCCCTATTGGCAACGTTTATGGCTTTCCGATTACCGAAGATGGACTATTTAAAGTGGGATATCGCGGTTTGAAGGTATGTATTCAATATAGTCCATTAAGGGATGATGTTGATCAGCATATAGTATACCAACTTCGCCGATCATCCATCTGAGCCTGGGCTGCGCATCTCCGTGCCCAAGACGAAGTATACTGAAGTCAAAGAGACACGGATACCACTCGTCGCAGTAGAGCTGATCAAGGATACGCTACGCAAGCTGTTTCCTGATATCGCCGAAAAGGCGACGGTTGCGAGCACGCGTCTGTGCTGGTACTGCGATAGCCTCGACAACAACTTCCTGATCGATTACGTGCCAGGGTATGGGAAAAGCTTGTTTGTCGTGAGTGGTGGGAGCGGTCATATGTTTAAATTCCTGCCGAATCTTGGGGGGAAAGTCATTGATGCGCTTTTGGAGAAGGGGACGGAGTATACGAAGCTATGGACATGGCCTCAGTCGGATAAGGAGAGGATTCCGTGGATTGAGAAGACGAATGGCTTGGAAGAGGGAGAGCTGGGACCACGGGTGTTACGGAAAGTGGTACTCGCGGAGGAGCAAGACTTGGCCAGTTGATATCATTGAAATTGGTGCTCAAAATTGTGACAGTACAAGGAATATTTATGTCTGTGCCAAATCTCTTAATGCTTCAGTCGATAAACTTCGCCTGAAGTAGGTTTGTACTCTGCGTTCTAGTAGCAGTCCGCTTCTTATTTTGGTTCCGAAGTGCCGACCTGAATAAGATCAGTCTCAATTATTTTTCAGGACTGGGAAGACCACGAGTCTTCAAACAGCAACAGCATATGTTTCCTACCACCTACAAGTTTAGAGTTTCATGATGATACAAGTAGACCTGTCAATCTCTTCTGTTTCCATGTCCCTAGCTCACTTCTTTTGAAGAATGTGATATCTCCCTGTGATACTGCCTGACTTAGTGTCTCCTAGACAGCCAGCGGTACATACCTATTGAGGAGGGTTGGACGGTTTGATTGGTTATAGCTATTCGCTGTAAATTTAGAGTGTGGGAGCGTCAATCTCAGCCAACAAGAAACGCGCACTTCGATGCAATCGACTTAATGGAGAAAGTTCGCAGAACGAGCCGAGCTATTATGATGGGCTGCAAATTGACCACATATACAACCTTGTTCTTGTTTCATGTGAAGTCGACGCTTGGTGCACATATTTTTTGAAATATAGGTGCCAAAGAGTGCTCTGATTGAGATCAACGGGTATAACACGTAGCTTTAGAATGTTATCTTTTTGCTGGAATTTGAGGACGGGAGGATGGCAGCAGATTGTCGCTGGGCTTGGGCTAGCGCAGCTCCAGGTCTAGGCCGATTGCGATAATTAGCAGCTCTGGCTCCCACTCCACTTTTTCTCTCATTGCTTTCAGCTTTATTGCGTTTCGGCACCGGGTGAGACCCCTCGTCTCTTTCCTTCATAATATCATCTTCCTCCATCCCAGCGTCCCTAACGCTCTTGCGCTCTCGGTTCGGCTCCTGCTTCTTCTTCGTCTTGTCGAAGGGTCGCTTCCGCTTGTTCGGTAGAACATCAGGACCTTTCGGTTTTGACGCGCCACGTCGTACAGCGTCCGCCGACGCGTACTCAACAACAAGGTCTCGGCCGTTCATGTGATGGTTCTTAATGTTGATAAGCGCAGCGGTAGCGTTTTCGATACTCGAGAAGTCAACAAATGCAAATCTGAGGTATTAATGAGTGCGGAGGTTTATATGACCCACCAAGGAATGGACATTACCCTTTACATGCACCGCTGTCCTCGAATGTACCCATACGTATTTTTCGTATCCACGGATCTTTTGCCTCTTGCGCCTCGATATCCGCTTTATCCTTTTCTTTCAGATTTCGATGGCCCTCGAATAATTGGCGAATGGAATCGTTGGTAGTATCGAATCCCAAATTACCCAGGAATAGTGTAGGTGCTGGAGGTTGTTTCTGCGCACGCAAAATTTTCTGTGCTGATTTTGAATGCGTTTTACCGCCCACTAACAATTTGCTATCTTCTACAGCTGGAACTGATGGTCTTCCTGCGAAATCGTCACCTGGAAAAAGATAGTTTAGTGGTTGACCCTCAAGGAATGAAATGAATAGATGCACACCATCCTTGATCAATAGCTTTCTTCCTATTAAATGCTTTTCGGAGAGACCAATGGCAGCAGTTTTCGCTTCGGATGTCGCAAAATCGACGTAAGCAAAGCTATAAAATAGTATCGTCAAAACGATGAATAAAAAGACGACATATCCACACACCCCCGATTCTCTCCCTTCACCCCAGGTTTCGCCGACGGCTTTGTGGGCATATGTATGCGCGTGATCTCTCCAACACCTTCAAAGAACGTCCTCAGAGCATCCGAGGTCGTCTTGTACGACAAGTTCCCTACCCATATCGAGTTCTGTCGCTTCCCAGAGGCGTCGAGCTTGGGTTTTTTAGTCATAGAGGGCTGCTCCTTTTCTGACTTTTTATTCCTTCTTCTGTCGACGTTTTTCAGCATGAGAAAGAACGGGACCATCGGGAGGTGGCCCGCCTTCGTCCGAATCGCTGGAAACGCTGTCAGCCCGTTTCCGTTTGAATGTAGGAGAGGATGGTGCTGGACTGGAGTTTCTCGAGCTAGAGCTAGTGCTGCTAGCAGAGGAAGTTGAAGACATGATGGTGGATGAAGGAAGGGATGCTATTTTTTGCTACATTATTACATACTGCATTACAATTATGACGAAAAAATTTAACATAATCGATCATTGGCACCTCCACTTTCCTTCCTGCCATCTCCCTAGTATTGCAGGTCTGACGCTGGTATTCCAAGCCTTGAAGCTTGAAGGACTGCTGGAACGTCCATTATCCTCCACATTTCGATTCGATTCCTCAGAGAAACGACCAAGAATAAATCAACCCACCCAAGCCAGCATCCAGATGTGTGCTAGACAAGTCGTCAGTTCTGTGATAATTGTCTGAAGGCCTCAGCTCTTCAGGATGCCAAGCTTGGTACGACAGGGTACGACCACTTTCCGAATTGTTGAATTCCGATATCACCTCCATCTCATCTCATCTCCATCATTACCCGCACAGACGGATAAAACACCGGTTCTCCGAGTCAGATCTGAGCGCCTATCCCGTCTTCCGCATTTGCCCCACTCTTTGTTCAGCTCGTACACCATCTCGATGATTGGAGGAATTCAGCCAGCGGCATTAGGAGACGCAATTCCACCCAATGTTCCACACACAATTGTCTGTTCCTTGCCCGCCTGGCAAGATGCTGTTGGTTTCGCAGAAGGGGAGGAAAGGGTCTCGAACTCACTAAAGGCAGGATATCCCCGACAAAAGATCCATGACTACGTGAAAGCGGTGCGTCTCAGTGCAGAATGAGTTTGAGTTTTGTCTCTGAATCACATTTTGCACGCTTAGCTATGGAAGATCTGTTCTCGAATCCACGGTGTCGAAGGAGAAGAATGTGCCCTCTCATTTTCACGTAAATCTGTTGAAGAATGCGTGTTGTATGTGAAAAAGCACGCAGAGAAACCCGGAGAACCTCGTGTATGCCGCTTCGAAATTCCCTACAAGAGCGACATGGATGTCTATGGCTTCCCGGACGTCTTTGCCGTATTCTTTCCTTCATCCGCTCTCACGGAGGCATCTCAGTTCATGATGTACACCGGGTCAGGGATATCGGCACGATTCGCAGAGCTATGCCTTGGGTGCATACCTGAGGAACTCGTTGATACCAGTACCTTCGTTGTACCCCTCAAGACCATAAATTGGCGCGACCAAGGGTATTATCAAGTCTATAGACCTGTTGAAACTGGCTCGGAGGCCAAAAGCGCTCTTCGTAGACTATTTGCTGGAGATTTTGGAGACGAGTCGACCAACATACGGGGCGTGCCAGGCGTGTCTTCAGATGACGTCTACCTGTATGCCAGTGGCATGAATGCTATCTGGCATCTCCATCTCATGATTCTGGATGCACGTCCTAAGGGACTGAAGAGTGCTGCATTCAAGTACGGCTTTCCTTTCTTTTGCAATCTTTCGTGTCTGATAAGATCGAGCAGTGTTTTGTATTCCCATTCTCACAATCTCATCGAAAGATGGGGGGCCGGACATTACGTTATCGGGAGTGGTTCTACCGCTGAACTTGAGACTCTGCTTGCCTCAGAGCAGGCAAAGAATCCTGAGCAGCCACCGCTCGCCGCACTGTACATAGATTTCCCCACCAACCCTATGCTCCGGTCTCCTGACGTCGCTCGTCTTCGGGAGCTCGCTGATCAATATCATGTTCCCTTGATCATCGATGAAACTGTCGGCAATCTCATCAACGTTCAACTGCTCCCTTATGCGGACGTAGTTGTATGTAGCCTTACGAAGATTATCAGCGGGCTTGCGAATGTCATGGGTGGCGCGTGAGTGTATTTAATAGCAGTTTTTTCTCATGCTCATTGTCGTAACAAGCCTTCTCCTCAACCCGACGTCTCCATACTACTCAGAATTCAAGGCGCGCATGGAAGAGACATACCAGGATACCTATTTTAGCGAGGACGCCATCTGCTTAGAAGCGAACACACGAGATATTAAGCAGCGCATCGCGATCGTGGACAAGAACGCTGAAGCTGTGGCTGATTACCTTTATACGCGGTCACAAACAGCCCAAGGTTCCTTTATCAAGCAGGTGCTGTATCCCAAGTACCAGACACCCGAGATTTATGAGCGGTATCTCAACAAAGAATCCACAAGCCCGGGCTACGGGGGTCTGTTGTCGATTTCCTTCACTTCCCTAGCAGTTGCGAAAGTGTTTTACGATACTCTGCCATGCTACAAGGGCATCACTTTTGGTACAATCTTCACACTTGCTATCCCCTTCACGGAAATGTCGTTTCACTCGAAGCTCCAATGGGCGGAAGAGAATGGAGTGGATCATGCCTTGGTGAGTAACCTTCCTCGGCGCTATCAACTTTGTTCAACGATGGTGTTGTAGATAAGGATAAGCATTGGAATGGAAGATTGGGAGAGTCTGAAAGACGGTTTCGATGTGGCTTTGGCAGCTGCCGAGGATGCAGCGCTGGCAACCAAGCTTAATGAAGATCCGGTTGTGCAGTAAGCATGCCATCACCCAAGGTACTCTCAATCCCACACATCAGCTCGAAGAGTCGTTCCGACTCGGGATTTGATATAATTTGATCGATAGTATCTGTCACTTGAATATCTGATATTAGTTGGATGCTCAATCTTTAGACAGCATGTATCATCGTCAAAGACCTGCTTCTCCATAACTCTTGCGCATGGGAGGAGGAAGATAAATAATTCTTGACAGCGTTTTCGCAGTTGGCAGTTAAACGGCCGAGTCTTGTTCAGCACACATTCGCGAGTGACGTCATGCTCTCCGGGATGAGAGTATCCGCGACGAATGTTCCGGTCAGATTGCTTTCAACATGCGAACATCGGCGAAGTCTGAGTGTTCTGAGGGTGTAGGATGTAACTCACGCTGACCATGTCCGCGGTCGGAGTTTTCATCAGACCCTTTGGTGATAGTACGCGTGAGTGATTAAAGTAATCTAGTTAGTTCGAAAACGACTTAATCTGGCACCATTCTAGCCTATAAAAGGACTGCGGCACATTCATTAGCATCCAACATCCTTCTCAGCTACGATGTCAACGCTTACTAGCCTTCAAGCTCTTTTTCAGCCCCTGCAACTTGGTCCACTTACCTTGAAGAATAGGGTACTCATGTCTGCCATGACGCGTAACCGCTCCGTCCCTACCAATGTTCCAAACGAGATCAATGTCGAATACTACAAGCAACGCGCTGCAGGCGGTGCTGGACTTATTGTCGCCGAAGGCATGCTTATTTGCCAGCAAGGGTACGTCCATTTCTAAGCTGTGGAGATGTTTCTATTGATTCGATCGTATTAGATCGGGGTGGCAGAACGCCCCCGGCATATGGTCGAGAGAACAAGTCTTGGAATGGAAGAAGATAACCGATGCTGTACACGCTGAAGGGAGCCTGATATATGCGCAGGTACATTCGATTTATTCATATTAGTATTCATCCCTTTGACTCAACTTCGTTTAGCTTTGGCATCGTTAGTTGTGTATATGTGTACTTGGCACAGCTATACTGACTTGCTTATCTAGTGGGTCGTGTTAGCCATCCAGACGCCCCGGAGCAAATTGCCTCTGAACAGGTACGTCGATTGCAGACACATACTAAGCATCTGATGATGCTGATTGGTTGCTATAGCCCGTTTATGCCCCTTCTGCTATATCTGCCCGAGGTGGAAAGTTCAGGTTCCTTCCCGGACAGCCCGGCTATGTTACACCCACCGCTATCGATGACCCAAGAAAGCTTCTACCGATGTGGAAGCAGGCAGCCATCAATGCGAAAGAAGCTGGCTTCGATGGTGTAGAAATACACGGAGCCAGTGGATATCTCATCCATCAGTTCCTCGATAACACCTCCAATCATCGTATAGACGAATGGGGTAGCAGCATTGAAAACCGCTCCCGATTCGGTCTTGAAGTTGTCAAGATCATGATTGATGTCTGGGGCGCCGATCGTGTGGCCATTAAACTCACTCCTGCTGGTGGATACAATGATCAAGGGTATGCGACTGGCATGAAATCTTAGCACGGCGTTCTTACTCATAAATCACAGAATGCCGTTGAAAGAGACCATCGACACATTCACTTACTTCATCAATGAACTTGACAAGCTGAAAATCGCTTATGTCGCTCTGGTACGGTGGATGGAGTTCCTTGATCCTGTCATTGACGGCAGCCACCGCGCTACTAAACATGACATCGTCGCGACATATGCGCCTCTTTTGAAGAACGTGACAGTGTTTGCGAATGCTGGCTTCACGGCTGAGGAGGCAGCTTGTTATATTTCGCAGAACCAAATCGCAGGCGTGTTCTTCGGTGTTCCATGGATTGCACACCCAGATTTTGCTAAGCGGCTACAGTACGGAAAGCCCTTGGATGGAAAATTGGATATGTCTACATTGTATGGGCATGGGAAGGATATGGAAACAGAGAAGAAGGGTTACATAGACTATCCACCGGCAGAGTATTAGGGTATCTTCCTGGTAATTATTATACTTCTTAACAGGACTCGATAGGCCTACTTACTGTACTTTATATTTGTTATCTGTACAACCGCAAGAATGTATGATATTCTCGGACTAATTAATAGAGATCTTGAGAGATAATGCGACCGGCTATCTCGGGTTTACAGCTGCTCACGTTGCGACTTCGGACCGACCTCGGTAATTGTTTGTGATTTATTTATCTACGCTTCCGTAATAAGTAAAAGCGTTCGCCCGAGTCATTACTTCGCACCTTGACTTGATACCTTTGCCTACGCGTAGTATCGCGTTATACAGACCCCCATGGCTCTCATACATATCGACGAATCTACGGGTTCTGATGCAACAGGGAAAGGCACTTCAGATCAGCCTTATCAGTCGCTGGCTTTTGCTCTTTTCACACGTGGCTCGTCGGACGGCTTTCTGACTCGAAAAGACCCATCAGGGACATATGAAGAGCCTACCCAGTCCTCAATGAAAAAGGCCAAAAAGAATGCTGATGGCTTAGAGAAGAAACGCAAAAAGCAGGAAGAACTCGCGGAGCAAAAAGCGAAGGCGCAGGGTGATGAGCAGGAGAGGAGGGAGAAGTTGCTCGAGGAGAGCAAGAAAATCATTCTGACGGAAGATCCATCGTTACCTTCGGTTAAGAAGGTATAGTGCTTACGGTCTACTCTTCGTCTATGTCTCATTCGACTCGTGTGATCAGGCAAAGATATCCCAGCTATCTGATCTACGTTCTCAACGCGTCCGTGTATTTGGATGGGTTCACCGACTGCGATCCCAAAAAGGTATCATATTCGTGGTCCTCAGAGATGGAACTGGGTATCTACAGACAGTTCTTTCGGGTGTGGTCGTACGTATATTCTAGCTGTCGTGCGTGAAAAACCATTGATTAAACTACAGAGTCAAACATACGACGCCTTGACTCTGACGCTGGAGTCATCAATAGAACTTGTCGGTACCTTGCAAGTCGTTCCAGAAGGGAAGACAGCACCGGGTGGACATGAACTCATTGTTGACTACTGGAAAATCGTGGGAGCTGCCCCTGGAGCTGACGATGCGTTTACCAACCGCTTAAACGAGGTATATCATCATTTTTCATTTGTTTCTATCGCCTCTGATTTTACTATCAGAAATCCGACCCATCTATCCAAGCTGATCTCCGTCATTTGGTCATTAGAGGAGAGACCGCCTCATCTGTTCTTCGGCTCCGCGCACACTTACTTAGCGCCTTCCGCGACTCTCTAGTCAAACACCACCTGCTCGAAGTAACCCCGCCATGTCTTGTGCAAACCCAAGTCGAGGGTGGTGCTACCCTCTTCAGTTTAAACTACTATGGCCAGCCTGCTTACCTCACGCAAAGTTCCCAACTGTACCTCGAGACATGCTTACCCAGTCTCGGGGACGTGTTCTGCGTCCAAGAAAGTTTCAGAGCTGAGAACAGCCATACTAGAAGGCATCTAAGCGAGTACACCCATCTTGAGGCTGAGCTCGCCTTTATCAGCTTTGAAGATCTCATGGATCACATCGAGACAATCATCTGCGAAACGGTTGATCAGCTCTTGGCCAACCCCGTCTCAGCAGGCCTCATTCAGCAACTCAACCCCGGATTCAAAGCTCCGGAACGACCGTTCAAGCGCATGTCGTACTTTGATGCTATCGCATGGCTTGTCGAACATGGAATCAAACACGCCGCCGAAGATGCAGAGGGGAATGTCATCCTTGATGAGTCGGGCCAAGCAAAGATGGTGGACCATGTTGTTGGAGATGATATTGCGGAGGCTGCAGAGAGGCAGATGACGGATATCATTGGGACGCCAGTGTTCTTGCACTCTTTCCCAGCTGAGCTCAAGGCGTTCTATATGAAGAAGCTGCCAGCCGAGGAAGGCGCGAAAACTGTTTACACCGAAAGCTGTGATTTGCTGATGCCAAACGTCGGTGAGATCGTGGGTGGCTCGATGAGGATTTCTGATATGGAGGAGTTGCTGGCTGCATATAAGCGCGAGGGGATTGATTCAACACCGTATTACTGGTTCACCGATCAGCGTAAGTATGGGACTTGCGAGCATGGCGGGTACGGATTGGGAGTTGAGGTATGTTTGATCTACCGTCATTTATCCAATACCCTATATTAATGTTATGTGTTTAGCGCTTCCTTGCGTGGCTTGCGAACCGGTTTACCGTCAGAGAGTGTTCCTTGTACCCAAGGTTTGTGCTTCCCTGTCGATTGTGGTATAACGCTCACGGCGCATCGTAGGTGGCCTGGACGTGCTACTCCCTAGATGTTGTGTGTGTGACATTGTAGAAGTTACTCTACTAGACCTAATAATGAAGGTTTGACTATTGACTAGACTGCTTATTGATGTTCGACCGCAAAACGGGACTAGCCGTATACTTGGATTACTTTTTCACAGCAAAGATGTCACCGACTCACTGTTTTCGTCTCAAAATCAAGTACGACTCCATATGTGTTGCCTAATCTTGGTTTTCGTATCGCACGCTACTGTAGTAGCTCCCCTCTGTTACCTTGGTGAGATGTGGACTTATATAAGAAGCATTCACCCATCTTCGTTCTATGTTGACTTCATCTATCCTGTGATCTGATATTGCCTACTAAAGTGTTGAAATACTTAAGTGGTTCGAACCTTTTGTTCAGATTCGGATGCACAAGGAGGACTATAACCAACATATCCCGGTAGCAAGTATGGGTATTATAAAATAAAATAAAAACTACGATAGAACATTTAGTATCGAGGAAGGTGTCTTGCAGTAAGGGCAAAACCCATCACGACACCCTCCTCCAAAGTCCGAAATACAATGTTCATGAACTATCGAGTGCTGAAATACGGAGGGAGTGTGTGGCCGAGGGAAATTAGGTGCATTCGATAGCAGGGTATCCCTAAAAGAAATTTAGGCGCAGATGAAAAATATGACGGTGTCAACTGACCGGGCGTACAAAAGTCCAATAATGAAGTGTCAGCCAGACACGCGAGTAGACTACTTCCATGTAAAGAAACATGTAAAGCCATCTTCGTTTGTAGGCATTCAAAGCATGCGCATTCAAAAATTCTGGGTACCGCTCTTGTAGAGACGATATAAGTTCTGGTGTCCAATTCTCTTCGAGACGCCTATTGATTTTAAGGTAAGAAGCTCAGCAAAGAGCACAGGAGAAATTGGATCTGACCTCGCCCATTCACGCAGACATCGGCAATAATCTGCGATAGGTATTGAGTTGGAAATCAGTTGCACGGGCTACCCAAGACGTACGTGGACCGTAGTCCTCAACACTTTCCAGAGATAGGTGTCCTCGAGCAGCCGTCTGGAATTGCTGTGCAAGCCAAGTAGCGCTGAGAGGTACGGCATATGGCCAATGATATTTCCGGATGAAATCATCACCCCTGATGAAAGTCGATGAGCAAAGGATGCATGCTAGAAAGAAATTCGGTACTGGTATGGGCTAAACATGGCATCTGGGTAGCATGTTGCAGAAAGAACGACAGCGGCGTTGCCATCTCTCAATGCCCAATCAATGGTTCTGATAAAGGTTGACATGTATGGGACTCCGACGGCCTGTAGGGACAGTGTGAACATTTGGTCTACGAATTGTGATAGAAGGTTTACCTCGACCATCTCCAGGGCAATACAGGCGTCAAAAGCCTTTTCGAAGCTTGAAGGCATTCCTCTGTAATCCATCAAATGAATTTGAATTTGGGACTCAAATCCTGCTTCCTTGACTCGCTCCTCCGCCAATACCTTTTGTTCTACCGACAACGTCAAGGAATCGACGGTACATCCCATCCTAGCTGCCTTCAGAGGGAGAAAAAGTCAATATTTACTGTCCAGTGACAGATTAGGAATTCATTCCCACCGCGATAGCGAGGCTGCCCCACCCACTCCCTATCTCCAGCACACGGTGCCCGGGAAGTAATCTAGCTTTCTTCAGTACGTATTCAATCTTACGTTCCTGAGCACGTTCAAGATCGCCACGAAATCTTCGTCCAGTTAGATCACCTCGGACGCCGCCTTCTTCATCGCTCCAGATAGGACAAGAATATTGCATCTCTTGACTGAGGAAGGCCTGGTTTTGGTTTCATAAAAATCCTACAAAGAAACAGATGGAATTACTTTGTACAAGTCATTCGCCGCATCGTAGCCTGCAACCTGGATAAAGGAATTAAGCCAATACAGATCTGATGCAGTTCAAGTAAAAACGTACGTTGAGAATGGATTGATTCAAGCCATGGCTCAAGAAGCGATGTATGACGATGCGGTCTAGGATAGACCTGACCTTATAGGTCAAGGACCATACCCCGCTCATATGGGGGAAATTATCAATATAGATCTGGGACAGAGAGGTCAGCCGTTTTATCGATGAGAGATGCGTAGATTTACATTCAACACTTCCTTCATATAAGGTGAGCTCACTTCAGCATTCATGTACGCCTCAGAAACTGCCATGGCACGTAGTGAGTGCGCGAAGTAAAGGAAATAACGGAAGCTAACATCCAACATCATACGACAGATAAACCCGAACCCAAAAAGTTTCATCCTTGATGATAAGCTTGCCCTCGCGATAGCCTGCTGAAGCTGGATTGTATGTGCCAAATTTCCAGATAGTCCCATCACAGTCGGTGATTTCTAGCAGCCCCTCTTTTATACCTTTGTTGAGGGAAGCGACGATAGTGGAACGTGCTATCAAAGATAGCGGTCAGAAACGTGCTCCGTAGGCAATAAGCCGACGGGTACATACCAAACGCAACGAAAGTAGACCAGAATCGTCCTCTCTGAACGGCAGAAAAAGACGGCAGGGGCAGTGCGGCATAGGATGGAGACATCTCAGTAAAAACTGTGAATGCAAGGAAACGGTATACAACATGTAGGCCATTACTGCTGCAATATATATTGTGCTAGCCACTCCCATTTCAGGGAGGCTCGGGCACATAACGCAACAGAAAAGTTGTCGCAGATGCTTGTCAGGGACTACTAGGCAAAAGAGGCCCTTAGAGACCAACAACAGCGCTTGCAATTAAACGTCCCGTTCAGTGATACAGCTTCAGCGCCGTGCACGTGGTGGCAGTCGTTGAACAAGTTTCAATCAAAAGCAGATAGATCAGTGCAAGATCAGTGGCTTCCGCTTTGATGATGTAATGGTTCGGCGCAACGTCGGCGGCGGTTGCCCGCCAAGCGGACAGGAGCCGACTGACTTAGCAGGTTTGGGGCTTCTCCTAGTGGGTTGATTCTATTAACTCTCCTCCCAAGGCGCTTAGTCGGCTATCTGACGTCGACGTCCCAACAACACAAGAATCTGGTTTGCCATTGGCCTTCCAGATCTCTTGATCATCAACAAACAACTTTGTTTTCAAGCCCGACTTCGTCATACTCGGGTTTCTGCTGTTATCATGCCCAGTTATATCATGATAGCACTGAATGCGAAGGATATCATAGATTCCTTGAAGTTAGGCTGATGTCCGAGTCCAACCTCTTTTTGAAATCGAATTGTACTGGTACGTTAGTATATCTTTCTCATGTCCATCTTTCCGCCGTGATTGTGATCTTCTTAGGGATAGCTTCCATGTGCGACTTAGATATCTCTGGAAACAGTCGGAAGAGTACCATTTCTCTCCGGGTGAGGCAAAAAACTGTGACGGCAGTTGGGACTCAGGTGGGAGCCTTGTGAGTATGGAAAGTCTAATTGCCTCCGGACGACATGACGAGAGCTAGACGAGAGCGTCTTTTTGCAAACGCGAAATAAATCCAGCACTCAACCTCCACGGTTGGCAGTGTGTTCAATTGGTTACGCCTGATCTCTGAGAGTATCCAATCTTCACCTACTCGTCCCACATGTAAGGTCATATAACATGTGATGGCGTGTCGAGCCACCATATGTAATATGGCTTAAAGGTAGTCAAGAGGCAGTACTCCGATAATACTCGAATAAAGGCCGATATTGGCATTGATACGTCATCAGGGGATCACCATAAATGGATGAGGAGAGGGTGCAAGCACAAGAACATCATCCCGCCCTGCCGACTTCATGCCGGCCATCAGATCACCGTGATCCCACTTGCCCGCTCACTGTGTTGGGTGATAAGCAGTACAACTTGGTGAAATAAATCGGAAAAAATCAGGAAAAAATCATATAAATCGTGGAACGCCAGAAGGAGTATATCCCAATGTCACGGGAACACAGTAGATCGAGTCTGGGCTGTACAAAGCAAGCACATTCCGTATTCAGGAACAATAAGACCAAAAAGCGAATTGGGGTCTTCGATGACATCACAAGCCTAGCCCCAGCTACCGTCCCGCATCTCCGATCAATCAAAAACAATTATCTAACCCTCAGCTCAATCAAAACATGTGGATATCCGCTCCGAAAGCCCGACACGCTGGTGCAGACTGTAGACAGGACTTGGAATTGGATAACCTACGTAAAATACCCTATTCCTATTCACCAATAGCAGTATATATCTGTATAGCTTCCTCATCAACTTCGCTCCCATCATCATTCTCAGACTCACCCTCATCCACAGATTCTTTGTTTCTATGGATACTCTTGTCACTCTTGTCATTAAAACCTATGCCATTGCCAAATCCTGAGCGAGGTTCTGAAAGTTCTCCGGGTACTATACTTCCAGTGAATCCGGGCTCTCCAGATAAAGCTGAAAACCGTTTCATATGCAAATCATCAAAGCGACTCCACTGTTGTCGGTACCGAGCAATTTGGAAAGCAAGCATTGGATCCGTCGATGATAATTCTTGCTCCCGCTGACATAAGTAGATATCCTCGTGGCGGATGAAGGTTACGACACGCTTGATCTCAACGTTAAGGCGGTCAATCTCCTCATACGCTCGCTGTAACTTGAAATACCCATCCATTGCGGCCCGTCCATTGGGATTTGCCCATGGTTTCTTGATTATATCCTCCCGGGCATTTCTGAGTAAGTCGAAGTTGGCTAAAAATGCATATTCCACAACCTGATCCCACTGCAGTGGTGGTCGTGGTGGGCTCATCGCCTTAGCAGCGGCATTGTATTTGGTCAATGCCACCTGAATAGTTTTCGAGCGTACTTTGAGTGCATTCCCGATATGTCGTCATTGTTTGTAGCCTGTCAGATTATTTTATTGAGTACATATGCAATGATACATATCAGGTATGACTTACCAGTTTTAGACATATTCATCTTCGTAAGTTCAAATATCCGGGAAACAACAAGGGCCTCCAAATTATTCAGGCACCGTCGATAATCTCTTGTTCGTACCAGAGTCTGTGCCGACTCCCATGCTGCCATACCGGGAGCCCAGCGTTCATGCTCGCCACCAATGTTAAGGAGTAATTCCATGTGCTGGACATTTTGTAGCTGCTTGCGTGTCTTCTCTATTAAATGCCTTCGAGCTGTTTCCTTTCTACTAGTTTTGTCTCTTGACTGGGTGAATGTTTCCGGTGTGATGATGTCACTATGTTCGACCCTGGTTTTAGCCAGTTTTGCCCTGTTACGGTTACATCAGAAAAAATGTCCGAGTAGAGATACAGAAACATACTCAAGCATGTAGAACTCGACAAGCTGAGAGTAGTACTCCATAGCGCAAGTCTCAAACTCTGGCTCCTTAGTAAGACCGTTCAAGTATTCTTTCTCCTCCTGTAGCCATTTATCGAACTCGGACTGTGATTCGATTCCAAGGACATCCATAGTCTGGACAAGAGCTGGAATCTCCTTGATTATTTTCAGAGCTTGCTTATAATTGCTGCATAGGAATTTACCTGTAAATTATAAGTAAAGTTTCGAGGGAGAGTTATATGACATACTGAGATTCTCGTAAGCATCATTCCTATCAACGTGGTGCATATACATGATGATAGCAAGCCGCCGATGATATGCCGACATATGCCGTGTTGAAGACGCTAAAGAGTTGCTTTTAGAAAACCAACGCTCGCAGGTTTCCAGGTCCTCCAGTCCCATACCGAGAATGTATGTTCCAAGATTGCACAGCTGACAACGGCGGTTATGAGCATGACCATGAAACAGTCCAACCAAAGAGCGATAATGATGAAGCCTTGCTTTTGGCCCTATAGGCGATCTGTTGATAGTAGTCCCGAATTTGCATCCAACATCGTAGCCTACACCGAGTTTGTCCCCAAGAACATCAATAAGCTTATCAATGATAGCCAGTGGATATTTTGCTCTGACCTGCCAGTTAGAACTGAGCATTGTTCAAGGTGTGAATGATGCACAGCTCTCCACTTTTAATCATATCTGCTACCAGCAGAACAAAACCGTGTCGACAAACAGAGAGGAAGATCCCTGTCTCATCGTATATGCCCCACATCCTTGAAGTCAAATCGTTTACCATATTTGCCCATCTTTCCGTGCATGGGCTGGGCTCCATCGGATTTTCGGGGTCAGTATCGGTTGTGAGTATTTCACCAATTGCCTCCTTCGAGAACTCTTCCACATGTGCTCGGGAGACATAATAATTTCCCCACCCTGACACCTCTCGCAAGTCAATCCTTGCTCGACGAGCCGGTTCAGTATGATTCATCGCGAAGCTATCGCCCATCTCTTCGCTGGCAGACTCTGTTGAGTTCTCGCTCAGTCGTCGCAGCAAGTTATTCCCGTCAATTGCGAGGAGCATTTTGAACTCCAGTGCAGGTTCGTCCTTCACCGTGAATGTACATGCAGGATAGCAGTTCCGAAGCCGCCAGTCAGGTTCATCTCGGGAGAGAGCATTCATAACACGCTGATCTACCTGGCAGAGAATTTCGATATAGACATCATAACATATCCGAAACTGCTCCTGAAGATGGGAATGGCACGGAGATTGATGCAAGTCACATAGAGCTCGAACGAAGGCTTGGACAGAAAACTGAGGGCATTGGAGATGGCACAGATGAAAAGTTTCCATAGTTTTGATGGTGATGACAACCCTGGGGGTGTAAGGGGCACAAGGCAGCAGACCGTGTCGAACCATGGCAGCAACAACGGTGTTGTCTATTTTAAGCATAGGTATATCTTTAAATGAGTTGCCTGAAACATTTGAGCATGGCCACGCAATGCATAGATAGTGAGAACTTACTATCAAAGTCAACGACACGAACTCTTAATGAGCCATCAATATCCGAACTTTCATAGCTAGCCACGCCTCCACCCCCAGAGCTATGGTAGCTGTATGCTAGATATGCATCTACAGCTCCATCCATACATCCGTCAAATGCCTCATTGCGCCATTGGGTTCTATCACGTTGACCTCGTCCATCGGCATGTTTCCTATGGCACTCATGGAGCAGACCTATGCATTTAAAAGCAATTGGACTCACTTTGGATGCATAGCATCACGAAGTTGTTCAAACTCTCTGCCAGCATGGCTTATTTCCAAGGATTCGTTGCCACACACGACATCTTCGAGAGTGATCCAATTAGGATCATCATCATCCTCGAAGGTATCAGCGCTGTGGCAAAAGCTTTCCAGATTTTGAAGCTGGTGAGATGTTAACGCTGTCCATGGGTTCAACTTGAAAAAATAGCTAAGTGAGTTGGACTACATACTCTTTTGATATGAAACACGCTCTTGCATGTTTCGATTTTTGAACTTGTGCACACTAGCTTGGGAGAGGTTATGCTGAGTTGAATTGCCAGCATTATCATAGAGGTTGACTGAAATTCCTTTACGACGCATCCTGTCGCCATGCAATAAGTCAAAAATCGCGCCACGCGGTTCGTTACCAAAGCCACGCGAAGCTATGTGACTACAGTCACATGATGTTCATTTTTGCCGCCGCGGAACTCGGTAAAGTAATATCCGGTAACTCACAACGGCCGGTAACCTGCTGCACCACCTTTGCCCGCAAGCTCTCCAGGATTCAAAAAGCCAGATGCCTGTGACTATGCGGTACACCAAGCTATGGAGGCCTCTAGCAAGACTGCTAGGACTGAAGGTTCGCTGTCTCCGCCCTTGGAGAACAGCACCAGATTCCTGGTGAACTTACCCCATCTCTGCAGCTGGCTACTTCTCGCCATACACCCACGATGGTGCCATCCATGTATGCCTGGATATCGACAGTCTGCAGGACATAGCAATGATACCGCCCCCGTCGAACGAGCAAGACATCATTGATATCGAGCCATCGGTTTTTGCTCAACCGCTATACAGCCAGACGAAGCCCAGCTCCCCTCCTTCAAACGCTACTTCTCCTTCTCCCCCAGCAACCCCAGCACTTCCCCCTGCCTCCAAGCCATCATCATCTCATCGCCTGCGACGTACGTTTGCTCGATATCAATACCAGCAGACCTTCGGTACCAAGGTCAAGGAAGTGACCCGTAAACTCTTCGAAAGCGCGCCCTCGCTGTCTACCACTTACAACGCGAAGGGGTATGGGTTTACTGGACAGCGAAACGAGTACGATAGGATGTCATACACGTTGGATTTTCTGTTGAAGCATGGGTTTACATTAGTGGAATGGAATGGCGTGTACGTCTCTCCTCGTCATTCCCCTTTACTTCTATCTGAATTATTTACAGCGATCCTTACCCTATTCTGGATATTCAACATCGCATCATCGTCTACCTCGCCGGGCAGCCACGTGAACGGTCTGAGGAGGTAAAAGACGGCGTGTGGAGAGCATTTGAAGGTGCCCTCGCACAATGTTCTGTGTCTGACGCCGATAGTCATCACCACCGAGGCAACTACACTCAGCTCAGCATAGGAATTTCCTATGGTGGTGGCCAGAAACGTCCGGGAAACCTTAGGAACCGCCCAGCCAACGTTCATGCCCTTGATCAACTTCGCACCAATCCTTGGGTCCAACGGCTGGTTGGATTTATCGATCGTAAGGTTATGTCTTTTATTGTTCCAGCTCGCTGACACTTATCTAGGTGCTTACGAAACTGCGTTTCCTAACTTGCGGAAGGAATATGAGAAAATTCTCAACAACCTAATACAGAACGACAGCCGTCTCCGCCGAAACTGGGTGAATTCCTCCTTTGCAGCAGCTACGTTCAATCTCGGGCCCTCCACTTCCACCTTCCGACATCGAGACTACCTCAACTACGTTCTCGGGATGTGTCCAGTATATGCCGGTGGAAATTTCGATTCCAAGCAGGGCGGTCATTTGATCCTGTGGGACCTCAAGCTTGTGATTCAATTTCCGGCAGGAAGCACGATCATTTTTCCGTCTGCCCTCCTCGAACATTCAAACGTCCCCATCCAACCAGGCGAGTTGCGATTTTCCTTCACGCAATTTACTGCTGCCGGCCTGTTCCGTTGGGTTTATAATGGCTTCAAGTCAGATCGAGAGATAATAGAAAATGGTCAATGTGTCGAGAAGGTTGGCCTCCAGATGCGCAAGGAGAGAGTTTGGGCAAGGGGGCTGAAATTATTTACTACACGCAAACGGTAGATGTTCAATATATTGACTATTATGAATTCTGTAACTCTAAGACTAGTCTGAGTGAAATATCATGGCACTGTAGACCGAACTTGAATGAGAAGCTGTTCTAATACTGTAGCGAATTTGTGAACATCGGTTTCAAATGTCATGACCAGAATATTTGATTCAAATTAGGCTTCACAACACATCGTGTAAACTATTTAAATGAATAAACACGAAACGATGTATCAGAATATCCTTCAGCCATGAAATCTTAACTAGTTACATGTGCAGATAAGCCATACTAACAGACACCTTTCAAAGGAGAGCGAACTCACCACGTTATAATTCGGAACGACTGTCCGAACTGTCTACAAGTCCCGGAACCAGCCCTCAATGAGGGAATGTGGTCAGGAACAATTAATCTTTACACTTCGTTGTGAAGAATGTTGCCTCAGAAGCCACGTGGCTATGAGTCCTTGAGGTGCGTAGTGTCCTTATTATTTACGCTATTCACTCATTATTGCACAGAGCTTCATTGATAGAACGACAAAAATTAGAGAGGAAGCGAGAGGAAGCGAGAGAGCGGATGCGAAGGTAAGTGAGTCTCAGAATTTGTATTCTCTATACTGAACAATGAACATATGGTGTACAGAAGACGTCAGGAAATCAAGACACTTGATGCAGCAACACAGTCGGCATTGAAGGACGCGGCCCATGCATCTCAGGCAAAGTACCGTCAGAAGCATCGATACATACTAGGGGTTAAAGAGGCCGACAGAAGGCTAACGTACGTCCTTTTCTTCTAGCCTTCATGTGATTGATTAACCCACTCTTCAACGCAGTGCATATATGCAGGGTTGGGAGAATAACCTTGACAACATGCCCGAATACAAGCACCGCATTGGACATCTTAAACAACCCGATGATTATTCTTTAGAAGATATTCAGCACCGAGAACAGGAACATAACACTATATTGAGTACCCAGAATCAATAGACATTTTTTTGGATATTTTATGCGAACATGCGGCAACACAAAGATTACGAGATGGAAAAAAACTACGCAGTGTTGGGGATGGAGGGACGGGGCTTGGATGTAACATATTCAACTTGTTTACGCCCGACTGCGTCATGAAGGGCATCAAGTGCGCGCCTCTCGGAGAATGCAATTTTTACAAGGCTATAGTTGATTTTTCCAGCGGCGTTCAATGTGGTTTCACTGTCAAAGGATAAATACAAAAGTATATCATAAAATTTTAAATAACTTACTACGTGGTATAGATCTTGGGGGCGAGACTGGCAATTACCACCCAGTACAGCTTCTGCTTGTCAGGAACTTTACCTTTATCAAACAGCCCGATTTTCCCTGATTGCTCGTCATCAAATGACTGCATGGGATCCGGAAATTTATTGGGTGCTGCATTTCGCCCGATGAGGTGATCTTTCCATGCAGTGTCCCACACAAGCAAAGCATTCAACTGGTCAGGAAAACCCTTGATTACAGCAAATGAAAATCCTCGTGTGCTCTTCAAAACGTCCTCCCTGTTTTATTGAATAAGAGAACGAGATATAATTTGAGAGTATCACTTACTCTTTATCAAACACGCCCATGAGTGCACCTCGCGTAACAACCCAAAAGGACGACGTCTTGTCCTTGAGTGGAGCACTGATTTTTTTGAATGGAAGATCAAGCATCGACCTGGGGTCATTGTCGTTCCATGGTGTGATGTCCTTTTGATGGCCTTCGAAGTCGGTATCCCAAGTTTCACGGTGGCGGGGGCCAGGAGCCCGGGGACGCTTGTTCATGACCATGATCGGTCTCTGGATAGGCATCGCATGTTTGAGCGTAGTACGTTTCGCCCCTTTCACCATCGTCGGAAGAACCCAATCTCCATATGATCCATCTGGACCCCGCTTCGTCTCAATGTTCTTCTTTGCTAACTGTTCATAGTCGATCTTGGGTGAATTGGAAGGGAGAGGGGCCTGGCTAGCGTGTATGGTGGGAGAATTGGCTTGACTCTCAGATGGGTTGCCAATGGGAAGTGACGTGCTGCAGAGCTGTTTGTAGCGCTCGTCTGATACTGGTAGGCCATAAGAGCTGCGGATACCACGTCTAGGAGGTCCCGGCTTGGTAGGAGTCTCCGGAGTGGCCGGGCGTGTTTGGAGCCCTCCCTTTGGGCTGTCCATGAGCGTATCAAACGCAGGAGGACCAGAGAGGGCGTTCCGTATCCACGAGCTCCCAGAAATAGAGGTCGGGAGAGCCTCAGTGGTTGGTGCAGTGGGGGCTGAAGCTAGTTCGATGACTTCAGAGTCAGACAGTGTATCAGAGACCGGAGAGTTTGCGGGAGTACAAAGATCTATGAAGGTGAGCATGGCCTTTTCCTGCGGAGTCAGGTTGACTGGAGGGATGGCAATTCGCAGGGGAGTGGTTGGCTTGGAGGCAGGGATGAACTTGATGGGCGATGGAATACGGGTATAAGAGGATACGCTCGAGTCAGTAAGACTTGACTCGGTCGACGGAGATGCAGATACAGAGCGGGCTACAATTTTATGTTCAGTTACAACCACTAAAATGTACGGTCAATGCGACATACAACTGCGGGGTGCAAAAGGGTGTGCCATCGTAGTAGAGAAGTACGTTGGAGATGGGAGCTATTTCAGATGAATCACTCATCTTGAGGTATTCGAGTGACAGGGCGGCAGTATTATGAGAGAGATGTAGAGAAGGGCTTGAGTATCATGAGAGAGTGAGAGAGAGAGCAGAAACAGTAATTCACGATTGATCGGATCAATATTATTTTTAGCTACAGTTTACAAGGACTTAGACCACTGAATCTGCCATATTCAATTGGCTGTTTCAATGTCGTTTAACACCATGTCTGAAATAAACTCTATGAAAATTTCAACAATACTCAGGCTTGTACTAGTCATAATTCTGTAGCTCTGTCTATCAGGAACCCGAGTGCAACTGCCAACCACTCACACGTTATGTTACTCGCCTTAACTTTCAAGAAAAAAGTCACCAAGAGCTGTGACCCTACTCTGGAATTTTCTAAAGGATGTCATGTACCGCTGCTGTCGCTACTAGTGCATATGATGTCCTCTTGGCTTTTCCCATGTTTCGTGCAACTAGTATTGAGGTTGACGCCACAGAGCATGAACAGCACTTGGAATACATGTGGTGAGTTTATTTTTTTACCATGTTCACTGACCCTACGAGTGATAATTTAGGGCCTAGATGTTGTCTCTCACCAGAAGTTCTTCCAGGCATGACTGTTGATGCGTTGTTTACCTGACCCGCCCGTTTGTTCGCTAGAGCTCAGTTAATAAAATCATGCGTCGCAAAAATCGGAGTCGCAGTCCTCGAGATCATGCTTACAGATCGCACAAATATCCCCGACAATGGCTACGCTGCTCTATTCACCGAAGAAATGCTCCAGAACTTAGATGCCACTCTTCTCTTCATTGAAAATGACACAGGATCCCCGACCAATGCTTGCAATACAAGTAACATGCAAGAAGCCTCCTTCATGCAATTTTCGACAATTCCTGGTTCATTTTCTCCTACCACATCTGTCAATACAAACAGCATTGAGCCACCTTCGCTCCCTCCCCATATATCGGTGGATTCTCTTCGACCACTCCTTGAACCAATGGAGCGCACGGAGCTCAACGACTCTGACCTTGCGAAAACTACATGGGCAAGCCGTAATCCTCGCCTACCCACTCTTCCTATTCGAGAGTGGCCAACGACTCAGGGAAGTGCCGTTACTGGAAGCCGTGCTCTCTTGCGGAAGGAAAATGAAGGTCGACGCGAGGAATACAATAAACAGCTGCGCGACGCTAAGGATCGAGTGCAACATGACATTGCCCGTCTTGCCTCCACCTTTCACCGAGACGAAAACCAGATCCAGTTTGACCTGGTTGGTGGTACCCTGTATCGTAAACCACGTCGCCTATGCTTCGAGGATGTAAAGATTAGTATGGAGGCCAAAAAACACAATGCAGGTGTGTTTCTTTTCGATGTCTACCCAGAATAAGTTGATGACATGATACTTACAGATCTTCCACCTGGAAAGCGTCTTGGGATCAAGAAACTCAGGGCTGTTGCCACTGCTAATACCACCTACGATAATCTCACACCAGAGGAAAAGAGTGAGATGGTAAAGGCGTTTGAGGCTGAGAAGGCTGTCAAAAGCAAATCAGTACGCAGCACAAGCTTGTCAGCGGGTAATGACTTTAGAGCAACATCTGGCCACATTGGACAAGAGGTCTGTCATGTTTAATTCAGCTTCTAACAAACAGACACTTACCTTGGATCTGTTAGCTCCAAAATCTGGCCGTACGAACCGGCGCCATGTCATTTTCTATCATGACACGCTCACACCTTGACGACGCCTTCCAGACCCAGGTTCATTCAAGTTTGGGAGCAGAAGAATTTATCTGGGATACATTTAATATGGAGCTCGTCGACATGGCACGGCATTTTGAGATGTGGGCATGTTCAAAGGCCACAAGTACGTTTACTTATGAGTACAATGTCTCTAGCTGATAAAATTTCAGATCACGACGAGAGAGAGACAACCGCTGGTATCCGGTGCGAGATCACTGCAAAGATCCAAACAAAACTCCGTAAGTTTATCCTTTCCGCTGATAATGATGGATTACTCACTATACAATAGGCTCTGCAAGTCATATTAGGACTGCAGCGATGCATTATGAAAAGTACGATACTCACATCATTCAGGCGTATGGTGTTGAGCTCCGTGGCTGGCCCAAAGGCATCCCCTTTATGACGCCATCAAATATCAAAGGCATTGTAGACCTGCGTAAGCTTCATGATGCGTTGGATAGCGGAAAATGTCACTGGCATGAGCTCACCCCTGAAGAATTACGGAGACGGGAGGAGGAATGACAAAAGAAGGTTGCTGATGGTGTGGTGCCTATTCGTCAGCGGAAACCACGTTCTGATAAGGGTAAGAAGAGGGTGCGAAATGTGATGGCGTCTGAGGGGGAGGCACCACGCTGGAAGCGTCGCAATGTTGGTCAATCAGGGGATGTCAGATCTTCGTCTCAAGCCTCCTCTTCGCGTCTCCCACCTATGCCTGACACTAATTAACTATGACTGCTGCTATTGACTTTAATAAAGACTTTACTCACCTGATTATACTGCACAAACTATAATATCCGTAACTTAATGCAGGATGACTGAATGGTAGCAGAGAGAAGCTGGTCTACAGCGAGGGTAGAAGAGTTGGTCTAAGCCAGCGCGTCGGGCTTTCAGAGCGGATATCCACATGTTTTGATCAAGCTGAGGGTTAGATAATTGTTTTTGATTGATCGGAGATGCGGGACGGTAGCTGGGGCTAGGCTCGTGATGTCATTGAAGACCCCAATTCGCTTTTTGGTCTTATTGTTCCTGAATACGGAATGTGCTTGCTTTGTACAGCCCAGACTCGATCTACTGTGTTCCCGTGACATTGGGATATACTCCTTCTGGCGTTCCACGATTTATATGATTTTTTCCTGATTTTTTCCGATTTATTTCACCAAGTTGTACTGCTTATCACCCGACACAGTGAGCAGGCAAGCGGGATCACGGTGATCTGATGGCCGGCATGAAGTCGGCAGGGCGGGATGATGTTCTTGTGCTTGCACCCTCTCCTCATCCATTTATAGTGATCCCCTGATGACGTATCAATGCCAATATCGGCCTTTATTCGAGTATTATCGGAGTACTGCCTCTTGACTACCTTTAAGCCATATTACATATGGTGGCTCGACACGCCATCACATGTTATATGACCTTACATGTGGGACGAGTAGGTGCCAATCTTGGCTCATTCACACTGGGACCCGACCCGAGTTCGAGTTTGCTTGTTTTCTCCACCTTGCCAGAGGAAGAGTCTTCTCACACTTTGGCGCACCATCACATTCTGCCGTTGATATACACTCACTACAGCATCCGGTTACCCAGCTGCAGCTGTAAAAGTATCCAGACCCAGGACAACTTCTGATCCCATGTGATCGCTTGATGGTGGTGCAGAGGCATAAAGATTGCGACGAATCCTCTTCACCTCGCCATGACGCGACAACGCATTCCGTTTACTTTCCCCCCTTGCTTAGTCCACGGGTATTGAATTATTTTATTGTTGTAGCATCAAACACAAGAGTCAGTCAGTTAGGTGGAGTCTTTTCGTCTGTCAACTCGGTTGCTTATTACTAGTACACTTAAGCGCCAATTGATATCGATGTGCATCATAGGTATTTATAATGGCAATTACAGGACATACTGCCAAGAATCTCATTGTTGAACAATGAAATGGTATTGACGCCGGCTACTTCGATATCTGACAGGTAAGAAACAGTGATAAAAACTTTGATCCAAACCACCCCCTGCGGATAAACGAGTCTTCCGCTTCGGTCAAGATGATGCAAGATTGAAAGTTAAGGTTTTCAGCAAGACTTCGGTAAATAAAGTGTTCAAATTGGAAAGCCTCCTTTTGAAGCTTCTCAGGCCACCCAGCAGCTATGGATCTGTACAATATGTCACGATTACGGCATTACTATTATCATCCTCTAGAGTCGAGAACTCTAGGAGTCAGGAGCGTAGGACCACCGCCGTGGCCCGTGACCGACCAGTCAGCATTGAGCAAAAATGAATGTAAACTAAAAAGAAGACCCCAGCGTGACTCGAACACGCGACCCCGAGATAAAGCTAGAAAGCTGCAATCTCATGCTATAACCACTTAGCTATGGAGTCCCGACATACTTTCGAAATGTCAGCCTCACATTCTCTCTTGAATCTCGTAATTTAGTATTTGTCCGATGAGTCCCTTTATCCCTCTACTACCTTCAACTATGGAAGGCTGGTCAAAAAGATATGTTGACCCACGCAAAGTCGCCAAATCTTATAGGCCCAAAGCTGGGGTACGTTCAATCTCCTAATTCGTATCGCCAATGCTCAACGTGAAGACACAGGCCATGTCTCCTGGGCTCAAACGCGCGCGCGAACCCTTTCGGATACCAAACGCTCTGACGGGCTTTGTCTTGGGTGCATTCGCTGTGGGGGTATACTCGTATTCAATATACGCTGTGAAACAAGACGAGTTCGAAGACCTCGACGAAGAAGTCAAGGCGCGCGCGACATCACTGGCGAGGGTGAATGCTGGGCATCTGACGGAGGACGAGGAGAAAGGGCTCATGGATGCTGCGATTGCAAAAGTTGCTACCGGGAAAAAGTAGAACAAATGTGGGGGACTGGGTGCACGGTGGAATCATACAGTGTGTTTATAATCACGTTAATGCTCTCACTTCTCTCTGCAGTGTTTTCCTGTCCATGAATTATTCCGGGTGAAGGGGTATCTCAAATACGGTAAGTATATCTAAACGACATCTAACCCAGTCCCCAGACACCCGCCTTCCGAACACCTTCAACCAACGCATTTACATTCCCCAGCATTGTACCAAGAATTGCCTTCTTTTCCTCAGTCGTCCGAACCTTTTCTGTGACCCCCGTCGCATTTGGACTCGTGTTAAGGACAAAGGCAGATCCCAATCGGGATCTTGTACTTGTTTGAGACACACTTTTCCCGGGATGAGGTCGCAAGAGGCTTGTGTTTGCAACTGAGCTCGCTGTGGACCTTTGCGGACTCTCCGGTACGAAGTCAAGGTCCCGCTGCAACATTTGCAGAGGCTTCGGCTTGAACACCGGTGAAGGGGCATTGACCGGTGTTTTTGGTTTTGGCAAAGGATCTGCCGTCGTCTTTGTTGGAGATGACTGTATAGAAGACGCAGCAGTCAAGGCTGAGGCAACAGACGACGTTGATGAAAAGGATTTAGCAGAGCTAGCCGACGTTGACCGCGACGTTTGACCTGAACAGAAGGTGCTGGAGCTCGCAGAGAGGGTTGTGCTTCCAGAGCTCGTTGTGAACCCAGATTGAGAGGTAGATGCTACGCTCCCAGAACCAGATGAGAAGGAGTAAGTGGAGGAGCCGTAACGTGATATCGGACGCGCTGGCGTCACATTGATGTATGGTTTCTTCGGTCGCAAGGACGTCGTAGCAACAGATGTCGCCGGAGCAGTGGCGATGAGCGGCACGGAGGGTGGATGCTTCAAAACATCAGTTTCTGCAGAAGGACTCTCGTCGAGCAGGTAGAAATACAAAAATTCCAAGCATTTCATTCTAATGTTCAAATGTCAAGATAATTGCAGATAACCGCGCGGGCATGACATACCTAACTTCACGAGGAGTTCCAGCGCGTTTGAGAATTTTGACGATAGCCTGTACTCCACTGCACTCTTCAAACGAGCGCAGAGTGGCAGAAGAATCAACTAGGATACAGAGGAGGGCATCCATGACAATGGATGACAGTGGCGCCTGTGATTCTCGGGTTTTGAAAAGTGAGCCGGACGGGTTTGGGTCAGATGGACAAGGTGCATGGCGTGAAGTCAAGAGTAGATCAATGAGTATCTTCCAATGCCTATCAGATTTAATTATCAAACTTTTCCGCGATGACGCACCTCTATGGGATATTTCCGACCAAGATACGTTTTGCTGGCAGGGTGCAGCATGACAATACCTTGAATAAGAGACAAGGAAAGTGAGAGTTGGTCCAACAGTTGTGATATTTGGGTGCTGTCACTGTCTGCTCTTGTCATCAATAACGAACCGGGCAAAATGATAAAAATACCGAACCGTCAGGTGTTCCCCTATTTAAGAGGGTTTCAAGTTTAGCTGAAACTTCTGCTATCCAAGGCATTAACCTGAGCGGTACTATACGCAGATTAACTACTAAGAAGGAAACAGACCAACATGATACCCACTATTACATTCAAACATGTGCTGTAGAGCCACGAAAAAGTCAAGGATTTCTGATTTCTTTTGAGCACAGATCGACAGTTGACACTCTAGGCGTTGCAAGGCAGCCGTTTTACTCGCATAAGCCGTACGAGGGGACAAAATCTATCAAGCTCGCAAGTCAGCAAGCTGTCATTGATGTGGAAAGGAAGCACTTGCATCATCCAGAGAGTCTTGTATAAGGGTTCGTATGTTCGACAGCTGATCATCCATGGTGCATGTATTCGTAAAATGGGTGGCGGAGGTTGAGTGCAAATTTGATAAGTTGAAATTTGTCTCGCGTCTGTAGGCGTCTGTTTGTTGACTTTCGGGCCGCAGAGTTTCGCGACGGAGTCACGTGTGGAGCTAGGGTTAGGGTTCAAAAATCACCTATGCCTTGGTTTCAAAATTGTAAACTCTTTTTGAATAGTAGTACCACAATGGCCAGCCTCGTCCGGAGCGTTTTGGCTAATCAGTCGCGCTCGCTTCGGGGACTGGGTGTCAGGTCGGCACCTGTCTTGTCGAGGACTACCCTGCGAACCCCCAGGTTTGCTGGTTTCGCGACTGCGAGTGAAGATGCGGAAGCGGAGATTCCACAGCCAAATGACGCCCCGGTGCCTTTTGGCGGCGAGAGGGAAGGTCACACTGATTGGTCCAAGAGTTACTATGGTCTTTCGCAACAGGCTTTCCCTAAAGAGGCTGCCGACATCCTTCTTGCGCCTGTGGATCCTCTCGACGTTGAATGCAAGCCAGGTGCACTAACTTTTGTTTTTCGTTGCACGCCTGTTCATTCCTATTGGGACAGATGGCCTTCTTTACCTTCCTGAAATCAAATACCGTCGCATTCTGAACAGGGCGTTCGGTCCTGGTGCATGGGGTTTGGCACCTCGTGGTGAAACCAATGTCAGTGCAAAAATTGTCAGCAGGGAATACGCTCTTGTATGCCAAGGACGGTGTGTATGTCCATTTTCTAGGGGATCTCTTTCTCAATATCTTTATTTAGGCTTGTCGCCATTGCTAGAGGCGAGCAGGAGTATTTTGATGTCAATGGAGTCCCCACGGCTACTGAAGCGTGCAAGAGCAATGCCCTGATGCGCTGCTGCAAGGATCTGGGAATTGCTAGTGAACTTTGGTGCGCTTTTTCAAGATCAAATCTACTCGGGTTTAATGCTACTCAGGGATCCTCGATTCATTCGCGAATTCAAAGCTAAATATTGTGTTGAAGTGTTTGCCGAGCACATCCCTACTAAGAAAAAGTTCGTACATTGTATTTACCTCTTGCAAACCCATTTCTCAGTCATCCCAATGTCTACAGGAAGAAGTTGTGGCGGCGCAAGGATGCCCCGAAGCTGGCTTACCCTTACCAAGAGTAAACGCATAGCCAATCCATTGTACCTTCTTACAAGCATGTATCGTAATGCTACATGTCTCTGGCACTCCACTCTCATAAATCTATGCATAATTACATACATGCCTCATGAAAATAATAAGAGCAAACCTGAGTAGATCATCCAGAATATTGCCTTTTCACGGCTTTCCCAGTGACTACCACGTTCACACGTTGCTTATCTTTTAACGATGTGGTCAGTGCCCTTCGCGCGACGTACACCTCTTGTCTCACACCTGTCATCGTCAGCAAACACATTCTAAACGCTCAAGTCTCCATTCGAGCGCCCTGCTGCAAGAAATGGTTCGACTGTGCTGAGTGCCACGCTGAATCCGAGACGCATCCACTGGTACGGACAACCGAGATGGCCTTCATATGCAAAAAGTGCAAGAAGGCTTTCCGTAAGGACATGGCGAATTACGAGGAGAGCGACGAGTATTGTCCGCATTGTGATAACCATTATGTGCGTTTGTATCCCGTATATCAGACTGATTAATTGGATTGGATACATTATGTGCAGGTCATTGAAGCAAAGACGCCGCAAGCTATCGTCGGTGTAGAAGGTGATGATGCTAGGGTGGATGCTAGGTGCGCCCGCATTGATCTTCGCTGGTGCTAGCACTGACTTTGAAATCAGAATGTTAAAAGACGATCGGGTGAAGGAGACCAAGAAACGGACCATCTTTTCCCGGGACGACTTCGAGGATCGGCTGGGATGAGCGTGGATAACGACTTTACTGTGTTTTGAGAGTTAATTCATTCTAGGTTGTATCATCCCAGCCGCCACCGTTACTTTTCAGTGTTTTGGCAATATACCTGTGGCCGGGGCGCAATGAGCGCACCGTTTCGCACCTCTGTTGCGCTGGAAGGATGTAATCAAATGCATGTCGCCATTACGCGTCAATTTTGCTCTCGTCGTAAGAGGCATTCAAATCGTTCCTCAGAGTATCTTTCGTTGGTTGACTGGCCATTTGATCTCTGAAATTGACATACCCTCCTTTGTGTTCCCTAGTTTCATCACTAAAAGAGCCTGAAGCGCTCAAACTGACACATGTCGTGAATACATTTCTCACGACGAAGGGGTACGGACAGATCAGACGACCAACAGGACTTCTTCTTGCCTGTCGGCCCTCTGGATTCAAATCCCATTTCCTCTCGCTCCTCCAAGTCTACTCTCACAATCGACAATGCTTGCAGATCGCCCTTTTAGACTTTCTGTTACTTACTCCTTGTCGCGTTATAGAAATGACCCGTTTTCGTTTTCGTAAATCGGCTTCTTGAATGGCTTCGTGATTGTGTACGGTGTACACCAGTTTTGTTCCCCACTGTCGTCCGAGAACTCGGAACCCATCATGGGCTTTGTACACCGTACACGATTACGAGGCTATACAAGAAGCTTGTTACTATGTCGGTAAACCATGCGTACTAGATGATAACGTGGACTCCGGGCGTATTCATATTCTGCGAACGCAGCTTCGCACAGAATACTGCAGACTTTGTTGGATACACAGGCCAGGCATAGTGCTGAGGACAGGAGGCAAGACAGTCGGAAAGCAGCAGGGTATTAGTTCTGTAAGAGATGGTCTGCGTGTGCCAGTAAAACCCGAAGAGCAGAGGGCAAGGCGTACCAGCCAGGAAATTGAAAACGAAAGCACTGCTGCACACCCAATTTCTCCCGTTGAAAAGCAAAACAAGCAATACGCGTAAAAATGTTCAAGTTCCTGAGCGATACAATAATAAATGAAAGAGATACGACACGGTAGAGCGACGAGGATGACCCAGTAGGAAGCCGTTGGGGATCATGAAGCTGTTTGGCGCTCCACAAGGGACCAAGAACTCACATTGTAACCCCTTCTACTCCCTTCGTGCGCAATAAAGTAAATAGCAACACCCTATTAAACGAGACTACATTAGTGGTTAATCTCGAGCGAAGGTAATGGCGGCGGCAGTGACAGGGAAGAACCAAAAGTCTGTGAAATAGCACTTCTACGCGAGCGGTAAGATGGTGGTGGGGATCTACTGTCCATGAGCCCCATCTGCTCCATATACCTCAGACGGTTTGTCTGAGACGAAACTTCTTGTCGTAACCGTTCGATCTCTTCTTCATATGCATTACGGGAAGACTGGGTCAGTCTGCTCGGGAGGCGATCCGCCGGCTGACCAGGTGTCATTGGCGCTAGAGATTCGGTGGATTCGGTCTGCGCAGAGGGATATGATGACGACTCTGCACACTGTTCTTCATTGGAGTTATTGATAATATCCACAGAGGAAGTCGGTGAATACGCAGTCGTTAAGTCATTCACTGAGTTAATGGTCTCTCTATGCGATGAATGCCGATAGCTGACTGTAGAAGGGGAGCTGGAGACTCTCGAAGTATCGTAACCGAGTCGACCTGAAGGAGGAAGAACAAGGGAGTCGCTGTCAGAGGCGCTGGCGAGAATCTGGGTTGTCAAGGGCCGCTGGAAATCGTGGCCATCACTATCTTCGCCTATTTCGGCGTCAGACTCAAGGCATGGAGTCCTGTTCGGGGAAACGATGACAAACTTCCTTCTGCGTTTTCGCAGGACGAGGTAGATAATGATGGCTACTAAGAAAGCGAGAAGGCCGATGGATCCTGCAATTATACCGCCAATCTGGGCTGTCGAAGGTCTTGAAGAGACAAAAGTGAGATACGTGGGCAACGTACAGTGCTGTGGAAAGACATACCGGAAAGCGTCACCCGCTTTGGATGAAGGAACCACAATCGTAGTTGTAATGACAGACGTTGGGGCCTGGGCCGCGACTGTATAGGTAGTTGTAAAGACCTCCGTTTCGGTTGTATATGGCATGGATGTCGTCAGGGTAGGTGAGACAGTTATGGTCGTTAACGTGTAAAGAGTCCTTATAGATATGAAAGTTGTCGTATAAATAGTATAACCACCGTCCTGCATAGTATTGCCTAGTCTTACGCTGTTCGACAGTATTTAGCCATTTGTTTGACAGCAAAAGTCAAGGAGAAGGACACACAGAGGGTCATATGTTGATAATTCCGATTGCAACCCAGCGGAACTACTATGTTGGTAAGCTGACATTGTAGTTGTATCAACGGGAATAGGAGTTGGACTGGTGAATCCGTCATTGCTCTCGGATTGCCTCATCTCAGGGTGCGAGGCGTTCATAGGTGAGGAAGTAATTGTATTAGAGGGCTGCGGCAGTCCTCGTACAAGGGACGGCTGAGAAGACACGGCGCTTGTGGCAGCTGCTGTCCCTGATATTGGAGACTGCGCTAGCATACTGAAGGAATCACATTTGTGGTTCGCCTGACTGGACGAATTGGGAGTTGAGCCTGTATCTGGCGATGTAGTGATGGAAGTTATATCTCCACCGCTAGTATAACTATGGGAAAAATTGGATGCGGCTGAAGAGCTCGTTGAAGGAGTGAATGCTATTCTGGATGGACTTGAGGTCTGGATTATGCTCGAAGAGTAAGATGCAGTAAGTGGCGTGGCTCCACTGCTAGGGCTCATGAAGTCGTGGGTAATAGTGGGTGTACGCTCTGAAGCAAACATGGTGGCCGCCGATGTGGGAGTACTCGTGTCTGAAGGCGCATCATCGGAGGTAGTTGAACCGGATGCCAACACTTTGGTTTGCGATGAATCAATACTCGAGGAATCAGAAAACGAAGTATGCAATAGAGTTTCAGTGAATGAAGTAGTGGTATTTGAAGCAATCGTGGTCTGTGAGGACTGGATTACAGCGACCGAAGTCCTTGCGTCCAAGAATGCTGAGGCGGTGATGGCTACAGAACCTGCAGCCGAAGGTCTCCTTGAGGAGGAGGAAAGTGGTGATGTAGTCACTCTCTTACTAGAGGAGACAACAGAGTTAAGGGGAGCTGCTGAGCTGGTAGAGTGTAGTATGGGAGCGGTGTTAAAGGAAGGGAATGTCGCCTGTGATGAGCTTGAACCCGTAGGCTCTGACACTGAGGATGAAATGACAGTAGAAGTAGCAGCATTGGTAGCAGAAGTGGTAGAAAAGAGCGAAACGAAGCTGTCTGTTAATGCCCGATGTGTCGTAGAAGTTGACACAAACAACATCTCTGATGTGCTCGAACGGTAGGGGAAGAAGTCGAAGTGCCTGTGTTCTGTTGCGTCCAGTCGGTGAGCCTTCTGCGGGTGATATATCTAAGACGGTGATGGTAACCGTCGCATCTGTGTTGAAAGCTATTGGCTCTCTATAATCCTGTGAACCAGTTAGATAACGTGGTTCAACATTGCGCTTTGGCCTATAGAGGTCGAGTGAATATTATATCAACCGTGACAGAATCTATATAAGCTTACCAAGTGGGAGAACAAACCTCAGACAACGAAACCTCTAATCAAAGGATGGGGGCGAAACGAGTCAGACCCATCGTTCTTATAGTCAGCACTCGCAAGTTGATCCCGTCGTAACGACTCTTGTATTCAACCTGTTGGTCGTCTAAGAACTGACGGCGTCTTGCCCCCTTTCATCTTTTTGAATGGTCACTAAGAAAAGGTTGTATCGAAGCTCTTGACTGTAACCAACGGAGCACTCACCCAAAGATACATGCAGAATGATTGACTGCAAACAGATGAATCATCCGAGATGATCTTGCCACTATTTCTCGCGGTCCTGCCTCAGTTCTTGCCAGCTGTCGAAGTAAATAACAGCAGAAAATTCCCATTCAGACCTTGTTGAGGTGACGTTCGCATGCAGAGTCGGACCGCGGCAATTCCCGATTGGATTTACTCAATGACAGCTTTTTCCTTTTCATTTGGTCAAATCTTGTCATACTTTCACACTTTCCAGCACCACTGCCTTCTTTTAGGATCAAGACACTGTCGATCTCTTCGGTTGAGAATCTGACCTCAACACTATCTTACGACACGACGTTTCGTGTTTACCCAGTTGACAACATACTGGCATGGTGAATCTTCTTGCACGATGGCTGTGGATATTACGCGAGAGCACTTTGCGATTCGCCACCATCAGGATCATGAGGAGTCCCGATGTTCAGTAGGATGGCATAGGTCTGCAGCTAGATTTTCTTTCTTCGCGCGTTCAAGATAGCTTTCATTTCCCAAGTTTGAAATGGATCCTTTGGAGAGGTTTACAAAGGGTGCAGTTCTTAGTGGACTCCTACTGACTTTGGCCCAGTCCAAATTAATTGCCAGCTACGGCTCAAAAGACGGTAGCAATTAGGATACCTGATCCCCGATGTGCAAAGGACGAGATTGAAGATGTACAGCAGGAGGTGTTCTCTCAACTCGACTCACTGTGTTACACCTGCTCAGCCTGCTGGTCCATCTTGTCAACGTTTCCTGGATACCATAGATCCAATCTGATTACAATCCTCGAATTGTCATGGAATATATATTCCTCTCACTCTATCTACTTCATGGAATACATCGTCGATTCTGGATAAGAAACCTGTTGGCAGCTTTCAAGAAAATCGAAGAGCGGAGGGAGCAGTTCTCTTGAAATCTATCAGCGGTGCTCACGGGGCATTTGTTTGTATTATCAATCCTACATGCTAGGTATATTGTTCCGGAGGATCATGGATACGCGGTTCTGTTTATCAGCTTCCTCAAGCGACAATCGTTCTTACTTTTTCCAGGTAAATTCGGTCGTATATCAAGAACCATCGTCGTACGCGAACTTCTCTGCGAGTATCTCCACAGCGAGGTTGAACTCCAACGTGGCATTCAAGGCGCTATGATAATTTCTATAATCTTCCCTTCTATCGACGGCCCGAGTTAACGCCGAAGAGACTGACTACTCTCGAGACGAACGCCGATGATTATGCTGACCATGAACATAGATGCTATCTGAGTCCCCGGAGCTCCTGCTAAACATGACAGATCCTACCACCTGCACTGTGTAGTTGTCAACATCCTTCTCTGTGCGGGTGACCACCAGCACAGTCAAAATTCACCGATTTTGGGGACACCGATGGCAACTATCAGGAACGCTCCACGAAGAAAAATAGTTTTGTAGGCACGTCATATTGGATCTCCTCAGAAGTTATCAGGCAGTCGATATGACCACAAGGCAGACATTTGGAGCATTGAAATCGCCGCAATTATATTAGCTAAGGGAGAACCACCCTACGCAGAGCTACATCCGATGAAGGGTCGGTATTCATAGACAACAGCTCTTTCTCACCTTAATCGAAGATCCTCTTTTTAATTCCTAAAAACCCACGGCCGATACTGGAAGTTTCTCCAAGCCTTTTCAGGACTTGGTATCATTTTGCCTCCGACCTTCTACTCGTGGCATTTTGAAGCACAACTTGTTCGTTTGAATAGCGAAGAAAACTGGCTACCCATTCAGAACGATGCATATGCTTTCTATCTGTCGAAGATTGTCAATGCCACGCCTTTGTGAAACCCGTCACGTCCGCAACGACCTTCTGTCTCCATGTAATCGTCTAACCGAAGCGTAAGTTGTGGCATAAACACTCATCGGGTATTTGAGGACACTGGAACTTACCTCTACACCCACTAAGTTTATTTCTCGCTCAGTCTCTTCACCCCACCTGTGTACTTTTCGTGGTTCCGGACCGCCATGCACCGTCCGTTCATGACACATGCTTGGAACTGATGACATCGCAACCGATGTCACCGAGTACCAATGGCCAGGAGGGGACGTAAAGGCGAACGTCTTGCATTGGCAGGAGGAAAGTGCGAAATTCGGGGGACGTTGTGCAGTCTGAAGGTGGTGAGATTAGTGACGAATCATAACGTGGGTAAAGGATCAACATTTCAACCGCCAGAATCAAACCTTCGTCATTACAAAAATTGGGAATTGGTATTATCTTTGCTACTCCTTTCAAGTTTCATGAGCTCGGTGGGTACTAGGTATAGTAGGTTGCTGATTGCAAAAATAACGCGGAATAATTTGGCAGCTCCCGAGTCCTGGACCCCGAGCCTTTCTCGCAGTACTAAGTCATTTTGGAAATGACGAGAACTGATATGTGTTTATCCACTACAGTCGTTATTAAAAAGAACGTCTCCTCTTTCCTAAAGGGTCTGGGTTCTCTAGCAACAAAATACTAAACGGCTAGCGAGAACCTACGGATCTAGAAAGGTCGTACGTATCGACTGGCTATAGCCTGCCCCGTATAGGTACTTCCCAGTGCTCTCTACTAAACCTAAGGAGAATAGCAGCTGTCTCCTTACTCTCTCTCGACAGGTCTGGATTCGCCTGATACTTACAAGCTAAGGGATGACCCGGCGTGCGCATCATTCCACCCAGGTCTGCCCCGTATGGGCATCCTTCCCACCCACTAATCCTGATCGCCGAGACCAGAAATAGTAAACCCAGAAGCCTCGTTCACGACTAGGGACACGAACTACGGCCTCATCTCCTTCTTGATCCGCCTCAAACATATGTACTGCTGTCTACCAATTTTGTACTTTGTATCCGGCGAAATGAATCCCCATGCCTCGCCGTAGAACTTCTTGAATTTGTAACACCGCACAGGGTATATGAACGTTCGAGCTTCTCCTAGCAACTCACGCTCTAGGCTTCAAGGATGACCGATCCCTCCCCTTGGCCGCCTGAATCTAAGTAAAGCTTATTCAACGTGGCACTTTCGACCAGGAAGTATGCAGAAAGCGGAAGGCATAATTGTTCAGACGTAGCACTTGTGCCGGTATTGATAGAGATCTTTGCCAAGCGACCCGCCCAACACGGAACGCCAAGATCTGGGGATAAGAGGTTCGGGGGAGTTATGGAGATCCCCGTTTATCTGAATCTGGCCCAGACTCTTTTCTTCTCAGTTATCAACAACAACCAATGATTTTGCAGTGTTCGTTCACATGATTCAAGACTTTGATCTTTGTCCCGCCCTCGGCGAATCCCGCAATGTCCATATGTAGTAGTGTACGGTCCTCATTCGAGGGCGGATCACTAGACGTTCTTAGTGTCTGAGCGCTGCGCGAAAGTAGTCAGTGACATTGGTCTTTTCTCGGTCTAATGAATGGTAATCATTCTATATCATAGATGATCATTATCATAAGTTCTAATCAGACGACGGGCGGAGACCCTCAAGATTACGAACTATGTGAGATGGGAAAACAACAACAAAGAGCGTATCTGCAGAGAGGAGTGATATAAAATAATGCAAGCATAGAACACTAGATGGATGATGGAAACCGTAAAAGATAGACTGAGCAGCTGGAATACACATATAATAGTATATAACCGAGCACCAACGAAGGAAGCAAGGGTAAAAAAAAGTCGGTCATTGAGCTTCCTCCATCTCCGCCTCCTCCTGAACCACCCCAACCTCATACTCACCACATACATCCCATCGCGAGCCATCCGCAGCTGCCGACACATACTTGACAAACCGCATTACACGCTCGTCCCTCAAAACCAGTAACAGACGGTTAAATCCGGGCTGCACTGTCAGTAGTGTGCTATCTTCCTCGTCATCGTCCTCTTCGTCCTCCGGGGGCCCAGCCTCGTCAGCATCCATAGGGATCGGGTCGGGGCTACTATGTTTCCCATTCGGACTACCATCGGACGGACTGTGTCCTCCGTTGCCACTCGCGGTTGCTGCTGCGGAGCCACCGTTGGTAGACCCGTTGCCGTTGCCGCTAGAGTCTACCGTCCAGGCAGTCCCATTAAGAACAGCCGACTTTTTGTACGTACCGGCACGATACACGGCCGGGTCGTCCTCTTCATTATGTGGAGCCATGTAGCACTGAAAGAATGTTCATTAGCGAGGAAATTAATGGAATGAAAATTTTATTACCTCCCAAGCACCCCACTGGCCAGCGGCCCATCCACGAAGCTCCTTGCCCCTCCCTTTGCCCACCCTTCCTCTCATGTCATCGTCTTCACTCTCCAAAGCCTCGGGCGTCAGTCCAAGGACTACATCCAATCTAGCTTCATTTTCCTCGCTCGTCGCGAGCGTATAATCTAACCCGGGTCTAAACCGCCTCGCTTCGACATTATGTCTTAACGGTAGAAGTTTAGTCACGCTTGCCATCCATGCTCGCAAAGCTTGAGATGGGAACAGCTCATCCTGGAGCGCCCGTAGAATCTCCGATGGAGAGGGATGGGCGGAGAGTGGGGTGACGGACGTGACAGGAGCGGAGGGGGAGGGCGGGAGAAGGGTGCAGTACCGCCACTTGTGCGGAGGTCCTTTGACGGTCCAGGCGCTATTGGATTCGGCAACGAGCGGTGCTTTGCCATTTGTAGCCCCGTGGGGCATATGTGTCGTCGGGTTCGACGACGCGGGGAGGTTGATACCAGAAGAGTGTGGTGGGACGCGGCCCATTCGTTCGGGACCAAGGCCGTCCGTCGCATCAAGATCTCGTAGACGTGGTTCGAGGGCCTCGGCAAGATCATTCTTGAGGAAAGAGTGCAACTCCAGAGACGACTCTTCGACAAAACGTGAGGCGAGAGCTTTCATGGTGCGAGACTGAAGGTAGACGGGGTTGAGATATTCACTAAGGAAAGATATGTGCTCCTCGGATAATGGCTGGTCTGTTAGCTGAGGTAATCCGTCAGGTAGCGGTGAGGAGGTCGGTGTGTCTGTGTATGGTCTAAAGACGGTAGAAGTAGAAGCCTGTGAGGAGCATCAGCAGTGTACAGAACCATCGAGGAGATCACCAACCAGCTGCTCTCGTGAGCTCTTGCCCTCAGCGGTTAGCCGTTCGGGATCATAGCCTTCCTCACCCTCCTGGGCGGCATGGAACCAGCCGCTAATGCTCAAGCGCTCCCTGCCATCTTCTCCTTCTCCGCCGACGACCACTTCCTCGACAGAGTGGAAGCTGCGACCGGGCTGGACCTCGAAAAAGATGAACTGATTCCAACTTGGTGGGATCATTTTTGCCGGTACAGGAAGCGGTTCCAGGTTACCATCACCAGCTTCCTTGACGGGATAGAGCTCGAGGGCGCCTCCCCAGTCCTTTTGCCAGAGTTGGTAATTGGGAAGGGGCATGTAAAGAATGTAGGAAACGCGTCGGCTACCGATGACATCGTCGTGATTGAGGAGATGGCAACCTTTGGTGTACGAATTGACCGACATGTCCTGTTTCTTGCCAGATAGAGGTCCGCAACCAGTGACGGTTCGGAGGAAAGAACGAAATTCGTAGGAGTAGAGCGCATCTCGGAGTCTGAGGAGATTGGGTAGGAGGGAAATTTGAGAGGAGGTGAGGTAATTGAGCGAAGCAAGGTCCCCTGTCTGATTTACCTGCAGGGTAACGGGAATTGTTAACAAGACCGGCGCATATAGTCAATGAAACGGACCTTGTAGATGTCGGTCTCCTTCTCTGTGAAGCTCAGCTCGCTAAGACACTCGTCCTTGACATTCTTGAGCAGGTCATCTTGGAAAAGCTTCTCGACCATGGCATAGTGAAACGGCGTGCTCTCGAGGTAGGAGGTGTTTAGTCTCGATATGTTGGCATGGTCGAAGAGATCCGTCGCAAAGGCAGCAACTGGATCGCCTGCTGCAGTACCATTATTGGGATGTTGAGTCTTCAGCCGCTTCAACAAGGATACGGTGTCTGATTGGTCTGCAGACGGCGATCGAGGGCGCGCCATGGCAGTTTTTGGAGGTCGAGGCCGTACTCGTCCAGTTGAATTAGCTTGTGGTTGTTGGCAATAACGGTGGCGGATTGCCCGCTAAGCTGGGTTGGTCGCGGCGGGTCGGATGCCTGTAAAGAAAGGCGGCGAGGTCGTCATCAGTACGGGGATGAGAATGTGGGGAAGGGTAAGTAGGCCATCGACTGACCCAGTAATCCGTAAGGCGGCAGGACAACGAGAACGAGGAATGGGAATAAAAGGCAGATATATGTTGATATGTGCAAGATATATGCCTCTGTAAGGTTTCGGAAGAAAAATGGTAGAAAAATGCAAGTTGGAAAATTGGCCGGCAACCAGGTGATGGCCGGTTTAGGAAGGTGGGAGTCTCGACTGGATCTCGGCCTGTTTGGACCTGGCTGTACCTGCCTCTGACGATTCGTATTTCAAGTGATTACAAGTCTATACCCGTCTATACCTCGCATCCTGTAGGAACCAGAGGGGGTAATACCACATGTCTGCCGTGTAACTCCCGGACTTTATAGCGAAAGGTATCACAGGTACCGCAAGATTCAGATCCATGCACAGACACAATTCTATACTGATGAACCACTAAGAGCTAGTTTTACCGTAGATGTCTGGACTCACTACAAAATGAACCCACTTGACGCCCACTACAAATACTTCCTTGATCCTCCTCTACACGCAAGCCCCGTTGCCGTCAGAGTCGAGATTCCCGGTCCTGGAAATTTTCTTCTGCTTCCAAGTACCCTGCTTCCAGATTGGTTCCTTCGCTCCCACCAGCTCGTCCAATCATCAATTACCTGCACTGCTGCAATTGGCTGATATTCTGAGTCGGTCTTACTTCCCGACTCTATACCAATCCCGACTCGCCGAGCTTCATTTAGTTCATGTCTGGACCCTTTGACTACCCTTGTCCCAATATTCGATATTCAGCGGCGCGTGTTGGCGCATCTGGACTTGCTGCACCGTCATCGCGTATCGCTTGTCGGCCGACCCTCACTCGGCATTCTCCCTAGTGACCTTCCATATTTTTTCCTTGAATAAAAGTCCTCGTCATTAATCGGCGTCATGTCCGTTCAATCATCATGTCTGTCATTTTATGCACTAACCCCTTGTCATTTAAATTATCCCTTTTTATTCCTCGCAGCTTTCCTTGTGGCGTCATTGACCATCTCGTATCTCATTGTTGTGGCGCTCTCGACTCTACTGCCGCCGTCGCAAGTTACGACATTAACGCTCCCTACTTCCGAGCCAATAACCACTCGACTTGAACGTCGTGTTGCTTCGGCCATGTATCCGATCGCGTTTCAACCAAAAATATAATATAAAGACCGTATTTCGAACCGTAAAATATCTTGTACAACATGGAAATAGACGAGACTGTACAACTAAATAGCAATGTAAGAAGAAGGACAACACGGTACTAGGCATGCAAATGAACGAGATGTGTGTAATATTTATTGACAACCTAACAAATAGAGAGCCTGCATAAGCTAAGCTTAAGCCTTCACGTCGTCATAATACGGCGGTAGTAACCCTTCATTAGGTCTAATGGGAAGAGTTATCCTGCCCGTAGTCGTATTTGATTGTGACCTTGTGTGTCGGTGCGAATCTGACCTCCGCACCCACGCTTCAGTTGCTGATTGGCGGAGCTCTGGTGTGAGGTTCTTTAATGATACTGGGGCGTATACGGTGATGCTCTCCGGATCCGACGATGGATTTGAGCGCGGGAGAAGCAGCACTCGCTGGAGCGAGTCTGTACGGGAGTGAGGCCGTGACGTAGGCAGAAGACCGCTACTGCGCTGACTCGCGTGTCTCGAGACGTGTGAATAATAGTTCGACACCGCCAACAGGAAGTGCAACTGGGGTACCAGGTAGCGGTGTTAGAACGGACGAAATGATGGAAGGGAAACATCGATCTGCTTACTCGGGCAACAATCACAATAACCATGCATGCCACAAAAGCCATGACGGCCCGCTCGAACCACCGTTCGCAATTCTCCAGGCTAAGCCCCATTTCGCCGAGATCACGCATAAGCTCGGGCTGGCGAGACAGCTCCTCGCACACACCGGTACGGGTCGTGCTACGAAAAGCCCCATAGGCTCCGAAGACTGTAACGATCGTGCAGAAGGAAAAGTCGGCGATAGAGTAATCGCGGTAGAACCTGACAAAGGAAGGCTTGCTCTGTAGTGTCGTGCAGGGGCGACGATGAGTGATTCGGCATCAATTTTAGGAGAACGATGACAGCGCACCTTGACCACGCCGACGAAGCCTATCGCGCACACTGTGGCAGCTGAAACGAAGTATGACAGAAGTAGCCCCCATACGACCTTGACACCGTCCACCCTCCAAGTATCATTCGACGTCTCCCACTCGAATTCAGGCTCCCATTTGATTGACCGTGAGGCTGCCAATACTTGTATGGCTAGCGCAGAATTGGTGATAATACCGAAGAGGGTAATCACGAAAGAGGCAGACCTAGAGTAGCGAGACATGACAAGAAAAACAAACTGGTCAGCCTCGTGGGAGCGGTACAGAGGGGGAAAACTGGACCAGCAGATGGAGGTAAAAAGAAGAGCCTACCTCGCTGGATATCTGGCCATTGATGGACAGAAAAAGCTTTGTCAGGAGAGACGGGTTGAGTAAGTCAAGAGAGACAACAAGGAGCCGGATGATTCACGGACCAGAGTGACCGTAACCATTACCTTTTCGGGCCCTGATGACTCTGCCGCAACACGTTGTTGCTCTTCTTCCCGCCTACCCAGCACCTTTGAATCCGCCTTTTTACCCTCTGCAGTCCTCTGGTTTTTTACACTCTTCAGTTAGGTTCAAGGGTGTTTATTGCGAGAATTCCAAAGGGCCAGGGTCCGCGATGACGAGGCTTCTATCACGAAAACGTACGATCACGGAACGTTCAGTCTCACTTGGCGAGACTTGGCGGCGGCCTGCGAGTGGGCGGTATGGACCAATGACTTGCTCAATAGAATAGACTTGTGCCTGCCAACACACCTAACTCACATCTACTACCTTATAATACCCTGCTTCTCCAGCTGATTTGCCTAGAGTTCCACTTTGAGCCTGCCGAGCCGGACGGGAGAGGATTCAGATTTCGGCACAAAGGTACAAATTGATCTCCGCCCGGAATAGTCCGACGGCTAAGATTACATCATTGCGTGCCGAATCGTCAGCCCCTATTTCTCCATCATTTTGTTTTCGACTTGAACGCGAGTAACGTTGATTTTACTGTTGTGTTGTTCTGACCGAGATGTTTACAGGACATAGACTTTGATAGAATAATCTTCTAGCCTAGGCTCTTCAGCCGCGCTCCCAATGAAACGTTCCGGTGAAGAAGCTGGTGCGGATGCAAACAACGCGTCGCCAAAACCAAAACGGCGTAAAGCCAGCCAAGCATGTGCTTCCTGCAGGCGACACAAAACGCGCTGCGAACTCCCCGAAGATATTGGTAGCAACTCCGACTGTCGTATTCAATTACGCTGTCATCGTTGCAAAGTCCTTAACATCGAGTGTTCGTTCCAGACATCGAACATCATCCATGTCAAATCAAAGATTAACAGCGCGTCGATGTCTACGATACTCCTTCCAGCAACTTTGGATCCTTCCGAGGTATCTACATCAACACCTACATCAACACAGGAAGCACCTCGGGAGGCTCCGCCTTCCGCGCCCGTAGCCAGCGCGAGAGAGCTCACGGTAGAAGACCTTCTCCCTAGCTCACAAAGCCCTATGGGACCTATACCAGTCCCAGGAAGTTTTGACTGGACTGCGGCACCTATGCTAGCCATCAGAGAGCTGGCGAACCAAAGAGAATCGAAAACAACCCAAGCTCGCTCCAGTTCATCAAGCAATCAATCTAGCGATGAATCTTTATCCAGTATCTTAACTAGCGCACAAATTACGTGGTTATTAGAAATGTACGCTGTTCCACCCCATTAGGAATGACTTATGCTCATATCCAAATTTCTTGTCAGTTTCGAAAAACGGTACATGCGTTGGGTGTCCCAGTCTCAAATTATATCAGAACAAACCGGGATTCTTGACTTGGTCCGCTGTACAGTTGCTTCGAGGCATCTGGATCCTATAACCCAGGCCTCCGTGGCCCCTAGATTATATCGATTAACCGAGAATATTTTCCTCCAAAAGCTTTTTAACCCTATTCCGTCATTGGAATCGATCGGGGCACTCATCATTCTATCTTTATGGTCCCCAGTGCATTGTCCGAACCAAGATAGCCGATTGCTAATAGCTTCGGCCGTTAGTATGAGCATGAACTTCCGGCTGAAAGAAGCCTCCGCGCATGCGGTCAGACTCCAAGAACAGGGTCTCCCAGATTCTCAGGTTTATGAAGAAGCCATTCAGAGGTCTCGCCTGGTAGGAATAGACGTTTCGCCAACTGTTCTGATGCAATACTGATGAATCTATTCTGTTTATAGTGGATTCTCCTTTCGAACACGGAATCGATGTAAGTCATATGCGTCCGGAGTTGTTGTTCATATGTGGGGTTATTTATCGATCGTTATTTTACAGGATGTGCCTTGGCACCGGACGTGAGTCACTGTCCTCGCGGTCAGCTCTCGATTATAGAGTGCTGAGTGCTGGATCCGTTGGGTCGGTTGAACAAGAAAGGGACCTGAGGATCAATATCCAGGGAAAACTGATGGATCTCGCGGAAAAGGGTTACACAATTACCTTGAAGGGTCCTCTAGGCGCCGAAATTGAATGCTTTTATGTGGAAGTCCAGGATGTTCTGACGCGAATGGATTGCCTGTACACGCCCATGTCGCCTCTTCCCAGTAAGTTTGAATAGAAACCGGCAAAATTATTATTGACCCCGCCAATCCCAGTCGTGTCCCAGCATGACTCGTTTGCATTCCACATGCTTTTGCTGCAGTACTACGGATCTCGCTTACTTGTCACACATCACGCACTCAGGGAAATGCGTACGGTTATCTCAGGCTCTAACGCCACCGCCGGCCAGTCCTGGTTACGTGCCCAGTACCACGGCACTTCCATCGCGATGTGCCTAGGACGAGATAGTATCAAATCAGCGCAATCCGTTCTCACCGTAGTGCATTCGGTCGATACCAACCTTCTGGTTGCCGCCCCTGACAGCATTTTCACCATCATCTCGTTCGCAGCGACATGGCTCATCGTGGCCAATGTTTCGATGTATCAGCTGAACTGTGCCCCGCTGGGCGTGGCATGCGATAGGTTAATTTCTATGACAGCGGAATTGCTATCGCGACTGGCGCTGGGACCTGAGCATATTCTCGCGAAGTATGCGCATATCACTGCGACATTGGTGGGTTTGTGGGAACGAAGGAGGCAGTCATCGGACCCTAGCCCTCGGGATCAAACAGATTGCTCTAGTATCACACCGCCCGAACCCCCCGCCGGATTCGAAAATAGTGCCTTGCCGTCTCCCGCGGAATGGAGCAGTGCCCATCTATCAAACAATCCCAACATCTTTATGGATCCTGACTTTTGGTCGTCCTTCATGGACAACCTAGACACGACCCAGTCTCCATGGTCGTAGGTACATGATCCCCTTGTTATCGTGGACGCAGGAGGCTTTGTAAGGTAAGACGCGAATTCATTGGGGTACGCGGGGTGTTTGTGATAGAAGTATATTTATGGCGACCAGTCATATGCGTGCCCAGGGCCCACCAATGAGATTGGATGGCCACTCAAGTCTCGAACAATAATTTTGCGCTCATGCCATTGGAGAAGAGTCTACCCAATGCTCTCGACGCTCTCGACCGTCGACGACGATTACCAAAGTCGTATCATCCAATCGGCTACTTGTCCAGCTGACATCAAATCTGGAATCTGGTCCATCGTGACGAAAGTTTACCCTCTCCAACAGAGATTTTGGAGCGTCTATGCCGTTGTCGATTGCTCCTACATAGAAAGAAGGAATGAAGTGCTCACGGCAGATAACCAGATGGGGCGAGTATCTCATCAAAGCCGCGGTGAAACGCAAATGGGCATTGAACACGCACAAAGCGTCAATACATCGGAGGAAAGTGTAACTGCGCCATTCGAGCGGTGCGCATTCCGATTTGCCAGCGCTGTAGGTTCGAGTCTAGCCCGTCTTCCAAGAGGGAACAACCCATGTTCTCCTTCCATTTGGTGGCGTAGATTTCGAGAATTCGGGAATGAATGCTGAACTTGGGAGGTCGAGGTTGGTGATACAATTGGACTGTATTGCTCAAGTGTGGGAGCGTTAGTTTCGACTCTCTTCGACCCTAGTATTCAGTGCTATGAAGTAGGTCCGAAGTCCACCTGACTCAAGAGCAGTTCAAGTCGCTTACAACTCACATACCATAACGCCGTTATGTTCCTATACACATCTCCTCACCAGCTATGAAACAAAACGCGGATACGTTTCATGACTGTAGTTCCGATTTTTTAAGTTGAATGTCGCAGTGACGCAGTCCGTCCGTCAGGTACATCGTTCCCAGTCGGAGTTTCAAAGAAGCTTGTACTCGCTCTTCGAGGTGCTAGTAACCGTGTCCCCCCCGGACCCCGTATTCCTCTGTCCGAAAAAGATACCTTACTGAGGTTTGCTCATGATGAAATCCCAATGTATCGATATTTTTCCGCGATGTTTTTCCCACTGGAACGAGTTTTCTGTGATGACTCAATTTTGGTCTTCTCCAACACGTTGTTAATATACCAGTGTCTGACCATCATCATTCTAGGCTCTCTTGACGTTTTCGTTGTGTCCTCTGTGAAGCAATTTCTCAAACTGGTCGTTTAGTGTCAAACCCATCAACTTGCGACGTTACTACCTTCTGGACCGTTCCTTTTTGGGTTCTTTGTTACTATGTTCATCTTCGACACGCAAAATCTTACCTTGCTGTCTGAGAGTCGCATTATTTTACAGAGGTATCATATTAACAGAAAGCTGCCATCTTGCTAGGATAACTCGTCGATCTTTGCCTCGAGACATCAGTCCACTCATTTCGTTTCTCTTCATGTCACCGTCGGCCCGTTGTCGTGGTTGAGAAACCTGCCAGCTCTGTGTGCTTCGAGCTCTTTTTTAGGAGCATCTTTTCGCAGAAGTACGTGCTTCGGGGTACTCGAATAGCGCTTAATCTTCGCCGCCATCTTGAACATCCCTCATTCGCTGAATGCGAGCTATCACAGCTTGTGGCCGCCTGGACTGATGGCCGACTAAACTGCTGTCAGTTGCTTTCGGACGCTATACGCATGTATCGGCTATGGGTTTATGTCAGTAACGGGCGCGCCCCAGGAAACCTCCGCACCAATCATCGCGGTTATCTATCCGTGATACATTCATCCCGTAAGTCTGGCAAAAATCCTTGTCTATCTGGCTCAAACAATGGACCGATCCAATGATCAGATCTTTTTGTGGAGCTATACTCTTTCAGCGAATATATTTGTTTCACCTACACGCCGAAGCGCCTATACCTTTTCTTAAACCAATTCGGACATATGAAGCACGCGTACCCTTGCAACTATCTTTAAGTGTACGCGTTACACCCTTTGTCTAGAATCACAGAACCATCCAGATTGCAGGGTAGAGGGAAATCTAACGGTCCGGCGGCATGAACAACGACGGAAGGCTCAGGTCACCAAGCTGTAGCGAAACGTTCTGGCTCTGTCCAGGCTTTCGGGAATCGTAAGTGGCCTCTACAAATCGCTCCCGGATCTCCTGACGTCCATTATAGCTAGTCCGCGTGATTTCAGAGTGGTCTTACGCACTACTTGTGATTACAGCATAGACTGAGACAATGCCCAGATTTCCCAGTTATCAACGAGGAGCAGGGCTGTGTTTCACTGGGACAAGGGAGCCCGCTCCTGCACCCTGACTTGGCATTGAACAGACGAAGCCTCAACTGCGAATGAATCCATATCAGAGCTTGTAGAAAGGACGCCCGTTCTGTGTTCGTCGTAGAGTCGCGGCGACGCAGCGCATGGCTCAGGTACTAGGGCTAATAGGGCGCCGTCAAGGCGTGAAGAGGTTTCCATGTAGGCTGAGACCGTTGAAACAAAGCAAATTACAGCGCACTACAGCAATAACACCGCAAGTTGGCAATCACTCAAAGTCCCCGTCTTTTCATAACGCCAATACCTTAGGACCTGACCCTACGCATGCGTGTTTAAGCGCTCAGCCCCCAGTTTTCATTCTAAAAATTGCCAATTGATTCCCTTCTTGCCCTGTAGTTTCAATCGTCGAGCCTCCTCCCTATTACCGTCTACGTGCTCCCAGAATTCTGTCGCTTTCCTTCTCCTCATATACTCCGCGTAATTCAGTCACTCCAGCGGAGTTTGTCGTCGCATGTAGGCATGCAACACCTACAACCTTGTCAATCTTTCTGCTGGAACTGCCCAGGACCCCCCTTTCAGGCTTGAAATCGATTGCTAGAACGTTTGCCGCACCGATAAAGATCGAGATGGAATTTACGATGCTGCTGGCGGAACGACTTCCTCACACAGTCCTGACATCGGTTCTCGCCTCGGTTTCTTGTACGCATCCAATACCTTTCTTGTCAGGGTCCTAATAATTCTTATCGCTAGATGTTCACTGTAGGGAACACCGACATTCAGCCAGGAGCGGCAGCGAAATTTCATGGTCACAGATCTGCAAGGTGTAGAATGGGCTTTCGCGTCAGTTGCACGTAACTCGCGTCAGCAACCAGAGACGAAAATGCAATAATAAGCGAGACATCTCAGGCTGGGCATGTCTGTTGATTGTCAGCGTACTTACAACGGTTGGTCGGTACACCCTCGATATTGCAAATGCTTTCATGGATCGGTTGATACGCCAGCCTTCTCTGTGCTCGCTTAGTATTCTTATCCAGCGTCTTTGTTCCTTTTAGCTCGTAATTTGTCTATATCCATTTCTTCCGAGCTTTTTGAAGATTTACTAGCGCTGAGAGGTATGCTGTAGGGGCTGTCGGATTGGCCACTTGTAGCAACATCGGTTTGGGGCATCGAGTTGAGAGCAAGAACAAAATGAGATGATGTGCATTAAGTGCAGTGAATACAAATCGAAGACTGTTGGACCACATAAGCATCGACTAATATCCATTTTCTTTATTTAAACAATCCACAGGCCCAAAGATAAGGAATGGAAACGACTGTAAAAATATTACTGATCCTCTGTCTTGAGCGAAGCGAGCAAACGATCCGCCAGGATCGCATGGACAGCTGGTGTCAGGTGCAGATCATCCTCCCAGATAGCGCCTCCCTCGTCAGCTGGGTCGTCTTCGGTAAAGTCGTACTCGAGTGGATCGTCAAGCACATCCGTGAGTACCTTATGCGAGGAGAAGACGAGCACCGTCGCCTGCGGACTGCTCGTTGCGAATTCTGATGCACGCGTACGCAGAAGGTCGTTCCATGTCTCAACGCGATTCTGCACCTCGTCTGACGAGTCGACGGCTACATGACAGATCAGTAACCCAGGATGACTGTTGAGAATTAGGCTTGTACCGCTGGGCGAACGGTCAATTGGAGGGACATCCACCAGCACGAAATTCCGAGCGCCCGCCTTGACATATAGATCGTGAACAGCATCAAAGAGTACTTCGACTATGGGTTCGAGCTCTTCGGATGAGATCCTGCCGCAGTCGTTGATATCCAGAAACAACACTGAAAGCATTAATTTGTCAGCCTGAGAATATTGGAGTGGTTGGGAGGTGCAGAACCGTATATAGTTTCGTTCGGGTCGAGGATGGGAATAGGGTTGGCCGGCGATTTCTTGGGAAAACGCGCGAAGAATCTCGATAATTGGCCCAAGAGGTCGTCTTCCATGGTCGCTGAAGGAAAGGCAAAGTTGTGTAGACGAATGGAGGAATCTTTCAGCAGGTAGTCGACCTAAACCTTGTTGGACGAGCAGATTGCATGGAACACTGATTCACGGACCCAGACTGCAGATTTCTCTTCCAAGTTTGGCGAGGCTGACTGGAGACGGCGTACGCGTGGAGGTCACCAAACTCTCGTTATTCCTGTCTCGCTTCTTTGGTCGTTGTTCCGTGTCAGTATCATCGGCATGAGAGTTCTCTATCGAGGCGGAGCCACTGCCGGAACGCTTCCTCTTGCTCGAAGAACTCATCGTCGGCGCAGGGTCCATCACTTGAACACTGTTTGGAAAGTGAAAGACACGGGTGGTCGCAAGAGCACGAGGAACCCGGCAGGCAGTTATACGGCAATGACTGCTAGGCTCGTGACTAAAAGACGAACCGAGCCTGCCCAATGGGGCAGGGAAGAACTTGAAGTGCTTTAAGTTCAACGTTCATATTAAATGTTGGTGCGCAATTAATATCGATAATTTCTCTCACCGGTAACACAACAAGTATGCTTACTAGAAGTTAGGAGGTGTTTTACTTATCTCATACTGTGCACATGGTCATTCACATTCAGTACTTGGCGCCTAGGCTTTAACAGCCACGATTCTGCGAATGATATATCATCCTCTACGGACTGCGCGTTGATATTGTCACGATAAGCCGGGATCTGCTATACCGATGACTTAAAATATTGACAAAGCAAGCCTGAGCAGAAGAATCCAGATCGTCCACGCGATTCCCTGTGTCGTCCTGTATACACCGGTACTCATCGTCGACGGTGAACAAACGAGCGGCGAGGAGCAGGATCCCGAGGCGCCCTTGACATCGAGAATGTCAATCCCACCAGCTCAACAACTGTTCCGATCCAGGCTCCGAAGCCCACGTCGTCGACATCGAGGACTACTGAGGTGCAGAACATACTGACAGCATGATGTTCCGAGTCCGTTGTAGAACTGCCAGGATTGAGTGATAGAGGCGCTCGTCGCTCCTCTCGAAAAAGAGTCACTGGAGACGAGTATAATGGCTTATCTGGGTTTGCTGTATCTATATTATTGACAATTTTCATTGGCAATGACGTTGCTTTCTGTCTACAGTATATTCAGCAGGGGACAACAAGATAAGCAAATACTCGCCAGGTGCCAGTTCGCTCAAGAAGTCGATCTACTGCCACGTCACGCTCGCAACCAAGGATAGTCTCAGGTAGATGATCCCACCAATCGCTTGGGTCAGTGATGGCTCGTGTATTTACCGCCTTCAAAAAGCTCCCAATATTCGGGATAAAAACCTCCCGCCTCCCAATCGATAATACCGGAGACGGTAGTTATTCCATCAGGCCCATCTCCGACTACGATATTGCGAGGATGAAAGTCTCCATGGGTGAGGTCAATGTGATGGTCGTCCCTCATCAGCGAGCGCAGCCAGTTCCTGTATCCTTGTGATGCCCGAGGGGAGGGCGAGGTAAGGAGGAAGTCGTCGAAGTCAGTCTCGTCGTATATGGACCTCAAACCAGTCCGAGTGCTCATCCGAACATCCTTGCATAAGCGCCGTCCACAAGGCGAGCCAAGGGGTGCTCCGTGTAGTACTGCAACGCTTCGCAAAAGTTGCAGAATGTGGTCCAAGGTCGTCCGGATACTCTTCTTTACTTCTTCAGAGAGTGTCGGCCAGCGTTGCTCGAGGGTAGTACCGCGAATGCGGGTCATAAACATATACGAAGTTGACCCAATAGTGATCAGTCCCAAAACTCGGGGAGCTGGAACACCGGGAACTTGTTCTGCCAGGAACTTCAGGAATCCACTCTCGTCGTGGTCAAGGTCTTTTCCGACTTTTACAACGACGTCGTTGCTGATTTGGACCACAGTGCGACTGCTACCTTCCCCTATGGGCGTCCCGGCGGAGATGCGGTGTATGATGGCTTCAGAGAGACAAGAAGACGACTGCTCGTCCAATGGTACATCAAGTATATCGTAAACTCCAGGAGATAACACGTAAACAGTGCACGGTGGAAGCAGGGGCGGCGGCGTAAGAAAGTGTGCAGGAATATTATATCATTACGAGTTCTGACTGCTCCCCCTCCTTGGCATCTAGACAGAGTAGACTTTATTCCAATAGCAAAAAAGAGTACTGCCGGAGACTTGTCTTTCAGCCGTTTCTTAAGACGTTCCTCTACGTTGTTGCGCATAGACGGATATGTAGTGTAGTGCATGCCTTGTGCAGGACCTTCTTGAGGTCTACAGTAGGGTCATCTTTGAGCGCGTTCGATAATAGACGCAGGACAGAGTTATTGAGGTTGCGGTAGCCACGGTCTGTCATGCGTTCATAGCAGTAGTGGTGGAACCCAGATTTCGTGTTCGAAGTTCTGCAAATGCCTTATTATGGGAAATTCTCATACAAAAGAAGCCGGGGATCTCGGTTAGGGCCGGTCGTATGTACCTGCTAGTGAATTATCTTAACTTTTGATGGTACCGTTTTGAATGGACATTTGTACAACCAAAAAATTCAAAAGGGTGTGTTTTACAGGTCTAGCTAACTCAAAAACAAAATTTTAGAAAGATCACGGTAATCAAGTCGGAGAAGGTATCTAGGTAAAAGTCAAAAAAGAGCATATAGGTACTCCGACCGACTGAAGCAATTTGGGTTACAAAACAGGATACGAGCTGTATGAATTTACAAATTAGATGTCCGGGAAGTCAGATTAGTGGTCCGATGCTAACTGATTAGTGGTCTATTCCGTTAGGCTTGAGTGACAGCGGGGGCACAGGAGGAACTGAGTTGTCTTCCGACACAGACGCGTCGTCGTCGCCCTCAGCATTGTCGTCGTCGTCCTCAGCCATAAGCTTTGCAGCGCGCTGTACGATATGTAAAAATACTTTGAGAAGGACCTCGGTCATCAAAGTGAAACCTTACCTTCATAGCTTCTGCTTCATTCGAGTAATGCCGTCCTCTAGCACGTACAAAAGCTGCATGCTTTGCAGCGGCTGGCAAAATATTCTTCAGCTCAAGGACTTAGATCACTAAAAGAAAACTCACTCTCTTCGTCCATCTCTTCGTCTAGCTCAACCTCGCTTCCCGGATCTCTTCCGCGTCCATCTTCACGAATTCCTGACCGCGCTTCATCGGACAGATTGAAGCTCGTACTACGGCTGGAAGCCGTACTCACCGATCGTCCAGATGAAGGCCTGCCAGTGCTAGAGAACGATGTTCGACGCGAGGACGGCCCAGAAGTGTCCGCACCAGTTGGCGACACCGAACGAGCGGGCGATACTGAAATGTATCGGCCATTCAAGTCAAGATCAGGGATGTCTTTGTACAGCATTAGAATCGACGAGGAATGGATACTACACACGCACCTCCTTCAATCTCGTCGGTCTCTGCATTGTATCGAACATATGGAGTCTTGGGTTCCGTTATCTTCATGAGACTATCTTTCTGTATCTCTGTCAGAGCAATGTTGGCTTCATCCCATTGTAGGCTGCTACAGAATGAGGAACCACGTTATATATCGACTCGGCATCTCCTAACTGTGTATACTCACTGCTCCTTCGCTCCCGGTTGCGGCGGTGCATTCTTCAGGATACCTTTAGGCTTGGGGTTCGACGCAGATCGCGGCAGTGGTGCGAGGTGAGGAGGATCTTCAATAATTTCAGCGGACATTGGGACAATGGCAAAGGTACGATGATGATGGTGGTGTCCAACAAGAGGAGCCTTCGAGAACTTTGGCGCACCACGGTTCCCAAATAGGAAATCTATCTGTAGTCTAAAATTACATTCCCACCTACTTGCTATCGTATATTCTCCTACATACCCAAACCCATGAGCCCTCCAGTTAAACGTGATACTACATTATCAGGCTCCTGTCTTGCCATCTCTATCACGCTCAGCAGCTTCTTAATCCCGATATGGTGCCGTGACGATGCCTCGTCCTTGGCCGTCAATGCAAATCCGGCGTCCCCGAGCATATGAATGGCTTCCCTCATTTCCCCTTCCGAGTTAAACAGCTCGACTTCTTGTAGCACACGCTCCAGTGACTCGAGGTTCGAAATTGGTGGCACTCGCAGCTCAGAATCAAATGTATCTGTAAGGCCAAGCTCTGTCAGGACCGGTCGTAATGACGTGGTTGCAATCACAAGGAGGCGACGACCCTAAGGGGTTGGAATAGCATAAGCTTTCGCTTAGAACCTTCATTATTGATGAACCGTACCTTGGGGGGTCTGCGAGCCAAAAGAACGAGTAACGCTTGTAAAACTGTGTTGGAGAATCGGGGGCCTATCGGTGTCCAGTCTGATCCAGGTCGTTAGGTATGAATTACGGCAACCAAAACGGGACATAAACGCACCGAGTAGACGTTCGAGATTATCAACAACAATGACGCTCAATGGACTTTTGTAACTGTCTGCGAAGACCTTCTGTATCGCTGTCACCTTCTGATTCTCACCGAACCCTACCATGTTGTCTGGCGACACCAGTTTGATAAAAGGGAATTGAGAGGCTTGTGCAATCGATGCGCCCAAGGCCGTCTTCCCGGACCCCGGTGGACCGTGAAGCAGAACGCTAACTAGAGGCGTTCTTGTAGACGTTTGTACTTGGTTCACAAATAGTTGTCCTGTACTGAGTATTTCCTGCGAAGGTCTGTCAATCATTGAGAAAACACGACGTTCCGAAAAGTGCATACATTGATGATGGAGTCAAAGTGGATGATACCGTTCTGGATAACTTGCTGTAACTCTTCTTCGGACACACCGAATGCGGGATGCACTTCTTCTAGGGCGTTGAAAAAATCGCTTCTGTTGACGCGAAGATTTTCTACATCGTCGGATATACCTGCCATAGTGCCGACCTGGAATATCATTAACGAATATCAAGAAAATTTCTATCAATCAGACATACCTTGACATGCCTATTGAATGCGAAACTGGTTGCACTCTTGATGAGACCATTAATTTCAGCACCAGAAAAGTTCTTCGTCATGGATGCGAGCTCCGCGAGGTCGACATCATGATCCATAACACCATTTGTGCGCATCTTGCTCGTATGGATGGAGAGGATCTGGAGCCGCCCATGTTCATCGGGTAGAGAAATCTCCATATGGACTTCGAGACGACCAGGACGGAGAAGAGCTTCATCGATCATGTCGAGACGGTTGGTCATACCAATGATTAGAATGTTGTTCAGCTTGTCAACACCATCCATCTACGACAACGTGAATACCACAAATATATGGGCGAAAGCGGGGGACTGACCTTCGAAAGAAGCTGGTTGACGACGCTGTCTCCAACACCTGTACCATTATTTGTTGACCCACGTTGCTTGAAGATGGCATCCAACTCGTCGAAGATGATAATATGTAAACCACTGTCGTCGCCTTTTTCTTTATACTATGCAACCAACTTAGTTCGGAGCAACAAAACAAAGATCAAACACTACCTCTTTTTCGGCATCAGCGAAGAGTTTTCGTATATTCTCTTCTGAGGCACCGACGTATTTGTTCAAAATCTCTGGTCCATTGACGATCTTTGGCTCCCGAGCATTCAGCATTTTACCGATTTGGCGAGCGATGAGGGTCTTTCCCGTTCCTGGTGGACCGTGAAGCAGGATACCTTTAACATGCTCGATACCCAATTTCTCAACCAATGCTGGAGGAAAGACTCGAGATGCGAACGCTCGACGGAAAATATCGCTGAATTCCGTATCCAAGCCTCCAATCCCCATGTCTTCGAACTTGAAATTGGGAGCAAGGATCGCGTTCGGCCGCGCCCTACAGTGGTCGGTAAAGAATACGTGTTAAAGTATGAAAAGGATTCTCACTTCTTTGCACTGGATCTGATTTTAATGGCGCTATCAGCGGCCTTCATGATAGTCACGTCGGTCTTGTCCATGATTATTCCCATGAATTGGTGATTCACAGAACGTTGACCGGGTGCCCCACCACGACGTTGTTCGTCGGCGATGTCAAGAACAGACACGCCTTTGATTGTCCCTTTGATGTTCTGGCCGTGGTACTCGAACACTATTATCTCGTCCGTGGACATGATAATGCCATTAAACGCTTTCACGATGTGATTAGCCATGTCATCAGCAGAAAACTGCTCTGCAATTTCATGCCGAGGTTTGAGAAATCCGACTTCGATGTCAATCGACTGGAGGAAGGAAGGTGCCGATGGGTGGGGAGGAGATGGCAAGGGCTCGATGCTAACATGATCGCCTTGAACGGAAAGACCTATCCACTGTCGTTGGACTTGAGATGCACCGATACATCCTGGCTGGAGCTTTCCAGTGTTATCATGTCTGACATCATGCATATAGTCAATTTCTATGGATTGAACGTATAATACTCACTTTACAGTCAATGCGAACCCGCCTTTTACCAGAACATGTTGACCGTTGGTGAAGTCAGATGGATGGACGGCGAGACAATTGGACAATGCAAAGGCATCACTCGGAGATGAAACAACTGCATAGCTACAAGAATTATGAGGCGTAAGTCATGCTATTCAATCACTGCGCACCTTCCACTGGAACGCGGCGGTGCAGGCTTCCTGTCGTACGCCCCGCGTTTTTCGAACAAAGCACTCGAAGGATCATTGTAACCGTACGGAGGAACGTTGCTCTGCATTGGTTGAGGGGGAGGAGGCTGCCTCGTGGCACCCCTTGAAGGAGACGAGCGGTAATCCGGTACACGATTATAAGCACCGGGAGGAGGCGGTGGAGGCGTATTATTCGAAGACCGGCCAAAGAAGCTCATTATGGTATCACAATTGGTCTTGAATATATATTCGCGCGTCTGTAAGCGTCCGGTCGTCAAGATATCGTGGTAGTTAGAGATCAAGAGGGCGGTGGATACGTGTAACTGGTGAGGCTGAGAGGGGCTGTGATCGAGATGGAAGTTTGTCTCTGCTTGGCAAACGGCTGAGATAAGCTCGATCATGGAGGCGGCCGTGACGGGCAATATTGCCGCCTCCAGCAGGCTTGACTTTACTTCTTTTTTGCAATGTCTGCCAACGAAACAGTGCCCACACCGGTCTCAACTGGAGAAGCAGTAAAAAACATCCTTGACGACTACCCAGATGTTGATGGCCGCTCTTGTCAACTCTTGGGCCCGACCGCGCTTGTTGGTGATTTCACCCATAGGAACAGCTCCATCTTACAGTGGTTCGTAGATTGTGCAAGGCTTGATGGGGATTCTGGTGATTCTGTCGCTGGTGTACAAACGTCACAGAGAGAAACCGAAACGTCCTTGGCGAATCTGGTGCGTGCAGTTGACTGGATCTATCAAATTTTGAATTAACGTCAACTGAGAACAGGTTATTCGATGTTTCCAAGCAAATTGTGGGACAAATGTTCGTCCACGGAGTAAACGTCTTCGTATCCGATGCTGTTTCTCACAATTCAGACGAGAACGCGTGTGTCCTCTATTTCTTCAACATCCTAATTGATACGACCCTTGGTATTTGCTATAATCCATTTTTTCTCTGTATCTCACTCACTCGTCGTATAGGTGTCGGTCTACTCTACATCATTCTTCGCGTTCTGACTCACTTGTTCGTTGAGAACTTTCATCTAAAAGGGTTCGAGTCTGGCATATACGGCACTCCGCCCTCTATAAAATTCTGGGGGAAGCAAGCAACACTATACGTCGTAGCTCTTACGACTATGAAGCTCCTAGTTATCGCACTTCTGGCATTTTTCCCTGGCCTGTTCATCATTGGTGCCTGGTTACTCAGTTGGACTTGGACAGGAGATGGCGACGCCTTGCAAGTTATCTTGTACGTTTCATTACTCTTATTTCGGCCTCACCTTACATTCTCGTTCGTTCAGCACAATGGGTCTCTTCCCCATCATCATGAACATCCTCCAGTTTTGGCTCATCGACTCCATCGTTAAAGCCTCAAACGAACAATTCGTATCCCTAGACACCGATGTCCACGACGCGCTTGATCATGCAGACCGCGAACCTTTGTTCGGAGTCCCATCTGACGATGAGGACGATGATGACGCCGGTACACAGCGCCATGATATCGAAAACCCACGCTCCCCAACCCATCAACATCAACGCTCCCAATCCAACGATAAATCGACAGGTGGCAGCACGACTCCGTTAGCTTCAGAGCCCAAGCTATCCGGCTCGAGTACACCCCAAGCCATCCCTAGCGAAACGCACGATGTACACGCATACCCTCCTAGCTTGTCAAGTAGCGTAGCGTCAGCTTCTACGATGGCGTCAATACCTGCCTCGAGCATTCGGGAAGCAACGAAGCTCAACAAGAAACGTCGTTCGCCTCCTACACCCCTCCATATACGCCAACCACGACAGCCCGCTGTAAACACTGCTTCTCCTGCACCGAAGAACCCCTCACACGAGAGGAAACCATCTAGACCTGTGGTTGTTGTAGAACCAGCAGGACAGGAGTGGACTGAATCATGGGGAGATGAGGACGACTGGGCAGATAGAGTGGGCGAGGAGGACTGGACTGGATGTCGAATAGAGCAGAAGAAGGATAGTATTAACGGAGTTTGGGATCATTCTCCGATAGGTGCTCATGCAGAATCATAAGGCTTTCTGCACCCTGTCCAGCACTCGCGTGTATGTCCATCCACTAACTTGCATATTATTACATGTATATAATGAACGTTAGCTCAGTAGTACTAGTTGCATGATATACCCCAAAATCATTGTATGATTGGAAAACTCGATCGCCGTTGTGAAGTGGAAGGTGGATTCAATCCGCCAACAGTTCTCCGTCTGAGCTCGGGACCAAGTTCCTGATTTAATTTCGATTTGCACTATGCAGTCAACGATTAATTTCTATGCTCCCTCAATAACCACCGTTGCCAGTCGCGGTCCAGAGCTCTCATTCAAACAGGTGATACTTATTAGAGACAGTCAAAATTCAGGAATGCGTGCTGATTATGACAACGATTATGGAGGGCGATTATGGATAGCAGAATCGTGGGAAAACCCATAATCCACCATAATCGTATAACCTCCTCCCGAGGAGGTTATACGATTACGGTGACGATTATGATGGGTACATAACCGTTGATTAACATCCCGGTAGTCCCATTCTCCTTACATAATTTGGGATTGCGGGTGGGTGGTCAGAGACGCGGCGATTATGGTGACGATTATGGGGCAGAATCGACCCTATAATCGACAGTATAATCGTCCTCATAATCGCCCATAAAACCCAATTTTGACTGTCCCTATTACTTACCTACTTCAGGCTGGAAAACCCAAAGAAATTTCTGACCACGGGCTATCCGAAAAAAGTCTCAAACATTGTGGATAACGAGAGTTCCTGTGTCACCTACAATACTAATGACGATAGTTTCTGTCTTTTGCACCGTCGTCAGAGTCATTGTCTGCGTAGTACGTACGGTGCCGTAAGATAAGTGGTAGTAGTTAATACCGGAACTTCCCGCTTTTGCCGTCCACCGCCGTTCGCCGCTTGCTTTCATAACTCACATAAGTATGTGATCTTCCATGGGCCAAATTCCTAAAATGCCTCCGCGGGATGGGGATATATGATCCGGAGGCGTATCTGATCAACGATGTTATACAACCACGCGCCAATGGCATTGCATCCTTCTTTACTCGTGACCTCTCTGCCAATAATGAGTTGGATACTCTTTTCGGTGCCTCCGTCCGTCTAATGTACGCCTTTAGAGGCCCATTTGAACATGAAAAACGCGTCGAACTCGCCGATTCCAATGATTAGCAGCACCGAGGTATTCCGATGCCCCAGTTACAAAGGGGGGAACGCTGACGTTGAACGTTGGTGCTTCACCGGAGAAAGCGGTCCTGATCCCGAAGTCATGATACTTAAGACAACCCCATCGTCCAGTCATCTTTCTTCCTACATTCACCATGGCCACTGCGAACGCCAAGCTGTACGATCCCCGTCAAGTACTTGATCACCCAGAATTCAAGATTCTTGGGCCCAATGACAAGCCAACAAAGGGCGCCAATATCGCTGTTTTCTACAATCACCGTCATGAGTTGCATATGGTAGAGAAACCCCGTCCCAAGCCCGGTCCAGGTCAGGTTCTCTTACATGTTCGAGCGTCTGGGATCTGTGGGTAAGTTGTCTTTCATATCTTCTGTGAGGTAACGGCGTCTTTGACATTTCGGTCCCGATAACAGAAGCGATATTCATTATTGGCGCCACGGAAGGATCGGTAATATGGTATTGCATGACGAGGTTCGCTCAGATCTCGCTGATGATAGTCTGTAAATCATGCCATCTGTATTGTCCAGTGTGGATCCGGACACGAATCTGCCGGCGAGGTGATTGAACTTGGGGAGGGCGTAACCGAGCTCAAAGTCGGTGAGTTTATACAAGACCATGTTTCGAAGGTGTATAATTGAAAGATATATATATATAACAGGTGACCGAGTAACCATCGAGGCTGAAATTCCCTGCTTCCAACCTTCCTGCGAGCCATGCCGAACAGGGAAGTACAACGGATGCCCTAATGTCGTCTTTCTTTCCGCTCCTCCATATCATGGTGAGTTATCGTGTCGTTCAGCCCGTCGTTTATTCCATTTGACAATGATAAAATATAGGCACATTGACAAAATGGCATGTACATCCTGCCGCCTGGTTGCATCGTATTTCCGACAACATGACCTTTGAAGAAGGCGCCCTCTGTGAACCTTTGACTGTTGCACTAGCAGGTGTAGAGGGTTCAGGCCTTCGCTTGGGGGATCCAACGCTTATTTGGTATCATAATTGTTCAGCTTTAAATATCACATTTGCTGACGCTTCGTTGGTAGTGGTGCTGGACCCATCGGATTGGCCACTCTTCTCTCCGCTCGTGCTGCTGGTGCCGAACCTATCGTCATTACTGACCTCTTCCAAAACCGTCTGGACTTTGCGAAGAAATTGGTCCTCACTGTTCGCACCGTTCTCATTGAACGTGACTTGAGTCAAGAGGACCAAGCTGCGAAGATCAAAGCTGCTGCTGGTATGGCATTCAGAGTAGGCTTGGAATGTACTGGTGTAGAGTCTAGCATTGCTACTGCCGCCTATGTATGTCCACACCATTCACCTCTCGATATATTACTGATCGTGTACATACTATCCTGCAGACCATCAAGTTTGGTGGCACGCTCATGGTCATCGGAGTGGGAAAGAGTCCACAAGTAGTACGTCGACAGGGATGTCATGCATTACTATCGCCTGATCATTTTCTGCAGTACCCTTTCATGCAGTTAAGCTTGAACGAAATCAATCTCAAGTTTATCAATCGTTACGTTGATCAAGTAAGCATATCTTTGGGTTTCTACTCGAACGATATCGTTGATGCTGCCTTGATGATCAGTATCCTAAGGCTATCCGTCTTATTTCTGGAGGGCTAATTGATATGAAGCCCCTAGTCACTCATCGATTTACCCTTGAAAACGCGATAGATGCCTTCAACGTAGCAGCCGATCTTACTCAAGGTGCGATTAAAGTACAGATCCAGGATATGGAGGATTAGGTGGCCTTTTGGTCGTTTATTTTCCACAAAGCTCTTGTAATACATAGTTAGGGTTTATAACAGGCTTTTCCGTATTTCAAAAGCATCCAGTTCCGTATATTGTGTTCGTTCCAATGGGACCATGATTCTGTCTAAGTCCTGACTTTGCATCCTTCAACGTTACCAACGTCGCATACGGCGTGATCCCCTCACGGTGAATCTGGAGCCGTAATAAAGCGGCTGCAGGCTAAGCTGTCGGCAGTTCAGTAGCGGGTCGTGCTGAGTTAGGCGGCGGCTGGCTGCCAAGGTAAAATACAGATGCCGACGGCCGAAGCTAATAATCAGTGAAAACTTGACACTGCAATTGAGAACTAACTTAAAGAAGCATATTTAAGCATATGGGGGTACGTAAAAAAGGTGTCAGAAAATCATCAAGAACGTTAAAGACAATGAGGACGTTTTGTCTAGCAAGCGAAGAAAGCATAACATCGACCAACAAGATAGCAAAAGCAGGAGAGATAACAACATATAACTGTACGTAGATGATAGCAAGGCATTAACCACGTCATAACGAAACCACGGGTTTGCAAAAAAGCAACAAAAGTAAGCAAAACTTAACGAAGATATTAACATGTCATAAAAAGTCAAGGCAAAGCAAAGCGAAAACAAGATGAATTTAAACGTCACCTTCAAAAACGGGACAATTATTCCCTGATAAATCGGTATTCGTATGCTTGATGATCGACATTCGACGGTGGGCGGACGACAACTGCAGGCAATTCCTCCTCTTGCCTCAACGCGGCTCTCACTTTACTGGTACCGGATCGTTCGAGCTTCAAGTGCATTAAAGATTTCCCAGCTTTGACCTGCAGACGTTTGCCCACATTTAGAGGGGGTGCCGCGGCACTAGCCCCAGCGCTGGCATTAATATCGCGATTCTGCAGCAAAGACAACGGCCTAAGACCATTCTCACTAATGGGTGAGGGTGGTGAAGGGGTCTTCTTCTTCATCAGCGGTTTTACGGCTCGGCGCAGCGAACTCATCGATCGCTGGAGAGCCGGGCGTTGCTGTGGCGGCGTATTTTCATCCGACTTGACGTACACAATGCTGCTGCGGCGTTTTCCTCTGGTTGTACGTGAAGGCCCGGATACTTGGGAAGGCAACGGTGGAACTTCGTCCTCTTCTTCTTGGCCTCTTCTCGTTCGAGTATTATGTGGCGTACTCTCAGCAAGGGGACCAATGTTGTCCTCCAGCTCCTTCCCGAATTCGAACAAAGTGGTAGTAGCAGAAGGCGGCAGCATGTCCATCGTGGCGACGGATGAGCGGGCGGTATCAACACCATGAGGAAACTTCGGCTCGTAAGCCCAGTGAACGTGTGGATAGAGCGCGCCCCACCCCTAGGATTCGCAGATACATGCTGGGGTACAGCATGGAGACCAGCCGTTGGGCGCTAGGGAGATAGTTAGGAATTGATTCGCCCCCGAAAACGGTGTTTCGTCTTCCGAATTCGATGTTGCTGGGAACCGCAATATAAGTCCCCACGGCGTCACCTATCTCAGACTGCAAGTGTGTGAACGCCGTCTTTTCCTAGACCGAGACTATAACGATGGCTAAGAAACATAGTACATAGAAAAGAAGAACAAGGACGGAACCTTGGCAAGCTGAGATGATTCCTTTTATGAGACTCCTTCCTTGTCCTATTAGTCACCGTTTTGGATTTGGCGGGAGTAGAATGCATTTCAGGGGACGAGAATTCGTCCTGTCCAAACTCGGCGAGGGGCAGCTTCTTTCCCTTCATCCTCGTCGTCTTTCCTCTTGACGCGACATTGCGTTCCTTGATCTTCATTCCTTCTCCGACCTTCAAGCCGGGCACGAGAATAGGCAATAACCCAGCTGACAGTTCGTCAATTTCATTGAAGTCGTCAACAGCGCCAAATGAGAAACCAGAAGAGTAGGATTTCTTATGCTTGGCTAATCGGGCGGCACGAACACTAGGTGGAGTAGGCGGCAATGGAAACGAAGGCGGAGGACTAATATTAGAGGCCTCACGCCGACCATTCTGGTTTACGCTCATCGAAGAAACGGAACGAGTGCGAAGGTGGCTACTTGAGACTCGGCGAGAAGATGGCATGGCTCCAGAAGCGACCGCTTTGTCGACAGCGAGGAGATCATTACCAGTGATCGCCACCTTTTCAGGGGCACCTGAAGGGAGCACCATGGTTCTAGCAAGCGCAGAATAGTGTCTTTGAGCGATCATGATCCTCGATGCATAAGCCATGCTTTCATCACCACCTGAAAAGTGAGAACTGGCTTTAGAATCCTTCCTCAGTCTGCCAAATTGTTCGCTTGTTTCCGAATGAGGCGTATTGCCGACAGAGGGTGCCAAAGAGGAATCGTCCATCTGAAGCGGGACCGGAGGCGTCAAACCATCTTCGTCATGATCTTCGGGCGGAAGCACAGAAAGTTTCGGCCGAGGAGATATCATGGCCAAAGCACGGCCAACCTTGCCTTTGCCATCGACTGCATCACCGTTAGTTACCCAGACATCTCCACTCCTTCGTCCTTCAACCACCGTGACACTAGGACACGTACTACTCTTGAACTCATGAGAGTGCTTGTAAGTAGCGGTGCTGCTTGCGGGAGACGGTGCACGGAGAACGTCGCTACGGGCTTTACCTCTGACATCGAACAAGCCAGAAGGAATGGGGATTGGTGATCGCAAGAGGATATTCAGTGCCAGGATTGGGGATGATAAAGTGAAAGACAGAACGAGTAAAATTGATGATATGGCGGATGGGGGACCATTTCGCACGACATTAATCAAGTATGGATATGCAAGACCCTAAGAACATCATATGAGCTCAGTTCATGCAATGAAGAGACATGACCATACCATAGGAACCCAGATAATAATTAACCATCCGATAGCCCGATAGACGGAGATCTCGAGAGGCGTTCCGGGCGTCGTTGCCAGACTACTAAGATTTTTCTCGGTATCCTTGTGATTGGGAGTATATCCGTATCCGCCTAAGACTTGTGCACTCGACATCGCAGGTGTAGGAGGGCGAGATACTGCGGTACCAGAAGGCAGTAGCTGGGCATGCAAATTGACAGTGCTACCATTGTGCACAGAGGCATCATCGCGAACTGTAGGTGGGAACGACCAAGCGGACATCACAGTGTGGGATCCGTTGGATGAAGTCAACCAAGAAGTCTGGGAATCTAGACGATTACGAGGATGGTTCGGGAGAGGGGTGGGCGCTTCTCTTCTGAATGGATCCGGGTCACCGAGGCTGGCTGACGTAGGAGAAGTGGGACTGTATGGCAAAGGAAGTGGCGGGACAGGAGGAACGGAATCAACATTTGTAGCAGAAGACCTAAACCAGAAGGATGACTTAGCAGGGACCGAAGCATTATGGCTTCCCTGGGGCCGCCCACTGCTAGTGTGATGAGTGGAAAATGACCATGCAGATATGGATCCCCGGCGGGAGCCCGCTGAAGAAGTGATCCATGACGCGCCATCCCGAATAGCATCAATCTCCTCGGTGGCGAATGAAGGCCTAGGCTTTTCCTCCATCTGCCGAACGGGAGGCCATGAATCCTCGTAATCGTCCATTGCAGCGAGATTACGCTTAATGACCAGCAAGGTTCCGGTGAGACAACCAAACGCTGCCGTGCTGAGAATAGCGACAACGGATGCATAGGCAATAAGGCCTGTAAAGAAAGTGGTGACGCCGGTACCTGCTACGATACCAGCGACGGCGGTAGACGTTATTACAAATAAAGCAGTTGGAGCCCAGAGCATCCAATGCTTAGATCCAAACGAAACGGAACGACCCATACGGATGTGAAGTAGTGTGATAGCGGAGACAACGAGGAGACAAGTTGGCCTGACAGTCATGGCTAACCACACTCGCACTGCGGCGAACGGGTCTCCGGAGATCTCGAGACCGGATGGTCCTCCCAGAGATTCCATAATAACTTGCCATACGATCATTACCAAAGCGAGAAGGTCGAGTGATGCGAGCCAGATGTGACTATGTCTGACCGTTAGAATCAGGTCTCTTTTGCATCAGATTTTACGTACCTCTTGTCAGCTGAAGAAAGAGAACGAAAGTCAGGAAGACCGAATTCAGACTACGAGAAAAAATATTAGACAGGCCAAGGTTCGTTTTGGAAAGACTCACTGGTGAAACACGTCTACTCAACGGATGGGGCGGCAAGATAGGAATAACAATGCGAAGAACAATAAAAGCAGAACATATAAACGAGAAAATAGCCAAAGCCAGGGTTGGAATGAGAGGAATCATTTTACAGACAAGATCGTGGATTCGAGTGAGCGTTGAGTGCGTCGTGCGTGGAAGGCGTAAGGCCTGCGTTGGCGTGGCTCCAAATGGAGTGTTCGTGCAGAATGTTGATGAGAAAGCGTTGTAGGACTCGTTTGAGCTGGATGTTGAGAAAAGGCCTTTGTTTGGCACATGTTGATGGCCAAATAGATGTGACAGTCACGTGATCGAGAATTTACCTTCCGGAAATGACCCGAGGCGACGGCCCGTGCTCCCGTTCGATAGATCTCCCTTCACCATGAAATTGTTGCCTCGGTTGCCACGCAGGCAAGCATAGGCGTATATTACGGGATCATCAGGGCGCTGCAACGACTCACTGAAAGTAATGGTGCGCACCTTCGTCTCAGTTGTTGCCGATATCTATTTTTTCGACAAAGGTGCCCTTCTCTTTGCTAATGACTACGGACTGGATTCAATAACGTTTCAGTTCCCGTTTTGATGTTTCGTCCCATCAAGACCTTATTAGGATTTAATGTATGTGGTCTTGCATTTTCTATTATGAGATTGTTAAGAGTGTCTCTTTGCTAAGGTGTCTATTATAACTTGTAACCATCTAAACCGTGATAGTGGCCCAGCGGCATCTTCCCTACCAAAACATGCGAAGAGCTTGAAAGCATGCAATTGAAACGGTAACAGATGTCCCTTTATCTATCTAAAGCTTGCGTCTCTCGCAAACTGCTAACAAGCTATTTGCAGAGGCTGTTCTACAACCTTCACATTCTCCGCACAGCAATCTTGTTTATCACGATGATCCGACATCGCCAAATCTTGATATCTCTTCTGCCATGGGAAAAATTTCATGGTCACAGATTCTCTTCAGCAAGCATCGTGTTTCTTCCTCGCAAGTATTTTGTGGAGTTTAGCAACGGGCCTCCTGGTATTATCCTCAAGACGGTACCATGGTCCATAATAAGCTGAAGTTTGCATTCTGGAGTGGCTGGGCTCTCGCATAACACAACCGAATATCACTGTGCAGTGCTCATCCGCTGACAATCAATGCCACGGTCAAGCCTTTTGTTCATGTCTCGTCCATTTCACTGCACGAGCACCGGTTCTTGTCGTAAGATAGCCTTTTGTAAATAAGAACATTCCCGGACCTACAATAGCAATTATATTCCCCGTTAGGACTTGTTGGAAGATGTGAGGTACAGTCAAGCCAAGGTAGAGCACTTGGAGATACTGGTTATGACAACCGAAGAATGACAGTAGTCGTGGCGGATCTTTATCGGGGAGTATCAAAGCACTGCATCATAGCACGTGGTCCCTAAGATGCACTCGGACCAGCACTATAGTTACATCTCTCTCAGTTACTTCCACCATTAGTGTATCTTCGTCTACGATGGACACACCCCGGTACTATGTGGAACAGGATGCCAAATTTAAAGGTGGAGGCGACGAGCTCCCAACCTACGACGACCTCGCAGCACAGAATGGTCCTAATTCCAGGCATGCTTCCGCTGTGGCTCCATAACGCCTCTAGTGACTGACTGTATATTCTACACCAGGTTCGGTCGGTGGAGAGGATGGGTCGAGAAACGGTATGTCGCAAATGCCTATTCATTCAGGTCCTAAAGGCTGTCACCTCAGAGCTGCTGAGCGCTACATGGATGTCACCCCGGAGGAACGCGCAAGAAGACGTGAACGCGGGTGGGGAAATGATGAACTGGTGTGCCTGTCTATATGCCTTTCTGGCCCCCTAAGTAGTATTGTCCTAATTACTGTTTATCTGTTCCAGGACGAGACATCCCAGTCAAGCAGTCTAAGTGTTCCCCCCATCATTCAAGAGCCAACAACTCCAACGGCAAATAATTATCTTCATATCCGGACTGAAGACCTAAATTTATGCACGCCGCCTCCAGAAACGCCGCGATTAAATTCTCCATTGCCACCCTTACCCGCTATCAGCACAAGAATACGTCCTACGCATCTAAAGATGAATAATTTTGGGTCGCGATTTCTTCCTCACGCAACGGCTCCCATCCGTTGTCTACTTCCCCTCCTTTCCGGAAGGCTCTTGCTCATCGGTCACGATGAAGGTCTTTCCGTTCTGGATATGTACCCACAGGAATGGTCGGAAACAGACGTGGGGATCACGATCAAAGGCCCAGAAGAGGCTGTATCACGGCAGATATGGCTCGGTGAAGGGTTTGGTGCTTTTAACCTTCCAAAATCAATGCAAATCTGATATATTGTTGCAGCGTCTACCAATTATCTCTGCTTGAGGTAGAGCAAACAGGAGAAGGAACACCTCAAGGCGTCGTCCTTGCTCTTGTTGGACCAGATCCTAATTCACCGATCTCGAAAGACGTAGAATCTCTCCGAACACTTCGCATGTACAACCTGTCTAGTTTAACCAGCCTTGCGAAATGGGCGGTAGCCCAGAAGGTAGAAGATCAGTGCTTTGACTGTAATAATATATTAATTAACGATTCTTTTCTTTACAGGGAAAACGGCCACTAGACTTGTCGAGACCGTCAAATTGGGTTGCGCAGCAGTCACCCGTAAAAAAGCATCGTCCACGAAGTAGTATAGCACGCGGGCTAAAATCCTGGATTGAGGCACCCAATAATCACCCTGTGGAGCCGCCTACGTCTTCATACCACAACCTGCTGTCTCCTGCTTCGCTGATCGGCGCCTCGAACGTTGGAAGTCGACCAGGAAGTCGCTCACCATCACCCAACCGACCAGGTTCAGATGAGTCAACGTGGGACGTCATCAATGACCTGCCACTCCGATGGGCAACTGATTTTGTTCCTCTGGCATCTACTGGCTCTCGTCTAGCAAACTCAAGTGTCATCTCTTACGCTCTATGGAATCAGAGCGACCGCAATACTAGTGGCCGAATGCTGGCAGTAGCCACGAAGTCAAATATACTGCTGTATGAAACGCCCAAAGGGGAGCGTGCTTTTCATTTTGTCAAGGTTAGTGTATCGCTTACCTGTACGATGTTGAGTAGTGAACTCTCTTTTAGGATTTCTACACCCCTTTGACACCAAGAAGCATTACCTTTTTCCAGCAAGTCGTGCATGATGTAGCGCGAAGTCCATCCGACACAGGATCCTCTTCGCGATTTCATCATGGACACAGGAGGTCTGATAGCAGTAGTACTGCGCGAGGCGATCGCGCACTTACGCCTCCCAACGCACTCCTAAGCTATGGTACCCATCTCAGTATCTTTGTCGTTTTCGACAAGAAAGCTGGCTGGATCCGCCTGGCTGATTCTGCTGTTGGGGAGGTGGAGCTCTACGACGACAGCGCAGGATCCAGTCATTCACGCGAACTCAACAGCTCGCTCAATTCACGGAGGTCTCGTTATTCCGTAGACTTCAGCTCAGCATTGGGTAAATGGATACCTCCCGTACAATGCGAGATACCCCTCCCTTCTTCGTCAAAGTACCCTCTGACCAAGAAAGTCCATTTGTTGACTCGAGGTAAACAGACTCACATTCTGCCTTGCCCGGTACCTACGGGTACCTCAAACTCGTATCCACCGTTACGAGTGATTATCTGGAAGTCACCGCCAACAAGTGTGACGCCAAGGATTTGTTCGAACAATGATGGTGATTCTCCATCAAGATTTCTTCAGCTGATCGCTCTCGGTGAGCACGGGGTGGAGGTGCAGGAGATGTCCGTAAGCTTCCTAAGCAAAGGCAAGGGAAAGGCTCGGGCTGATGACATCGTTTATGGCGAGGATGATGCTGGAGGTGACACAGGCTTCCTCTGTGTCGGCGGGCATTGGGATCAACCACTTTATCCGCCATATCAACCACTCAACCGATCCTCCAGTAGTGCGAGTGATATCTCGTTGGAGTCCGTTAATAGCATGGAATCAGGCGAACTCCTGGCGAAGATGAAGATGGATCAAGGGTTGTATGGTTGGTGCCGCAAGGGCCTGGAGGATTGGAGAGTCTTCTGGTTGGGCGGTTCGACCGTAGATGACGACGAATCTGACGAAGACGATTGATTGGAAGTGGGTATTATCTCGCATCGAAAATTTAAACAACATTGCTGTGTATCTAATAATCATCTCATGCATATCCATCACTGGACAACACTAGGTATTCATTATAGGTTGAAATGTAAAGGTAGCCTATGGACCGTTGTAATTGATGTCGACAATTATATAAATAGATATACAAACTGTTAGATTCCCAAGAACAGTATCCAAACCGATCTTCCATAGGTAAAAAGGAATCCACAGTCATGAACGTGATATATGACAAGCGTCCAATGCACGGTTTAAGTCCATGATAGCAAATTGATAAAACAGACAAAACAACCCAATCAGGAGGTGGATCACATATTACCAGCCCCTGACGACCCAGGACGAGAAGGGTACGATCTTCGTGTTGGTGCAGATGGTTCTCCGGCCGCTGACGGAGAGAGATTTGCTGGTTCAGATCCCGTGGACAACTTTTGTGACCTCGCAGGTGACTGCTGTGGTTTCCGTATGACCACGAATGATCTCTGAGGCGCTGAGGTTGACGGGGCCGGAAGATCCGGTGGCGTTTCTTCATCCTGGGGTTTTGCTGTAGAACTCGTACCTTCACTGCTATGCGGCCGATGCCGCCGCAAGTGATACCACGGTTTCTTCTTTGGTACATCAGTATCTGACCCGTCATCATCAGTAGTCGGGTTAGGGTTTGAGTGCCTGAGATTGAATGCTGTGGGCGGTGGTGTGGGGTCTCTGACTGGCCGTATTGTAGATCCTGTGGGGTATGAAGGGCCTGCTTGGCTGGCTCCCTCAGCATGCTCAATGATTGCCGTTTGTGATTTTGTTCGAACATGGAAGGGAGGCATGGCTCCAGGCGGTAGAGAACCTGTGCGTGCGTGATACTCTTGTTGTTGCCGTATAGCCGTGTTCGCAGACAAAGAAGGTGTGTCCTCTTCATCTTCCAGGCGTTTCAATGATCCGGAACTCGCATTAGGCTGCGATACCTGTTGAGCGATAGATGGGAATGTCTGTGTTGAACCCGCATTAATTGTAGTAGAGCCCGCAGCGATCGCATAAGGAGAATCGATATGAGCACGCCCACCGCCCACACGTGAGAACCCAGATGAGGTGGGAGGAGGAGGTTTTGTAGGAGTATCGGTAACGGGAATGTATCCGGAAGCTTTTGTCTGGAACGGCTGCCATGCCCCCATGATGTAGCCATTTTCGTCGTCACTCTCTTCTCGATAGGGTCTAAGCGCGTGTTCTGGTTTCAATACCGAGGGTGGAGGGCCTGAACTGACAGAACCCTTTCCGCCAACCGGAGTCCCCAGAGAGCCAGGGGGCAGATATGACGATATATCCGAATCGCGCTTGTGGACATGCTTGGAGTCCACATTATCATATCTCGGTTGTACCTTTCCACCTTGCGGCTTCTTGTCGTTGGAGCGGCGATATCTTCGTCGCTTCCTTGATCCACAGCACCCTGCTAAGCCGCATGCTCCAAGAAGACCACTATCCACAACGTGACTGCTTCGCTCGAAGCCCACCCGACCAACAATTCGAACCAGTGCTTCCACGAGCTTGACGACAAGCATGAGGAGTAGCGCCAGATACACAAGGGCCAGTATGACTAAGACGCCATAGGCTACCCAACCACCGGGACCGGCACCAATCGAAAGCTAGAAGACAATTAATTATAGACAGTCAATGAAGTGATCGGTGCGCTAAACTCACAGCAGGGGTCAAAATAAGCATCAAGACAGCCACTACAATCCTTCCGACGCAGAAGAGGAAGCTGATCAGCCCCATGCTGGCGCCATTTCCCCAGGGTAACCAAATACTCGTCACCAATGCCGATACAACTTCCACGACGAGGATAACAATGGCCTGTGCAGTACCGCTGTGTTGACCCGCGCCGATAGTTAGGCCAAACGCAACATTAGTCGCAAAAAATAGACCGGCAAACATCTGGGAACCATGTCGGTAGTGGTTGTACAATGGACCAAGAGATAATAAAGTCCTGGTCTCATCATAAAGTTTGCTCGTCGTTGTCATCCGCACCCGGATCACTAATATTGTAGGTATCAAAACGGAAAGGACAGCAAATGACAATCCTGCTAGAACGATGGAAGCCATAGAGGCCCTTGATCGAGGCAACGTCATCTGATAGACAGAGAATATCGTAACAGGAAGATGGAAAAGGATGAGTATCCGGACGAGATTGCCATGGAGAACGCTGCCGTGAAAAGAACTCAAACTCGTTCGAATTCTCCACCAAGGTTTACGAGAAGATAATCCGGTAGCCCCGGTAGATCCAAGGGTGTATCGAGATGGTGGTCTGATTATCCCTAATGTATCCTTGCCATTCAGTGACCGGTTCTCTTCTGCGGTGGCATTGGCAACAGCACTACTGTCCAGCATGTCTTTGCTGCCAAATGCTGGACTCCGGGTACCACCAAGATGTTTCATCCCGGAGTGAGACGATCCTAAGGCTCCGCCCAAGAACCCGGCAAGATAGTCGATAAACCACAGGAGAGCTGAAAGCGCGACAGCAGCCGCGGCAATGCCGAGGAAGAGAATGAGACAGATCCCAAAAAGGTCTTGGGGACGTACGCCCACTGAGTAGGCAAATGCCTCCATGCCAGTACTAGCATTTGCCGGCAGCATGAACAGGACATTAGGGATAGAGGAATCGATATACAGGTTATTGGAAGAATCCGACATCTGAGCCTGGAAGGAGGAAGGCGGATCATATGGTGCCGTCGACAAAGGGTCCCAATGGTGATCAGAACCGGAAGTGAGTGTTATGTCTAACGTTTCGTTAAGGGACGTATGCCGCGGATGATAAAAATAGACTGACTGTATGATAGGGTAGCCCAAGCCGTCTGAGTCAAGAGAGGATCTAAAAAGACGTTAAGGAGGAACGATCAGCATAACGCAAACGATACACAGAAAACCCCGAGATATTGGCATAACGACATATATGGATTCTTCTCTCGCGGTAGTTTTTGCCTTAGCAATGCTGAAAGCTATCACGAGATAAGGTGCTTTCACCATGCCGGCGCCAGGAGGAGGATTAACCGATATCACAGAAGAAACAAAGACTTACACACGAAAGCCGGCCATTGCACGGCGACCATGGCCAAGACGGAGCACCATTGCGTATGGAAGATGATATCTCGCATGGAGGGAGTACCTGGAATGCATGAGCCAAAATGAATGGCAGAGGATAACTGGAACGCACTGAATCTCAACAGGGCAGGCGATGTCGCGAAGCGCTCTCCACTCATCGCACTAGCCAATATAAAACCGGCGCTTTGCACTCGCTCCCATAAACCCTTTCCTGGCCTGCTGATACCACGGTTCCAAGCAGAAACAATTCGTGCTATCCCAACGACGACCCAATAGGCAATAGCCAAAGCAACAGTCCCCCAGAATATGGTCACGGCCGCGCCATAGGGCTCGTCGTCGTCGGGATCCAAGGGGGTAGTTTCGACTTCGATGCACAACATTTCATTACTGAAAGTGTCTACGGCCCTCAAACGAGTAGTGAGAGTAGTGAGAGCGCGATCTGATCCCCATGGTATCTGAGCTGACAAGGCGAATGCTCCGGCGGGAATAGGACAATAATAGTCGTCGTTGGTGTCGTTCGAAGCAGAGAGTTCCGAATCGGGAGGATGGATATTCGTGCATAAGTATGAGCTACTTGACCAAGCGCTCAATGTTAGAATGGAAGTCGATGTAAAGAGGGTGGCTGCAACGACCCAGCGTAAAAGCACGTTTTTGAGAATGAAAGAAAATGTGCATACCAAGGTTCAAACTCGAGTCAGAGCGACCTATTATCTCCACGGGTGTCTCGCCAATGACGACGAGATCAAGGTAGTTGTTCAGGCTGGCGTTATGAAGAACCTGCGCGTAAACGTTAGAGACAGTAAGTTTTTCGGAAACGTTGGCATTAGGGTCGAAACAGTCATTAAAAGTGAGATCTGCTGGTGTGCAGAGAACATTAGGGAGGATGAGGAAAAGGGCAAAGAGGACGGAAAGAGCTGAGCTCATCGTGTCCAACGATGGCCGTGGTGTGACGGGATAAAGTCTCCGATTTCCGGATACGGACAGGCTGCAACGGCACGGAGAAACAACAGAGACAAATAGTGATGTAACATTTTGATCGCGGCGCCGGCGGGTCTGGGCAAGCGGTGCCGACTGCCAGTGCTTAACGGCGGGGGTAAGAGGGGGCAGGACGGCTATAAGGAATAAAAAATGCCTGACTATATGTATCCGATCGCAGATTGCACATATCATCAAGTAGCCTCATGTACAACTTACATACCTCGGCTAAAAATTCGAACTTTTTAATAACCAGCAAGTCGATCCACGGTCTTATAATAAAATGATAGAAATCGTCTAGAAAAAGTTTGATGGCTAACTCGGTGAAGAATCATAGGCACGCCGCCACCAGCAACATCTCATGATCAATAATTGTCTATCGGATCCGATGCTTTAGAAACTGATTTTGATGCAAGTAATGAAAGTTCTTGGAACGCACAGGATCAGGCAGAATGTGCTGCGACAGGTCGTGAGGTGAAAACTCAACGACCGGCAGGCGCACCATGCCGTTGTGATCTGTCTCACGAAAATGATAGTGTGCCCTCATGTTTTGAACGGAAAGCTTGCTGTCTATGTGGCGACACCGACGGACGCACGTCCGAGAAAATGCATCAATTTCGGACTAGAACGCTTGAGTATATCCCTAGATATCGGCGATGGAGGCGTATAGGGTGTATCACTTTTTCCCCGCACGATACTATTACGTGGAGCAAAGTTCAGTTTGGGGCCTTTCCGCGCAATGGAAAGTAGGGACTTGAACAAAATACGTACTGTCCATCGTTAAACAAGATTTGATTTTGGGACTGACGGCGCTTCCTACAGCTTCTGTCAGGATATTGAGGACCGGTAAGATGTCATTCCGACGGCTGGTAGGTGACACCGGTGAAAGTTGAAACGCTGAATGTTGAACCCCGGAAACAAAGCCATGTCCCGGGAGGTTGGTTGGTTGCAGAAAACAACCATTCGCGATATATCGTCTTCCACACGGAAGACCAGACAGATCAACGATGCACATGGCAACTGAGAAAGTTATCGAAAGAAATACTGCTCGATTTTCCCGAAAGTTGACGGTGTTCTGTTCGTTGAGGACCCCGGCTCTGATGAATCGAGCACAGGTCAGAATAGAACAGAGAAATTCCAAAGTAAGTTCAACAGCATGCACATCGGTCCGGGTAAGTGTTGATCTCTTGGAACAACTGAGATGCCTCCAAATCAGACCTTGAAACGAAGATAGAAGACAAAATTAATGACATAACGAGGAGTACCGCCCCCGCCCCCTTGGTCGTCGCGAGAAACAGCGTACGTGCAGTCGGCGTGGACGATCAAAATCAAAGACAACCGATTTGGAAGGTGGTCACGGTATTACTTTTTGTTACATACCGGATTTCGGGCCGCGTACCGGGTGGAAAAACAAATGTCGACATTCACGGCTTTCCCGACTATAACCCGTTCGAGTGCAGTAGCGATATCCCCCTCTTAAATTCTCCCGCCCGCGATGGATACCTCAGATGCCGAAGAGCTAGAAAACTTAATTTTGACACTTCAAATTGATCGTGAACCAGTCGCCTCAGAAATAGAAGGTAAGAACCTCACAAACTTCGTCTGATTCTTTTTCTCGCTGATCAAGGCTACGAACAGTCCTGAAATCGATCTACGGAGACGACTCTATACGGATATGGCATCCTCCAGAAGAGAGGTCAACCGATGACACTGGTACGGTGCGGTATGAAGTCGTTCTAAGGTGAGGGCTTTCCAACATATATCTGATTTGCCAGATGACAAAGTACAGTTTTCCTTCCCCCCACGATGAGGTATCCATCAAGGTCTTGGTATCCATCCCACCATCCTACCCATCAACGTCCACCCCCCAGCTCCAACTACTGTCGCGGTACATCGGGGCTTTCGGGATCGACTCTGCTCTTTTTGGATCAGTGTTGAAGACGTTCATCTCTATAAATGGCGTAGAATGGATAGAGGACAACGTCTGTGTCTTCGATGGCCTTCAGAACGTCCTGGACAGATGCGTACAGTGGTATGAAGATCACCTGAATACGGACAAGGCGGGAGAACTGCTCCGGGAGGATGAGAGGGAATCGACACATCCTGATATACCAGCAACGTCGGTACCTATAACACCCGCTGATCCTACGCCATCTGTTCCGGTCTCATTGCCTAAAGGCGTCGAAATATTCGTTGCCGAACCCATAACGGATCGCAGGAGTTCGTTCATCGGTAGAGCGTGCTCAATATCGGATCCCTCGATGGTACGTCGAAGCCACAAATAATACTACGCCCATTAGATCTCAATACGTATTGCTAGGTCCCTCTGATACTTTCTCACCTGTCCTCCGATCGGCGAATAGCTAGAGCAGCACACCCAATTATCAATGCTTGGCGATGTGAAGTAGGAGGGCTCCTCCACCAAGGTACCTTGATATTTGTCGCGTCGATGCAAACTAAAAGGATTCAGATAACGATGATGATGGTGAAACCGCTGCCGGTGGACGCTTAGCACATTTACTTCAGATATTGGTTAGATCTCAACTCATTCACTGTGTAACCTCCCACTTACCGATGAATAGGATATCAACAATGTCCTTGTCGTAGTGACACGATATTTCGGAGGCATCCATCTTGGACCGGACCGGTTCAAGCACATCAATCAAGCTGCTCGGAACGCCCTGGAATTAGGTGGTTTCCTGGATGAACCGGCTTCGAAGAAGTCGTCTGCGCGTGGACGTAAACATTGAGGCTCGCCTGACAAGATTGGATTTATACACAATGTATGGTACTACAGCATAGGCAATTGGCGTACAAATGATATCATGCAAGTACGCATTGGCAGACTACGCGCCATTGTCAGGGTCGTTCAAGTGCATCTCGACCGCCTTGTTAACAAAGTACTCCATTGGGTTGTCCTTCAGTAGATGCTCCGGGAGCACACAATGAGCACGATCTTTCTCGGGATTCGGAACGAATTCATCCCACTGCGCCTCCGGGACTGCCAAGGTATCTCGAAGACGGGCTTCCTGCAAATGCATATCTATCAGCAACAGAAGGCCTGAGATAACAAGGCTGCTGAACCCAGAAAACGTCGCCCCAGCTTAGCCCGTTTCATAATGATCTTTGCCTCTTCCAGGGTGAATGGCAACGCGAGAGGTAGCCAAGAGCTGTTCCGAGTCTTTGCTTCCCCATCGGCGCCTACCTCCGCCTCTTCCATCATCACTGGAACGACGCCAATCTCACCACGTCCCTTGACAAAATCATTCTGCACTTTTATATATTCGATAAGGTGGTCTCGCTTGTCAGTCGGCATAGGGTCCAACATCGTCTCCTTGGGAAACATGAGGCCCTCTTTCCAGGATATACCTGTCGTCCGGATCACGATTTTTGTAATCAGGATGGAGCTTCATTCGGATGTGAAAAGCTTGCGGTCAACGTTTTCGGGATGGATTAATGATGTCGAGGGCTTGCATGGCTGCTTGACGTAAAACGTCGAGTTTGGGGGGTCGTTCGAACCTTCTCGTATCCGATAAGTCAGCTAGGATAAGATGGAAAAGTCTATAAGACGCGTACCATTTCGCGAATTTAGCCGCGCTTGCTGCACGAGCTGGATCTTGGGCGAGAATTGCGTTCCTCTCTTTCGATTTTGAGCAAGGGAGTTTGTGGAGCGGCCAGTTCAGTCGCTGACACTCTGTGCTCTGTGTATTTGAAGATGAACGCGTCTTCTACGCGACATAGACGCGTGTACTCACACAGTATATGACCTAAAAACGATGTAGCCGAAATTGCCTGTGAATAGCACCATAAATTACTGACCTCTTTACACCGACTGCATGTCTGGAATGGTTTGTCCGAGCCAAGGTCCTGTGGTGTTTTCTGGCACCAATGACACTGATTTTGGTTACGGGAATTGCTTTTGATGATAAATTCTTTGTTCTTGGATTTAGACTTGGATTTTGAACTCGATTGGGATGACATGACTGTTTGTGATCAAGCTCAAGGCCCAGACTCGGACCCCCGCCTTGTCCTGAGCCACATCGATTCGGATTAGCTTCGACGATGGCGACGCCTTCTATCCTCCAGCGACCGACCGTTTTCATCATGAAATCCGACGATGCGCCTACCGTCCTGACTGATCTCAAAGTCGACACAGTAGTAGTCGTTGGCGAAATCAACGCCGACCGCACGCTCTACCACTTCACTCTGTCGTTCTTCAACTCGAGCACCAACGCGTCTGTTCGCTTCGACATGCATCCTTCCGCTACAGATCTTAATGATATGTTTCGCGGCATCATCGTGGTCGAGTATCTGTCTTTTCCATTCTCCACTCTGGCTGGTGGCGAAGACTGGAAGCTTGTTACGCCCTATATCTTGAAGCTCTCTGCTACTCGCATGATTGGAGAGATCAGTGCTGCCATTTTTGAGAAGGGAAGGGACGGGTATAGGTGCGTATAGCATCGATAATCTGGGTCGTCGATTCTAATTGATCACATCCATGCCCAGGTTCGATGATCTTGGACAAGGCTGTCGCCATTAGTGCGCACATATCATACACGATTTAGAAGCGCTCGGATGGGCAAAGGATGTCGAACAGACCTTCGAGGACTGGGAAGCGGAATCATCGAAGCTGGTTCCAGATTTCCCATGCCCCGCATTAAAGGCGCGTTCTATTGAGCTGCCATGCCGGGGCTTATACCGTGAGACTGTAGAATTATTGCGATATTATGAACATCGTCGCGCAAGACGGGGACGATGCTCGAACAAAATACTATCACCAGTTGCTTTCATTTGCTCTTCGCCTGTTGTGTTGTTGAATTTGCACACACCCCTGCTCCTGTGAAGACGCTTCTACGTTTCTTCTGTCGCCTCCGTGGCTCTGGTATAGTATAGATAGCCAGGACGCGAATATCCTTGATCACACTTGAACCAGTCGTCGACGGAAACCTTTACTACGCACTGCGGTGATGAGAACATAAGACTAGTGCGGTCTCTTGCGTATACCTTGAGCATATCATGATTGACCAATCAGCGTTAAGCTTCAAGATATGCTCCAGAAAAACTCCGGGTAGCCCCAGGGCGTTTATGTAGCCATCGCCGCAGTGACAGTATCATCCAACAAGAAATGTGCGACACAAGCTAGCCTTACAAAATAGCACCTCATCATCAAGAGCCATGCTAGTCAGATGTCGCTCAAAGACACACGATCCAGTCCTCTGGAACCTCTATTGATGACAACTAAGCGAGTTAAGTAAATCCGCAAGTGAAAACACCAAATTATAATTAATCCATTATACAGAAAATCCCGACTCATTACAGGTTCCCTTTATGATATTCATCATCCTCCTCATCACTATCCCCCAGCTCAAATATCGGCGGCTCCGGAGGCTCAACAGCACGTTCCTTCCCTTTCCTCTGTCTATACGCCCCCTCATCGCCATTCTCGTCGGCCATGGAAGCATTAAGGGGTATACTCTCTTCCTCACTCCGGTTATTCATCGGTAAACGCAACTTGGGCTTATTCCGCATTCTGCACCACAAGAAACCGACGACGGCGACAAATATGAGCACGAGGACAAGGGCTGCGGAACCGGCGTTGTAGTACGCTGTTGGACGTAAGGACTGGAAGAAGAGAGTATGAGAAAAAGGGTAACGGACCTTCCCACATAGCCTTGTCCTGCTCTGGCGTTTTTGTTGATACGGGTGCTGTAGTCTCCTCAACCTTGTCCGTGAACAGCGGCTTAGCGTTGTCCCCGATGCTACTTGGAATACGCGCAGAGCCTTCGAGGATTTGGGAGAAATCGACACCCATGAATCGTAGGATCATATCATGCGCTACATGTGGTGCATCGAATGGTGCCATATGTGAGGTATCGAATATCTATATAAATTTTGTTCAATGCCTATAAAAATTGATAGTAAAGTTGTGCATACCTTCGCGTAGGTCAGATTCCTTGAGCTGACCCATGTGCCCGCAGGGCTCCCATCCACTGTCCAGGATTGTGTCTGTACTGTCTAAAGCGGAAACTCGCGTCAGCAATACAACCTTCTCATCATGATGTTTAAGCGCACTCCAAGGCCAGTTGCTCCACTCCAGGTCATACTTGCAATCATCGACTCGAGGCCAACGTGGTTGCAAATCATGTCTTGGTCCCCCGCAAATATGAGAACGGGTATTCTCTCTATCACACTCGGGAGCACAGTGATCGATGAATTCAAGTTCTTTTCTTTCAGTTCTGTGTGAACACGACCCCGGCATTCGGTCCACGAAGTAGAATGGTCCTCCGCATGGAGAGCGCGTACAACATCGGAGCGCTACAAGCTCCGTCAGTTTCATACCCAGCGAATATAAATCAGCGAAGGCGTACGTCTAGATAATTTGTGACCGGCTTGATATCTGGAGGCCAGTTCATTCCGCAAGCAGGGTAGGTGTCGTCTAGTCGTACATCGTAGATGTTCATGCACATCTCTTTACCAGCCGCACTACTGGTGTTGAATAAATGGCCATAACCAAGAGAAAGCTGACTTACACGCGTCTCCGCACCTGCGACACTTCGAGTAACAAGCCTTCACATTCTTCTACAACGATCGGCTCCGTGCCCACTATATCTTTCATGGCCTGAACACAGTCATCCGTATGCTGTTTGGCTTCCTTCCAGGCCTACATAAGCGTGAATATGACATCATCGTAGATTCCACTTGAGGTGCTTACATCTGAATTTTCTTCCAGTATGCCAACTTTGACCATAAAGTCAATGTAAGAAGGATACTGCGAGCGTACATCTATCCAGCCGTTGCCTATCGCAGCACCTTTTAGCGGTATGCCGAGATTGGAATTTAATATAGCATCGGCTAGCCACGGGCTGAGTAAGAACGCGACAAAGAAGGCTGCGTCGCTTACCAAAAAACGGTATATATTGTCCTGCGTAGCTCTCCCCAGCTAGATATGTCTGTAAACACGTGAGATTTGAAGCATGCGAAGTCCGGGGAGCGTACATCTGACCGCAGGTACTCCGGGAATACTTTATAGAAGTTGCGCATGAATTCTAGTAATTGCTCTGAGGCCTGGTCGAATGTGTGGACATATGAATCAGTGCTCGTGTAAGAGAAACCCGTCCCAGCGGGCTGGTCGACTGAAAGCGAATATTTCAGGTTACGCAGGCAATGAAAAGAGTAGATTTACCATAAACCATGGTGGTGTATTCCTCCCACCCGCCTTCCACTGTCTTGAATCCACCCTTGCCGTCCATCCTCCAAGGCCCGTTCTCCATCATGAGCCCATCGAAAGACGAGCAGCCGGGCCCACCCTATATGCTATCAGTGAATAGATGTGCGACAGGTACTTCATGACGCACATTAAACCAAAAAATAACCCTATCCCGGTCAGCCGTCCTTCGGTTTTTGACAAGTACAAAGTACAGGTGTGCCGTCACGTCTGTCACCGGCGCCTTAATAGCATCTGGGTCAGACGAAAGATGACCTGCATATATCTTCAGCGGATGATCTGGGTCTTGATGTATGTCGGGCAAGGACGGCACGTAGAAGGATGCTGCGGATGGAACTGTGCGTCGACGTGGTCAGTAATGACCTTGGGTAAACCAGAACGCAAGAATTGTACTGACTGTCAGTCGGAGCAGCGCGAGAAAAAGACGAATACAGTAACACATGTCCCAGCACCAGAAGCGCGCGTGAGTGGAAAGTTGGGAGCATTGTTCCCAGACCTTTTGGCGAATAAACACGACTAGGCGACCGCTACGCTCCTGCCAGCGATTCAGTCGTCTTGGAGGTCCTTGTTGCCAGAAAGAAACACGGACGAAAGAGTCCGTAGACCTAGTACAGCCTCGGCGGCTGGTAAAGATACGTGGAGAATGAGTGAAACCCAATCAGGCAACACCCTCCAAATCTTCTGATCGCGGTGACAGGTGATAACGACCACATGGCTACGCTGCATTATCGCCCGCCTCCACCATGAAGTATCTGACCGTCTACTGGCTCGCGTTGCTCTGCAGCCTGTCTCTCGCCAGGGCGCAGTATTTCTCAGAAGGATGGACACCAGGCCAGGCTGTACCTTCTGAGGTTCCCATTCCCAATCCCGCTTCCACGCCCGTTCCTGCTGATTCACAAGAGGAATCAGCACCACTACGGCCCAGTGACCTGCTGAAACTCTTCGAAGCAAAGACGTGGCTTGCGTCCGAGCCAGCGGTGGCGCTCTTTTCGCGATTTGGGATTAACATAACGGAGAGGTTGGCAGCTGCTGAAGTTCTCCCTTGGGACAGCCGGATTCCGCTCATCACAGATGATAACTACGAGGAAATGATTGTTAAGGAAGAGCTTACGGAAGAGGAGGAGGCCGAGCGTGTTTGGGCATTGCTGATGTCCGTCGCCATTCTATTCTTTCCTGTATGTGCTTACCGTCTGTCCGCGTAGTTCTGCCAGCGCATCGCGACAAGACGGGATATCAAAGTTCGTCGACGACGCCTTTGATGAAGCATACAACCAGACACTCCTTGCTGAAGATCTCCCGAATGTACGTTGGGGACGGATTGATTATTTCAACGTCACATACATCACGACAAAATGGGGCGTGTGGCAGTGAGTTGTTTCGCCAATGTCGTTCTCTCTCATAGCCTGAATATATGTAGGGCACCTTTCATTGTCATTCTAACAGATCGTGGTCAGACTCTGCGCTTCTATCGAGCCCAGAACCTTCGCCTGCGAGATGGAGCTCTACATGACTTCCTCAAAGCGGAAGCTTGGAAAGTTACTCCGCCATGGAAGACTGCCTACGCACCTGGTGGCGAAAGGTAACTCATCTCTACTTTATTTTTCTCCCAGCTCAGCTCAGTTCTTGCTCTAGGGAGTACATCGTGGACTTCGTCGCCACTTGGATGACCAAAATTTACAACGTGACCGTCCGACTTCCTCGATTTATTCTCTTGCTATTGTCTGGGACAGCAGGATCGTTGGTCATTGGTCTTATGCACCGAAAACCCCCAAAGCAGGCGGTACAGAAGACAGAACCTGCCTCGCAACCTGCTTCCGCCCCCACTGCAGGTACTAGTACGGCAACACCATCGAAGCCGGCTACTAAACAACGCAAATCGAAGAAGTAATGGTATATTGATGGGAGATGCTTATTGATCTTGATGTTGTTACTTTAGATGTATCGCATACAACACTGTAACCGCTTGTTTATTGATCTAGATATTGTCATATTCACATGTTCTCTGAAGAGATGTCTACTTTGTGATTCTATACTGAATCATTGGTCGCGTATGACGCGTTTAACTAGCTGCTACCCTCGTAGAAATCCTTGCCGCCGAGAAAGTATACCACGTCTGCTTTGAGGCTCGAGATTCGCCAAGGATTACCTCCATCCGACGGGGTAATTCGCGAGACCTCCGAGTGGTAGCGACCCTGGACACGAGTTCAGCACTGGCTCTCATGCCCAATATGCCAGCGAGCTGTTCACCCCATTCTGCACAAGTCCTTTCTCGCCATCTTTCGGGACGAGCGTCACAGAAAAATTGGCCGTAACTTGTGCTTCCATCGGGGATGGGATAGAACCAGATTGGGGGAGATCTATAAGCAGCGATCTGTACCTCGGTGAGCTATGGCTAGGAAGAATGTAGGGTAGGGGTAAAAAGCATACGTCGTCATATGCTGACTCTTCTCCAGCCTTCCAATGAACCCTTTCCATGACTCGATCTGCTCCTTACTGCTGATGTCAACGGCCTCACACCGAACAGGCTGGTACAATCCACGCGTATGTTGTCAGTGAACGCTTCCTTCTCGAGGTCCTCCCAGCGTAGGAGATCAACGTAGAGGAACTGGATTGACGGTCAGTTCGGGTGTTCAAAGACATAGGATGAAACAACCAACCGTCTTGGTGATAGTGTCATGGATGTTGGCCTTGTCCAAGAGATAGTCAATCGCTGAGTAGGACGTCATCGAAGTCATCACTGGTGTCGATGGTACCGGATTTCTGTTCCTGCTTATAAGGTAACCCGGCCTGGTCAGCCGATAGAACGAACTGAATGTCTGGACTATTACTAAGATGCTCCGCATATGTCTGCCGAAAGGACGCGTAGCCCATGTAATGTTCTTTAAAAGAACCAGAACGCTGACAACGGCGAAGTGCAATCACAATGACTACTCTCATCACAGGCGGTAAAGGGAAAACAGCGCTCCGCCTTGCGCGCCTGATGAAAGACGCGAACAAACCATTCCTCGTTGCCAGTCGTTCCGGTGGAGATCCCGCAGACGAGTCTCCCAGCTGTCGATTCGACTGGTTAGACCCTACGGCATACGCGAACCCATGGTCGAAAGCGGAGGACATAACTTCGATCTATTTTGTACCTCCCCAGGTCATGGACATGTTACCGCCGATGAAAGCGTTCATAGACTATTGCCGGGAGAAAGGAGTCAAACGCTTCGTGCTCCTGAGCGCGAGCGTCGTAGAACCAGGAGGACCAGCAGCTGGCAAAGTCCATGAGTATCTTGCTACGATAGGCGTCGATTACTGTGTCCTCCGACCTACGTGGTTCATGGGTGAATCTGATATACCATCCATCAAGAGACCTTAGCGAGCTAACTTTGTTACCAGAAAACTTCTCCGAGGAACGACATCGAGGGCCCTTCAAGTCCGAGGACAAGATTTACTCTGCAACTGGTGACGGGAAGATTCCCTTCGTCTCTGCAGAGGACATTGCGGCTGTTGCTTTCCGTGCTCTGGTCGATCCACAACCCCACAACACAGACCACTTCATACGCGGTCCTGAGCTGCTTTCGTATGACGAGGTGATTCATATTTTTGTTCATTTGTCTATCCTAGCTCACAGAAAGTCAGGTTGCCGAAATAATAACAGAAGTATTGGGTCGAAAAATCACCCACGTCAAGTTGACGCAACTAGAGATGGCGAATTGGTTTACGGAGAGAGGCGTACCAAAAGAGTATGCAGGTATGTTGGCCTTGATGGATGCCCGGATAGCCAAAGGCGCGGAGGAGACGTTGGACGACGCGGTGCTCAAGGTGACTGGTCGACCACCCGTCCGGTTTTCAACCTTTGCGAAATCCGTTAGACACGTTTGGGAATGAGCCACACAGGTATATAGTTGTATATCAAAATGGTCAGGCGATTGTGACTGACCGGTCTGACGACAAAAAGAACTGAGCAAGGCAAGTGGAGAGTGCCGCGATTGACCGACTACGTTACATAAGCAACCCAGCTAGGTAAACATTCATTATCTCGCCGGTGCTACTAAGTTCGTAAGATATACTAGTAAGACGAAGACGTAAGTAAGATAAAGTGTCATATAAGTAAGAGCATAATGAGAGCGTGTGAGATACCAGCGCTCCAGCACTGCAGCTTGAAGGAACAGGAATACCTCGACCTGCGGTGAACGACGACTCATCAGAGCTAGCGCCGAAAGCACGACACATTGTATATAACCCCATATGCATCCAGCGAGTTGAATGTTAAATCCATTTTCTGCTGATGTTTCCATTCACAGTATTCATCAGGACTATCAGAATGTTCGCAATTTCCACCTCGCCGAGACATCGAATGTGATCATAGTGAGAGTACCGGCACTTCAGAAGGAAGAAGGTTATGTATATATAGAGTGAATGATATTTCGCAATGCAAGGGGATTTTTCATGGAAAACCTGAGCACTCATGCGGTGCTCATACTTGAGGCATTACCGGAACCTAACTTCTGTTCATATTGCCTTGTATGTCCAAGGGGCACCCAGACGAAGTCACTTACGTTCTTAGTCTATTCTAAAGATGTTCCGAGTCCATTCCTCGTCGGTGGTCTCGGCCCAGTCAATTCAGATCCTATGTCATCGTAGTCCTGGGAAGTTGAAAGTTGTGGGATCACCAGTACTGCAGGCTCGGTACGCTTAGACTCCATACCACCTCGACTTCCTATACATCTGAGTGAGGCTTGACCAACCGGAAAATGGGTATGTACAATTGTTCGACTGTCAAAGATCTAAATCCTCATTCCAGTGAAGACGCACCAGCCGAAATGGTGAGCATGCCACAAAAAATCACGAGGTTTTCCGCAAAATAACGTATTGCAGAGACATTATCCGACTGTCACCATCTCCGCCTTCGATGAGACCGGCCTAGAGAAATCGTCGGTTAGAGTTCCAAAGCAACGGACCTTCAGAGGTCAAAAGCCAATCATACCATCTTCTCTCGCTGACACTCCATGTCACGACCTTGGTCTTGATGGACTTTTAGAACATCTCAACAAGATCCTCGTCACCACATGCACACTGGATGACCATTCCCTATCCTCCCTTCTCGAAGAATGTATCTTGAATGACTATGACTTTGGTACCGCGTATGGCCTTCTCCGTCCGACATGGTACACTAAAAACTGGATCGCCATTCAAGACAAACTAAGCATCTGCGAAGCGCAAGACAATGTGACGCGGAAGGGGGTGTTGATTAATGACCGAATCATCACTTGCGAAGTGCCCCCTCAACGTGTCTGGGACTTGTACAGCAATCGAGTGGTGCCACGCTCAGTTACCAAGAAGCGCTTTTCGGCGATATCACATTCATGGGTAGAGGAGGAAGATCGCGTAGATTTATGGACACCCATTAACAGGAAGGAGTGGCCCGTGCCTATCCCGCGAGATGCTAACCTAAAGCTCATCCGGATTGAGATGCTCAATCTCGGTGCAGAGTATGTATGGTTGGATGTTCTTTGTTTGAGGGAGAGAGATGGACCGAGGGAAGATCTGCGCGCGGAAGAGTGGAGGGTGGACGTGCCCACTATAGGACATGTATACCAGGAGGCCGAGAGGGTGGTGTGCTACTTCAGCGGGCTGGGACGGCCTTTGGGTTTCAAGAAAGGGGACTTGGACAGTAATCGCTGTTGGTTCAACCGTGCGTGGACACTGCAGGAGGGCAAGGAGGATTCAATCTTTGGTGGAGACATGGGCAATGGGGGAAACATGGAAGAGGAAGTGCGAAAAAGGTTTCATGAGCAAGTGTCGGTGTTGAAGGACACACGGTGGGCTTTACAGCACGTCTTCCGTATGCTCTCCCAAATGCAGATGCGAGTATCGACAAACCCTGTGGATAAGATTGCCGCACTGGCATATCTTCTGTTGTCGAGAGAAATACCGGCATACCGTGAGGCGCAGTGTGAAGAGGATGCTTGGACGGCACTGGTGAACGTGATATCGAAGAGGTATCGGGGGCAGCTGTTCTTCCTATATCCCGAGCCTGGGAATGGAAAGAGATGTTGGCGACCGTCGTGGGACCAGGTCATGGCTGGGAAGCTTCTGTCAATGGCTGCGGTTCAGTTGCAACAGGATGTTGGTCGGTACGAGTCCGACGAGATGGACGTGGGCGAATACTCTGGATTGTGCATTGAATCAGGCATTGTGCAAGGATTGGCCGAGGGAGGTGAAGAAGGGTGGCTCCGACAGGGAAAGTTGATCGTCAAAAACAAGACATTTGAGATCGTTGCTGCTCACTATTATCCAATACCAGAAGACTCATATACCCTGCTAGGTAGCCGTCCATTATCATCCTCTCGCCAGGTCCAGGAGCAATATTGGGTGGTGGGGAAAAGACTGCTAGATGGTAAGTTCGAGAAAGTGTCGGTGTTCCATATGAACGACTTGGAGGAAGTGGAGAGGCTGAAGGACATCTGCACTGAAACATCTCGTAACCTTCTTATTTAAATAATGTGGATAGACAATGGTTTTACGCGAGTTTTCATGATTCTGCTTGCATGAAAATATGTAACATTGCCATGATCGGAGTGACACATCAAGCATAACATGGCATGAAAAGGCTTCAGCGCCTTGGCCGTTCGAGCACCTTAGCACGATGGCATAAATAGTCTCTTTCCATACGAAAGATTCATACTTGCACTTGAACTTCGTCTTTTTCCGGACATCGAGGATACCGCAGATACCGATATATACGACCGAAGAAGGGCCGGACCATTGATTCGTGCGAGTGCATCTAGATCACCAGTCATATGAGATTCTCAACAAAAAATTAGCAAGACGACCCACAGAATACGTATTCACTGAACCAGAAAATATTTCATCAAGCTTGCCCAGGGCCAAACGAATATTATTCTTCGCTTCGTCGATTGCCTCGGGCTTGAGGGATTCAAAACCATGCGGCGTCCACTTCTGCTGCTTGACGAAAAACTCGCCTTCGTCATCCTGCAGTAAATCGCGCAATTTCCGACGGCATTGATCCCAAGAAGGATCTGACGGTCGAAGACTTGCTAGTGCCCTTATATCTGTACAAATATCTTCTGATAGTCGGGGCGGTGGTGGAAATACGTTATTGAGTGATTCACCGCACGCGTTCCACCCGTTGGTGATTGGAATGCAACACGCCAAGAAGAGATTCTCAGGCTCGTGAAGGTAGTCCAAATGTCGCTGGAGATCGATCGATGTATCCAATGCCGCAAGTCCGGCAACGTATCCGTTAATAACAGTGACCAGCGAAGGACGAAGGGAGTGGCTTCCGAAAACTTCCAGACATCGCATATCGAGGAAAATGTCGTACACAGTTTCCACACCATGCCTGAGGCCAAATCCTAAAATTTCGCACATAGCGTCGAAGGGCGTACGCATAGGGTGATCAGCATCGTACGGTGCGTCGTACTGATTGATCATGGTTTCGACCAGTGGTTGTAAAGCGGGCCAAAAATTGTGCCTCGCGGATCGACCTGGTGTCCGGACACCGACCATCCCTGAATACATGACCAACAAAGACTTTTGGGCGTCCGTCTATTCAGACCCGAGCTTGAAGACGGGGCTATGAATGACATGTTCCACGAGATTTGCAAGAGCGGCGATCTGTTCATCAGGAAGATTCTTGGACGTGTAGTTCCAGAGGACGAGCTGGGCCCTTGATATGGCATGTTGAATGTCAACATCGAAAGAAGATAGGGAGACACGATGAAGTAGATATCGAATGAAAGCTAGCGCAAGCTTAAAGGTCGAAGGAAACGATGTTTTATCGGTCAATATATCAAACGCCGAAAGCATGTTCAGCAAGTTGGCTGTCAATTCGTCGTTGAAGTAGGCTGAGGCTGAGGCTTCGAAGTAAAGACATGGTGATGCATCTTTGAACGTGAACGTGTTCATTATGCAAGGAACGACGCGACTGCACAGATCCATACGAAAGGAATCCAGTGAGTCGACGTCGATCGGAGCGAAAGCGCCATCATCTTTGGCAATTCGCATGAGCTTAAGCCAAACGGCTGGAGGTAGCTTCACTTGACTAGAACACGTCACATGCTCAAAAAAAGCGACGGGAGTAGGTGTATTGGATGGTTTGTATTGACTCCTCGGACCTCTGGAGAGCATCATTTGATTGAACGGCGGCAGTGAGTCCCAAGTCGCCGTCGGCAATATCAACGTAAGGTCGGCTACGTCCCACGTAAAGCAAGTATGGGATGAACAACTCGAAACGAAGTAAGCGTTCGATCTTAGGTTCCATTCCTGGTTTTGGCTTGAAGGAGGGTAGTTGGATTTGCATGGAAACCCACAGTAGGTCCCGCTGAGCCGCACGAATGTCTGTCGCTTCCCCAAATACTTTCTTCACTGCATCCTTCGCCGACAGCGGCAGGCCGCCGATAGACTGTACCACAATCCTGTGTACCGTAGGATTCGACGAAGAAGAGAACAACCAATGTAACGCTTTGGCTGACAAGATTCCTGACCGTTCTTGCACCACTTCCCTTTCCAGATCATCCAACGAACTTATGCCCTTCGCTTCAGGCTCGTAGAAAACAGATTCATCGTCATCATCATCCTTCTCTTCCACGAAGAGCGGACGGATATGCTTAGGGAATAGGTCCTGGGTAATATAGCGATAGGGAAAGTATACGAGATCCGACAGCGGTGTGCGGTAGGGGCATTGTGGGTATAGAATTAGTAGGAAGATGGTTATCAAATACGTCGCGTATGCAGCGACAGTGCCTATGCCGATGACCCAGGAAAGGCCAGGTCGGAGCGGTACAAGGAATATGACCAATCCGACAAAAAAGATCCCAAGTGCGAGGTGCATGAGGACGGGAAGAAGACCAATGATGACGAGAACATGCCACCTCTGGAATCCTCCGTATCGATATTGCCGAACATGACTTCGCTCCCGAGGCGTCCCTGAAGGAAGCGCGAGGAATTGATGGAGCCACTGTTTCACGAGCACGGCGACTAGGGCAGTTGCTAGACTAAGGGAGAGGCTCGTGAACCATAGCCCGTTCACCCAGACGTCCGTAGTTGCAGGAGTGAACGCGGTATACGGATTGAGAGAAGACACTGGAACGTTGTCAAGAGATGAACCGTTCGCAACGGCGCGCTGAATGAGGACCATTTCAAAGAGCAGGGCTGCCGACACCTGAGTATAATCCGCCTGTAAGCTCTGTGATGTTTGTGATACGAAGGTTGTCACCACCGCTGAGAAAAGACCAGCCTGAAACGTCTTCAGCGACGAAGAAAAAAATAAGGGCAGCTACTCACGAAACAAGAAGCACACCGACACTATCCCTCGATTCCCCGACCATCCTGGCGTCGTAATTCGTACTCTCGTCCACGTATGTTCTCCATACTCTCGCATTCGGGGCTGTCTCTTCGTAGATATTATCTTCGGGGTACTTGTCCTCGTAGTTGAACGGGTCATTGCCTAAGATAGCCTTCATTAGGCATAACTATAATAGCAGGGAACCGAACCAAGAGCCACTATACCTGTCTTTAAACCAGCATCTGGTCTGGACTTCTTCGCACCTCTATCACCCTCAACGCCGGCTCCTTCCTGTATTCCCGGACTCGAAGATGGTTCGACCCCAATACTATCTGAATTGACGTATTCCTTGCCAGTCTCCATTTTCTCTGGCCTCTTTTCGTTGTTTTGACGCAATTGCGAGCCATTATTCTGAGGCGACCCTTCTGGGCGGTCTTGTACATCGGAGATGCTTTCAGAAGAGCGTCTGCTGAATACTTCATCGACTCGGTGCTGGTCAGACATGGCCGGTCGACGGCTGCCCGCTGACACGATATTACAGATGGAGATGAAAAAACCCTGGTGGTCGACCCTGATCCGAGTGCCTCTGTACTGTTTAGCGCCGCGGCTGAGACTGAATGCAAGCGCCGTAAGCTGTGGTTCCTCCTTTGTGCAGGGAGCGGCCGGCTGGATAACATGGTGGATAAAGATAGAGGAATGCCTGCCGACCAGAAGGCTATGTCTCTCGCGACGCGGTCACGTTCGTTCACCCATCCTCTTTCTTTTTCCAGTGTTCAGTGTCTTCCCCCACCAAAGTTCCACTTGGACTTCAATCAGTCTAGAAGATGTTCAAGCAGCGGATGCTCACGCCGTGGAACGTTCCATATTCCTGATGCGCCTTCGTTTACTCTTGGCGACGTAACAGCACTGGCAACCCGAAGAACCAAATGCCAAGATATCCCCACTGCTTCAGCGCATGCTGTAATAACCTAGTTTCAAGTGGCGTTCTTATGTGCATTCATCTGGTATATGGGTAGGAGAAAAAGATTATGTAAAAACAAATTACGTGAAATCCAGCGAGTCCGTCAGTCAACCAAGAAATCCGACACGCTGACGTCCGGACGAAAAACCCTAGTCTTCGCGAAATCCTTTTATCAGTTTCGTTCAGATAAAACATGTCCTCCCCACCTATTTTGGGGGGTCCTCTGGCAGCGTGCTTTTGCCTGCCCAACAGAAGCACAAATATTTCCATTATTCGTCAAAATGGGAGTAGCATAAAGCAGTATATTGATCAAGATGAAAATACAAAAAAAGTAGAATAGCTGTCTTCGTCATGGTTTTACCAGACCGTCAAAGCCACATAGTAGCACGCCCCAAGGCGGGGTACGGCAGGATACAGGAATATGACGACGCACGCACCACCCTACATCAAACCCCACATCCAAGTCAACACCGAGGTGGTCTCGAACACAGAGCGAGCTAGATGGCGTTGCTCCTTCTCGTGAGTGCCACCCCGAAGGGCACACCTTCGCTCCCTCAACTATGAAAGTAAGAACGCCATACAGACGAGTTAACGCCTGCCGCCAGAGAGCTGACGCTTCGATGGTTGAGTCGGACACTTGAAAAAGAAAAAATAAAGCGGATCGGGTTTTATATATCAGATTGAAGCGGAGATCAAATAATAACAGGCCGCTCGGGCCGAAGTGGCGGCACGTAGTTGCCCTTTGACTACATTCACTCGACGGTTACAATGTCGCGTCTATCGCGCGCAAATCTCAAGGCCAGGGAGTCTGTTTTCGCCAGCGGACCAGAGATATACAAAGGCGAAATACAAGCAGTATGTCCGCCTAATCTAGCCGAATGCGTCGCGGCCATGGAGGACTGCTGTGAAGAGGTCAGACCCAACCTTTTCTCTGACGAACCACTCTGACATTGTGTAGGCATACGAAGCACAGATACTCCTCAGAAATGGGACTCATGACTACCCGCGAATGGCAAATGTTCTTCGGAATGAGAGAGTAAGTCAGCACCTTCAGTAAAGAATGAACGCTGACAACAAATTTAGGTCTTTCTCCTTATCGATGAAAGCACAGTCAAGAAGTATAAATCCGACTTGATAGACGAAGTTGAACCTGCGATACACGAACTCATAGAGCGAGCGGAACAAGGCCTCAAATCTCTCCAGCGAAAGCAGGCTCAGCTTCAAACGAAGGTTCATCTTTGTTCGTTGATTTTTCTTTGTTCACAGTATCTAACATTTCATGCAGGTACAAGTCGCAAAAACAGCAACTTCTCGACCCGCTTCAGGCACAATGGCGCAGCATAAGCTTGAGCAACGACGGTTACATATGCTCACGAAGCAACGTGAACAGTTGGAGGAGGAATGTGCGGCCCTGGAGGCGGAAGTGAAAGCATTGGTATGCGATACTCGTGATTTTTTAATGATCCCACCTGATGAAAGACAGGAATCTAAATCACGACAGTGACTCTCCAACCACCAACATCAAAACACGCGTCCTTCACCCGTAGCGTCGCCAAACCATCTGCCATTATTTCTGCAAGACATTCATATCCTACATCGCTTGCAATTCTCCTATCAACACCGCGTCGGCAATTTCTCCCGCTTCAAGTCTCTGAGGTCCATCAGACTTCCGCTGAGGCAGAACGACCAGGCCGTTTGCGCCACTCATACTGGCCACTCTACTTGACCTTTGGCCGCCCGTGCTGAACGCCTTTAATCCCGTTTCTCCGGCGCGTATCACGACTCTATGGAACTCCGTGCGAGGGTCCAGGGTCATAGACGATTGCAGCTGTGAAAGATGATCATCGATCAATTGTCCAGGACAGCAAGCAGAACCCATACCTGGACTTTCGCACGGGGTAACTGGCACAAGTTCTCTGGCCAGCCACCCAATTTGCGCAGTGCTGGCACAACGAAGATGTGGAAAGTGACGAGCGCAGAGGATGGATTACCTGGGAGTGCAAACACTGGCTTTACCGCCCCGCCAGTCCAGGGAATGGTAGCAAAAGTGGTGGGCTTTCCGGGTTTGATAGTGACGCGGCCAAAGTGTATGGTTCCGCTGAAATGTCTTTCGATGACCGGCTTGAGCAGGTCGGTTGGGCCCATCGACGTTCCGCCGGTGGTGATGAGGATATCAGCGCTATCGAGACCTTTTTTGATGGCGTCGACGTGAGCAGGAATCCTACAGAGAGTATATGGTCAGTTTGGCGACGAATGGGAAATGCAAAAGGCTGTACTCGTCGGAAACTATACCAAGGTCAACGACTTCGTATCCCAGGCCTTGAAGAGCGGCGTGAAGGGAGGGCCTGTTGGTATCCCATATCCCGCCCCAAGACGAGCCCTCGCTGAGAGGAACCGGCGCTTGCAGATCAACTAGTTCGTTTCCCGTACTCAGGATCCCCACAATCGGCTTTCGGTGCACTCTGACCTGGACCAGAGATATCGAACCTGACAAAATGCAGGACCAGGAGCATATCACGTACCTCCTTGCATCCAACAAAGGCCAAGGTACCAATCTCGCCTCCTGGACTCAGGATACGCTCGCCTTTTTGCAGGACTAAATCTCCCGTCTTGACATCAGATCCAGCGGCTCGGACGTTTTCTCCCTTGTCAACTTTGGCGAGGAGCTCGATTTCTACCTCTTCTCCATCTTCATCTGTTTTTGTAACTCGGGTGTCTTCGACCATGATCACAGTGTCTTCGACCATGATCACAGCGTCTGCCCCTGCAGGCAGTGGAGCGCCTGTATTGACACGGCATATCTTTCCAGGCGAAAGAGACTTGGATTGTTGTGGTGTTGTCACGGTGTACGTCCCGTTAGCGTCGATGGCATCGCCTGTCCAATGGATTTCTTAGCATGAAAGGTTCACACGACCGGAAACTCACAGATGACGGCGTAACCATCTACATTTGTTGTCGGAGTCGCTGGAACGTCGTGGGGGGCGTAGACATCCTGAGCTAATACATAGCCCGCTAGAGATGGTGTTACCTGTATACCATCAGTGCACATCAAGGATTGGCTTGTTGATACGTACCGGGAGAACTGTCTCCTCGAGGGGCTTAATCGTAGTCATGATCATATCCATAGCATCTTCGAAAGATATCAAAGGAAAGGGGGATATACGATGCCTCGTAGATACTGGTAAAGCTGTCAGAGATAGATACTCTTAGGAAATAGAAATAGAACCAGACCTGATGCAGATGGATCGTGAGTGATATTCGTTCGAGGTTGAGGGATGGTATGCCCATGATGGTCATGATGATGGGAGTGGTGAGATGATCCCATCTGCGAATGGACTTGCTGGCCTGTACCTCCCTTGATCAGCTCAAAAGCATGCTTCAGCACACCACCCTGCAAAAGAGCTTGGACATTCTCCGTGACAGCCTTGGTACTTCCCGGGAGAGTCACTACCAGCGTATCCTTGATCGTCCCAGCGACAGGCCGAGAAAGAGCTGCAAGCGGAGTATGCTTCAACGACGCCGACAGAAGAAGATGGACAAGACCCGATGCTTCGCGTTCGAGAAGGGGTGCGATGGCCTAGTAAAGCGGATGATTAGCGGGCCAGAAAGCATCACTGAAATGGCTGATCCTACTTCTGGTGTTCGGTCTCGCACACCGAACCCTGTCCCCCCAGTGGTAATAATGAAGTCGACAAGTCCCGTATCAGACCATAACTTGACGAAATGTTGTATCTGTTGTACGTCGTCTGGTACTATTTGACGGTTTGAGCAGGATAATCCAGCTTCTTGAAGGAGAGTAACTAAAGCCGGCCCTGATTTATCCGCAGTTGCATCTTTGAAAGCAGTGTCGCTAACTAGTAGGTTTAGTTCTATTCCTGCTATCTTCATGGATATACACCACCTGTTAAAACACCTACACGAATTGACATAGTGGATTTGAGCAGGTTAGATTACCGATAATTGATCGGAAACACTCTATGACGCAATAAGCAAGATGAATACATCTCTTCTCGGATTGTATTTACAAAAAAAGACGCTCGGCTCTGTACAATCCAATAGCTGCAGAAGCTTGTTGATGCGCTAGCTTATTCCGCTGTCTCCAGTCAAGACGCGGCTCTTTACCCTCCTCGGTAGCTTTCAGCAACCGCCTCTGCGCCTTGACAAATGCCTCCAGAGGGCCCCGTAGCTGCTCCGTCTCGTCAATGGACCGTATCTCAGGGTCTATCCGTGCCGAGATCTTGCGAAGAACACGGTGCGCGGGGGTATGCTGTATAAGTGTCAGCAGCGAGGAATCTAATATGACTTGGGTGAACGAAACGATCTATGGGAAGTTATGGTAAACCCGGCGGGAAGACAATGGGGGAAGAAAAATACGAACGTCATTCATGGGAGGTAAATCTGCGCCTTTCTCGTGCACCACCGCGTCCGCGACCAGTATACCCTTGTCATTCTTTTCGACTACTTTTTTCGACGGCATCAGGCGAACGTCCCTGCCTGACCACTGTGCTAGCCATCCCTCCAATACATCCAGTAAACACACAAGATCCTCAGCCTCAGGCAAACACCTCCGGATGGCTAGTCTCAGTGCAGCTGGGGAGCAAGAGTATTGCACGCATAAGCTGAGAAATTGCGGTAACGAAGGAATGTCGGCATTTAGAGGTGTGACACCGTCCACTTGCATAGCATCGTTGGATTTTTCTTGTCGATGCCGGGTTATTATGTAACGAAGAGTGTCGACAATCTCGACCTCCAATAGATCAGGGACCTTTTTCAAGGCCATACGTATCGATGTCTATGATGGGAAATGTTCAGTCAGACCCTCTCCACGAAGAAAGAGATTGACATACCCAGTCGTTCCGCAGTCTTAACAAACTCAAGAGTCCATTTTCGACCATACTGGCATTGACAACACCCCGTTCCAATAAATGCCTCACAACCTCCGACGAATAAGGAAAATTGGCAGGCTTTCCAGGTTGCAGCACGGTTATCAAAAGCTCCTTCACGAAGACATAGCGGAAAGGCACCTAGAACACAGTTAGCTATGTACGTTCTAAGATGACAATGGAACCCTACCTGAGATTCAGAATCCGTCTTGCCCTTCGACTTTTTCTCCCACTTGGTAAACAACATGCTCGCGCTCTGGGGCCTACCTTGCTCCATAGCTGAGCGCATCTCCGACAGAAGAGTCTCCTGCGGTCTATCGAGTTGGCTCGTCGATGGGCGTTTGGCAAGCCACGGAGCCGCTGACGCTGCTCGTCCCATTGCATTGGCTATTGTCGATGTTGGAGGAACCGTATAGGGAACTACCAACACGCTCGATCTTGACGTGGATTTCACCTTTTCCGACGAACCAGGTGATACTATCAACAGTGCCTCAGAAGATGCAGAAATGAGAGAAAGCGCCGTTTTGTCCTCTGAACCGGAAGGTATAGAGAGGCTGTGGGAGGCTAGGACAACAGAAAACCTGAGATCCCAAAGTAGGAGGACTATTTTTCGGTCTGGATTTGGGGTGATACCAGCGAAGAGAACGTGAGATGAGGTGAGGGCGAGAATGGAAGGGGACGCTAGGGGAGTAAGGTTGACGATTTCGGAGGTGGGGGATACTTCGACAGTAGAAGATATTTCGATCTGGAAAGAGTGCCATGATCCATTATGGGCTGAACAAATGGAAATCAGTCAAGGAAGCATCAGAGCTTTGAATTGACGTACAGAGGATCGTCAAGTAGCCAGAGGTACTGCACGAAATGTCTGATATATCCTAGAAATGTAATTAGTCCGAACTGCCAGTATCATTTCCCGCTAATGGTCGAACCTTTATCGGGATAGCGCTACTCCCAACGTCAGTGAGAGTGCGATCCTCCCCGACAGAAAAGGCTCGAGCACGAGTATTGCCATCGCAGGACTCTATAAGAAGTAGGACAGAGACTGCATTAGCGTCAGTCATGACAAACGAACAGGATTCCCGAGAGAAGCAAAAGCTTTTCAAAAAGTTGACTTGTTCGGGCGAATTATACGTGTGCAGGACTTTGCAATCGGCATCCAACAATGACACGCTTCCCTTGTTCGAATACGCGACGACGAGAGGGGGCTGATGGTGACAGACATACATCCCAGAAAGATCATGAGGTATCTATCTTGGAGTCAAATTAATGCCATAGAGAGAAAGAACCCGCTCGCCAACTTGCCAGAGAAGATTTCTTTTTGCTTTCAGCTAGGTTTGTTGAAGGGTCGTCTTTCCATGTCCATATTGTCTTGTTCTCCTCTTCCTTGGACAAATCCGAAGATGAGGCAATCGCCGCGTGGGTCGTATACACGGGTCCAGCACCGTCCAGACTGCAGTACGATATTGAGGGACAAGAAAATGAGGTCGCGGGTCCTAATGTGTGTGAGACGATAGGGTGCATTGTCGACACCTAATATGGCCGTGATTAGAGAGAAACGTGGATTATGAATAAACGAGACGCACATCCAGGATATGTACACCATCTCCTTGAGCAGCCACCGTCACATAGCCATCTGAGCCGGCAGACGTTGTGGTATGCGACGCATACACAGACGACTTGCCGCCCTTTTGAGATTTCTTTTGCAGCCGCCTGGAAGTCGCATAGGTAGAAAGGGAGAATGGCTCCTGGATAGAGGACTCCATGGCGGTGAAATTTTGGGAAAGAGAGTTCTGATTGGTCCTTGGACCGGTCCGAGGTTCCACGTGGCCCTCATCAAAAAATGGACTTGCACTGGTGCTCCTCGAACGAACGGAAGCAAATATGATCGCTCCTTCAGCAAGGATATGTTGATCAGTGTTAATAGTACAGTTGCAGACATCATTATCGTTCATCCCAGGTTTGTTTATCTTCGCCAGCTCTAATCGTTCCCACCTTTGATCTCTAGCTATTCGCTCAGCCCTACTCAAGCTATCGTTGACGCTCCTTGCAAATAATGTAATAGCGTCGGCAAGCGGCAGAGCCCGCTACCTTGATCTCCCTTATCGCGAAAGATTTGCCAAAGATGATACTTGTACAAGTGGTCTCGTGTTGGACCAGAGAATAGGTACATGCATAGAAACAAAAAGCTCGCGTTATTATACACCTTTAAATCGGCCGTGGGCTCTCATAAATGTTCAAGCCTGCAAAACGTTTATTAGTCTCCCCTAGGCAGACTCTGGATCTCTTGACAGACGAGCAGTCGACTTTAGCCTGGTGGAGTCACAACGTGTCCTCTCAGCTCATCGCTTCACCACTCTGCCTTAACCATGATACATACTATTGCATCTCGGGTACGGAGTTGAATTTTGAGTTACTGTCGCAGATTAGCACCCTTGCCGTTCTTTTTCCTGTTCAGGCAAGGTCTGTGGTGACAGCAGCTGCCATCTCCTAGTCTACTACAAAGTACGTTGAATACAATCCATAAATTTGGACTTCCACCAGAATTGTGATAGTATCTTCCGCAGCCAGTAGCACTGCTTTTGCACTGCCGTATTCCCCCCCCTAGACTCCACTGACAGCTATATATACACCGCGACCACCATGATATCCATCTGGCCCTGTTGCCATGAATCTCTACCAGACGAGCTCTGAGATACTCAACAATACCTACACTAACGAGTCGGGGCAAGCCATTTATAAAGTCTCGACTCCACACAAGTTCTCCGGGCGCGTCACAACTATCTCTCGCATCGTACCCTCAGATTACGAGCCCCCTCGCGTAGAAGACACAGACAGCTACGAACTTGGGAGTCTTCGGAAACGCAATCCTGTGCGGTCGGACAGTGATGGGAGCTCCATGGCCAGGGAACCCGAAGTGGACTTCAGAGATCGGTTTGCGCCACTGGGTTACATTGATTGGAAGATGTTTGCTTCATCTGTGATGCGATATAAGGGGGAGGAGGTCAAGGCAACTACATATTTGAAGAAGCAGGGCTGGGGATGGTATGGAAGGTGTGCTGCATTGGGTTATCTTCCAAGTATCGTGTCAGTGAAGCTACATCGACAGGCACCGCGTATTCAAGGGTCCCGATGGCAAAGAGTATAAATGGATATTGGGCTTTAGTATTCCCGAAGTGAGTACAGTTATCAACCGGTCTTCTGTACATCAAATCTTAATATCCATTTTTTAATTCCTTGTTGGCTCTTCCTCATAATTCTGTCTGGCATAAAGGTTTTATATATGGCTGTACATAGATGCTACATAAATATTTTCACGATTTTAGAACAATATTCTGAGGCGCAGTGAGTGATTTACGGGTGTACAAATGAATGGTCTTACATAATATATTCTGAGTCCTGGCTTCGGAGGCCCACCACAATTTACAGAATGCACATACAGCCCTGGAAAGTATCTCAATTTGAAGCATGGATTTTATACTAAATTTTAAGCACCAAAATCACCTGAGAATATCAGAGGAATGATGTTCTACACAGTGTACAAAGGAGTGGTGGTGTACAGAAGACCGGTTGATTACCGTAGAGGCTATCTTACCATGTTATTCCATACTGATACGTAAACATAGCTGATCCTAAACGACGGGTCGGAAACCCTAATCGCTAGATTTTACACAAGAAAACTTGGCGTCTTTAGTCCTGCCAACGCAAGACCGGCCTATCTGGAGATTCTTCCTGATGGAGAGCATATGGTTGATGTCATCTTCTTCACCTTCATATATATCGAGAAAATCCGTAAAGAGAAAGAGAGAGCCGCACGGCGTAGACGGGCTGCTGCAGGATCATAAGGACTAGCATGCGACTGTCACTACAATACAAGAATCTAATCTACTTTTCTTGAACCATATCCTTGACGCTCTTGATCCATCTCTCGAGTTCGCTCCCCCATAGTGCCATTTGTTGAATCTTGCTGCACGAGCAGCGCGAATTGGATCGTTTCCGAAGATGGACGCCTTTTCTTTCGACCTGGCGCAGGGGAGCTTGTGTACGGACCAATTCTCTCGCTGGCATTTTCGACTCTGAGATTTCACTGGCCTCAGAATGGACTTACAGTACATGTCCTGTAACCTCAAAAATGAGGAGATGCATCGACTATTGTCATTGAGGAGACCATACCTCTTTACACCTGCTACAGACCTGAAAAGGCCTGTCAACTCCAAGCTGTTGCGGTGTTTTCTGGCATGTGTGACAGTGATTGTGGATTAGAGAGCTACTCTTGATGAGGAAGTTAAAGTCTGTAGCTTTGGGAGCGACGTTTGGGGTCGTCGACATGGTGGATTCGAATTAGGAGCTGTAGCTGAACGATATTCTTCCCGCGGATCGCGTGGTTCTTTCATTACTGGGACGGTACAGAGACGGTACGCATCCGGCTTTCAGGTCCCCGGTGAACAATGCCGATTTCATGAGGTGTTAAACTTTCCACTGCGGGTACACCTATACTAATAATCAATAAGCAGCTATCTATCAGTAACATTGTTCTCAGCAAAGCAAACGTATCGGGTATATTCCAAGAAAACCGTAGGGTATAAGTCTCAATCGTCCTCCGAATCATAATCATCCGAATCGTCCATTTCTAGCATCTTTAGATGTAACGCCATCGAATAGTTCTCCTTGGCGCCTTCGACCAGCTGTTGCGCCATAGCCAAGTTCGCCGTCCTCGCACGGAGAACAGGAAGGCAAGCATTGAACAAGGGTATGATCTGCGTTCTGGCTGCAGTGGACTCCTTGTTTTCTTCGTCGTTACCTGGGGGATCCAAGTCAGTGATGCGTGTCTTCAACTCAATGGCTTCGTCCTGAAGACGGTCTGGTGGATTAATGAGAAAATGCTACGGTTCAAAGGGAATAGATGACAAACCAAGCTTTTCCATCATCGAGTTGAAGATGGTCAAAGGAGAAGGGCCTTCGGTGTAATCGAGGTCAAACTCTTGAGAAGCGATTTTGAGAGCCTCTGATTCGCATTCGGTGCACGAATCACCGTGAGACAGGAAATTTTGCATTATTATCGGCGCTTCCTTCGCGAACTGAGAAGTTGTCAGAAACGTGCCGGATGTGAAAAAAAAAAAGCCAAGGCACTTTATCAGAGGCAAGCTCGTCATAGAATTGAATCAATCTTTCAGCTTCAAAGCGAATACGTTCGTCAGATATGTTGGCTTCTTCGGCTTCTAGTTCCTTTGCTTTCTTCTCCAGGTCTCTCTGCATCGCATGGTTCAGGACATCGCTGGTTAGCAACGATAGCATATATAACCCACCTTTGCAGTCGCTTCAGCGTCCTTGAAACAGGCCTCGAGAGTAGAGGTCATGTACATCCAAGGGTACACCTGGGCTGCGATCTGGAGAGGGTCCGAGGACCTCTCAGGTTCTGGGCCTGCTGGAAGACTTGAAGTAGAATTGTCGTCCGCGAGCTTAGAAGTCGAGGATCCTTCCCCTGCGTCAGCGTCCTGGCCTTCCTTGGATGTGATATCCTCTTTCCTAGGCGCCGTATTCCCAGGCGCATCCGATTCATGGTGGCTATCATCAGGTGAAGCAGACCCTCCTGCCAAAGTTTCAGCCAGCTGATATAAGGATCCATTGTGTAGCCGTTACCGCCGCCATCAGCTAAAGCCGGAGCCCTGGGTGTCGTAGCAGACGCGGTGTCCATGCTTGTACGGGGAACCCACCGTTTTTTGGGGCAAGCCGAGTTCAAACTCCGCGGGTCTCGGGCCGAGCTGTTAAAGACGCCCGTTCGTCTATCACCCACCCATCGAGCGTGTCCGTGCGCTGTATCCCGTTGGCGCAGCGTGCGATACTGCTCTCCGACTCTGACTCCCATCCTCGTTTTTATCGATGGCGTTCCTCGCGGCATTCATCAAACCACTGGCATACATATCTGTTCCTGTCATTATACTCCGGTCGGTCGCTGCTTCGTCTCCCACGGGAAAATACTATGTGCGCCTTGGGATGTACATCGGTACCCTGACGTTCATCGCGACTTGGGGTGCTGCCATCGCAGCGGGGATGTCGCTGGTGAACATGCGATACGATGTGAATATCGTGATTGCGCGCTGTTTCTATGCTTTGGCGAGCAGGGTCATGAACATCGAAGTCGAGATAGAAGGGCAGGAGCATCTGGTTGCAGAACGTCCATCCGTGTTGATGATAAATCACCAGTCGTTTTTAGATATTCTCATCGTGGGCAGGTGAGCGTCTTTCTGCCTTTTACGCAATCCCGGGTCTGATTATGGATGCAGGCTTATCCCCCGACGCACGTCCATTATGGCCAAGAGTTCTATTCGGTGGACTCCTCTTGGTCCTTTCATGATCATGTCCGGCGCTATTTTCGTTGACAGAGGAAACAACGCGCGTGCTGTGAGCTCGCTAAAGGCTGCTGGCGAAACCATGAAATCCGGCGGTGTTTCTCTATATATGTATCCGGAAGGGACACGGCATCTTTCCGAAGAGAATAACTTGCTCCCGCTCAAGAAAGGCGGTTTCCACCTCGCGATACAGTCCGGGATCCCCATCGTCCCCATCGTCGCGGAGAATTATTGGTGGTTGTATCGGAAAGGTTTCTTCGGAACGGGAAAGATCAAAGTCCGAGGTATATATTCTGCCTTCCATATTGACATTCCATGCTTACTTTATTGGTGTAGCCCTTCCACCGATACAGACTAAAGGCCTAACCACAGAGGACGCTACTGCATTGTCAATTCGCGTCAGGGAACAGATGTTGGAGACTTTAAACGAGATATCAGTAAACACCCCTTCTCAAGGGAAGACGGTGAAGGAGTCGAGCTCATTGGCGACTGAGGCTGCAGAAGAAGCGAAAGTTGGCGCCACAGAAGGACACTCGGAGAAGACACCGGTACCGGAGGCGACTCAAACTTCGACGCCGAGCGAGAGTGGAAGTGATAAAGTGAAGAGCTCGATCAGTGAGAACGGAACGGAAACGGAGGAGGATGAGGGCATGGTCCTAGTTGGGCGACCAGCGTAATGCACAGTAATTATTCTTTCTTGCAAATTTACTATGGGGATAAACATTTACAATCGAAACCATCAGCCAGTGCCTTGGTGGGTATGTGGTACAGTTTTCATTGCCATGTCTTCTGACCCTCAAGGCGCCCCCTTCAGTCCGAATCTTTCCTGATAGAAGGATAATTCCTCCTCGATGGATCTTCTGATGCTGTCAGCCTTCCTCCAGCCATGTCCCTCCCCTTCGAATTCAATATATTTTACCGATCCACCGTTAGCTTCTATGGTTTTTGCCATGTCTTGCGTCTGCTCGGGCGGAACGATACGGTCAATGACACTAAAGTGTGATTGTTTGGGTTGCAGCCCGCATATCAGGAAATACCTCACTCACCCTTGCATAATCTAGACGTGATTTAAGTGAGACGAGTACCTAACACGTAACACATATCCACATACCAGTACTGGAGCCTTGATCTGACTCGCTTGATAGAATGGCGAACGCTTCTTCCACAGAGCCGAATCCTCCTCTAACAACGCTCCAACAAGCCCCGGAATATACTGCGACTGGAATTTATGACAGTTCACATGCAACGCAATAAGGTCCGACGCAGGGAACCACGCAGTCCCAGCTTTAAAGTTATCCGTTGTCGTGGACAACGTCTGCAGGGTCGTGAAGCCTCCCCCGCTGCGCCCACGGATCGCCGACCGGTTGACATCGATCAGCCTGCGCTTACCTAGCTCTCGCAGGGCTTCGACAGAGTCCCTAACGTCAACGACACCCCATTGTCCCTGCAAGCGGTCCATGTAATCTCGGCCGTACCCAGTCGATCCGTTATAGTTGAGATCGATCCTGTCATGGTAGTTGGTCTCAATCAATGGAAATGCTTGACCCTTGTTAGGATGATGATGACTTGCCATGCCCATCCGCGAGATGAATAGTATTGCTTGGTCCAATCGAGCGCCTGATCTAGCTGTTCAACCCTAGATTAGCACTAATAGACTAAAAACAGAATGGGACGATTGTTTACCATTGAGTTCGGCCCTCCATGAAGGTTAAAGATAGCAGGAGGTAGCTCCCCAGGTAAACCCCCAGAATAGTCAGGATTCTTGGGAAGGTATAGGATAGCATGAGTCGTCCTCCCTTCCGGAAGAACCTGTAACTCCACCGGTTCTGGTAGCGAGATGAGTCCTTTCGGAAAAGGCAAGTCAGTTCTCCCTCGCAGCACTCTGTATATGGGCTTTTGATCCTGCTCTGACCAACTAAACTCAATAACACCCGAGTTATCGTCAGCCTTCTTCCCTACAAAGACGACCTTGCCGTCACCCAAGCTGCGGACGTGTTGTATAAGAACAAATGGCGTCTCAACCGGGAGGAACTCCCGCGTATCGAGGCTGGCAAGGTAAAGCTGGGACCTCCCATTCCGGAATGACGAGAAGAGAACGCGGCGCTGGTCGTATAAAGCGAAACTAGAAAGTCCGAGGAACCATGAAGGCTCTCCGAATTCTTCTGGTATGACAACAGGTGACAGCGGCTCTGGCTGAGGAGTGGCACTAGAAATGCCGCGTAGTATCCATGGATTTAGATAGCCATCTTTGTCCGTTGTGAAGACGAGTTCATTCGCAAGTGTCCATGTTGGCTCTCCATTGATCTTTCCGTTCCCACCTGACACCAGGACCGCGGCTCCAACAGACGGAAACGCGTCCGCATCATCAGGGATAGAGAAAGGCGCCAACATCAGGTTGCTCGCTTGAATCGGCATATAAGGGAAATTCCTGTTCAATCGGTAATGTACCTAATGCTTCGACATCAGTCAAGAAACTTGGAGCATACCATTCTTTCCAGACGATGAAACGACCGTCCGGGCTGAAACGCGGGTTGCTGTAGAAATCGGAACCACTAGCTATTATCTTACTCTCTTGCGTCAGAGTGTTGATCGCCACAAGGGAAGTCTTGATGCCTGAAGCACTGTCGACGGTATGGTCCTCGAGAATAGACACAAGCCACTTTTTGTCTTTGGGGTGCAAAGTGAAATCACCGTAGCGGTGACTGGGGTTCTCTGCTTGACAGGATGTGAGAGGCTGAACAGGCAAATGTAAACCCGGCAGTTACCTGGTGTCACTGCAGTTGGTATAGACCGTTTAGCCGTGTCAACCACGTACACCCTGCCGTCCGTGATGTTCGAAAAATAGACTCGTCTATCGTGCGCCAGAGCAGGAGCACCGCCGTACTCGTGAATACGAGAACGAGCATTCCAGCTCGGTCCGTATATGTCTCGGTTGTCAGATGCTGAGACTATGGCATTCCTTCCACCTAAGCGTTCAAACCATCAGCACCCTGGTTCGCCAAGTCAAAACTGTCCATCCAAGCTACCTTCTGAGGGTCTCGACTCGAGAACATATAGTTCCCGGGTAATATCATCCACAAGTAAATCTTCAACACTGAGACCCTGACAGTCTATATATCGAGCAGGACCTCGATATAATGGACAGAGTACTCACCGCTTCAGATATTAGTTTTGCGTCAATGGGCGACTTCCAGGTCCCGTAAGGCGCACAAAGTGGTGACGAAGCGTTGGGGCTCATTCTGCTGAAGTTCTGAGCTGGGCCCTGCAGTTGTGGTTGACTGGTTCAAACCAAGCCCGGGTATGTGTACGTATGGCATTGATGCAGGTGAAGCATCCGACTCATCGCGTCATCAATCAACGGTAAGAATGGATCATTCTGGATGGAGGCAGAGAAGCGGGGGATTCGCAATTACTTCAATAGTAATGCTTCACATGGTGAAAATCAGATTCAAAGGAAGTGATGCATGATCGCAGTGTAAAACCCTCCGAACTCGGGTCCCGGTCCGTGATCCGGCGGGGTACAAGGTTTTCTCACATCTTAGGCTTCAAACGCCGTTTACATTAATACCGTTATCTACAGTAATACTGCTATACATAGTACCGCACAAAGAAAGTCAATTGTAGGCCGGAGACCAAATGTGATAACCAGCATCGCCATCTCCAGTTATCGTATTCCCCTGCTTAAGCGCTTAAGCCTCAAGAATAAGTTGGTAGAACTTACAAATCAAGAAAATGTACGAACCTGCTAGGCGATATTAATGAGCCTTTGGTAGCCCGATAAATGGATCTGGGCGAGACAGTGTCTCTATCGCAATCGGTAAACTCCCAAACTCATTGACCGACCGCACAATATCCCGGGTGGCCAAAAATGCAACCATGGCAGCTACGACATTGACCACAAGGATGAAGATGATGATCCATTGGAGCAGAAAGGGCTGATATGCCTTTTGCTTGGAAGGCGGCTGGGATGCATCGTTGACAGCAAGTGGCTCGTAGTAGTCCAAGGAGCGTGTCATAGCAGTCGACAGGATAATGATGAACTAGATAGGGCATCAACAGTATTAGTAGCCTGGTGTTGCACAGCCGATGTGACACTCAGAAAGTTATACACCTTGAGGGTAAAGCGGTGCCGAGAAGAGAAGCACACGATGCACCGCCTTCAAATCTGATTGGAACTAGTCATAAAGTCTTGAGCGCTGTACGGAAAAAGTTCGGGTTATGAAGGAACGAGAGTCATACTGTACCGAGCGCTTACCCTTATCAACCGGAAAGCATACCGCGGTCTAACAACTTGCAACTAGGCTGTATCCGTCCAACTGAGACCAAGATGCAATAAAAATACGCAGCTCGTTGGTTTTGTTTTGCAATTAGCGATCCGATTGCAGGCAAAGGGTATAGCGTTAGTACGGTTTCAGAGAGGCAACCCTGATCATAATTAGTGGGGCTTCCTGCACTCGGAATAGTACACCAATTAGGATATTATTATGTCCTGGAGCCGTATTCAGTCTGACGATACTATCAAGTTGTGATTTGAAACTTACAACTAGCAGCACAAGGCAAGTACAAAGAGCTCGGAGTCATTCCAAGATTATACATATTAATCATTATGATTGAAGGGCCTAGGTCTAAGTCAAAGATTATATTGTTACATTGCGCCATTACCTGGCACCGCTGCGTGTTATACGATCATCGTTCACCAGCCATCTGTTCATCATGAGATTGGGCGACATGGTCTTCTGAAAATAGCGTACCTGGAGAGGACAGCTTCGAGTTTGGTTCAAGAGGCACCCCCTTCCAATGCTTCTGGTTACTGGCCATAAATGAACGTACTTGAGTCCAATCACGACACCGATGGAGACTTCCGTAGAGTGTCCCTGGTTCGCCAGACTCTCCGGTTGGAATCAGCGTGGTATCTGCGTTACAGAGGATGCTTTGTCGTATGAGATCAAAACAATGGTTGGCATGATTGAAAGACGCGGTGATGTCGTTTGGATCAGAGAAAATGTTATCACGAGCGGCGATATACGCAAAGCGAATACCGTTGAGACAATGGAGTTGATGTCCCATGGAGATGGCAAAAGGTCGGCCCGTTGGGCCCATTCGAACAAATCCATGACCTGGAGGTACGACAGAGGCCCATTTCTTGTCATCGCCAAGAGGATAGATATCACTGCCATTCAATATGCTCATAGCAGCGGGCTGTATGGCGCTCAGTATTCGAGGCGGGAAGTCATCTCCAAGATAAGCTAGAATACGTGAATATGAGTGTCACGTTATAACTTGGACTTGGACTGCTTACAATACTCTTTATGATTTCGTGAGGCAAGCATCTGGGAGCGCAAATGCAAGCTATGGTACGCGTTGAGAACCGTCGTACCCAAAGCGAATATGCCCGCGATGAAGAGCAAGTGTATTAGGTGCCCGTCATCAGACGATACCCGAGGAAACATCTTCAAAGGCTGGATGAAATCGATGAGTGGAGGATGGCCGTACGTATACCGGCTGTCGAGGTTGTAGTTTGGAGCTTCGAGATTCCTACAGCTGCAAGAGTCAAGATAACTTTGGTACCTACACAGCAATTCTTGCGCTACATGATTCGTGCGGGCCGGTCATATTCAAGTTTACGTTTTTTTTGTTCCAAGGGGGTAAGAAGCAACGGTCAAACTGATGGCCGCAAGATTGCCGTGATGAGCGCTGAATAAAGCCTTCTGGCCCCACTAAATACGCGTGGAGTAATGCGCCATGTGTAAGAGCAGAGTTCAATTTGACTGTCGAAAGGCGCCCAATATACGGATCCTGATGCAAGCCAGATAAAATCACGAGTGTGTTAGCGAAGGTAAAAAGCAGAACCATTACTTACAGCCCTCTTCAGAATGGTGTTCGGAAATTAACGAGTCAATGGTGTTGGTGTTGGTGTGGGTACAATGGTTCAAGTTGCTGTAGTTCGTGTGGCACTGGCACGTGAGCGACCCATTTCGTTAATGGTTGGTGTTGTTTGACAGGTACTTCTTTTCAGTCGTGAAGACATGATGCAGCAGCAGTTAATCAGCGATCCACCTGGCCCTTTCATCCAGTTACTTCCAGGTCGTTGGGCATGGCATTCACGTCTGACCACGCAACTTTCATAGGATTTGGAGTGGATGCCATTCTCTATGGTGAGCTCGTCGTTTCCATCGTCAGATTTTACTCATTTTTTCCCAGGAATCAACATTGTATTGGTTTTCACAGCTCTCGCGGTCCTTATCTTCAGGTCTCGCACAGTGAAAAATAAAGATATCTTGATTTTTATGACCTGTTTTTTGTTTTCGTTGTGCACTGTCCGTTTCGCGCTCGACTTCAATAATGTCTATGATGGACTGGTAAAGACTTCATCTGGCGCTTGTAAGATGAAGCTTACTTTTCTGTGTTGTATAGCTTATCCACCCTCGGCCGATCTCAGAAGAGACCAAGCTTTTGGAAGGAGCGGATGCGTTGTTCTATATTACCGACTTCATAGCGGAAATCGTCTTGGTAGGCCCCAAAATGACTAATTTTGCTCATGGTAACTAAATACGGTGTAATAGATATACCGCTGCTGGCTGGTATGGGGAAAGGACTATAGCGTAACTGTTTTCCCGTCCTTAATGGCGTTCGGAGCTTTAGGTTGGATTTCATATCGTATTACGCCATTTTACCGATGCTTACACCAAAACGCAGGCTGTGGCATGGCGAGCATAGGTCTGTTGAACAAAATCGACGCGACGTCAAACCAGGCACCTGCAGAAATTGTCCCCCTTGGGACTTCTGGCTTCGCGTTGTCCCTTGGCTGCAACTTCTTCCTTACGGTTCTAATCGTCGGCAGAATTTGGTATATGTCCAGGCAAATGCAAAGGGCAATGCCGGATAAAGACGACTCCCTACCGAAGGCAATGAGCATTGTAATCGAATCCGGAACGTTGGTGCTAGTCGTTCAGCTCATTCTAGTCGTCTTGTTTGCCATTAGACATCCGGCACAAGCTATCATGGTTCCGGCTGCTACGCAAATCTATGTCCGTTCTTTATTGCTCTCCATAGCGCGTCCTTGACTTATCCACTACCAGGGCATCGCACCAACTATGATTATTGTGCGGTCGGGGTTGGGAACTGCCTTCGAGCCAACTGCTCCAAAGCAATCGAGTATGCGTTTCATGAGCTTTGTTCGGAAGAATCAGCATACGACTGGCGCCACTGATTCGACCGACGTCACGGATTCAACTAAACCATCTGAGTGGGAACTTGCCGTGCACAGCGGAATGGGACAGTCGGCATCATTCCTTCGAAACGATGTCGATGGAAAGCCAGATTTCGATGAAGTTTGAATTCTGCTTTTGAGTGAGTTTAGTGCTGGTGAGCATTAACGCATACCCCGAGGTGGAACACTTCACTCATTTTTCAATCGATTAGGATCTGTATTTCTTCAATCAATTTGTGTTTGTAAAATCTGTGAATGCTGCGGTTGTCATCTTTCTACATCTTCCTGATCTTTTTGCTCTCGCCGTTTCCACCATCTCTTATTGCCTCTGTCTGCGTTTACCTTCTGCCTTGTACCTTGCAACAATGATACCCTTCATGTCCATATGCTACTCGTAATAATTCTCATGTTCTTCCTATCATCGAATTCCCTTCGCTGGAGCTGCTTCAACAGATGATATGTCGCGACGTTGTCCATCAAACCTCGACCCAATACCTAGATGTCTACCACCTCAACAAAATACTATATCGTGAAGCTAGCTTTCTTCCGCGGGTTAGTTGGATGCTACGAACTCCGCACCGTGTGCAAAGGTCTAGATTATCTACAGAAGACATCGTGGTCGAAATCAACGATCGCTCTAGAATTCAAACGGGATCATAACAAGTCGCCCATAAATTCAAGTGAATATCTATCTGGTTCTCCTGTCCTATAAAGGAAATCGGCGGTTATCTCAGATCTTACTAGTGGAGGCGGAATTATCCATCAAATGCGGTCCGCTCTCGCTAATGCTTAACCGGACAGCGAGGCATAGCGGAAGCCAAGATCACGAGCCAGATTTGTTCTGATGAGCCGCGTTCGCAGCGGAGTCTCAGCTTTATTGTAGCTGTACTTTCTTACACTCGAAGCCAAAGCTCATCGAGGATGACAATTGGGCGTACATCTGACTTAGTAGAAACGCACCATGTCAAGCGTAAGCTCTTGAATCCATGAGTGAATTGGATGGGGGAGTTGGAACCTGTATGATATCCACTGCCAGTTGCCGACAGGATATCAAGGGAACTAGCTAGGCTAAAAAATTTTTAGACGTACCATACCGAACATGTCATCAGCGGACTGACAATGGGAATTTCACTTTCAATAAGGTTGCTAATGATCTACTTGATTGGACAACTTGTCCAGATATGTCGCTGAAAACGGCATTAATCCGCTACAAAGTACATGGGATATTGCCAAGTTACTGGCACGATGTGTTTCACGAGAATATAGCTGCTGGATACAGGGGCTCTGTCATTACTGCAGTGGTGCATACGAATTTTTGAGTTGCTTCTGACGCAACGCCGGGCCATACAGTTCGTGAAAGGGAGGGACCATAATTAATTCGAAGTCAGGAGATCTACTGTAACATATTAATGATATCTACTCTAATGGTCCTGGGCCCACGACTCTTGGTTTTTTTCAACGAACTCCCTTACTTGGGCCCAATCCTTGCAAATATGATCAACATGATTCCCCGTCGCTGCCATGTCAGTTGAACCATCCGATAAAACAACCACCTCTCCGGGCTCCAGCGTAATGTCCGCAGTACATAGTACAGTCTGCCTCAAAACATCCAAACAATACTCTGTCTCTTCGAAGTCAACGGATTCAATGGCGCGTGCCGGTGACTGGCCATTGAAAACGTCTCGAAGAGTCACGAAGGCAACGCGAACCTGTATCCAAGCATCTCAAGTTGCAGGTACAATGAGACGTCGTATTTGTTGCCGTCTAGTAGGACCTGACCGCCATGCGGAGGAAAGAGAGAGGCCCATTCAGTCATCTGATGTGATACTGTAGTTCCCGAAGTCGAATCTTCGCACGGCGTCGTTGAATTCTTTCCGGCAAGCTCTCTACTTTCTCCCTGTGTGTATAAATCTTCGGCAAAGTCAGATCTCAGAATATCATAGGGGACTTCACGATATCTTACCCGGTAAAGATGCGTATTCTGGGATTGCATGGCGCGCATACAGCATGCTGAGTACGTTCAGCACCGTACCGATTGAAAGCAAACTGATGCCTAGCGTCAGGAAAGCAGGGCGCGTCATGGGAGGAAGCATGCTGGTTGGTACTACGGTAGGCGGGAGTAACAGGTTAGTCGCGGTGTGACTGGAAGAATGCCGTACGCGCACAAGGAAGCATAAGGAATGACTCGTTTGAGTATTATGATTCATGTGGATGCTGTGACGCTGTTAAAATGATGGATTGTTCATCTGCATCAGAAGTCGCGTCAGTACCCTGACTCCTGAGATGTATTCTCCTGATGAAGGTTCAAAACCACCGCTTTTCCGAGTGTTTCCGAAGCTCCGGACTATGCCACATGCCACATAGTACTGAGCGCAAGAAGCAAAAATATGGGCGTTGCACTGGATCAACTGATGTGGAACGAAACATGATATCGCTTCGTACTTAGATAGGCTGTCTGGATCTAAATATAACATCAAAGATGGTGTCAGTGGAAATTACATGACCTTGAGCTATGTAGCACAGCCGCTTTGCGATATTTCGAGTCATCGCCTAAAGCTGTACTGTTCTGGAGCCGCGTGCTGCCTCAAGGAGGTGCCGTTCCTACGATGAGCCTTATGAATCATAGATTTCAGCAATGTCCAACATATATAAACCACCGAACTGGAGTTTACAACAGCATTCCTCCTGTCTCTTTCTCAGAATGAAGTTGTTCTTCGCTTTCTTATTGATGCTCGCCGCATCTGTGACCACACAAGCACTATACCTTAATCCTAGTGAGTCACCTTTACTGTGTTCGCGTCGTCCTATTTTGCTGACCATTCTTGCAGATGTCCAAGCCCGTAAGGTTTTTCCTACTTCTAGATGCGCTAAACTGACATGAATACAGCTTCGCGGCGTGCATTCTTGGCTGCCGAAGCAGAACCCTCGAAAGAAGACGCCAAGAGATCGGACTAATACACCAGTAAGCGAGACAAATAAAATGTGCACATCGACGTACTGAAATTTTTCCAAAGCCGTTGCAATGGTGTAGAGACGCGTACTTTGTACTGCAAAAGGAGCATTTAGATATCGGATAATACGCATATACCAATATAATATTCAGCTGCTAATTCAGACAAGAATTCAAGGAAAACTGAATAGGAATGATTCAAGAGCGAATATATGAATCAAGGGAAGAGATGCCCTCCAAAGGACTTCTACAAGTGCCTGATCTCAAGAGCAGGAAAGTTACATTTCACATGGAAGCCCAAGAATGCGTCCAACGTATGCCGTTTTGCTCGTCGATCCGTGCCTTTAGGCCTTCGACTCGACAATTGTTCCTCTTCTGTGGTCAATACGACTCATGATGGGAGGGATAAGAAACTTCTCGACGGCGGTCAGCCACAAGTACCACAGACCGAGCAGAAAGAGGCAACAAGACCGAAATGACGACTGAGATAACCCCACGGGACTGCCTGGACTGTGTACTGCGGTTGATCATACGCGGCGCATGCTTCTCTAACAGTCTGAGTATACAAACGCTCCTAGATGTCCACAAAAATGCTAAGCGTAGAGAACAAGTCATGACAAATATGAAGAATGCCTGCCGTGTGCACAGATAACCCGACGGGCGACTATGCTTCTGTCACGGAGACACGCATAACTGGAAACCAAAGATCAAAATCTACCGGGCGGAATAGCGATACTTCTCGAGTTCATACCTCAGGTATGCATCAATCAAAAAAGATAACGCGTCGGTGTATATTGACGCGTCACGAAGCCACCGATCCGCGGACCGTGTGCAGTGGTTACAATGTTCCCAAGATAAAGACCGGAGTTAGCTCTTGATGGAGTTATAAACACGCCGCCCTGCATCCCTGCAATTTCCAACGAGACTCTCGGGAAATGGCGGTTATCTTTTCCTTAATAAATCGGGTAAAGTTTGCGAAGGTCGAAACCATGCGGTGCGGACACCGACACCGAACTATGTTTGCCGCGATCCATCTGTGCGAAGGATGATGGTCCGCTCTATTGATGCATAGGTCAGTTACCATCTAATGATTAATGCGCGATTGAGCCAGGTTGACAATTCGAAAAACAGAAGCGCCGGTACCAGCAATATAAAAGCACCTATCGCTCAGATGGATCTTTAGGATGAAGTCCATTTTTGCCCTATTGTTTGTGCTTTGCGCTTTCGCAACGACCCAAGCGTTGGTTGTCGGTCGTGGTTCGTCTTCCCAATGCTTGCCTAGTTGTTTTATGTTAAACGTTCCATAGATGCGACCACTCCCGCTATAGTCGCCCGCGAAATAGGCGACGTCTCATATATTCGTACGTCCATCTTTAAGCGATGCTTCTAAAGCGTGCTCAAATGGACCACAGGTGCTAATGCCGATATCGGGAAACGTAAATTCTTGGCCAGCGAGCCAGAACCTATCCAGGATGACGATGGGAATTAGTGGATATCGCAGAACGCTGTTAATCCATACTGACATACTATATGGTACGTCAATCCGAAAATTTTGGGTACACCAGCCTAACGTTTCCCAAAGCACCTACCATTCACTGAACAGCACCTTTCCTCACTACTCCGATATACAACATAGTAGATAGCTACCTGAATAATAGTTGAGCTGTGAAATCTTGGCTGAGAAGACACATACACTCTGAAAGTACCGATAACAGTTCAACTCGGGAAAGTGCTAAGCTCGAAACATTGGTGAGATACTATCAGGCCATCATCTCCAGGTTAAGAAATACTGGTAGCAAGAACCATCTCTTGGTAGCTGTGTGGCTTCTCGGGACTCGTATCTCTCAAGCTGTCATGTTTGAAGGGAGAACAACCAATGAATAAGCCGAATCACTGAGAAGCTGATCAACAGGGCTGATCCTCCAGTTAAGTGCATTGACGACCGTGTCAGGACGATCAGTCGCAGGTACCAGAAGTTGCGCCCAGTAACAGGTAAAGCTAAGACAGCTGGCTTGAAGCTTCTTGATATGTCATCTTTTTGGTGGACCTTTGTGCAGTGATCGGCTGATATGACCTGTATCATGCATCGAATCTGGATGGAATCGTCGGCGATTAGCTTCGTAAGAGAAATTTTCGATACTTGACATGTCCCCCTTGTATATTAACAGTTTCGAACTGCCATGAAATGATACGAGCTGTGGCTTTCAATACGCTCCGCCGACGCCTTCTCTATGACTTGCATCTGTCTGCCGGATGAGTCAGCCATCTATCTACGCAGAAAAAAGGAAACAATTACATGTCTCGTTTACAGGCCGTGCAATCCCATATGAGAAATCATTCCTTGATGCTGACGTTGGGAAGAATGAGAGTCGTGTTAAAGAGTCAGTTCGGAACTTCGGACCGACAACCATCCGAATCTAGTTTCTAGCTTTTTGCAGAACAAAGGGCTTGATTTCCGTTTCTTCGACGATCTTAACCTTTGTTCTTAAAATGACCACATGCCCGTGTCCTCGTAACCTCTGAGGGTATATAAAGCTAGTTAATTGAATTTTGGACCCTGAGGGGGACAAAGAAAACCGTCTCTCTCTCTCGCACATCGTCCGCTGTGCTTGTTACAGCTGTGACTCGGAGCTGTAGCATACTGTCAAGGTCTTCCGCAGATGTATGTCTTTCTGATCCCGTTTACGTGTCTCGCTGACCTTGCTGACCTCTAACGAGACTCGAGAATGACGGACGCTGCGGCAGCTTCCGTCAATGTTAAAGTCGAAGAAACTACTCGCAAGAAACCCCACTGCAGGTTATGCGGCACGCCTATGCAGGGCCACCGCCGCGAACCCATTCATGGTACAATTGTATGCCCCTCCGGAGGTCAGGCATACGCGGTAGCCCCGCCGTTTCCAACTGTCGAGGAGGGAGACGTCAAGCCCGTTGTTAGACGTACTCCGAACGCGCGAAGGAGAAAGAGTCGTGCCAAGTCCACTCCCGGTCCAGAACTCCATTATCAGACTTTCACCAAGGAAGACGCAGTTTGGAGCTCGAGAATGCCGGGAACCATCGCGCCCGATAACGAGCTCATGCATGCCCCTCCTCGAATGGCTACTTGGTGCCAGCTTGGTTTTGTCGGATTCATGGGAGGCGCGACTTTTTTCTTGATGTTTTATATGCTACTTGCTTTTGCCGATTGATAGGTGCTAGGAAGGAGAAAACATGAAGAAAAGCTTGAATCGTTTACCTGTACCACCATCCTCATTTTCCTTTTCATCTTCGCTCCGCTCAGTTATGCGTTTTTTAATGCTGTCTTGTTATATAAGTATTGATTCGATGATCCTTCGTTCGGTATGCCTTTGTATAGTTACTACAGCGTTTGGCGGCTGCTCGCAGTGGCCTAACTCTTTCAAGTCTGATAAGTTCCATCCCGGGCTCGTGCGATAACAAGAGGTATCCTCTTATTTTGCCTCTGGGGATGATATCTGTCTGTGAAATGACTAGTATGCTCAGCTTCCTGAATATACCTTTGCTTTCAAGACTCACTCAACTGATATGCTCGGTGGTGAGGTGGACCTAGAGCGAACGATGAACTCATCCTCATAAAAATGTTGCTTAACTGACCATAACCCTACTCCATCCTCCTAGATAAATACCTTTATAGTATGCCGTGTACGCCAATCCTGTTTTACACCCTGATAATACAGTGAAATATAAAGAAAATGAACCAAAACTCAAGCCCACGGATTATCATCGTCCAAATGGTCTATCAACAACCGCGTATGAGGCGGGGGAGTCTCAGCCCTAGCGATCACACCTTCCGCTTCATGCACAGGCGAGAACGTCTCTTCCGCCTCCTCCTCATGCACCGAAGCTTCCTGCTCTCCTTCGCCCCCAACCTCGACAAGCACTTCTTCTCCGGCTTGTATACGATTATCTGGTTCCTGCGATCCACTACCTTCCACCTCTACCTCTCCCTCAGTCCGTCGCCCCTCATCATCATGCTTGACAAACCCCCGCCTGTAAACCTTACGGAGAGGCGAGCGAATCGCAGGTTCACCCTTTCGACGTTCCCTCATCGCATCCTTGTCCTCCACGATCAGATCCACAGCATCTGATGGCAGCACAGGCGGTTCATGACTCTGCGGTGGACTCTTCGCGAGTAACGACGATAACCGCGAGCGCCTCCCCGGACCAGTGCTGCTCTCTGCAGACGAGGGTCCAGGCGAAGAAGATGGCGAGGGGTCATGCTTCTTTGACCATCTCATTTTGACGTCCATCGCCTCTGGAACGACGTCTCGCTCAAAGTCGATCACTTTAGCGTCACTATAATCCTCTGTCCTCTTCTGCTTAGTCGTTCCAACTGCTCCATAACCGCGCCACGCAGGGCCGTCCCGTCGTTTCATAGCAACCCGTCCCTTCGCCCCTCGGATAGGCGAAAACCACGCTCCCCGCTCGTCTCTCAACACCCTTTCCTCCAAATCCCATATCACCGCACGCGCATCCTCCGAACTTGCATCGATCACAGGATAGTTGTAATCTCCCAAACAGATATTTCCGACTATGGTCGAACAGCTTCCTCGTCGCCTTCGTCAAGGTCACCAAATGCCTAAGTCATAGTCATCCTCTGCATGCTGGCTGCTGGTCCCACACGTCATAATCATGCTCTGCCTTCTAGATCCGGCGCGTCGTGGACCACATCATCAGCATCTCCTTGTAACAGTGGTGCGTGTACGCTCTCTCCTTGATCCGCTCCCTGCCACATGCTTGATTACGCGGTTGACACCTCGCTCGAAGCGTCCCGGGGGTAGGGTCTCGGGAGCAGTCTTGGGAAGCCAGTACTTCCGCTTTCCGCCTTTGCTATATCTCAACCCTGCCCGTATGCGCTTGTCTCGCCCAGCACCCTGGTGCATGAAACCTTCTGAGGGTTCGAACTCGCGATAGTCCATTCCTTCACCACGGAGGGTTGCTTTGGAGTCCTCGACGACGTCGAGGAAACTGAACGCGTCACGAAAGGCGTATGATACTTTCATGCGAGCGACAAATGACTTGTCCTTGTCGATGAAGTCGGTGTAGGCAAACGCAAACAAGTGAGCAAAAGCGAAGAGTGGCATTTCCATACATATGAGGGTATCTGTGAGGCCCAGTGAAATACTCTCGCTGTCGGTGTAAGGGCCCTAGCTTGGTAATGGCACCAGCCGCAACCAAGATCGAGATGAGTATAGACTGCCAGAAAGAGAAGAATAGAATCCCCTTTACGCAGAGGAACTTGGGGACGGGGCGGAAAGGCTTGAGATCGTCGTTGACCACTATCCAAAACATGGCCAGACAATACAAGCTCAGACAAATGCTGATGTTGTAGATGATACTGACGTAGAGGTATCCAGAGTTGGCGCGGAGGATCACCTTCATTGAAAGCACCACATGCCTTGAGAATCACAGTAGCAAGTGCAAGGACCGGCTTGACCTGTACGTACTCTGTATGCAGCGTTTAATTTGAGCAACAGGCCAAGACGACTAAGACACGTACGCAGAATTCCTCGCTTGAGGAACAGAAACGTGTAGGGATCACTGACGTCCAGCTCCTGCTTGAAGAGATTGATAGGAAAGGGCGGCGCTTTTGGCGGTCGTCCGTGAAGTAGGATGAGGAGGGAACGCTCTCCGCCCAAATATGAGAGTAGTAATTGGAAAAAGCAATAGATGACAAAGGCCTACGTACAAGTGAATGTGAGATTTCACGGTAGAATGTATGTACACTACGCACCTCGTATATATCCCTCACAGCATCAATGAATACGGCTGCTTCGAGCGAAAAGAGCGATATGAATGAAGAAACGCCATAGATTGGCACCATGATCATGATTCGTACTACCATCCTAACGTACTATGTCAGCTAGCACCTTGACACTGAGATCTGCCAGCAACGCACCTCTGTAAAACAGGCCTTCTATAGTTCTTCAGCTGCAGATATATAGACATTGCTGAAACCAAAACAGCAATGACGGTAGAAACCCCGGCAACGGCAAGCACCGGGGTAGGTAGCCTCGAGCCTGCACCTCCAGGCATTATCGTCGCTGGTCGTAAGGTGTCGTGACGGTGACTTGTGGAAAGGGTCGCAAGCCGCAGCGCCTGCGATGATGCAAGTCGCAACGAACTTTGAATATGTAAGCGATCGAAAGTTGGCGGGGCCTCCACGTGCGCGCGAATAGTCTCCTTGAAAGTCTGACATTAGTCTGAGCCTGAGTCTGGCGCTGGTAGGAGAATCTGCCAACCCATCCTTACTTATCTTTCACACAACGGACGACCGAATTTTATCTATCAAATGCGAAGTAGATTGGTGGTAGTCAAATCTAAGTGTATGATAATTACAATGTACACATGCTTTGTACTTGGTAAAGTTTTTAGTTGTACAAATTCGAGTGATGATCAACGATGTTATGCAGAATGGATACACAAACAGCAGGGCAGACCACGAAGTCGAGCACAGTGAAAAGAAAGGTTCTGAAAGGCCACACCTAATCCCACAAGATCTCTCGGTGCAGTCGCTAGTCTGCTGCTTTCCGCTTCCCCTTATTTGCAGATACAGATGGCGGTGGTGGCATATCTTCTTCCTCAAAAGTCGGCGGCTGGATGAACGCCACAGGTTGCAGGTCGCCTACCAGACAAAAGTGGGAAAAAATGATTGTATTGCAGAGTAAAGAGCTATACACAACAGCACCAAGTGAACGCTTACCAGTCGCTTCATCCCGGAACTGGAAATACAGAATCTCCCAATTCAGAATACCACAGTCCTTGATCGCCTTCGAGTGGTCCAGAATCTCATATCGAGGAATCGGTCCCCGCATCCCTCCCTCTCAAGAGTTTGCAAAGCTCAAAGTCATCAACTCCCTCGACTTTGGGCACATCGTACTAGATTCACGTCGGATAGCAGGGCAGAGAGGGCTTCTTCTTTGATTTCCTGTACCTGTCGATGTCGGCGTTCGCGTCAAGAAGATGGTCATTTTATGCGATCGCAGCAGGAGCTGGTAGACTTTTGGTGGCTGCTTTGGGGGCTACGAAAAATAAATCTTCGTGAGAACGCGTGAATCGAGGATAGCAATCCAGTAGCGCACCATGATTACGCGGCAGTGAAGGGAGAGACGCGAAGGTGCCTTCTTTCAATTTGGGAACAGCGATTGGCTGACGGTAATTTCAGACTCCGCGCCTGTTATATCCGACAGTTCACCATCAACGACGATGAGCTCAACGGAGCAAAGCCAACTCATAGATGCACAGACAACTACCACTCCAAAGGTAGAAGAAATCGGCGCTACCAGCGGACCTCTGAAAAGCGCGGCATTTTTCATCGGGGCTCATTGCAAGGAGTACAATGGTATGTGCTCAACTCGGTCTGGTCTGTCTACGTGTCTGAGCGCTAGGGTCTGCTCTTCTGTAGAGGATTTCATGCTATGCAAGGCGGAGAACAGGGATCCAGCTCATTGCTTGAAGGAGGGAAGGAGAGTGACGAGATGTGCTGCTGACCTTGTGCGTGTCTTCGCTGGTGCCTCAATGGATTGACTGACTAATACAGTCTTAGGCTCACGAAAATGCGAGAGAACTGTGCGAAAGCAATTCGAGACTCACTGGAACTGCCTGGAGCGAAATAACCAGGTTCGGTCCTCTACATTCTATGCCCTTAGACCTATATTAACGGTACACTCAGGAATTCTACATGTGTCGCAAACCCGAACGAGCACTGAACGCCTGCATGTTTGAGAAGCTGGTCCGTCCATTCTTCACCTGTGAATCATTCCAGTGCTTTAACCCGTATCCTGCAGGGCTTGCTCAAGACCATTCCCGGAACGCCAGAGGGCAAGAAGCCGATACACGAAGTAGAAAATCCCGTTTACACGGGCGTCCAAAAGTGATGGCATCTACACCTGCATAGATGGTGTATAACATTATATTCAAACTTCAATGGACCCAGCTGCCCACTTCCGTGCCTCAATAACTCAGAACGTTCCTCCTCGAAGAGTAAGCCGGGCTTCAAACATCGCAAGAAATCCTTACTTGCAGCTAGCTGGCTACTGTGATCATCACAGTAGAGGGTCCGTGCTTCAACATTTATCTCGGAATAACACGATAGCCTGCTGAGAAGGCTGCCAACAGTCCAAGCCTCTAAATCTCATGCCGCCCCGACATAATCCACTCTAGTGCGGTGCCGAAAATGATGAACATACTCCGTGGAAAGAGTCTCTGGAGTTGTACTGGCATTCTAGATGGATATGCGTGGCGATCGTGACGCGTCGAACAAACGTGACAGGAGAACTCTCCTTACTCTAATATTCTTGGGGGAGTCCTTTGTATCTTCTTTGGTGTCCTTGGGCCACAATGGCCCCGTCCTTATATCTCTTCATTGTTGGCAGGGGTTCGTTCAAAGACCCTGTCATGGTGCGGATACCCATCTACTCTCCGGTACGAATATCTCCATCATTGGCGAGGGTTCGCATAATGACTCTGTCGTGGGATCATGTTTCTTCTGTTCTCGCGGGTGCCATTTTCTGACCTCTCTCACGCGAATGGCCTCCGAGTGTATCTGGAAATGCCATACATACTTCACGGAGACCTTGACCTGATGGGCGGTGCATCCTAGTTTCATTGCACCAAGCATCAACACTACGCTGGTGCTCCATAGCTTCTGTGCTATAGTGTGTCCCTGGCAAGGCTACTGCTACCATGGAGAGCTTGTCACAAAGTCCTCCATGTCGCAGCACCCTTCCCTTTTTTGCCCCTATATTCATAGGCGCATACTCTGAATCTCATCTCGCCCTAGTTGAGCGGGGTGAATGGAAATTCGGTCGATTACTATCATTCGTTGACACTATTCTCTCTCGCGTTATCTTTGGACACTGTTTCTTCATTCATTGTTTGTATGCTTCGTCTACAGGGCCTCATATAATGACCCCGTCTTTGCTGTCGTCTTTGATGCTATCTCCTCCCCTTTGCTCGTTGAAGGCTGCTGAGCCTTTTCACTTTACACATCGGAAAGAAGGCATCGCACACCTCCACATTTCACACCCTAGTATACTGTCCTTATTGTTACTCCCCACATTGTTCATGATGCTAATGTGAGGTCCTTAAACTGCAATTAGCTCACTGCGGTGTCTTTCCTTCCGCTAACTATTCATATACATTGGCGGGCAGATGTGAACCAACAATAAAATGTAATGACGTGGGATGCTGCCTCACACGGTACATACTATGCATATTTTCTGTGATATATTCACTTGTTCCTGCAATTCCTTCAAATCCGTGAGACGTTCTTGGCTGGCGACTCAGCGGCATGGGGGATTGTGGTCTGCGAACGTTCCGTGTCGGCACAGAGCCCCGGCGTTCCTTTTTGGGACCTATAATCTATCTTTCTCGAAGAGAAAGCCGTTCCTCAAACATTGCAAGAAATCCTAGCATCGTCGTTATTCAATGAATGATATACAGTACTGTACAGAAGTCGTTATTCATAAAAAATAGTACATCAAGTCATGGTATGTATGCATATGACCGTCCCAACACCCAAGAAGAACTCATGATGCAGCAATAGCAGCCTGGAGAACCAGCAGACTGGCCTTGGCGCCGTCAGCTACAAGCGCAGCGCCGACATCACCCAAAGTTTTCGCAGCGGACGACCCAATGGAAGCACCCTTCTCCGCCACGATACGCGCCAGCTCCCTCTTATGCGACTCTACAGCCATCCGCCTCGACCTACCCATCATCACAATAACGTTTGCGCTCCCGTGCTGCGCATTGACGAGGTCCAAAACAGCATGCAACGGTCCGCTGGCTTCTTGTGTAGCGAACGTTATCCTCGACAGCGCAGATGCAATAGCCGGCGCATGACCATACAACGAGGTATACTTGTTCCAGATCAAGTTATCCGCCGTGTCGCTCGCAGCCTTATTTTGGTATCCATACATCGTATCCGCGGCGGCGACAGACAGGTGCACAGCTCCCATCCTTCCCATATCATCCGAGGGCTTTTTTCACGTCGTCTCCCGTTGTGCTCGTGGGCGTCAAGAGATTATCTGTCTTGTGTATCCAAACCACGGTACCCTTCACCCCGGCTATTCACACACAGCTGTACCAAGAACTGCAGCGCCAGCCTATCGTCCGGTCCTCCAAAGAAGGGTAGGATGAGCTGCTGGTTGGGTCCCATGATTCAGGCCACGATCAACGAACAGTGCAACGTCGGTGGGGCAACTAAGGAAGATCCTTGCGTATAAGCTCCGAGTATACGACAGAGCTCGTATGGTCTTGGGTAAATGACTTTTGGAAGACACCGTCGAAAGGATTACGTGCGCCTCCGGTTTTCCCATCAGTTGTCTAAAGATGCAAGTGGCACCGGGACCGCGAGACCACGGAAGAATGACCATTTGAGAGTCTGATCCAGTAACATGGTTGGCAGATGGCAGTCGGGAATTCATCGTAAGGTGTGACAGAGAGGGCTGCGGAAACAACCAGTCTGTTAAGGCGACCAAAGGTGCGGAAAATGGATACAACGGAATCGCTTTGTAACAAGGACTCCGATTCTGTGGATTGCATCATGGCCGAGGTACGATTCGTGAGCTCGATGAGGCGAAGAGCGTCGATGGATATCCGAGGTAGTAGACTGGAACTTCGCTCTTCCAAAGACGACCCTTTCTCGTCAGATGATGAGACAAAAGTATCCGTTGAAGTGGAAGATGGCTGTAAGAGCTGAGACAGCGTCATCACAGCCGGGAGCTGTTCAATCTTGTCTAGCACAACCGCAAACCTGGTCCTCACTTCATCGTCAGAAGAAGACTTGCGAGGTAAACCAGCTTCGATTCCCCGTCCGGGCTTGACCAGCATCTTTGGCTCCAGAATCGTGAACACGAACTCTCGCAGGGTAAAACAACAGAACAAGAGGTGTCGTGATGAACGTCAAGATGATTGCGTGAACAACGAACATGGAGAAGGTGCGAGTATCCAAAACGCCAGCTTGGAGGCCAACGTTGAGCACGATGAGCTCGACCAGACTGTGCGTGAAATGAGTTGATATCTATCAAATGATATGATTAGAACTCACCCTTTGCAACTCATTAGAGATCCGATAGCTCCCGCTTCACGCCAGTTGAAACCATTTGCAAATGCTGCTGCACCACAAGCGAGGAACTTGGCTGCAAAGGCGACTACGGCAAATGAGGATGGTGTAGCCCCAAGTGATGCCATTGTCGAGCAATCCAAGATTGGTCCTCAACCCGGATAAGGCGAAGTACTATGGGCAAGGATAAGCCAGAGTGATACAAAGTACGGATCAACACGTACGAGAGGTAAGAACAGAATGATAACCAAATCTTCAATCTTTTCCACCAATGAAATCGCAAAGCCATTTTCGTGAGGAATGATAAGACCCGCCAAGAACCCACCTGCGGGCATAGAATGAAATTAGCAAACGTTCGGTGGTAATTGCGATAAAGCTGACCGAAGATAGCATGAACTCCAATGATATCTGTGAAGAACGCAGATATGAAGACGATAAGCAGAGTCACAGTCATCGTCAACGCCGTCGGCGAGCCTTGGTCCAAGCTTCCTGTCCTCCTGCACAACCAGACGTACGCCCACTTAACCGGAAACATTAAGAATATCACGTAGCCGACGCTGGTAAGTAGTACCCATAGCGCGGTGAGGCCGGAGGAGGCATTGACGAGCGCAACTGTTAAAGCCAAGAGGATCCATCCAACGACGTCATTTCCAACTCCCTGCGGATAGGGTCACCACTCCGACAGGCGTATCCAGGAGTTTCAACTCCGTCAGGATACGACACAAGACCGGGAACGCAGTAATACCAACAGCAACTGCAGTGAAGAGGACAAAGTAGCCAAAGTTAACGCTCGGACGTATGAACTCGCGGTACACGCCTACGCCAAGCGCAGCACCGAGCCCTAATGGTAATAACAATCCAGCGACGGAGACGGAAAATGAGGCTTTTATGTTTCTCTTTATTAGTCGCGTGTCAATTTCTAGCCCGACCAAGAACAGGAACAGGACTAGGCCAATGTTGGCGGTGAGGTTGAGCGAGGGCATCCCGGCGTCTATTACAGGAGAACTGAATAGGTGCGGGATTACATTCAAAATCACACGGACCTGGGAAAATAGTATTCTTGAATCCTGGAATTCTGCCCATCACTGTTGGCCCGAGAATAACACCACCGATGACTTCGGCAATTACACGAGGTTGGCGAATACGTGAAAATATGAGCGCGAGGAGCTGAGTCATAGAAATAATTATCACTGGCAAAGAGTTAGGTAAGGATAATCATCGGCGACTAAGAACGTACCTAATTGAATGACCCACAAACGAATGGGATCGCTTGAGTTGTATTCAGATGGATTGTCGCCAGAGAATACCCCTCCCTGTGAAACCTAGACAGTGAGCAAGCCTTCAGTTCTGTAGGCAGCAAGCACGAACCTGTCCAGGAGCTGCTCTGCCCACCAACGACCTGGCCACTTCAAGTGTTCTACGTGAAAATTCACCCATGGCGTCCTAGGAATGACGATGGGGGTAAAAGTGGAACAGAGGCAGGGTGTGATCTTGTCTGAGTATTATAGGAGCCCGGCCCTTTTTGATCAAACAAGACCCTGTTATTATCCAAATTTGATCTAGGCTCCCGGATCCAGTCGTTAGCAGTTCAGGTACGATTCAGAAAACACCTTGAAGCCAGTACTATTACAATAGGACACTGGCGTCGTCTGACCTACATCGAAATGAACGCTATGAGATAGCCTGACATACCAATGTGACATTCTACCGCATCAAGAAAACATCAACATCTTGTGATGGCGGCATTACGAAACACATTCAAGTGATATGATACAACCTCTATTACAAACTTTACATGGGTAACAGGAAAATAAGTAATGAAGCAGTAAAGAAATCAATGAACTATGAATCCGAACTACAACCACGACATCCTGGACGATGAATCAGTCGGGAAGCATAGAAATCCAGCAGGTTAACGCACCACAATGCACACATTCTACAATAGTGCCTGATCGAACTTGCGCCTTTGGGACCCTGCATATGCAAGTTGAACCTTGGTAGTTCATATCCTGCATAATGATCTGAATCAATAATAGCCATTTGATAAATGAAAAAGGCGCTTACCCTTGTCTGAATACACCGGATACAGCATAGCTTTTCGTAGCCAGTTTTCTTCCACTTGGCAATCAGACTAGATCTGGCATCAGCGAATGTTTGAATCGGAGACTGTACAACAACTCACTTGGCGTCAGCATAACCCTCCTTCAGTAACCAATCATAGAGTTCCTTGGAGATAGCTTCTCGTTTGTAATAAAGTTCGTAGATGTATCGAGAACGAGTATGAGAGATACGCATGATAGGCCATAGTGACTCGGCTCTCCGTTTGCCTTCATGAGTTTCGTTTTCGGCGTCCCGCATTTTCTTTGCGTAATCATCGAGAACCTGTTAAAATTTTAGTAAGATAAGTGGGTATGGGTAAAACAACTGCCACATACCACTTCGATTTCTTCGTAACCCTCTGGGGGCTTCTTGGTTCGCGTAGTCCGAATCTTTGGCATGATGGTGTGAAGGACACCAGCGTGCGGCAATTTGAATTGACGGCGACAACGAAGGCAAACAAAACCACGTGAGTTTTCGGCGATCACTCCACCTGACCGAAGATGCCGAACGGGCCGACTCCTGCGCACCTTGCAAGGTTCCGACTTTCGAAAGCCGTCTCTTTGGCACGGAAGAGACCGAACTGAAAAGCTCTGGATCGTCGGCATCACACCGGCACCACTCTGAAACAGCTTTTGACGGTTTTCGCTTCTCTCCAGTTCCAAAAATCACTTCGATTAAGGTTTAAATTTTAATTCATCACTCATTTTTTGAAAGGTGACGAATACGGTGCCGGTTGTCGTAGTTAACTGCCCAAATTGGCTGGGACCCGAGTTGCTGTCCACAGGGCAATGATTACGTGATCACCTCGTGGCCCTGAACGCGTTCAGATCTGCAAACATAGACCTTCTCAATGAACTCTCTGCCTGCCTTCAGGTATCGTTGCCTGTTCTGGCCCTAGCGCACCACGCGTTGTCCTGCACTTTTCTCGGTGTCTTCCTCTAGTCTTCTCCAAGGAAATAAAGCTCTCTCCTCCTCTGGTCCATCATTTCTGTTTCTAGGGAAGATCCCTCGACCGCTTTTCAGCCATGCCACTTTTCGTCGAGCTACTTCGACATATAATACTATTTCAGAACACCTTTGATACTTTCAAAACTCTGAAATTGCCGCCACCTTCACGGTCCTCACGTAATGGTGGACTGCCGAGTGCACGAGCCATGCAGCAACGAAAACGGGATATGAAAGGCTGCCTGGCGGTGTGGATAGTTTGGGTAACGATTCTGTCACCCCTTGATGTGAAATCGTACTGAATCCCAAGATAGTGCTGCTTCATGACATATGAGCGTTTGCTCGAAGGAATCTTCTCACTATTTATCCCTTTCTACGACGAGGTGAAGGCCCTTACTCTTCTGTTCCTGCTGGTAACTCGTGCAAAGGTGTGTGGTCCTTGATTTGATCGACCACTTATTTCTGATCGTGTTTGCCTCAGGGTGCTGAACCTATTTACCTGCACGTCATACGGCCTTTTCTAAAACCGTACACAGCGTCTGTCGACGCTCTGCTGGATCTGGTGCGCATGTTCGGCGACATTATGTTTGCTTTGTCGGCTTTGCCGATTCGGTACATGCGGACTTGGTGGCATCACATACGCCCCACAAGTTTGACACAATATGTCAGCATTCGACAGTGGATTAGTTCCACAGCGTCTTATGAGGCTACTACGACCACCTCATCCACGCGAAGTGCTTCGTCTTCGACGTCCACCTTGCTGAATGTATCGGATACGACAATCTCACAAGAAACCATCACTGCTGGTCCATCCAGGATATTGAGGGAAAGCGTGGGCCAAAAAGTGAACGCTGGTCCTCGGCCCGACTTACCTCTAGACCCATCCGTCAAACCGTCCGTCGCTTCCGTAACATCGCATCAAGTCTGGTATCCCCCACCATCCTCTTATAGAGATTCAGCAGAGGAGAACATCACCCCGGAATCTACCTCAGATGTGAATCGACATGACGGTTTACCAGATATTATCTCTCAACACACCGTTCAAGAACTAATGCAGATGGAAGAATGGCGACAGTATCCCGCGTTCCCATCCGCGTATCCCGCAACTCCCCTCCTTCCCACTAGCACTCTTCCAAACATATCAGCCGTTATGCTCTCCTTTGCAGAGAACGAAGGCGACAGAACACTGCGTCAGCAGGATTTTGAGCAGTCGCTCTTGAGTTCGCGAGCGTCTTTGGAACCGAACCTCGCCGAACTCTTGAGCGACAACACCGATCAAAACCAGGTTCCTGATGATAATAATAATAATGATGAAGACTCGCCCATGTCCGTTGATGAGTCAATGGACGAGGACGATGAAGACGAATTTAACATAACGCTAGGGACTCCCCTCCCTCCTCCTACGAACACGTTGAGATTACGTCCGGGCAGACGCCCTATACGACCATTGGTATTGCAGTCTGATGATGATGTATCATCTGGCGCCACTTCCCCTACCGCGTTGAGTACAACAGACTATGGTTCTTCTCTTCACACTCCTACTTCCTCGGAAGCCTCGTTCGCCGAATCGTTACCTTCACAAGCCCCGCAAGTAGCTAGCCGGAAACGTGCTCTTCCTCGGAGTTTCTCTCCGGGAATCCAAAAGAAAACCCGCACAAGAGCGTCTCCCATATCTCGCCGTACTGTTCAAAAGCGGGATATTGTTATTCAACCTCGGAGACGCGTTGTGGTCGCTAGGCGGCGCCAAACGCTCAAACCTGCTCTGAATTCCGAGCGAGAGCAGTCGGAGGGCAATTCCGAGGCAGCTTCGGAAAGGGAAGGCAACGGGAAAGGAAGTACGACGCAACCAAAATCGAAGAGACGAAAGGTCGACGCACCCTCTGCCAAGAATACTAATCAGCGTAAAGGCAAAGGTGTAGCACCACCGCGTTCTGACACTATACGGTCGTCTTCACGATTACGGCCAGGCGCTACGTCTGGGATCCGAGCTTTCAGACAATCATCTGAACTCGGGTTCTCAAGAAACGCTGAGGGGACGTCGGCCAGCTGCTAAATGATGATGACTATATACTTTTTCTTGTTTCACATCCTGTGTAACTATACATATATATACATACAGCACTACGGACTACCACCGCATAATCATTTGGAACCATAGGACGACATTCACATCATTTATCGACGCTGATAAGGTTTCTTGTATATTGGAGCTGGGATAACATGCATAGCGGTCAATCTATACGGGTTCACGTGAAGTAATGGAAGTGTGGCGTCAACCCATTCAGTTCGGGCATCTAGTGTTAGACGTGGCAATGATGTTGTGGTGAAGGATGACGTGGTCGTATTTTTGTGTATTTGGAGGGGGCTGTGAAAGTATTCAAAAACTCACATCAGGACACACTCGGTTTTCAAACTACTTGATCTTATGTTATCCGTTCAATTGAACGCCGCAATCACGAAGTGGGTCCCGATTGGCGGTGTTTCCTTAACATACTTGCTTATGGCCTAGGCTTCTTCATGGGATATCGATAACCCTGTCGACACTCAATGGGGGTCGAATGGTACATGTGCAGGGCAATCATTTTGGATCCGACGGTAGCTGTGATATTCAATAGCATCAGTGCTTTGAGAAGAATTTCCGCACGATAGAAACACCGAGTCAGTTTCGAGTCCAGTTCCGACTCGTACAATCGCAAGCGACAAGCGTTAAAATTCTTCACATTAGCGCGAAACGTAAGTAGTGAATGGTTGACAGCGCAGAAATGTCTTGGACAAACCTGTACGTGTTGGTATTTTATTCGAAAGGGCAACAGTACAAACAGGCATTGCGCCACGCTTGGACGGGCTCCCGTCCGGATACATATAAGAACTGGTTCCTAGATCACTTGGGAAAGGAAGCACAGACAGTAGATAAACCTTACCATCAGATCTTTCTCAGAATGAGCAAAACACGCAGTCTTGTATGCTCAACTCGCTAAGAAAACGTGCCGTACTTATCTCGGAAAGGCAACAAGCTTCCTCGGATCTATCAAAAACTAACTGCCTTGGAGTTAATTTACAGACAACACGTGTTATTGGAGCGTACATCTCTATCGTCCCTGGTTTCTAGGTAAAAGGAGAACTTTTGCTCTTGAAATTACGGATGAAGCTCGGTAGTTGGATGAGGTAGGGACTAATGCTTTTCTGGAAAAGTTCCTCCCAAAGAGACAAGTGTTTGGTGTTGACTTTTTTCGTACGTAAACAAGCACAAACTACGCGATCATGCGTCTCCGAACCCGCCTCCAAAGGATCTCATGGCGCTACTCGTCGTCATATATCAACAAGGCTATGTCTTGTGGGATTCTGAGTCCACTGCCTAGTCATGCAGTAAGGTCCGACCTCAGTACACGCCCCTAACATGCGCCCTCCGCTCGAAGCATATAATGACCGTAATACTCCTGCTAGACAGGTCAAGCGAAGCTTCACCCGACTTTCCTTCACCCTGTCTTGGATGAAACGCCGAAATGCAGGAAAGGATGGAATTTCTCGCAAGAGTGCTAAACCTAGCGGTAAGGCAGATCATCATGATTTTCTCAAGTGTGGCGCAACATTAATTTTATTGTGTAGAACCCACAGTCAAACCTAAGGCTTCGAAGGCTCCCAAGGCTCAGACAGAGTGCATGGTTCGTTTCATGAATGTTCATGATGTTTTCGGCATCTAAGCTTTCGCGCAGACCGTTTGGCGACACGCGGGCAGGCATTCGGCTTCGAGGGTCCAAGGGCAGCCTAACGTTCAGTACCATACCTTCGACTGGGATTCTCACGCAGGAACAAATTCGGTGTCCCTGGCACCTGCGATTGCTCCGTCGAGCACCTCCCAGGATTCAGGTTAGTTGCGCTCCCACTTGATGAAAATCTTTGTCCAATCAATCTAGGCGCGTTTGATTCAGGGACGGACAGTATTCACTCGGAACCACTTCGCACTGGGACCGGGATATGGGCAGCGAGGTCGCCCTTTCAATCGTATGTCAAGTGCAAGGTCTGTTTGTTAAGTACTTCGGTTCAGAAGCAGCGTCTGATACTTTCGTACAAGGTCCTCTCGTGGTGTATCTCGGAGCTCACGTCCTGAAATATGCTCGACTATGACGTCTGATGGAATGGATGGCTCAGACACCGAATCATCTCCATTGCCATGTGTAACCCCGCCCTTGCAAAGACTCCGCCGGATCACAATGCACAGAAGTGCACCGTCATCTCCTTTCTATGACGGACAGAACCCCGCTTTCGGACTGAACAATTTCTCCAACCACCGGGTTCCACATGCAAGGCCGTCCCTGCAACGACAACGTCGCATCACATTGCATGGAGACTCTACTTCACCCTTCTCCTCTAACGACCTCAGCTGGCCTCAACTGTCTCATTTCCTGCCTAATGATGCCGGTTATTCCAGCATGCCAGCCCCTCCTTCGCTTTTTGCTGAATCATTTCCCCCCTCAATACCTTCGGGTTCGGCTTTCAGTTCAGGTTCGGAATACAGCGCGCCTGATGCTAGCCTTCTGTCACCGCCATCTATGATGCAGATGCCGTTTCCGTCCATCCCTCAAACATCTACCGTTGACGTTTATGACCCCACATCCTCTTCCATGCGCTCTTACTCTTCACATGACCCTTCACTTACTATGGAGATGGGTCAGTACTGTGGATCACTGGCATCCACACCTCCGAATCAGTCCATTTCCAGTCCGGACAATCCTTGGGGCATCCCAGCTGGGTCTTTCAGCGTTATGAGTAGTCCCAACAACCCCTCCCTCATAAATCCTTCAGACATTGCTACCAGACAGCCGACACAGGGTACAAGAAATATCACAGAATATGATCAGTTGTTTCTCCACGACCCTCGTAATACGTATTCTGCAGGAGTTAATCAAGTAAATTACGACATCCCACCTTACGCCGGGTCTCCCTTCAGTAGCAGCTCTTACACTTCAGAAAATTACACGCCGTATCAAATGCTACTGGACTATAACCCAATCCCCCAGACTGCGCCATCTCTCCGCTACTCTCCGGGACCCCAAAATGCTCTACAACTAGAGTTTAGTACAGCAACTACGGACTTGCCGACCGCCGACGTGTCGGAGACTGGCCCCCTCGACCCCGAATTGTTGTTGATGGACTTTTATGTGCCCCAAAATACTAACGAGCAATAATGTTTTCCTTAAGATCTCTCTTGAATCTAAAACAATGACTACTGTAGCCTATAGTATTCTTATTTCTTATATACCAAATTCCTCGTTATCAAGTATTACCATTAGCTCTTTACTAGTTTTACTCTTCAATACTACAGTAGCGAAATTTTGTGCATCATCAAAGGTAGAGATGGCGGAACCTCTTCGCTGTTACCATATCGAGACTTTATCGGGTGGACGCTCCCGGTGGTACAAACACCGCCAAACTTCAACGTCCTCTTCCGCCCATCATGCCCGTTCCGTGGGAAGCATTACTTCCGTTCGGTATGGACACAACTTCCAGATATCTTCCGAGCCCACTCACACATCTCATACAGCACTCGCTACCGTTATGATCAGCGCGGCTGGTACACTGTTTTCAGCATCCCAGCGTTTCCAGAACCTCGGCAAAGTTAGTGGATATTCTGCTTCTTAAACAACGATGTTCAAACTTTTGCCCAATGCGTTTTCAGCCCCCACGATACGGTATTGATAGCTGGGACGAGATGATGATGAAGCGGGACAAAGTCTTGACCGGCCACGTCCGGGGTCAATCGGTGAGTATTCCGTTTGGCTGGAGGCTACACAATTGTCATTAATTGGTATCATGACATACAGGATAATCCTATATCTCCCTCAATAGACGAACTCCGACGAAATCTTCATGCTTGACCGTTGTCACTTACTCTCGTGACTGAGCAGAGAACTTCACCGGTAGATGTCTCTAGCCCATGCCGATGACCTGTTACCTCCAAAGTATCTGGTTCTCTAGACAGTCCAATCAACAGTTACATTGTCTACGGCTATACAGCATCTGACCAGATTTGTCTGTTGAGTCACTGCGAGAAATTCCACCTGCTTCAAACTTTGAGGCACTTATAAACACCGAAGTTTCATCAAGTTGACTCTAAGGCCGGCACGCGTATCTCTAGATCAGTTCCACATCATGTCATGCAACCACCACTGGGCTTCTTCTTTGGGGCCTATACCAGGTGATGCCAGGGTTTCTGGACGGATAGATCCGTATTTCTGTCCTTTCAACGAGGCTCCCATGCTTTCTATCTCCTCTATCAATCCATCGCTAAGAGACGCCGCAGCGTTTGATACGCGAATAGAACTTTCCAGGATAATGCCGTGTTTCGACTGGATTTCTGCTGCCTGGGTCGATGGTGAGAGACCTTACTTTCGGTGGGGTGAAGGTGACATACCTACGTTGCCCCATTCAAACATTACGCTCTTCGTATATGTGAACTCGGGCGTCTGTCCGTACGCCCATTCCCAACTCTGGGACGAGAACATCTATCAAACCTTACAATCTACACTTGGTTAAGAAACCTACCGATAACTCGGTAACGCCCTTGTGAACATCATCTAGATCTACCAAGTCGGTAGTTTCGCTTATGTGTTGCACCTATGATAGTATCAAGAAATGGTCATTTGGTGGGAGAAAGAAATCCTTACCTCCTCGTTAACGTCGTACGCGCGGCGGAACTCACTAATCGCGGCCTCACAGAACTGCTCGTGGCTTATATTAGTATCGTGTTGCCTGAGATTGCACACTGGTGACGGCACAGAGGCCACGCCTTTCGTAAGCATGGAGTCCTAAAAAATCTGAGATTAGTTATTGAACTCTGAGGCCATGGGAGCGCCGTCGCGAGAAAGATGAGTAATAGAAAGACCTCTGAAGTTACATGTCGGACATGCCCTTCTGTACAAGGCACTCCGCCGTTACTCATGACGGCCGTTTACGCCCTATACCTAGCGCTACGAATAAGCACATCCCACTGAGGGGCAAGTGATATACTCAAAAAAGAGTCAAAGATGACACAAGGCGGCCACCGGACAGAGGTGCGAATAGAGCTGGATCTGGGCCTCTTACAGAAATCGTACCCACTTTTTTTGACCGTAGAAGCTCACCCAGCGTCTCAAGTTGAGTCGATATGAGCATAGTTCCATGGTGATAAGCGCGGTTTTTCACGATCTTGTAGGCTGAGCCCGAGATGTGCTTCAAACCGAGAATGAAATAAGCGACCTGCTGATGATCATGAGACAGCTGTATACATATCTTTTTGCCTTCGATACAGATGTCGTTCCTATCATTAACGTGAGCATCTACCCCCAGTGACCGTACAGCCCGTAAGATGATCTGTGCAGTTACGCTTCGGTCAAAGGAGTTTCGGTGTAGATGGATGGAGTAATTGGTGTTTCCCAGGTCCTGATATCGCTTCTTGAGAAAACGATACGTCTGTAACAGCAATAACACGTACATGATAGACTGTACCACCTCCGCTTCTTCTACGCACAAATGGGACCGAAGGCCTATCCCGTAGAGCAGTCAAGTTGATTTCCTTCCAAGGATTTTGATTTCGCCCAATAACAACGCATGGCCTTTCGCGGTATAGAAAAAGGAGAGGGTCTTGTGGAGCCTTGTGTCTAAAAAGCCTTCAGCCCAATCTTCGTCATATTTTGTTGCCAAAACCGAAGTGCAGGACAGACCAGTCTTCGACGGAAAGATTGAAGTATGGATCTGTCGACTGAGAGACGTATATCGAGTGCCGTGGTATAGAAAACGTGGAAGACAAACGCCTAGAGAGGACAACCGAGCGTTTCGTGACACGTCGGACGATGCTTGAGGACAACATCACGATACCAAGCGCGAATGTGGGGCCGTGTTGACAGTCGGCTTGCGGACCGTGACAGCGATGCCACGGGCCGGAATTGTCCGAGCTGGCTTCAATCACACAGCAGTCTACCAGTTCCATATATACGCGAGATTTATCTCAGACTATTGTTGTTCATAGATGACGCCCGGGGAAACTATTACTATCTCAAACTCTGCCATGATCTATCATCTTTCATTGTCCCGCTCAAGTTGACTCTAGCTTCACATGGGAACATTGCATTAAGCACCAATTCCGAGTCTTTAATTGTCGCTGAAAATGGTGCCGCTGTTACTTCTACATGATCAGATCGCGACAGGTTATACTTCTGATTCTCGCCTTTGGGGTCCTACACAAGGTATGGGGAAGTTGGTTACCCAGCTGCGGATGCGGAGGTGGGGTCACACCGATGCTCCTGCCAGTGACCTTGGAGCGCACTTAAGATCTCTCGTAAATTTCCAAAAAAGAAGGGTGAAGGAACCACAATAAGGTATGCCTTGTCTATAGATAGTACTAGTACTGCAGTATACCTGAGAAACTTGAAGAGACCCGGGTTCTGGATCTTTTAGTACCTTTCAACCGTCAGAGCGTACGACAAAGATGCATCGTCAGCGGCTAGAGTTTTGGTCGTCGCAAAGTCGGCATTGACAGGGTCCAAGTCGCCTCATCAGTATCGAGTCTTCATGGCAACCTGAAAGAACGCCAGGATATGTAACATAGTCTGAATTGACCCCGTCTATAGATCTCGTATGGGTTACGTTCAATAGGATCTACCTATTCCAGCACCGTACGTATGATGAGCGTTGCGGCAAGGGGTGTTCATAAGGCTCATAACCGAGTGATTCACACTGAATCTAGCCCGCGGAAGCAAGACCCAAGAGGAGCCATCGGGAATAGGGTCACATCGTAGCTTATAACGAGAATTAAGAGGCACCCTTCCCCACGTGAGGGTGCGCCTCGGAAACGAGTTCCAGCGTGCGAGAGATCATACATGAACATAGATCGAATCCTAGCAGCCTAGCTTTTTGATCAGAGGACAGGCATGATTCTGGGCGAAGCTAAGAGAACGTTGCTCCTATACAAAATTCCGTGCGAGTGGTTTGAAAGTCAACAACTGCAAGGAAACTTTCTAAAAGAGGTTCAGCGAAAACCGCTCACACCACGCACTGTACGGAAGCACTTGCATCACCTGTTCAAGAATTCCAGTTGTAATATCAGGAAAAATGGACTGAGGTGCCCACGGATGTTGACTGAACACCGAGGTACTCTAGGCGCAGAAAACGCGTCGCCGTATCGAAAGAGACGAGCAACAAAAGGAAGAAGGAACCACCCGACGCAGCATTCACCATCTTATTGATGGCTCCTTAAATGAATGCTTAATTGTTTCTCCCCACTTGATATGGTTGATCGCATCATATTCTGGGTTTTGAACAGAGTCTTGGCTGCGTGAGTTTGAGACGAAAGAGTAAGGGAACTTCGGTGGAATCACGTACGGAAGCCCGAGGTCGACATCTCAAAACAATGGTTTGAGACTCACAATATCCGTTCAGTTTCTGATTGACGTGGTGTGAGTTGAAAAGTAGAAATGTGTCTGTCGCTATGGCGGTCCAAAGCCGTTTCCGCATTCAACCAGTTGGGATACGTCTGCTCAGAGCCGACGCTCGTTATATGTGGTTTACGGTCGAAGCTGTCATGTCAAGGAGGAACGAGACCAGCATTGATAAAATTAAACCGCTAGCAGTCGTCGGACCATGGTAGGCCATGTCGAATGTTAACCTTTGGATAGTTGCGGAATGCGACACGTAACCGTGTTGTGGTTACGCGCTAATATTGCTTTTTTTCCCACTGAATATCTGTTGATACAAATATCAGCAACAAGAATAATGATTTGTCACACGCGAAGCGGTCCATTCCAGCGCACACATATGGTTGGGCATGTACGGTAATGAAACAATGTAATTCCTTTCAAACGTACACGTGAATGTTGCCGTATGAAGACAGTCAAACGGATCAAGGATGGAGAACAAAGCTCTCTGGCATTCACCCTGTCAGAGCGGTTCCTGCACGGCTGGCTTAATCGTAGACATCTTATTTGGATCTGCAGCCAAGACGCCGTGAGTAGGACAGGGTAAGAACTCTGCATACGGTTCCAGAAGGGTGATGCGCTTCCAACCCTTGAAGACTAAAAGGGTAATCTGTTTTTCCATCTCCTATTGTCGCGAACCAGTGTCATGAAAAATGTCCTATCCGTGTCAGCATGTGATGGCCGTCAAGGGGGGAAACGTTTCGCTGATATGATGGCGGTCTTTCGAGGTGAGAAATTTGACCGTCATGGGGAACCGTCTGGTGAGGGTATCACGTATAGCCTGCATGGAATCGAGGCGAAGACGCTGGTCATTCGGAACTCTGCAGCATCAGTAACCTGAGGCCTGAGATTCGGAATCGAGGTCACTGGATGACACTTTTCGGAACTACATGTATTCAATCGAGACCTCAAAACCCGACTAGGCTGCCACATTACCTGCATAAAGCATCCACGAGACCATATTTCCGCGGATTGTCTCAATAGTTTTCGTCAAACAGGAAAATCTGAGCCCTAAGGCCTAAGGTGGCGTACAGTCAAGAAAGCAACTCGCGTCCGAGGGCAGAACGTCCAAGGATCAGTACTACTCCTAGTCAGATGTCGCATTATGCTGAAAGACCGCGAATAACCAGTTTAGGACACACCGAGTAATATTCAGAGCGGGGGCAAAGAAAAACGTGTGTTTTGGCCAGACTTTACGGTCGATATTACTATCTGTGTGATATTTCCTTGGTTTCTCCAATGTCCAGTGCCAGATAAATATACCAAGATGCGATGATCCACCGAGCCAGCCAGTGGGTATCCTGAGGACGCATGTGCGCATTGGGATTCGTCGTGAGACCGCCTATGGGAGGGGGCGTTGAACATCAACGTTACGTCGACGCACACGTTTCTGTCGCAGCAAATGGCATGGACCGATTAGGAAGGTTACAAATCACGCACGCGAGATAGAAGTCTCACCTAACCTTCACCAGTGATGCGCCTGACTATAAAACGTCCAGGACCTTGGGGGGGGCACCATTTTTTCACCCCGCTTCTTTGACTCACTACCCCCGTCTCCGTCGTCCGGCCATGAACCAGTCAAGAGCCCTTCCAGGTAGGCATTCTGCATAGAATGTACTGGACGCCAAGTAACTTTGTGAGCGTATCCGTAGAGTGCTGGGGACACCGAGGCGTGAGTAGAACGTGCGATAAGTGAAGGGCGACCCAATACTGAAGCGACGTTCAAGGCCTCAGCAGCATTTCCTGAGAACACACTCGCAAGCTTTGAAGCTGCCATTAGGGATGGGGCTGAAGGCATCGAGAGCGGTATTTCATGCCGTTGGGTTTCCGCGCTTTACGCCCCGTAACCATCGTCAGCAGACGTCCACGTATCGTTGGATAACGTTGTTATAATGTTCCACGATCCGGGTAAGGCATACAATAATCCCCTTTAGAGTCAGTCATAGCTGACGTACGTCCAACAGACCTCCAACGAACGACTGACTCGATAGGTAAGCTGCCGCTGTCCGTGCCGCCGGATGTGAGCTCATTGCGCCGCAGGTAAGATCAAGGAGCGTAGATGGTATGGCCAAGATGGAATGGAACACGTCCGGACAAGAAAGGCACCTGTCCAAGCTATTCCCACCTTCGCAGAGACCGTGGCATTACTCATGAAGGTCGGTGAATTCAGTTGTCGTATCTCTGGAGGCTAATCGAGTACCTCTCCCCCACCCATAGTCTGAAAACCTGCATGTCAAGTTCAACGTCGATGTGAAGCCCCAGAACGACCCCGAGCGATTGTTCAAGCTGATGAACGAGATCATCTCGTCTCAGCCTGACTGGGAGGTCAACCTCGCTCCAAGAATTCTCCTGGGACTTTGGCATCCACGATTCTTGGCACATGCCAAAGCTCTCCTGCCATACTGCAGGCGATCGCATATCGGAGAAAGCTTGTACCTGTCGCGCAAGTACTTCTGGGACGACTGCGAAGTCTTTTCGGTCAGGTTTAGCGTGCTCACGTCGGCCGATGGTCAGAAGTAGGTCCTTTTCGCCTTCTTGTCGACGGTGGCTGATACGTCGACAGGTTCAGAGATGAGTGCAAGACGGCAAACAAGAAGATCATGGTATGGACCGTTAACAACCCGGAGCACATGATGGAGGTAGGTTATATATAATTCCCTTCCAGCCACTCTATCTTAGCGCTAACTATACACAGGCAGTCAGATGGGGTGTAGCTTCGATCCTCACCGATGTGACGAAGACGTGGCTTGATCTTCGTACTGGTTTGCAATGTAAATTGGGCTAGGCTCGAGAGATAACAATCGCTCACCTATATTTCTTCAGCGGACTATGACAAGATCGGAGCTCAGTATGGGCGTGGTTTCTTGTGGACCACCCCGTATTACTACACGCCCTTCTTGAAATTCCTGGGATTCGCATCGCAGAAGAGGCTGGAGGTAGTAGCGGGACCGTTTGATCAGTTTGCGATGCCCGCTGCTATCAAGGGGGCGGCGTGAGGAGAATATACCAGATAAGCTTATACCGTAAACGTAGACGTTAGACATAAACGAGGGTGAGGCATATTCCCTTGTGGTGGTAGGGTGGTAGTGGTCATCAGCTCTTCATTTTTTGGACTATTTCATATTACATCTACAAATGACTCGTATGCTTTCCCTATTTCACCGCTTTTTTCCGTCCGCAGATAAATCAGTATGGTTCATATTGAGTTTTTGAACAGTAATCGCAAGCAAAAACGCCACAATACAGTACAGCAAGTGCCCATGCGCTATCAATAGGCTGTAAGTGGCTGTAATGTTAAATGGACAGCTTCCTCTACATTTGAGAGGACCCCAAGGACAGCCTGCGGTTGCGCACTTACTTTTAACACAGAACTGCTAAAAATAATTGGGCCCGTCTGTGACTCAAAAAGATGTAGAGAGCAAGAGACACAAAGTGAGTTCTTTTAGTGGTTGCAATGATGGCAAGAGAAGCGGGAACACAGACCTAATACATAAGAGAGCATCGTAATTATAGCAGAGCATTAATAATCCTACTCGCTGCCAGGCTAAGCGCGGTGATCACCAAATATATGATACTCTGTTCGCCCGTCAGAAACAAGGTGCTCCCTAGGACTATGGTTCCATATAAATAGATCTCCTTTGAGAACAGAAGGTTCTGGTCAGGAAAAAAAATGAAATGAGAACACAAGAGCATGGCTTACCACTGCAAGGGCCTCCAGAGCAGCTTCATACCACGGCCATAGTCCGTCCCAGCGCACGGTGAATGTGACTTTAACTGAGGGCAAATGCGGGGCGGTTGATGCTGAACTATTGGCGTCTGGCCGAGCACGGTGTTGGACGCTGGTCCTCCCTTTGTTCATATCCAACATCTCCTCTGTTCCCACTGGCAGCAAATTCAGCGACAAAAGGTTATCCGCAGTAGTTTCGTCGCGACGCTGCTCAGGCCAAAATTTGTAAGGCAGAAGCAAAGCTTCCCTCCAAGAAATCTTTTCCTCTTGGAACGTCATCGAAACATCTTTTGCGACGACAATCCAGCCTAGCATGACGATCACTAGCCAGCCCACACACGCCATTGGCCAGCAAAAGAGTAACCACGAATACTCGCATCGGAACGTCACCATCGTTATTGAGTCCACAAGCCAGGTCCGCCATAGCGTAATACCTGCGAGTGTCAGGATCGCTAGGTCTGCAAAAATACGACCTAGGACACCTCGTAGAGAGGTATATTGTCGAACGCGTATATTCCATGTGATTGCATGTGATGAAGAGACGCGCTGGATTGGCTTGGGAGAGAGCTGTCGGAACAGACCTGAGGGAAGGCCAATCCCAAAAACGCACATGGCAACTGCGCGGAGTGGCGAGGAGATGAATGTTTCGACGAGTTCAATTGGACCAGCGCCTAAGTATGCATTTTCGTCACACGGTTTATTCGAATGAAAGGGTAATCTTTCGACTTACCGACCAAAGCGAGGACTGTCGGTAAGACGGCTGAAATGCTCGCTCCGGACGAGAGGCCTGCAGATTAAGAATTCGTAATCGTGCCCATGATGCAATCTATGAAGTATGCGCATCTTCCTGCTGCGTAACTGAGGGAGGAATTGCTCGCGAAACATTAGTTAACTGCGTATTCAAGCGATGGGTCTTGGGAGCCGACTGAGCGTTGGAATCCGTGGACGCGTATCGTAGAGATGAACGCGACAAGGAGGATGGCTGTATGCAATCGAGTCATGGTGGATTCGGGGGGAAATTGGCTGGAAAGTAGGGGGTAGTGGAAGAGATGAATGTATTGACAATGATAGCGTTTCAAGCTCAAGCGCTCAAGTTCAAGGTCCAAGAAACGCCTGAAGTCCCGATCAGTACTTCGTTCAGTTCGGTTTTGTCGCTCGGTTTGATATCCGTCAATTGAATGTCATAGCCATAAGCGGGAGGAAATATGATCGATGAGGCCTTGTATATATAATATGGTCGTAGTATACCAGCATCCGACAAGACGAGAAAGATGCTTGCTTCTTTGAGTGAAAATCCTTACGGTCCACTGAGATGAGCGACACGTTTCTGTATGGCAGATCGATTCAATCAACATATTTGATTATCTTAAATGAAAGATACATTAACATCAGCTGCTCTGTATGAAATCCATAACAGAGGTCAAATCGACGTACTCGAAGTAGCTGACATGGGAAAAGAGTAAACCACGTCCTTCCTATAACGGCGTTCTCTCAGAGGGTGCCCTCGCGGGAGTTTCTCGTAGGTTTGCTTACAGCTAGACACAGTGTCGATAACAGATACGGTCTTGTGATCATCAGATTCACAGCCTGGATGAACCTTATGCATGAATGATAAGCCTATTTTTTCAGTAAAATCATCGAGAATAAATATCAACATACCTAGCAAGTATAAAGGACAACGTTTATAGGTGGAGGAGAGCTTAGGAAATATTGGGGGACAGTCTTCGGGGTCTTCCTTCATATTTCGAAGACATTATTTGAATAATTTATAATAAATAAGTATTTAAATAGATAATTATCAAATAAGGGACATCAACCAGACCATATGGATCACTTTTCCTCTTACTCCACCGGCCAATAATTGGCCTTCGCCAGTGCGGCTGCGTTCTGACTCGATACCGTGTTCAGGCGCAGAATCGCATTTCTTCTTTTACATATTTGACGGCATTCATTTTTTAATGATGAACAGCCCCCCTCACCTTCGTCGGACGCACCGAAAGCGTATCTCGGCTCTCCGTTTGTCGTCCGACACGACGTCAACGCTTCTCGAGTACATTCCTGCCAGCAATTGGCAAAGACCTGAACCAGAGACCCCTTCTGATTTGCCACCAGGTTACCCAGACAGCGCGGAAGAGGCTGACGAAGATACTGATTCAGATTCAGGACAGGAAGTTTACTTGCCTCCACGACCAACCGTTTCAGCGGCGACACCGTCACCATCGCCACGTCGGAAGCGGCGAAATCCTGCCCTCAGGAGGAGGCGATCTGGTCCAACGTCCACCGATCCTTACTTGGATTCTCTGCTAGAACGCAGTGTTCACGCTTTAGAAATGTCAAACGCGCTATTACAGAGCTCGATATCTACCCAGACAAGCATGTCGACCTTACTATCGTCAGACTCGCCTGCAGACTCCACACTAGAGGTCAGTGCGAGAAGGCTATCGTCGAGAATACGAAGTAATCGAGATATTCACGATGCTTGGGCCGGCGATCTTGAGGAGATCAGCCACGGTGTGGATTGCTTGTTCGACGATAGTAGGAGGCGACATAGCGGGCACTCGTTGGGGCCTGAAGGCAGCATCAGCATGAGCTTGCCGACGTCCAGCTTGCCGCCTGAGATGCATCGACATTTGCATCGAAGGCGTTCGTCAACCGAGTTTCGTGCTGCTGCGAACGAACCTCACTTGCGACTGGAACCACAAGCACGGTCACAGCTGGTGTCTCCACCCCCTAGGGCTCTGACGCAATACGTCGTTAGCAACGGCGACGACAGCACGATTATCTTACCCTCGACCCTTGGCCTTCGGTCCGCTCCTTCCGCGTATCCTTCTCCCACATTCCCTGCCCCGGCGCCACCGCCTTCATCAGTTCGCGCTTACAACATGCTGTCATCTTTAATGACCCGGCCCTCGTCATCAGGGTCGTCCACTCCCTCGTCTACATTCACGTCACCTTCTTTCCTTTCTCGACGCGGTTCGAGCGTCAGTACCGAACGCGGAGGCCATTCTTGTTCCCCTACGTCCCGTCTTAGAATAAATCAGTCCAAATCACCGCACCAATCCAAATCTCCGGATTGCGAACGAAGAACGCTTCCAGAATCACTGTCTAACGACATACGTTCTCGTTCTCGAACCCCGAAGCTTACCATGTCGCCTCGCCGACCTATGACGCCCACTATTGAGGAATCTTCTCCCTCATCTAGTTCATCAGACGGCTGTCCTGCCAAGCAGACGGTCAGGTGTCTTCGTAAGATTTTGGATGAACAACCTCCACCGCCAAAACCTGAACCCAAAAAGGCTCCCAAATTCATGCCTATTTCCCCCGCCCCCCTTGCCGAGGCTGGAACTTCCACTGCTACTGCCTCCATATCTCGTCTTTTCACCAAAGCCATCCACTCCTCATCTGCTCGTCCACCTTCACCACCTCGACATTCCGCTCTGAAGCAATCGTCTTCTTCCAACACCACCCCTCGTCCTTCTCCCACACCTACGCCCTCTACTCTGAGCATACCGGATTTACTTGGGCTTTCCATCGGGGGCACCGCGAGTTCCAGTTCTGGGCGCTCGACGCCCAAACGTATCAGCTTTGCTGAACTGCCAGAGTCATACGCTGGAACGCGGCCGGGTAGCAAGTTTGCAGACAAGCAAAAGAGGCGGAAGAGTAAGCGGAAAGATAAGAGGGCGGAAGAACCACAAAGTTGGTGGCTGGGATGGTTGATGGGCAGTGGGGCTCCCTCGGAGGATCGGATGGAGGATCGTATGAATAGGGGGTGGGGTGGAGGACGTGGTGCCTATGGGTCTGGTATTGATGATTGGGCTGTTTAATGACTTTCATGACCGTGGTACGTTGCTTTTTGTTCTGCTGTCTACTGTTCACTGATTATCCCGCGTAGATGCTTTTTTTTTTTGGTCTTATCGCTATATTTTTACCCGTTCTTGGTCGTATCGTTGCATTGCTTCTTATACCATCCCATTTTCACGTCTTTTCGCATGTATCGTGATATCGAATCCGTCGTATTTCACGGCCTGCGTGCATGTTTAGTTATCGTTAATTATCTATTAACGCACAGTTGTAGCACTTTAGACGTTGTGCGTCTGTATGCTCATTCCGAGTTTGTCGCCTCAAAATGTAGCATATGCATGTTGAAAGAAATAGCCTTTTAGACAACATGGCAGTTATCTTCGTGGTGAGGACTTCGTTTCCGCACCCACAGATACAAGGATAATAAACTTTTCTCAGCAAGTATGTAGGCCCAGAACGCAATTTTTGATGAAGCCTAACGCGTTCTTGATAATTCACTAAACCACCATTCATATGCACTAACAGTATCTCTGCAAAAGATGTACTTCATCATTTGATATAGCTGGCGCACAGGGTAAGCGTATTATGATTATTTGTCAAACGTTCTGGGTAATAAGGAGCCTACAGGTACTATTATTTAATGAAGCTACGAAGAATGGCGGTTATGGTACAGAGACCCAGTCAAAACAAAGATTTTAATCCTGACACATATACCCTCCGAGTCAAAGCAACGGTGAAGACTAGTGCTAGAGACGAAATAACAACCATCCCGCTGATCAACCCAGCAAATATCAGTTGACCCCAACCGACTGGTCGACAATTGCAAGAAACTTGCGTATGCTGGCTGGCGGGCGCTGCGATAGATTCACTCGGCTCCGAGTTTTCCACCCTTTGGGCTGAAGAGCGGGGCTGAGGTCGCCCAGGTTGAAATTGTTCTAAAGCAGAAGTAAACGGGCCACGAGCCCGCCTCGCTGGAGCCCGAGTGATAATGCGTTGGAAGTTTCCCACATTGACAGCTGTACACGTAGTAGAGGTGTTAGAAGACGTGTATTCCACATCCTCCGAGTCAGACGCAGCGCAGGTCGTGCAATAGCTGAGGCGCCGGCGGCGTAACCCGTTGAGTAGAGATGTTTCTTCGTCACTGATGTCGTTGGATGCTGACGACATTGCCATTCTTGAAGATGGTGAATGAATATTCATGAAAATTCATAGGAGATTGAAAATGTACCTCTTCAGATGTCTCGGAGGATAGCTCAGTGAGCAACGCAGAGCTAGTAGATGAAAAGGAAGTTCCTTTGGGACATCTCGAGCCAGCATGAGTGTTTTTGTGCTGTGTCATCGAAGCTAAATTAGTAGGAATAAGGGAAGCCATGGCCTTTCCATGTCAGAGTGAAACGGACAAAATGGCTCTTCGTCTGAATTGCCGTCGGCGGCAAAACCCTTACTGAGGTCGGCCCGAGTTTCCGACCCAATCATGGCGATTCGTCTTTCTTCCACTCAGCAACAGCAGAATGCTGTACTAGTTTTCCCTCTCAGACAGGTTGTCGAGATTGACTAAGGAAGGTAAATTTCTTTGTTTGCATGTAAAACAGACACAGTCTGGGATTTTCAGCAGATCAGTACGCGCCCAGCGAACAGGATATTCCTGTTTGTGCCCATGTTTTCAGTTTCTGGCAGTTTGTGTAGTCCCCGATGTTCGTGGGACCTTGCATATGCCTTGTTATTATTTCCCATTCAAGAGTCTTGGAAGATAGACATCCCTTGGGTTGAGGAGTAACGCTTCTCTATGCGAAGCCTTCGTTTAACAATCAAGGTCTTTCGGGCCATAGGCTATGGTCAGCGACCACGAACCGTCTTTCTATGCTGTGTTAGTTCAAACGAGCTTCCAATCGGGATAATAGTAAGCATAGTTCATTAACGTCCTAATTATGGATTGAGTTACCAACGTTTATAGCAGACACTCTCAAAGTAAGTCTCGTAGTTCGACGGGTATCATATCGGGACTAGTACGAAATGTCTGTTCAGCCCGGGCGCCCAACAAAGGGTATTAATATATACAGCCATCTGAAGGATGTCAGAGGAATACTTGTAACTTTTCTGGGTATCTGCACTCACTGACTTTGCTCTCACGTAGGCTAGCCGCATTCAGAACGTTAATCTTTGTTGTCCTTGGCAGGCTCTGGCTCGCTCGCCAAGAACATGGGGGCGACAGTAGTATGATTCCCTTTAATACGCACGAGTAAGTATGCTTAATCACACACAAAGACGAGGGACAACGACTTACTTTGAGAAATGTCGAGTATCTCGCGGGCGGATGTCGCAGAATTGGTCGCATCTATGATAAATCAATGGAATTCCGTGGCTGGATAGCTATCGAGGGAACGAACCACGACTAATGGCCACCGCATAGGCTGTTATAGAAGCATACAGCACGAACAGCAAGGTAAGGAAGAGCTTCATTCTAGAGAAGATAGTCTATCTGAAAGGTCTTGTAGACACCAGGGTTTTATATCTATGAAGTGCTGTTATGGCGCCTCGGTGTTTCTGGCGGCCCCGGCGTTTCTAGCGAACCAGGCTCTTCTATGAATACCGCATAGTACCCGTCGTTCGAAGGTACCCCAGGTTTTGATACTGAAACACTTCTGAGTCTGCATAGTAGATGCTGCACTACAGCCGGCGTCGGTACTCGCACAGTCTCCATGGTTTCGACTATTCGTGAACCTGAACGACTTTACTCGATCCAGGGACTAAGAAAGGGTTCGGCATCTTCAACCACCAATGGGAAACAAACGGCGGTAGTCACTATGATACTTCTACACCGCCCAGTGGAGACCCTATTTCGGGACAGATCAATATTCAGTAAACGCGTTCAACGTAGCTTCTTGATCTCTAATCGGCCGTACATCTCAGTTGACCAGTTCTATGCACACCGCTTGCTGTTTTCCTGCTGTTTTCTGTTACCGCGCATTCGAAGAAGTTATGCCACAGCAATCAAATGTATTATTCTTTCATATTCACGACAAACATCCGTCCCGTCCACGTACTCTTTTCTACCTGAGCGCTCGGACTCTTCAATGTCCTGTAGTCGCAATCATGTTTGTATGGGAGTTCACGTCATGTATCAAGCCGCCTCCTGGATGAAGTCCAGACAATGTGCTGACCCGCCGTTTCATCTGAACCCACGTCGATTTCCGATACAGTAGCCAATGCCCGCGTATGGTCGATGTCTTCCAAAGGATTGATTACAACCCTCTTCCCTCGTGTCATTGCGAGTATATGAACCCAAGGATTATTGAGAAGACAATGCTAAGGAACGCAGACTGAGTACTTAATACTGCTACGTACGAAAAAATCTTAGAACAATCCTAGAAAACTACTGCGAAGTACTTGCTCGCATGGAGCCTTCTAGCCAAATTAGAACTAGACCGTCTATTGCGTCCTCTTATTGGAGCATACCACGCTCCAACAAGAGAGAACCGACATGGTCATGTCGGTTCTCTCTTGTATCACTCACAGATGTCTGATTCAATCAATACTAAGTGATAAGCTCCACTAATACTCAGATGTCTTCTGAATCAATCAAAGGTCAATTCTCCCAGTCCTCACTTTCCAATTTTGTAAGTCCCATTCAGAAGCAACCTTTCTATGCATCATTACAATTGGTTGTCGGTGAAACTTGTTACTTGAAGCCGCGGTCTACTACCTCTGGGAGGTCCCTCTGACCCTGGTCTGGTCTACTTAACCTTCGAGTCTTGGAACAAGTAGCGTTCTACCTTCATTGACATGATCATCTGTCTTTGCGTCTTTCTCCCATGTCACATCATATTTCTAACTACAGCTATCCGGAAACCCTCGCACTGAATCTATTCTGGTCCAGCAATCGTGATGTCACATGGACTAACCCGATAGTTTGCTTCTTATTATAGCGGAACCTTGTCTGTGTCTGGAGCGGTACACCCAAAGCACACCCATGGCCGGGAGACCTAAGTTCTCGGCGATTCTGTAGGTGCGTGATTCGTCCGGGTACCTTAACCTTACACCTTCCTGGTGCACCAGATGCAGGACATGACGGTGATTATTACCCCCGGCGGCTCATCTGTATGAGTCTTCCGAACTATATAAGGCTAGTTTCTGCATGAAACTCTTTGTAAAGCACTGTGATTCGTATCGTTCATCTTGGTGAATGAATGTATGTGAATGCCTCTAGATAGACTCGGGACAAATAAAGAGGCTTCTCAGCCCCTCGTCCCCGTGCTCTTCTGGCCGAGGCTGTTACAAAGGTTTAGTAACCGAGGTCGATCAAGGGCGTTAGGTTACCGGACCGCTGATATTTTGGAACCCGGCAATTCGCCGTTTGAACTTGCATAAAATGAGCTAAAGGTGCTCTACAAACCGTATTCACGAACATGCCTCTTCACCGCTTCTACATTCCTGTCGGATTCTATTCCAAAGAGGATAAAGCCGCTGTTGTCAGAGCCGTCCAGCAGTGCTATCCCCACATACCCAAATTCTACGTCGTCATAATCTTCATCGAGGTGGATAAGGAGAACTTCTATGTCGGAGGGGAAGCCACCGACAACTTTGTCCGCATAGTTGTGCATCACATGGCCGCCCATTTCAGGTATGTTCCCAGGTCGCTATAATTGGTGCTCAATTGAGCGGTTCACTTAGTGATGAACGCAAGAAAGAGTTCAACGAGGAATACAACAAGGCATTGGCACCATTCATCAAGGCAAGAGGTGCTGACTGGGAGATACAGATTGCTGAGATGGATGTGAGTATCTGTATTTTGTCTTGTGAATTGTGGAAGTTGATAAGACTTACTTTACTCCAGCGACGCATGTGGGGGATAAATGGTATAACCCCCCCACCGCGAAACTCGGAAGCGGAAGCGGTCTGGTACAAAGAGAACAGGCCCTCGGAATACTAGATTCTGTTAAATGAATGATTAACCATGCATAACACACAAACATACTTAACGGTCCAGACTATATTTGATGAAATCTGATTCTTCATATTCGAGTTTCGTTCCTTGCTAGGATGAATATTAGTATGTCCGGGACTCTGGAAAGCGACTTTGAACGGTTAGCGATGGTCCTATTGCATACGATCAACAGTTTTGGTATTCCATGCCCCTCTGGATAGACTCGGGACAAATAAAAAGGCTTCTCAAAGGCCCCTTGACCCCGGCGTGCTCTTCTGGCCGAAGCTATTACAAAGGTTTAGTAACCGAGGTCGGTCAAGATGTTAGGATACCGAACCGCTGATTTCACCGTTTGAACTTGCATAAAACGAGTCAAAGGTGCTCTACAAACCGTATTCACGAACATGCCTCTTCACCGCTTCTACATTCCTGCCGGGTTCTATTCCAAAGAGGATAAAGCCGCTGTCGTCAGAGCCGTCCAGCAGTGCTATCCCCACATACCCAAATTCTACGTCGTCGTAATCTTCATCGAGGTGGATAAGGAGAACTTCTATGTCGGAGGGGAAGCCACCGACAACTTTGTCCGCATAGTTGTGCATCACATGGCCACCCATTATAGGTATGTTCTCAGGACGCTATAATCGGTACTCCATTGAGAGGTTCACTTAGTGATGAACGCAAGAAAGAGTTCAACGACAGATACAACAAGGCCTTAGCTCCGTTCATCAAAGCACGGGGTGCTGACTGGGAAATACAGGTTGCTGAGATGGACGTGAGTATCTGATTTTCGTCTTATGAATTGTGGAGGTTGACGAGAGTTGCTTTATTCCAGCGACGCATGTGGGGGATAAATGGTATCAATCCCCCACCGCAAAACTCGGAAGCGGAAGCCGTTTGGTACAAAGAGAACAAGCCTTCGGAGTACTAGGTTCTGTTGCGAGAGGAAAATGAATAGCTAATCATGCGTAACGTACAAACATACTTCGCGTCTAGACTGTATTTGATGTAATCCGATTCTTCATATTCGAGTTTCGTTCTTGCTAGGATGAATATTAGCATGCCCGGGATAGAGGGTGAATTTAGCCAGCTAGCGATGGTCCTATTGCATACGATCAACAGTTTTGGTATTCCATGTCGTCCGGTCCCTCAGCGGCGCGCGGATACGTCTTCCTGCCTATTCTTCAAGGAACATGATAATAAAAAGATAGCCTACCGGTTCGTTCATGCAACAATTGATTGAGCCAGTCCTTAAGCCTTGATCCTATGTCTGAATCAAAAATCCTAATTGAAAGCACCAACAACGAAATTTTCACATGAAAGAGGTTCCACCGCTTTGAATGGCATGGTTTCCCCGAACCCTAGGTCCGAATGAGTTACTAGAAGACGAACGATGATGATTGAGACTGTTGGCAAGCCGTGACATCGAAATACCCTTAAAGCTATATGATGTGCGTGTGGCTTCTTTGCCATATAACAGGACCATACCGAAGACTCATTCAAGATTTTAAAGTTGTGTACCAACAGGGAATGTATCGCACGTCCGTGTTCTGGCCAATATTCTTTTCCCGAGTGATGCAAGTCAAACCTCGTAGCGCAGAGCCTCAATTTTATCATTTGATCAAGCCGTATTTCACCAGGGATACCGACGTAGGCCTCCAGCGGCACACAGTGAACAACGTTCTCGAAATGTCAAACAGCTTCTTTGAAGCGGTGACAGGCTGGAGAGCTGTCGCTGATTTTAGTTAGCTACTACGCCCTCAGTACGACACTTAAGATAGACGCACGTCTCATGTACTTATTTTGATGGTACAAACGACTTTTGCCACACGTGGGGTGAAAGAGGAAGCAAGGCAGCGGCTACGCGTCGGCCTTCCTCCGCCAATACATTATACGTCGAACATGCGTTTTTCTGAAGAGAGGAAAGATGAGATAATGGTGTATCAAAAGATATGACAAACGCACGGTGTCCATCGTATCCACTTGAACGCCCAGTTGGCTCATATATGTCCGAATAAATGGTGGTGGTTGTACTAATCGTGGACCCGTACCAAGAAGTAATATTTCTACTAGTTATTAGTACTATAATCCAGAAAATAAGGCGAAAAACGGACCAGGTTTGGGCGAAACAAGATCAAAAATCTCTAGGTGCTCCTTCCCCCACCCTTCCCACAACGTCTGAGGTACATCCCATAGAAACACCTGTCCTTCCAGAAAAATGCATGCAGAAGGTAGGACTAGTCCGTCGACCAGCTGAATGCCTTGATTGGTTATCCTCTTGACCTGGACAGGTGGTGGATTGTCGTCGGCGAGGATGTTGGTCAGTCCCCTGCCTCTGTCATGATCACTCAGGCTGCTCCAGCGTGGGCTAGAGTGAAAAAGACGAGATGTTGGGTAACAGGACGTTCGTTGCCGAGCGAGAGTGAGAATATTAGCGCGTCGTAGACAGTTCATCGTAATTGGGAGAGAAAGAGCAAATGACGTCACAGCCACATCCTCAAATAAAAGCATGCGATTGGAAAACAGTAGAATACACACACAAGGCGTTCAAAAGTACAATTGGAATATATACAGACATATAATAGAAAAAAATTAGACGGTCGCATCAGGAGCTGAGGGACGCCTTGTCGACCTACGAGTATACCGACTGTCATCTGGAGGTGTGGTCGCTTTCCGTTTCTTCCCTCGCTTCGAGGTTGATTTCGACAGTTCATTATCGGATTCCTCCTCCCCAGACTGATCATCCTTGCTCTTTGCAGTGACTTTCTTCGATTTCTTACCAGAAGCAGTGGCTGTTGTCCGTCTCTTCTGCTCCGGCTTGGTATCCAGATCTTCCCAGCCTCCTTGCTCTGACAAAAGTTTGATCGCATCCCAGGCTTTCTTATCCACGCGCTGAACGCTTAGACGTCCACGAGTGACGAGGTCCATAGCTAAGAAGTGTTTAACGCAGAAGAACGTCCGCTGGAAGCAGACAGACTTACATCGAATAGCTTCTACGTCAGGCTGACTGATATAACTGATCTTTTCGGGCATAGATTCGACATTTTCAGAAGTGCGGGAGCCTATGTAGCGCAAGAAGGACAGCGGAACGAAGTGCTGTGCTCGGGCGGTAAACTTGAGGTCAATCATGAACCACTTGGGTTTCTCCTTGTCTGATTTCTAGAAATTTTCTACAATGAATGATATGATGAAACACAGGAATGGGACATACAGGGTCGAAGTACGGGTGCGAACTTGACGTACAGCATTATCAGTGTGTAGGCGACAACGCAGACATAAGCAACGTACGGATCCCAAGCAGTGTCTGCGCTTCAGGATTGATATTGAGCCTTCAGTGATTCAGGCAGTCATGGTAATATCCACCCACAATCAGGATACGCTTCCTTGGCTACCTATGAGAACAACATAAACGAAGATAAGCATTACGAGACAGGGCAGACAGACCTCAGCGAAAGCAGCGATTCCTTTATACCATAACGCGTCACAATTCAATCCATGTTGGGAAAAGAGGAAACGAACCAGGAACTTTGCAATTCGAATGGTAGAAAAGAGCCTGGGACGTGTCAGTGCGTTGACCGAAAACAACAGCGGTACTGGACTTCCTCCTACCTTGTCTCCAACTTTCATCTCCTTCATGAGATTTCTCGCCTCGTAATTGCGAACACCTTCCCATGACGATGTACCAACTGCCTCAAAATCGTCGACGCTGAACTACGGAACCTCTATCAAGACTCAATGACAGTCATGAAGAGTGACTGCACCTGGCGCAATATCGTGAATATCGGTCAACCAAACTCGGGAATGGGACTTGCCTTTACATCTTTTCCCTTGACGATCCGAGAGTCAGGTTCTGCCTTGAGCAGCCAAAATTTCTCAGGTTCGGACATGAGTAAAGTGGTATAAGAATAAGAAGGTTTAAAACCGGCATAGCGCTCAAGAGAATATCCGATATAAAGGTAAAGAGCTTTCAAATGTTGCCGTGACTCCATAGCTAAGTGGTTATAGCATGAGATTGCAGCTGTGTAGCACTATCTCGGGGTCGCGTGTTCGAGTCACGCTGGGGTCTGTTGTGGGATTACGTCTGAATTATGTTTTTCGTCCCGACCTGAAGAGTTCAAGTGACAAGAATCAAGACTCAAGTTTTAACTAAGAAATTTCAAGTAATATGTTTCGACTCTCGACTCTCAAGAGTAAGGAGTTTCTAAGGACCCATTTGACTGTTGCGCAATGCGCACGCAATCTCCAGGTGGTAGATACGGTTTTGTACCCACTCTTGACACGAACGCCCGTCGGCGAGCGGATACGAATGCGGTCAAGACTCCTGGATCCTAGTCACATTTTTAATCCTTGAGACTTGACTTTCACGTACTAGACCGTTTCAATAGTCCTGGCAGTGTTATACCCCAAGCTCTGTCAAGATACTCCCCACGCAGTCCCAAGTCCACTTTCTTTCTCCAAAATGAGCTTGAACTGTGAGGAAACAGCGCCACGGACAGCTTTGCAGGGCTCGATGATGGGAGTGCCAGACATGTCCTACACACCTTGCTATCTTTCCTTAATCCTGTGGTAGTCAGCAGGCATAGAGTTGTTGAACACTGGGATAACTAAGAGAGCAAGAATTACGAGTAATTTTATCAATGCACGATGAAAATTGAAAAGAACTTGTTGACGAGTGTACTGAAAGGCTTAATCGACTCGCGTACTTTACAGGTCCATTTTCCTTTCAAACGAGCACTGAGATATTAAATCGTGATGGTATTAGCAAAGTGACGGGTTCTAAATAACAATACAGCGTCCAAGTCCAAGTCCATGTAGCAAGGTAGTCAGCCTAAAACAAACAATTTCTGTGTTCAGCAGGTCCATGAATCCTTCAAGTAGCAAGTACTCGTTAGCAGTCAACCAAAAAAGATCCGGGAGAAACACGCACATCTTTCGTACCAGGTGCTGCAACGCTCAAATACGCTGGCAGGCCAAGACATTCAGCGACGGTCACGAGTTTATAGCCTGCACCTAGCAAATCGTCAAGAGCATGCGGGAGAACGGTCGTGCTGTAGATGTATCGATACAAGATTATATCGTTATTATAACGACTACTCACCTAGTAGTTTCTAGATACACCAAAGTCAGATCATTCCTCATTAAGAAACCGAATCGGACTACTCACCAACGGTCTCATGATTCAGAGTCAAGATCGTGCTAGGATGCTTAGCCACAAGGGTATCATAATCCACCTCGCTATCCGCAGGAGCTTCTCCGACAGAATCTCCAGAGCTACGTAAAAGCTGGAGTAAGATCACGAAAACTCGTAGGTGAAAGGCAGACATACTCGAAAACCCAGGTAATCACACTCTGATTGTGAGCAGCGGCGACTTGCAACACACCGTCGTTGTAACTGCCATACGGAGGTCTCATAAATGCGACCTTGACTCCGAGGATTTTTGCCAAAGCCGCTGCATTAGCATTAGCACCGAATTGCCTTCCGTTGTCAATTGGCGAGGAACATACTATCAGTGAGAGTAAATTCACTCTCCACTGTCAACAAGACCAAGTTAGAAAACTGCTTGACAGAACTGCGCTATCGAGCTACATACCTTGGTCGGTGGTTAGTGTAGCCAAATCTTTATGCACCCATGTATGCCTGCGTTAAAATGAAGTTAGCCAACCCCGCATTCGGAGATTATATCATCACTCACGAAGCGATCTGATGACCCTTCGAGTACGCGTTCTGTAGCGCTGCTACCTCGGTGTCTCCATATATACAGCCATCTGCGAGGTACGTGCATGAGCGCTGGGAGTATCATCTGCCGCTTGCCCAAGACTTACAATTGTTACCATCTGAACAGGTCAGATGTGGGTTAGATCCGGTAAGGTAAAGCTGATATGGTACGTACTAACGAAGAACGTGCCCTTGACACCTTTAGCATCGAGCATATCGACGATGTTTTGCCTAAAGGCCACCATGAGTAAACAAAGCGACGTACATTGGATTTGAAACGTACGAATAGATGTAAGGTCCATCATCCTAGTACTAGTCAGTTAAATGCATTTAGCGGGACGCGAAGAGTTATACATACGAATGTCAGAGCAGCGGTATTCGGAACAGTACAAGAGGTGATCACACCACCGGTCTGTCGTTTCGTGGGGTGCGAAAAAGCTGCAGTAGCCAATGCAATGGTGAGGAAAGCGGAAGACAACATCTTGATGATATGGATTTGAGTATGAAGGTTGTTTGAGGGGAAAGTTTGATACAAAAACAACGGAAGCCAATCGGGCCTTTTGTATATAATTGCACAGCGCACACTGGACACTAATCAGCTGCTGCTCAGACATACGGCTGTCTTCAAGGTTACGGCTAAATTGTTGAGACGGCCTTCAATAGGGGCGGGAAGCGTGGTGATAGGGAAGTGTCTGATTCAACCCACCACGATTCTGACAATAATCCTGTGGAACTCTGCCCATCCTTGCTTCTTTGGCGATTCTGTCTCAATATCGCGTCCAGAATTGTCGCAGGAATCACCACCAGTCTAACCGCCCCATAAGCATTAGAAAGACATGTCTTTGAATAAAAGACCGCAGGAGTCGATGTAGAATCACAGGAACTTGATAGTCGGTAGCCAGACTCGTAAGTTGTGTATCACGGGAGGTTGCCTTCGAACCGCAGCAAGTCATTACAATTTCCCAGTCAGATGCCACTTTTAGCAGCTCTCTTGAGTCTCTAAGGCTGATATTTTGTTGTCTCGTCACCGTTTCACCTCACCGACCAACGATATCATCTCCGGTTGGATATGAAGTGGGAGCAAAGGCTTAGGGAGGAAGCAGAATCAAGCTCTGCATCCACGTGACCTTCGCGATCGCGCACGGCGGCCAAAACTTGACAGTGTTGACACCAGTCTTTTTCGCATTTTTTTTCGTGTCTGTCAGTCTGTGCATCCTTAACCATAATCCCAGGTATTTATTACGTTTTAAGGGTTACACTGATGTCTTTATATAAATTTGATAGGGCTTGTCTATAGGTGTTCTAGATGAATGTAGGCTGAGGATACTCGCAAAATTCCCTGTACTGTCTATACAACCTGTGACCTCTATACGGCTATACGGATGCAGATTTCTGATGGACGGTGAGAGGTATGCGACCTCCGCTTTCGTTCTGTGTTCAACAAAACACCAAAACGCTTACATCGACCTAGAGCACGTCAACCAGCAAACATCAAGCTCGTTGAAATTGATCTAGAATGCACCCAAGAAGTCGAATTCGTGTCCCTGCTTAAAGCCCTGCTCGCGAAGATGTTGCTCGGTGTCTCTGCTGACGGGGAGGATACGGCGGCCTTGGACACAGCCAAATCCGAGGCCAATCAGCTATTTGACGAGATGCTCAAAGATGCCATAGATTTCTGCAATTCTAATCTTCTGACGTCCGCGTCAGCCAAGTCCTCGCTGCGGTCGAAGTTGTCACAAAAAATGAAATCCCACCTCAAGGACTTGTGCGTCATAGTTCCTCTTTTCAATGTGTGTACTGATGCCTCTTAGCTGCCAGGGAAAGTCCGAGACGGATCGCTGCCTCCCGATCTCCATGGCCATAAATACCATTATGCTTGAGTATGGTGGGCGCCTTTTTGGCCGGCTACTATGCTTAAGCGGCGATGACCAAGTCATTGTTATTCCAAATGATCCTCTGGTCATCGAATCCATGCAAATCATGCAGGACTCACCAACCACGAAGCACAAGCCCGATAACATCATCGTCCAAATATCCCACCTCGTAGAGCTCTACGATACGTGCAAAGATTTCGATTATCAATTTTGGGTAGACTCGGTTGAGACCGAGTCTAAGGAATGGAAGCAAGCACGGAAAGGCGCTGACGAAAAGACAAGTTGGCGGGACATTCATTGTTCCCTCGAGTTGAGGGCGCTCAGAATCATCGGGAGTGCGCCGCTTGATTAGAAACAGGTATTGGGCGGTAGTACGTTCCTCGTTCGATCTCCAATTCTGATACCTGTTCCAACTCTCTACTTCCAGCTTCTTCCACTCCTGCATCTGATGTTCTCCAGTCTAGTGGCCACAAAAGCGAAAGTGAACGTCAATTGGCCAGTCAAGCTTCGGGTTCTTCCATTGGGGCTGCTTCCTCCCACAGCTGTGAGAAGAAGCGTAGTTACGCGGAGGCGGTGGGGTCAGAGTATGCAGCTGAAATGACATCCTCGCAGAAGAAGCGCAAGATATTGTACCCCGATCTACCCTACATTACCACAGAGACTCAGTGCGCGTATTACGCCATCGAGCGTCTTCGAGCGGCTTGGAACCCATAGCATTGTTCTTCTACTTGAAGGTTGTGATTCTTATCCTTGCGCTTTCATCAAGGCTGACATGACATCCGTAGATAACATGCTCAGTCTTCGCTGGTATGATTCCGAGGGCTGCATCATGACACAACCTATCGACATCATCGGACAACTTCCACTGTTTGTGGTGCTGGTCATTATTCTCCAGCGGTTTGACGCTGCAATGTGGGGATTCTCTGATATCCAGATATCTCAAACGACAGAGAACGGACCAGTCTCATTTTACCTCAAGTCCGACAAAGCAAAGGGAACACGTTTCCAACTTGTGGGACGCCGAACGTTCGGTGCAGATGTACGGATGTCAGACGATGTAAATATCACTCCAACTCCAGTTGTTTCATTGACCTCTGTTCCATCTGTGGTTAACTCTCATGTTCTTGACGGCTCCGAGCAGTTCATCACTCCTCAAGGGCCCCACAATGCATCATCTAATGGTCCCATTACCACCCTAGCACCCCCCAGACCTAGTTCCATCCCCAACGCCTCGAATACTCCTCAAAACACATCGTCGGGAAGTTCTCCAGTACGGCAACAAAGCTCCCAGAATATTCCCTCCGACCTTCCAGGTTCGATTGGTAGGAATCCGCAGCCTTTATTCTTCAAAGCAGCGTGGCCGGAGAATTCTCAAAATCGGGAGCCCCAGATCATCGAAGAGGCTATTTCTAGGGCGAATCAATATCTTGGCGAATTCAAGGCGTATGTCCTTGGGCACATTCCGACGGTCATTAGCTGGCAAGAGGTGAAGTTTACATCGACTGGCATCATTCGTCTACTCCTCGATCTCAGTGCTAAGCGCTCACGCACCCTGCTCTGGATGGTTTGTCACAAACTAGACCGTATCGAGGACATTCTCAAACTAGACCCTAACAAGGACCTTAAAGCACAGGCATCCTGGAAGGCATTCTGGGAGCTCATCCGTTGTACGTTCTATTCCTTTCTTGTTATTCTCTCCTGACAACATGCTGATTACAGGCCATTATCTGCTCTGGCGCATCGGCATAGCGCATGGCGATATCAGTATCAACAATTTGATGTACAATGCCGTTACCAAGAAGGCAATCCTGAACGACTTTGATCTGGCTGCCGTCATGAAACCTGGAGGCATATCACCACAGAAAAAAGGCGTTGAGCGGACGGGGACGAGACCGTTCATGGCACTGGAACTGCTGGACAAGGCCGACGGTGAGGTTCGGCGGAGGTATCCGCATAACCTTGAATCCTTTGCCTGGTGCCTCCTCTGGCGTGCAATGAATGACTCATTCCCCAAGAAGGCAATTCATGGGTCAACCACAGACGACCTTGAATCCAAAGCTTGGTTGGGTGGTCGTGTTCTGGAGCGCACTGCTAAACCGGGCTTTGGACCAATATGGAAGATGACCCACAATTGGACTGGGTAGAATTTCAAGTTCCTCGACAGGCATCATCACCATCGACGGACGCGAACATGGGGGATGTGACGGCGTAGTATGCATCGTAATTATTATTATCAGGGCACTATGGAACGGCATTCGCTTGTATTATACAGAATACATAAGTAACATCACAATCTTCCCTTTTGATATCGTAGTCGACACTCATCGTAGTTCGCAGTAAGATGCGGCATGGACTAGACCTGTGCGGCGTGAATGACGCAGGCCTGCTAGGCGATGTCTATGGTATTTGAACTGTCATATCAGCTTAGTATTACAAACAAACAGAGGTAACTCGCGTCTTGAATGATAAAACCCGCCGACACCACGAAATCCACGCTCAAAACCTCTCAAACTCACGCTCCACGTCCTTTCGAAATACCGTCAACGCGGTGAGATTTCTCCCTGCTGATTGCTCACGCACTCTGCTCTGGATGGTCTGTCACAAACTATACCCTATCAAGAAGTGTAATGGACAGGATTTCTGGAAAGCATTTCTGGGAGCTGAGTCCGTTGTATGTTTTGTTTTTCCCTTTCTTATCTCCTGAATATGCTGATTACAGGCCACTATCTGCTCTGGTGCATCGGCATAGCGCATGGCGACATCAGTATCAACAATTTGATGTACGATGTGGTTACTAGGAAGGGAATAGTGAACGACTTTGACCTGGCTGCACTCATGGAGCCTGGAGACATATCACCACAGAAAAAAGGCTGGGAGCGGACGGGGACGAAACCGTTCATGGCGCTGGAATTGCTGGATAACGCTGATGGTTCCGTCAAGCGGAGGTATCGACACGACCTCGAATCCTTTGCCTGGTGCCTCCTCTGGTGTGGAATGAATGAGTCATTCCCCGACAAGACAATTAATGGGTCAACCAGAGACGTCTTTGATTCCAAAAGGTCGTTGGCTTTTGATCTTTTGAAGAAGACCAGCGCTAAACCGAGCTTTAAAGAAATATGGCAGTGCATTGTGGACTGGGTTCAGACTTGGGTCATGCGATTCAATCTGTCTATGCCAGGGAATGCCCTGCGACTCATGTTTCCTATTTCAGTGCCTAAGGATGACAGGGAGTTTGTCAGGGAGTTCGCAAAAATCCTTCATAGATATGAGCTGCCAATCCCATTGGATGACCCACAGTTGAAGTGGATAGACTTCCAAGTTCCACTGCAGGCACCGTCATCATCGAAGGACCGGGATGTGATTGTGTCGTATACATCATAGTTATTATTATTAGGGACATTATGGAACAGCGTTGGCTTGTATTATACCTTTCGTTTTTATAACGCAGTCGCACAATCTTTCTTTGGCTCGGCATTTTATTTGTGGAAGGGGCACAACTACGACTAGCAAAAAGGAGTTGAAGGACATAAATGTTGTATTACATTACAGGTTGAACAGATATTCTTGCTCACGTTTTGAAATCTGAGGCGGCGCTGCTCGACTACTTGTGCTCTTATTGCAGGATTGGAAAGCTTGTTCCTGGGCATCAGGACAGGCTCCAGGAAAGAGGCCAGGAAAGACGTGAAAAGGGTAAGGGGAAGATTCTGGTGCAGCAGACATGCGAGCTACCAGGCTTTCCGACTGTATGCTGTTGAGGAATGGTACGGTGTGTTGGACACAGATATCGTCAAATGGTGATCAACGATAGGAAAGAAACCTAGACAACGTAACTCCTTGTACCTCCGTAAAGCAGACCGTCAGTTGCATCATCTTCCAATGTTGCGTACAAACTGGTTTCATAATCGAGCATGATTCCGTCCCACGATGCACAATACGTCTTGTTCTGTGTTAGATGTACCCGCTGAAGCTCCCTCCGCACTGCTTCTCGCTCAGCATCAGCGCCACCAGAGTGCCGTCCGTCCGTCCGCTTCGTCAGATGGACGACAGGATTAATCGTTGCGATAGGCTCACGATCAGGCAGTGACGGACTACTCTTTCTCCGGGGACCCCTTACACTTTGCTTGTGGATATATCGAGACCACAGATGGCTCTGCCAAATGCTCTCAAACATCTCCGTCCTGAGTATGTTCTGCTTCGTCGTCCGTGGGGTCGAAGGTATAGCAGCGATGAGTAAATTGTATGGAAATCCTAGCGGTGCATATTCCGCAACGGTGGGAAGGTCCTTTGCGGGTGTTGGTATAGGCGGTGACGAAGGCGGAGATAGATGGATCGCTCCTGTTCCCTTTGACTCCCAGAAGTGTAGCTCCTCGATTACTTCCAAAATTGGCTCTCAAGCGCTCTTCGGTGACCCTGTTCGAAACGATCAGTGGATTGCTGTCCTCCCCATCTCCTCATCCTCCGGCCGTCCTTTGCGCCGGTATCCATTGTTTCTCGACGGAGAAGTTCGATCTGTGCCCACAGGGCTTGTCTTGACCTCTCCTTTCTCCCGCACGCTTCCTACAGTGATCTGTGCAGATACGGGTAACGCCACTGCACTATGGCCCGGCTGTAGCCCGGTATCTTTTCCTATGTCTGCTCCCAGTGCCAAGTTTGATACTAGATTCCACGCGGCGGTATTGACTGTGGGGGTAAACGTGCAGGATCAGGATTCATAAGTTGGCTATGGAGGCCAGAATTGGTCCGATTAAGATTGGTATAGTAACTGCCCTTGGGACCTTGACGAACATATCGCGCCGCCGCGCCGCTTCTAATACTGCATCTTGCAGCTTAGCAGCGTCCGGGGGAGGCGGTGTTGTTGACGAGGGTGTCGGGGCTTCGTAGTGGTATTGGAAGGTGGATGTCGGATATTTTGGGGAGGCTGTACAATACGAAGAAGCGATATTCGGTCCGGTTTACTCTGAGCGACGTTGAGAATAGATCAAAGTATCCCACATGAGATTACTCGCAGTAACGGCCTCGATTTCAGCGCTATCATCGTCACAAGATGTCCATTCGTCCTCGCCAGAATCGGTTTCTTCGTCAGATTCGTCGACGATGACGACGGGATGCCCTCCTCCAGTCTGCTGCTGCGAGTTTTCCTTCTCCTTGCCCTTCGCACTAGGTGGCTTGGGGAGGACTTTGTTTCTTAACAGACGCTTGAGGCAAAGTTTCGCGTGAAGCTTTGCGTGACAGGACAAATGAATGAATATACAGACTTTTCGCCCCAACCCTAGATGAGAGACTCGCCAGTCTCGACATGAATCACGCCAACCCATGGTTTCAACTGATGATGCAGAGAACAGCCACGCCATAGAAACACGCAACCTCTGTGGCGGCCACTTTGAGCCAACCGTTTCCTGATATGACCTTTTTTATTCTACGACATGGAAAAACATGCATTCTTACTTGCTCCCTTCCTATTCTCATTCATCATGGGACCCAGTGCTGCTATCAAAACCGTTGTCGCTTCACGAAGAACGGTCTACGAAAACTAACATGAGTAAAGTGGTGCGTATCCCTGAAGTCGGATTAGCGCAGACGTATCACTTGTAGTTGCAAAGGAGTCTAATAAGGCTTGAAACGCCGTGACGCTTTCAGTTTCTCCACCTTTGCCTTCGTCTCTTCCCAATTCTGCTTGAGTTTCATCAAGTCTGAAAATAGAAGCGTAAGAAAAAAAACGAGTAGGCAAATGAACATAGAAAAATACACATACCACTCCGCTGCTTCTCAGCTTTCTGGAACGCATAAAACTCGGTTTTCTCCTTACTCTCCTTCTTCTTCCGGTTCCTGCTACTCGTCTCTCCACTTCGTTGGAACTTCTTACTCGCCACAGCAACACCACCACCCACAGTCTGACCGTATGCTCCGCCTCTCGTAACAAGTGTGAACCCATCCTCATCCACGATAGCTTCCCCCTTGCGGTACTTTGATTTCTGTTTTGATTTCGCCAGCTCAAACTCGTACAGCTCCATGGCCGAGTCGGCATACGCGCGCACAGCGTCAAGTGGAGGCCGCAGTGAGTCGAATAATGTCAGATAATGAGCCAATCCTGAGGGTTCATCCGATGTCGGCCACAGACGAGGCTTTGTTGGTGGTACAAGTGCGCGCTCCAACGACGAAGAGTCGAGAAAGACGACATGGCCCGTTTGGCCTGTATGCCGCAGAGTCCGAAAGGGTTTTGCGGGAAGCGGTATGACCCGAGGGGGCTGGGGAGGCTTGGTTTTGTTGAGTCGCCGTCGTTTCTTCGGTTGGGTATCTTCTCCTTCTGCGACCACTCCTTCGGTCTCCATGTCTCCTTCCTCATCGCTCTCGCTATCATCGCTTTCCTCCACCGTATCCTTCCCTTGGGCATCCTCTGAGAAAGACACCCTTTCTACCGTTCCATGAGGTTTAAAGAATAGCGAAAGCTCGCGTTCCGTCGCATCTGGAGGGATATTTGCCAAAAATAGTGTACGGCCTACAGGCCACAGTTGTTTGGCCTTTTTGGATCCCTCATGGGCACGTGCATAGATATAATGTATCACGGATGAAGGAATAAGAGATTGGTAGCGGCACGAATCCACCGACGGTCGACATTGGGTGATGAGGAAAATCTGAATCCGAGAAAATACCGCTTGGTGTGCGGCAACGGCCGAGCTAAATTTAGTCATTCCTCCTGCGCGCCCGTCCGCGTCATACTCAGGACGTATTGGCTTCATAAAGATTGCTTTGATATTTCAAACATCAGTAACGAAGTTGAGTTGTATTTATATGGTATTACTTATCGTGGCAGCTGAAAACAGGCGCGAGTTTTATATAAAGACAGAGATATTTCCAACAGAGACAACAAAACAAAACGTTAGGACTGTACGAGGAGCTAGTGTGGATGATGTGTATGTACTTGTGAAAACGAATTCGAGTCTGATAGCGAAGAGAGACAGAGAGATGATATATATATAAAATGGGCAACACCATTAAAATGCAAAAAGCGGGGCGTATAAACGGGTCTCGCTTTCGTACGCAGAGAGTAGGAAACGAAGATATAAAGAATTTGGATAGCGAAACATGGACGTAGCAATGAAAACGAAAATCATCTCCAACCAAAAGATAAGAAATATGCGTCGCGATGAGGGCGTTATATCCAACGAGGGGCAAAAAAAGGAGCTTATGCGAATCGAATCGTAAGAAACATACCGAGTGAAAAGGAGACGGCCATCAGGGTGAAGGAGATCCGTTCATGGTCAATTGGAACTGAACTGATCCTCCGCTATCCGAACTCTCGGCGGGAGACTTCCAAGGTCGGTCACGATCGAGGTCGAGGCTGGCTAAAGTACCATTCAGATCGTGCATAGCATCCAACTCTTGCGCAACAATCTCTCGCGCTGACGTTTGTCCAGACGATGGACGTGAGATAGGGCGCTCAGGGCGCCCAGGGGCTCGATTGGCAGGAGGAGAGCTGCTCAGGAATGGTCCGTATCGTGTACTGCCTCCAGAACGTGCCGCAGAGGAAGGCTTCACTGTTGTCCCGCTCCCAGTGTCTGTTTCATTGCCCTTTACGTCCTCAGATGACATGGGATAAAACCCAGAGGCAAATGCTTTTGACGCATAGGATTGGATGTCATTATGGGGATATGAGTCCCGTCGCTTCAACTCTTGTGCAAATACGCCGGGTTCGGGCTGAGAACGGGGCGAACTGTGATATTGTCGGAGGCTGAACTTCGTTTGCGAAAACAGCCGGCGCATAGTTGGTGTCAAAAGGATGCGGAATTTCCCGAGGAAGGCCGAGGAAGCGCAACCTGTCCTCTATCGAAAATGAGACATTGTCTTTCGGAGGAGTGAGATATCCCAGCCTTGAAAGGACTTGAACAGCCTGGTCCGACGAAAGAGGGCTCATGAAGGAGGTCATCTGACTTTGTAGCGCCGCGGTCTGCGCTGCTTGGGCAGCAGCCTGTGCCGCTTTATCTGTAAAGCAGACATTAGCGGTCGAGGGATTTGAATAATGCGTTTAGATGGTTACATTGACTGCGGCCCCAACTCAAACGAATTCGACTGCCTCCTACGGGAAACCCTTGCATCTTCTCGATGGCACGTTCGGCATCTGATTTGCGAACAAACTGAACAAAACCACAGTGTTTACCAACGGGAACCTTGACCTGAAACAGAATGGTTGAGGCAAAGACTAAGTATAAAGGGGAATGACTCACGTAATGAATGTCACCAAACGGTGCAAAAAATGTCCTAAGAGTGTCCTCGGAAATGAGCGGCGACAACCCTCCAACAAAGACCGTCGTGTTATACGGGTCCGTTGACGTGAGTTGCTCCCCAGTTGGGACCTATGAGGTTCCCAAGAATAGCTTGAGCCTGTGCATGATGCTTCCACGACTCTTCCGAGAAATATCTCGGCCCACCTGAATCTGCTGACCTCTGAGCTCGATCTTGCGCAAACTGAGACGTGATTGAAGTAGAGGGTGCATTGTTCTTGGGTGGTTCCCGTTCACCACTGGCGTACTGCTGAGCGATTTGGGCTAGAACGTGGTCCGGAAGATTCATCAAGTCCTCAGCAGTATTGGCGCTGAATGTGGAAGATGATATACTACTGCTGGACCCAGTACCCGAGCTAAGGGTAGTCCCAGAACTCGAGCCTTCTATTGAAGTTCCCGAGCCGGCAGAGTTGAGGGAAGAGTTCGAGGTGGTCGCGGCGAATAGGGGCGGAAACGCTCTTCGTATGGGTAAGAGTGGGTAGAGGCACGGCGATGGTGACGCCACCCTGTTCTTGGCCACCGACACCAGATGAGAGCGGAAATTTGACTTGAGGAAGTTCATGAGGAGGCATCATGGGAGGGGGCTTGAACTTGGCAGTAGCTGGTGATATCCTCACTGATAATTGAGTCAGTATATGCGGCACGAGAAGCGAGAGAACACGAACTTGGTCGCGAGAGACAGTATAGACCATGCATCTCAACAAGAGCTCTTTGCTGGTCCTTTTCATCAGTGAATCTATTAACTAGATTAAAGAGGCTTTCGAAAGTGAGCATACGAGCACGAACCTTACAAAGCCATAGCCTCGGGAGACCCCAGTAACCGGATCCAGCATGATTTTGGCACTCTTACAACTGAGGAAAGGGCGTATGAATTTAGGTTCACGATCGCTACGAAGACCGAGAACTGGATTCCGAAAAACAGCCACAAGATCCGAGTTGGACGTCTCCGGTGCGAGATCGCCGACGAAAATGCTATACTCCTTAGGATACTGAGGAGAACCTAGTATGTTGGGAGCGGGAAATGAGGCTGTGACTGGGGTAGTCGAAGGGACGGAAGACGCCCAATTGAGGACGAAAGGTTTCGTCGAATTTGGCATGGTAAGGGCGGAAGACCCGCTGTTGGTGGAATTGACCTGGGAGAGCACAGAAGCGGCGTGGGCGGGAGTAGGAAAGGTAAGGAAACAGTAGCCGGGATTGTTGGCTTGCTGGCCTGTGGCGGGGTCAGGGGCCGGATGGGGTACCTTGATACCTATCGGATCCCAGCTCATGAGTGAACAGACCTGCTTGGCGTATTCTTCGTCCATCCAGGACTCTAGTTCGCCCCACCAAAGAGTAGAGCGAGATGCGTTAGAGGCAACGGGCTGGGCTACGGGAGCGGGAGGAGAATGATGGGTCGCACGGAAGGTATCTCTGTCGACGCGGTCGTTGAGCGAGAACAACGGCGAGGACGACGGGGAGGAAGAGGGATGATGGTGGTTGAAGAGAGAGAAAGGTGAGCTGGTAGAGGCTTGGATCGCGCTTGTCTGAGCATTGTTTGTGTTTGGTCGAGATCCATCCCATGCAGAGGAAGGCTCCCAGTCCACGCCTGCTGATCTCGGCACCGTGCTTGTGTATAACGGATAGTTTGAAAGCGTTCCGGATGTCCTCCGGTCCGCTGATGTAAATGACGGCTTCGGAGTGCTACTGCGATGCAGCGAATGCAGCGCTTCCCTCTCAGCGGAATTACGCATGAACCCCAAGCCGGGAGGGCTGTCGTATTCATTCTGATCAATGCGCGACATGAGCGGTTAGAAAATCGAAGTATGCTGGTCGGAGGAAGAAGGTCGAATAAAATGATGCAAAAAGCGGATATCGATGATATGAGAGCAGACGAAAACTGATGTAACGTTTTTTCCTTCTTTTTCTTTGGAAAGATAACTGAAGAGCGGAAATAACTGAAGCGAAGATGCGACGACCAGAGAGATAAATGGATAATCAGGAGACGAAGAGCGAAACAAGCGATGAACAATGCGGGAACGACGATTATCGACTAGAAAAAATGACCGGAAAAGAAGTGAGTTGGTAGGATCCGTGCCGACGAGTGCAACGACGGAGGGGGCACACGAATAATCCAAGCAGAACGGTGTCGGAACTGGGGGGCGGAAAGGGCACCACGCAAGGGGCTCCTGCTCACTTTATACCTTGCGCAGGCTGCGTTTGAAATTGTGCGGAGTCGGGAAAAACAATTGCGGAGTTGCCGAAACCGGTCGAAGAGCTCCTAATACGCTACCCATCACCCTGATTCTCGATTTCCGGCTGCGAATTTGTGAAAATCCATGTCACCAATCTAACCAAAATAGCCTTGTATCTCCCTATCTCCGTTTTCTCAGCGATATACATCCAAACAGCATTCCCTCAGCCCAAGATAGGGTACAATGGCACTCTGGTACAAGGGGCAGTCTGTTTGGATGTTCCTATGGTATCTCTTATACGACATCAAAAATTCATCAACCGGGTCTTCTCACGTCTTTCTCCAGACTTACATACATCGGCACTTATATTGATCTATGTGGGTCCAATGCTGTGCATCTTCCATTATGATTAAGCGCGTTCCTGGCGCTCGAAGCCCTCTGCTGCGCGTCATTCCACGTCTAACGTTCGGACATCCTCTGAAGGAGCCTACGTTTCGCAAAACATAAAGCCACTACCGACATTCGGCCTCTCTAACTGCAGAAATCTCGGCTACTACTCTGGACTTCTCAGCATCACTTGTCAGGACAACCCGGTCTAAATCTGCCATTGTTCTGCGTCATACTCTCTCCTGGAGGCAAATTTTAAGTCCGATGCCACAGCGGGTATTACTGTCATGCCACGAGGGTATTGAAAATGTTACGCGTGGAATCAACGCGACGCGTCTCATCTTCCTCCTCAGCCTGCCTTCTCTCTGTCCTGTGTTGTTGCTATGACTAATGGAACGGGTATGTTCTTGGTAACATGGAGAGCTAAATTATTACACCCAAGGACGTAAAGGTCGCTTAATCGCCTCGTATTCCATAAGTTGTCACTACTCCTGCTCGGTCGAGTCCCCATTGTCCGCCTACTTAGTATTAAACATCTCGTTTCACAGGTTCACTGAGCAGCTGACAAGGATGAGTCTACCAGTCAGACATTGTCTTTCGAAACACCATTGTTTCCTGATTTGCGTTTCCTGGTGCTGGAAGCATTCAATGAATACGATAGTCGATGTACCGCAGCCTTCGATTCTGTTCAAGACATCTAGAGAAGGAAATCTGAAACGGCAAGAAACATTTTGCATTGTCCTACTGCCGGGACGCGATGTCGTGATTGACCTCTTCTTGACCTAACGCGTTCATACGCGCTCGTAAGTCGATCGTTTGTTCTTCTCACGAGGAAGTCCAAGGAACTTGGGCTCTGGACCTCTCTTTTCATAAGGTTGCCTTCACGTGAAGCCTCAGCCGCAATATAAGATGTGTCAATCTATTTGAAGTAGCATTTCTCGGCCAGGTACTAGCCAGGTTTCTCGGAGTTCATCAGATTTACTGATTTCTACTGATATGCCGAAGTCATACACAGCACAGGGTTTTCCCGTTTGTCTTTAAATGATTTTTCAGGGTAGACACATCGGTCCCGAACGTTAATCATGACACATATAAGGCTTAAGTTCGCATTAGCACTGCATAGGCTTGCCTGTATGGCGGTGAGTGAGATTAATGAAGCTTCAGGCTTGCTTGCTCTTCATAGAGCATGCATTCACCTAGTCGGTGCTAGACTAAGTTTGAAATTTCGTCCAAACTTCGCTGTAAGTGAAACATACTAGTGCGAGGCCAGAAGCGTTAACTCCGGTTCAAAAATTCCTCGATCCGACTTGTCCACGTAGAACTCCCAGCAAGGCAAGCCAGATCGATATCGATATCGGTTCGGAATTCGAAGGTTCTAGCATCTTAATAACAAATGACGCGCCCGAGAGGGGCACCACTGCAATGGAAATACGTTCAATTGACTCATCAAAAAATTGAACAGCCTGATGCTCATTGCTAGCGCTACCAGATAAGCGCTGCATGGGAACCTAGGAGTAAACCCCGAAGATAGAAATGAATCATTGAATAGACCGCGTTAGAGTACCGCCGGCTGCTTACATCAGCGCGAAACTTGCCACTGCACTTCTATTGGTGGTGGTTGTGCAAGGGCCTTGTTTCTCGAGCAAACATACTACAGAACGAAAATCTCATCTAGGCCGTCTCTCTTCTTGCTCTTGCTCTCTTTCTCAGGCGCTTTTCTACGGCATACCACCCTGAGTGGACCGGCATGGGACCGAGTCGACGGCCGTCTGCTGCAGGTATGATTGCCTCATCCGCCTCCAGTTGCCAGCAGTTCGCGCGTGCACAGGAGTCAAGATTCACACTATGGGGGCTCTCAACATCCTCGGAACGAGCAGCAGAAGAAAATTGTGCAGGTGTTAACTCAGAGGCTGAGATTGCTGGTGTGTCCATTGAATGTACATATCAATTCTAATGCTCACAGGTTGTTCGGCTGCTAGCTTCCCGTCCGGTCAGGAAAGTCAGTTGCACCAGCTCGAATCCGATGGAGCCACGCGACAGGCAGTCAATGCCCTTGTCAAGCTATCTCAGGACTCTTGGGAAACGATCTCATTAGGCGATGAGCGAGATGCTAGATGAACTACTGAAGGTAAGTGGCGTGTACCAGATTCAGAGAAGAATGTTTATTTACAGTCAACAAGCCTGACCTCAATAGTCGCAGTTCTGCAATCACAACTTTTCATTATGAAAGCTCTAGCTGCAGGCGTGTCGTCGAGGCCGCACAGTATTCCACGGTCGGGATCTCAAGCTAGTCACCGAGCACCGGGTTCTGCCCCCGATTCTCCTGTTCCGTCATTCGCATCCAGGTGGACGGCAACAGTCACTTCTCCTCCATTAGAGCAACCACCCATGGAAGACAATTGCGCCCGATACTTGCTGATCCTAATGGTCTCATTTCTACGGCAATCTGCGCAAACCGAACCGCCTCTGATGATGGACTGGATTCCTTCAGCAGATATCACGTTCCGTGACTATGAACTCAGCGAGTTCAGCATTTTCGTCAGAGGGAACTGACTCGCCGACTGATTATCCTGACACGTTTTCTCATGACCTCAAGCCGCGAGCATCTTCTACATCTGTCAAGGTCTGGAAAGATGAGCATCACGTCTCTTACAGTCGACCCGAACAGGTGTCACTACGCAACGAACACCTTTGTCTGCTGTTAATTCGTTTCACACTTTGAACGCTTTGATCGAAAAGTATACCGGCCGGATAATTTTCCATATTTCTGCATCGAATTGGAATGTAGTATTTGATCGACTACGGACCAAGATTCGTCAACTTTCTCAGAACGAGGGTGAAGTCGACACCATCGATGTTCAATTATTGTCGCACAGTCTTCTCGATAGAACAAGGCTGGTGCAAGGTTTGAATGGTGCGCCTTTTTCTGTGATAGGTTGTATTCCCCCTCATAATCTCGTGCAGAGCTGTCATCTCTTCTCGTCAACATGACGCACGAAATGCATGCCGCCTTTGCAAATCCCTTGCGGCTTGCCATCTGGAATTGGATAAGGAACTGTCCCGCCGAGTTCAACGAAGTTTCCAAAGGACGACTGAAGATGGATAGTGTTCCGGAAAGAGTATTTGACTATCTTCACCCAAGAGTCAAGTCCGGGTCCGAACGAACAATGTGGCCGGCTCTCATTGCTATCCTTTTCCTTACCCCAGACAGGTTGTCTCATGATGTGGGGCTTCCTGGTCGAGGACAGAAGTCGGATAAGTTTCTAGAAGACATTCGGCGACAAATATCCACTCAGGCTAGATTACGGGACCTGGGTCTAGTTTGCGCGCTAGATATCTGCCGTGCAGCCATGTACATCGACTCACGCGACAATGAAGAAGTACCTCTGCGCTTACTCGCGAACGACATTATTCACGACATCAAGGTAGTAAATTCGGCGCTTCTGAAACTCCTTGCACTTACACCTTTTCATAGAGCGATTTGTTTCACAATACCGCGACTAAACCCTTTTGGGACCCGCAACACGAATCCCTTGATATTTCGCTTTACGCTGACGTTTTAGTGTTTATTTTCCGATTTCTATCCGAAGAAGAATCCCTGCCACTGTTCAAGGCGTGTGTTGAGCCTGACAAATCGGAAGCAGTGAAAATCTGTGTCGTGCGTGCATGCAAAACACTGTACGAGGAGGTTCGCTTACACGCCCTTATGTCTTCGGCGTGAGTCGGTAATAATCTTGTCCTTTCAGAGCTCGATATTTAGTTGGCAACGCTCTCTCAAGAACCTAGAGCCCATTATAGCACGACGGTTCCTCAATATATTGAAGGCAGGATACTGTTATTGCCGTTTGGTATATTGTTCACTTACTCATATAGACCACATGCGTTCACCGGAGCGAGGTGGATCAATTTGGCATCATGAAAAGACCGGCTAGTCGTCCGAAGGCCAAGAGATCCCATGAACTTTCACCTCTTCCCGACAGAGAAGTGCTCATTCTTGCTATACTTTCGCTATGGCGGATGTCGCCCGACTTTGGTTTCAAGTATCTTACCGAAGAAGAGATCGATTCGTGGACGACCGCCGTTGCGAGACTTTGGAATGCGCAAATCGACTATTCTGTCAAGGCATCTCTGGGTATATCATCAAGGAAACTAACGGAGCACGTTTTTATGTATCTTCCGACTGATCCTAACGTTCCCAAAATGACTGCATGGTTAATTTATGCTCTGTAGGTGGGCTCCACGTAATGACGGGCCAGACTTTGACGCTTTTGTAGGCCCAACACCCTCATGGCTATTGTCAAGAATTTACTGGATGCTCGTATAGAGATCGAAGCTCAACGCTTGTGGATAACAATGGCGCTCGATCTTTTGGGGCTCTACGTTGCGAAAGTGGATGTACGTGACTCACGTGCTGTATGATATATTTGTCTCTGAATACCTTTGTTTAGGAGGAACACGTCCGGCAGATACAACTTACTGAGAAGCGGGTTCCAGCTTTTATATTGGCCGAAATAGCCTTCCTCGTCTCTCTCACTTCTAGCGACAACAATGTATCCTTTCAGGCGGCCAAGGGCCTACGCCTAATTTCCTATGCAGAGCGACAAGCAGGTGCACCTACCAACCCTCTGATTAATGACGAAGACAGACCGAAGCGTCATCCTATCTATGAGCAATTGGGTGATCCGAACGTGCTTATACATAGTCAGTGAAAGCGCGGCCACATCATTGAACATCGCTTACGATAGGACAGGTCGTGTCGGCCACCAGAAGAGAATCCGGAAGCTCCTACGTCTGATACCTTACGCTCCTTCTGTTCACATCGCTGTTTGGACGGAGTGTTACTGGCGTTGGGCTGCGTTGAATGAAATGCTGCGCTCTGGCGAAGATGTTACAATCAAATCGAGCGAATTTTTCGGAGCTCCTGCTGTAAGAATGTTCCTACCTTCATGCGATCGTTATTTAGCAGTGACCATTTAGGACCATCGATCTCATTGGAATAACCTCACACTCTTCATAGCTGCTCTCGGAGGGGCGTGCGTTGAAGAAGCTGCTGATACTGATCTACTCTCTAAAGTTATCCCCCACCAAAGTCTTCCAGATCAGTTTCGCAGAGTGCAAGATGCTTCGAGCCTGGCGCATACATTCGTCAACGATCTTACTATGATGTTGCTCGATGACGACGTTGAAGTTCGGAACACCGCCCGAGACGCTCTAGGAGCTGAGCTGAGTCCACGTCTGTACACTAAACTGCTGAAGTTTCTTGAAGAGTGCGTGTCTTGATATCAGCTAGCCATCTATTAATGCCTATTCCCTCCAAAGCATCATCCGCGACATCATGAGTAGCTCTTTTGACGGTCAGATGCGGTTTGAGAATTTCCATTTGCTGAAGGAACAAGTACGTCCATTCCTTCTCTTACTTCTCATATTCCTGACGATGCGTGCAGGGTATCGCCATACTCAAGCTGATGGTCGAAAGCAGCCAAGATCGGATGGACGACGTGATGAACCTCGACATAACTACGACCTTGCAAGAATTAGCAGCCTGCCTCGATCGACATAATGGCTCAGATGCGCATCGGACCAAGATCAAGTTTTGCACTCTCTGTGATAGTGTAAATGATCGTACAGAAGCTCTGACGTTGCGTAAAGACAACAACGCGCGCCGAAGCATTCTCAGCATGGTCTCTTCTTGGATTCAGGTGAGAATTTGTCCTGTTACGATGCAAGCGAATTCTTCAACCCTCGTGTTTCAGACTACAGGAGATATCATGTCGCGGACAGAGTTGAATATGGCGTGTCTACGCACAGTTGTCAAGCTTTTAGACCGTCTCGAGTTCAAACCTGCCGATCCTTCCACCTCAGGAGATGACGGGTCGCATTTTGTGACTCGCGAGTTCATCAAGTACTCGGAGGTACTCCTGTCTGGATTAGAGGTTTGCCAGATTGATGCACCGGTCGGTGTTCATCTCTTTCTCTTCACATATATTCTCACACCGTTACCAAGACATCTGATAGCGTCTCCGACGTTGGTTCCATACAAAAAGTCGGTATCTCTCCCTTTCAATGGTATCATTAGAGCCTTATTTCCGTCAAGCGCATGCGCGTGTCGCACAGAGAAGCAGAGCTTCGGGAGCTGGTTATCACTGGACTATCACATTTAGTCAGGGCTAACACGGAGGCCGGATTCAAGCAATGCCTCCCCCTGGCTTACTGCGAAGATAACCGCAAAAGAGCTATATTTGCTCACGTCTTTGCTCGGGTAATAGGTCAAGGCGCAAAGTTCGAAGCTACGGAACCGGCCGAAACTATAGATCGCTACAAGCGGTTATGTGATGTACGTGCGTTTTAGTATTCTGTACTTGGTTTAATGTCGACGATTCTTCCTCAGTTGGTAAAGGAGCCTAATGTGAGTGCAGAACTCTTAACACAATGTGTATCAATAATGTTCGTAGATGGTATTGGCTCAAGCTATATGCGACACATGTCCCGCGTCAGAAATCGACAACATGGTCAATGTTCTTCTCAACTTGTTCAACACTCGGACGTCCTTGATGGCCCTACTCAAAGTCATGATTACACGTGAAGTTGCACATACCGGTATGTTCACACCTCACTTAATGTACTCAACGCTTATATTTTACAGAGAACGTCGCTGCTCTTTTTCGTAGTAATTCCATTGGGAACCGCTTTTTGGCTGCATTTGCCCGTATTCAAGGACACCAGTATCTGCGGTCACTCATTGAACCCATGGTTGTAGCCATCAACAACCTTCCAGAAGGTACAGGCTATGAGCTTGATCCTGCGAAAGTCGGCGGTCAAGACCTGCATCAGAACCAGCGAAATGTTCAGTTTCTGACAAAGCAGTTTTTGAGACTCATTCTCGATTCGCGTCAGGGACTCCCACCGTAAGTAGCTAGCCGTAGTCATTATCCATGACTGACGCACCATCCCAGGATGTTTCGAGAAGTTTGCGAACACATTGCCACTACTGTGTAAGAGGATGTGTCAATTAGTAACTTTCTACTGACTGTTGTGCGTAACAGAGTAAACCGTTGGGACGATGCTTCTCTGAAGACTACGTCGATTGGTGCTTTCTTGTTTTTACGGTACAGTTTTCCTTATAACGGAGCTAGAATTACATTAACCTTGTCGCTTCAGGTTTATTTCTCCTGCCGTTGTAGCCCCAGAGACCATAGGCATACATCTGCCTAACGATTCCTCTCGTCGAGGTTTAATGATAATTGCGAAGATAATCCAAAACCTTGCTAATAACATTCTCTTTGGAAAGGAGCCTCATATGATGCGTTTGAACGAATTTTTGACAGAGAATGTCATACATGTCACCGAGTTCCTGACTATGATACTCGTATGTCGGTTGTTGTCGTCAGTACGTCATGTACTAACTCGTTTTAAGCAAATTCCAACCGAGCAAGACGACAAAGATGAATGGGCCGGTGCATACATCTATGATGATACCGATGTAATTGTACTCCATCGGTTCTTCGAGAAGCATGCAGACAAAATTGGAAAAGAACTTCTCAGCATTTCAAAACCTTCCATCGATGGAGACTCAACAGGTGTTGCTGGGAAACGTGCTTGGGACGGTCTTTGCACCCTGCTCGTGGACCTGGGATCGCCCATCGAAGTTCCACGACTTTCAACGCAGGACTCCGACCACCATCGGGAATATTGTGAACTGATGACTCGTTATGCTGACAAACCCACGACGAAAGTGAGGGAGCTTTTCACGGCGATACGAAGACCGGGGGTCAGTCATTAATCAGTTCTGGGAAAGACAAGAAGCGCTCATGATTTAGCAGGATTCACAGGCATTGTTTGCTCTAAGGCTTGCTAGACTAGACGTGGAGACAATAGACATGGAACTCCTGATGCTCCACATCTTCCAGGTAAATATTCATATTTGAGCATACTTTTTTTGCTGAAGAACCCTAGACACTGGAAGCCTCTTCAGAAGCAACTGCATTTGATGTAATTGTCGACTGCACCGGATTCAGCACAAAATCAGAGTTACCACTACGGTGGGTGAAATACTGCATTGAATTAATACCCTCCGACATTAGGGCGCGATTCGTTGGGTGCTATATGCTGAACGTCAATCGCTTAGCGCAGAGGTATCTGAAACGAGTCCAGAACTTTGTAGCAGGTTCGCATCTTTTCTCTTCTGTATCAAGGTAGTTGCAAACAGAGTTCACAGGAATACACCTTGCTCGAGAGTTTCACACTGCCTACCTCGGTTGAAGAGCTATTACAACATGTCCCTGGCATCGAAGTCTCCGACCTTGGCTATCCGGGTGAGTGTCGTTAATGTTGAAATTACGCTTGACTCATTATACCTGTAGCGGAGCTGGAAGGGGAAGGGTATGTGTCTTTTAAGAACGTGACTTTGATTAACTCAGAGCGGACGCCAACCTGCCGTTCTGAGTGTCGGCTCCTCTCATATTCGAATCATAGCCGTATGTGCTTTGCCCATCGATATGTCTGCTTTTAGCTCACCTCACTTCAGCTTACACCTGGGCCAGGACTTGCCACACGAGCCACTGATATCATACCCATGGCTGAAGTCAGCGATTCCTACGTTACTTCTACACGGGAGAGTCACGAGTTCATTATTCGACGAAATCGCAATGCGTCAACAATCTACCTCTCGTCTGATTCATATGATGAAATTGTCAAGGTATATTTTTGGATGACTTTTCCAGTGCGCTACCGCTAAACTCCAGGCAGAGCATCAGATCAGGCTAAGGGTCGTCTGACTGAGACCCATTCGCCTCTAGGTGATAGATTTTCAAGGTTCTCCAATGTACCTGCAACTCTGCTGCATGTCGGCATGCTCAGTATCGACCTGAACGACGAGGAAGTTCCGCACAGCTGCGTATGATCTACTTGGTGCTGTATGTACCTATCTCGGTTATGATAAAAGCCCCATCGTAGCGTCGAAAGGTATGCGTCTTGTCAGTTCTCGTGATTATTTACGATGCTCTAATGCTTTTGCAGCTGGTTTTATCCCCGGTGATCCGAGCTATTTTGTCGTTCAATTAAGCGAGCGCATCGCCTGAATTTGCTCCTCGGCTTACCCTCGACTTCATTTCTGAAGTGTCAGCCACAATGACTATGGACACGAGGTCGGGCAACCACGTCGGACAATCGATAGCATGCTTATACTACCTGAGTCCTTGGATAAAAAACCTTACCCACTTCTCAAATCCGACAAGTAATCTCCATGAGCGATCAGGCTCAAGGCTCCGCGATTGTGTCAGAGGATTGGTTGATATAGCCTTGACCCATCCTGACGTCAGTACGCTCAGCAGATTCCGTGGCTCTTTTTAGCTAATTTCTATCTATCTTCAGTTGACCTCTGCTATGCAACGGCATGTATGGGCTGAAATAGGAAAACTGGATTCACAAACCACAGAGTTCGTGCTAGACGAGTTAGTACGTTCTGCTGTTGATGCTGGAGCTGGAACGACCCGCTGCGAAACTCATGCGCATATCATTGCTTCCTTATCATCAATTAGTGTCCGAGGCAAACTGTTTGCAAAGCTGCGGAAGGTGAGTGCTTTGATGTCTGACTCCGTTATTTTCTCAGAGTCAATATCGCTAGGCCATTATCAAAGCTTCTCCGCGGCATACGAAGTCTTTGGTGGATAACCCGCACTGGAATGAAGTTGCAACGCTTAGCCGCATTTGTCTCCATGCTGGCTATCAATCCAGGCAGCCTAGTCATAATCAGCTCTACGTCCCCGAGATTGTCCATGTCACTATGATGATTGCTGGCGTAGGATCGATCATCGTCCGGAAAGCAATGTACGGCATCGCGATGAATCTCTTGCAGTCGATGTACATCGCCCGATCGGAGGATTCGGCAAATCCTTTATCGGAACTTAGCCAGTTGTTAAACGAGTTTTCGGAATCTGGGACACTAGAGCTATTTGGCCTGCATCGTGCGACATCAACAAGTGAATACACAACCTATGACACGACGCAAGACGCGATGCTCATTGACAATTATGAACGCCTTGCGAGGCTACTGGTCCGGATACTTGAAGCGTCGGCAGGGACCCAAGGTTAGTACTTGTTTCGCATGATATCTTTGCGTCCTTTCATCTGAGGCATCTACTTTTTGATAGGATTGCTCAATGTATGGCGTGCCCGTTGGATGAGCTTAGTCACTTCATCGGCATTCCAATACTCGTCGATGATACAAATGCGGGCGTTCACAGTGCTGGGAGTGTTGGCGATATCGCACATTGATGACGACTTCTTCTATCAGAGTTTGGTAGCCTTCTCGGCTGCTCTCGTGGCTATGGAAGAAACGGATACAGTTCCCGCTGTCGGGATTTTACGGGCCTTGGCCAAGTTGGTCCCGGGTCTTCAGAACGATACGCGTTACCTAGCACAACTTTTCTGGATGGGAGTCGCGTTTCTTCAATGTGGTAATAGGGACTTCTTCCCTGAAGCTGCCCGTTTGGTTCAGGTCACGCTGGAAGTTATGGACAGACGAGAAGTGTTTAGAAACGAATCTATTTCGCCGTATCTGCTAAACGCTCGGATACATCTGGAAGAATGCGCGTGTGTGTTAGATCAGCATTTAGGCTTATCCTTCGACGTCAACTTTTCATTCACACTTGCCGCTATCATCTTCAAAGGGCTTCGCGAGAGTAGAACAAAGGAACCAGCTGAAGCGGCGCTACGAACATTGATTCGCGTTACTGTTCGATGGAGCCATCTAGAGCCTTTGACGAACGGTTCTGCAGGGTCATTGCATCCTGACGTCCTTGGATATTTCTTGGCGCTCCTTCCACTGTCCACTTCTCCCACGGAATATCGTCGACTTTTAAAAGATTGTCAGGTGGATGATATGTGGTTGCCAGAGGCCGGCGCTTCTTCTTTCGATGACGAGAAAAGTCTCCCTCGGCCATCGTCCATGTTCATGGGAATCCAGGATGATCCCACACTCGCCCTTTTCGTCACCGCTTTCATTTCCGCCATGCTTCGCAGTGCTCATGGACACGACGCAGAAAACGAGATTTTGTACAGCATACTTTCTGACGTTGCGTCAGTGTTTCCCGAAGTCGTTTCCATGGCGTGAGTGTCGCTTTTTACTTGATGCTAACTGTATTGATCGGTATCACAGATATGAGAAGCTCAATATCAACCATATTTTCGCCAATTCATCTAATGAACACATCATACGATATGTTTCTGACATTATTCGTGTTGCCTTGCAGGACAATAAGCGTTGGAGTGCTCAGGGCGGCGGATCGGTTTCTATCCCCAGTGCCATCGACGACGTGCCCTCCAGTCAGAGTTGTCTAAACGCACTCGAAGAACGTGGTATGCCTGGATTGGCAGACTCATTCAAGTTCCTTGCGGCAGGCGAGGGGCTCTCTTCCGTAGTACCTTATTTGGTGAAGATTGTAGAAAGTATCATCGTTCAACCTGTGGGCGAGTAATTTGTTCCCTTCCTCTCTTTCTTGGTGGTGTATTTATGAAATGGTCTTCTGTGTTACACTGTATTTTACTCGTACTACTCACATATTTTCATGACTCAATGCAAGCATTTTTGGTATGAAGGCTCGATTTAGGTGACCTTGTGATGAAGGCGCGGTCACCCTATTTCCCAACTTGATCTCCCTCACTCTACTTACTCTTTTACGTTTTTCCCTTTTCCACTTGGATTCATTCCGCGAACCTTTTACATATTATCGAAAATCGGTAATGCGCTGTGCCAATGCCTGACTCATCTCTATCCCGACCTCTTACGCCGGAATCACCATTGGCGAGCAGCCTCAACCATGCAACAAGTACCATCGATGACTTGACCGTTGCTCTCGCCAACTTCTCTCGTGTTCCATCCCCGGAGCCTTCTTTGATGTCGTGCTGTTGCGGACGCGACGATTGCGAGAATGCGAATGCTTGGTTCTCGATGAAGTCGAAGTTGGAAAGTCGCCTGATACTCAGTGCAGGTACGGTCTCCATCATGATCACGGGTCGCCTGTTTCTTGCTGATCTGATACTTTGATTTGTCCAGAGGTTGGTCAGGCGTTACTTCAGCGACACGAAGCGTATGTCCGTCGGCAAGGGGCTCGCGACGCCGACGAGCGATGCCTCCAGGGAAGCGAAACGTCGGACCATGATGATAGAGAGAGGAGTGGGAGACGAAACTTAGAGTGCTTGCGAAAGAAAAAGATGCTTTGGAAAAGGTGCGTGCCGTTGAATGCTGCACACTGTTCACCTCGTTGACCCGTTTCAGCGTCTCACTCGAGCTCTTGTGAACACTGAAGTGACTGAGTTGTCGAACAAGACGCTTCTCCAGGAGCTGCAGGAGGCCAAGACCACTATTTCTCGACTTACGGCGAATCATGCTCGCTCTGTGGGGTGGGAGACGCGGTTATCCTCGGTCATAAAGGAGAAGGACGACCTGCAACAAGAACGCGAATTCGAATCACAACGAGCTAGGCTGGCCGAATCTCGTTTTGCCGCTCTCAAGGAGAAGACTTGTAAGTTGTTCAATTTAAGCTCGTTGGTACTGGCTAAAGTTTAATAGTGAAGCTACAAGCTGACGTCCGCCGGTTGCAAGATGGCCTACAGGAGAAGAGATTAAATCGTTTAGAGTCGTCAGAATTCATTCTACAAGAAGCTCGCTCTCAGCTTGAAGTACTGCAACGAGCGGTGCGTTTCCAGTGATCTTCAGACGTGACCGGTCCCTTGATTATCCTGAGATTTAGTTCAGTCACCCAAGCATCTCAGACCAACATGAGTTCACCAAAGTTCTCGAGTCGCTTGTAGATGATAATGAGTCCTTGAAGCGAGACAACGCGGAGCTCCAGCATTTCCTCTCCGAGTCCCGTGAGGAGATTCACGCGTTGCAAGAGGAAGTCGAGGAGTATCGTGCCAATCCCAATTCCTCGTTCTGGTGGTAAGGTGGTTTGTGGCCTCCTCTCCGCCTATCTCACCAGATGTTGTTTTCCAGCCGGAACGCCTCGGGCACCTACCTTTAGACACCATTTCCACTCCGGGAGTATGCCATCATCCATACTCAGAGAACAAATGGTGTGTATCTACGAAGTCTTAAGCTTTTTTTGCTTGACATCTTTCCACAGTCTTCAAGACGAACGTCCAGTCTAGACAGGAAAGCTCGTCGGCCGCATGTCAGTATCTTGTTGCTCTTAAACTTCTGCTGTTAAATGGGAATCACAGCTAAATCAGGATCCTTTGACCCCCGAATCTCATATGCGGCCTTTGTCGCCTGCCACCGACTCTACGACAGCTGGCTCTGAGAGATGGTCGTCGCTCAGCCAGTCCGCAAGCGCGGTACCCGACATCGACCTATCAGATCGAAATCATGAACGATAGCGAGCTTGAACCATCTTCTCCTGAGAGGAGAAAGGTTCACAAGCCTCTTCTACTTCTCAGCCGATCTCGCGGAGTTCAAACAGATCCGTGGCCAATAGCGGGGCTCTTAGCAGCATCGTCATTGGTATCCCAAGGCAGCTCTTCATCTCCACTGGATCCTCGTTCTGAGTCATCCTCGTTCTCCGAATCATCTTCCAATATCGGGCAGTTGATCGAACGTGCCTCAATACTTCTAAACCGGATAACTCAAGCCGATGCCTTAACTTTAACAAACCGGTTGAAACGGCAAAATCTTCGCGGTGCTGATGTTCGCCATCTTTCACGCAGCACTGTCAAAAACATCGTTTCAGAAGCATCGGCATTACGGCTCCAATTTAGGGCGCTGCTAGAAGATGAAAAGATAGTCACGACAGTGCTCGCGCAAAGATCTTAGATCTCTTTTCAAGTTACTCAGAGATATCTTTGTCGAAATGGGAGAAATGCGCGTGACGCTGAATGAAGTCGTTCTTGATCCTTCTATAGCCCCGAAAGTCAGTGAATTGGCTCTAAATCCATCTAAGGCAGAGGCAGAGGCAGAGAAAGAAAGAGGAAAGGACGGCAGTGGCGGTGGAGGATGGATGGCACCTATCTCCAAGCTTTTTGGTTCACCTAGTAATCGTCCTGAGAATGGTATAATCGCCTCACCGTTTGGTCGGTCGAATAGCGGAAAGGTTCCATCCCGGCCCCCACGATTCGTGCCCAAGCTTGGCCCTGTCTTGTCAGCTTCTGCTACCACTATCAACGTGGAGTTTTCGGGAGCAGGACTGGGAGGGGCTGTGACCAGCACTTTTTCGCCGCAACCCCTTGCGTTCAGATAGTAATTCGCATACCACGTCCGCAGGCAGGCCAAGGGGTGATGGATATATTTGCAGGTGCACCTCGTACCACGACACCAGAGCCGTGGGTCGTGTTACCGAGAAGGACCACGCCGGGTGCAATCTACGTTACGACCGGCTGCTTCTCCTTCTCCTCTGCGTACAAGTACATCTAACCGACTTTCACGCAATGTAGATGCAGGTCATCGACGCGGGGACATTTCCCTGGACAGATGATTCCGAGGAACCCGACTTCCTTGGGCCACTCGTTGATCACAGCCTGCGCCGTCGGGGGTTATCTGATTCATCTATCCATTCAACGTTTATTGCTGAGGAGAAACATTCACCAGCAGTACCGGATGACTATCCGCAAGAGTCAGGCTGGCCCGACAGAAACTCTGTGCTTCAATCACTCAGTAAGAAGGTGCAGAATTTCAGGATGGCAACAGCACCTTCTACTTCTTCGACAAGTATTTCCTCGGTGCCATCTGCCACGGGCAACAGCATCAAGCGAGATACGAACTCCAAAGGGAAGACACCTTCCCAGGGCTTTGGGGACCTGATTCCCAGACTTTCTACGTGGGCGTCTGGCGGTCTTGATCCTGTAATTACGACCTCTCAGCCCTATCTGGTTGGCAGTCCGAGGGACGAATCGTCTCTCATGGAACGGCCGCGTAGAGAGGAGCGGACATTTGGTCGTCGACTTTATTAGAGAACGCACCAAAACTATACCCTATAGGTGCATCATGTATTCTATCACGGATCCGCGTGGTTGGAGTCTTGGATATCTGGATAGTTGTTGTATAATATCTCTTTTCTATTGTAATTGATCGGGATTTCTAGAGCCATTGATCATGCGTCACCGACTTGCTTTTAAGCGCATATTTCAATTTGTTATTACAAGGAAATGATGACTGTGCACTGTAGGCCGGAAAATACTAGGAGCGTTTGGTCTGTTCTTTTAGACTTACTGACGGAACTCCGGTGGAAAAAGACAGGCAGACTCTGACGGTTTGGTGAGTTCATGCCTTTGTTTTCTTTCTTCCCTACTAAACAACGCACACCTCATCCAGGTCTGATATATGGCCACACCTTGAATGGAGGCGCGTTGGCAGTGCAGAATCGTATGCACACCATGCATGATCCACAGTCCATCACAAGATGTGATCCCACGAACCCGTCTCTGACCATTTGATACGATGCAAAAAGTGCCGAATGGGCCGCCGCAATATACTTGCTGTGAATCAGCGTCACTCACACGCCATGATACTTCCGCTAGATGTCAATATAAAAGATTCATCGAAGGATCTCTCACCTCCATGAGTTCCATCATCGTATCCTCTGTTCCAGGACTTTCGCACTTGGTCGAATGCATCGTACGAGCAAACGTGGTAGGACCTCAGAAGGGAGCTATTTGGCTAAACTGCATCCATGGGCCGCAAAGCTTAACACTCGACATTTGGCGGGAATCACACTAGGTATGGATCCTGTTCAACTTAATGTTTAAGATACTCAAGGTGAACGCGATCAGCGCAAGTCCTTCGTGGAGGAACATGCAGCCCCATAAGGTTATTCATCTTTCTCTTCAGACGTACTTGTCCAGCTCAATCAACTTCATGCAGCTTCGAGGATTTCGAGCTCTACCTTGCTTTTAGGGTTCGATGATCCAACCGCATGTCTTGGCGATCTCTGATGATTTTTCGCACAATAGGAACATTCCTTGGCAAATCTTCAATTTGTTGCGTGGTATCAAGTGTGTCATTTCAATGTGTTGTCATGCTTCATGTATTGACTTAGCACGTACTATTTCGAGGACTATCGACGACGTTTCTCTGCACTGGATCGCAGATCGTCACTCAGGTATCGAGATGGCTCAGAATCTATCTCGTCACTTACATCTTTGTCGTCGCTGCTATCCAATATCAGTCATTCCAAACACGATCATGTCCACTCGGAGCCTTGCAACCCTATATCATTTTCACCTTCGAAGGATCCTGATAAACCCCTTCTAATGCCAACACCTGTCTATCTTCCACCTGTTCCCCTATCATCTTCTCCAGCTAGTAACGATCGGGCTTTGCGGGATGAATGCATGAATGTCATATCAACGTTTCTGACACCTGATGCACCCAAAGCGCTTCTGCTTGATCCTGGACTCCGTGATGAAGTAGTGAGAAAGCTGGCGACTAACTGCGACCCTGATACAGTGAGTTGGCCCGTTTTCAACGTAAAAATATTTATATGACTTACCGGCGAGACCTAGTTGAAACCCGTATATGAAGCAGTATACTTTTACTTGGATCGGATAGCTCTTCCTCGATTTTTGGCGAACTCAACACCGAATATCAACCTACCGAAGCAGATTCTCTTGTACGATCTTCAGCTACTTCTTTGTAGTTACCCTGAGTTGATGGTTACCCATTCTTTCAGCTACAGTCTAGGCGTCCTCTACATCATTGCTGCTGTTATCATCGCCATCACGCTTATTTTGTTCGTACCGGTACCTCCTCAAAACAACCGTGCATGGCGTCTACTAGCCTTCTTTCCCATTCGCGTTAGGCACATCAGCGATATGTGCCGCATGGCACGGCTTTTGCTCCCAACTATGGTATAGGCAATCCGTGCAGCTCCACTCATGGGAGCTCCAAGCTCCAAGCGCCAAGTCCCTTGCGTACGTGAATTCCTTACGAGAACCAGTGGACATGAGGAGATGCGTGGGATTGGTTTGCAATTCTACTGACGGGACCTACGGACGGGGTAGCCTTCCCGTCTACATCTTTCGATCAGAGGAGCCGCCAATAGAAACACAACTGCGGGGTGATGCTCCCACCACACTTGGGATCACCAGACCACCCGTGTTTGGACCAGAAAAGGTTGTAAAGGACCCACGCATCTTGGCAGTGCATCGCCAGATGATGCAGAATTGTGTTATTGTGGGATTGGGGGCTTTCTTGGTAGGTTCTTTCACCCCATTCAAGACAATCTGGCGTCTGCTGACTTGGGTCAAGATATTTTCTACCATTATATTACCGATACCGGGGCGCAACCAACAATAGTTAATGATATTGAAATATTATTGTACAAGTAAATAAAACAGCCATGAGCTTCAGCACGGCACATGTCATAGGTATCGAGGTAAAACAACACAACTAATATACAGAGATTGCATGGGCATCGATAATAGTGGTAACTGGCAGTAACTAATTCTCAACGACGGTGCCTTCAGATATCTGCAGCACTGTTCAACATGGCCACCCTTCCAGCAGCACCCATTCCTGACTCGCTGGCATTACTATCGCTGGTGGCACCCATGGCAGAAGTCCCTGCCATTTGCCCAACTACGTCGCTTTGTAGCTGCATGGGTACGAAGATGACCTTGCTGTTCCCGGACTTGGCCATTTGTTGCACTGAACCGGTATATAAATATCGTAAGGAAAAAGGGGGGAAGAGATAAATGCTCACAAGCTTCCAATTGTCGGATCTGCATGGCGGCTGGTGAAGCCAAGATATCCGCGGCTTGACGCATCAACCTAGCAGAATCGACTTCAGCCCGCGCAGCAATGACCTTGCTCTCGCCGATCCGCTTTTGCTGAGCAGCACTACTTAAGCTCGCGGATATCTCAGGGCTGAAGATGATATCCTTGATGAGAATACCCTCAATGGCAACGCCCCACTTGTCGGCGATGTCACCAACAATTTCGGCAATTTCGAAGGCGATGGCTTCACGCTCAGTAACAACAGATTGAACAGCGCGTGCGCCAACGACATGTCGAAGCGTTGTTTGTGCCCGTTCAATGAGGGCTTGACGAAGGTCACTAATACCGAAAGCGGCTCGATAGGGATTGCAGATTTGGAAATAAATAACCGAGTCGCTGAGGGAATAGGAAAATGAGCGGATAGCAACGTAGATGATTATCATGTACATACATTTCGACATTGACGTTGTCCCGAGTACTGTTCAGTGACGTGAGTAAACTGAAGTGAACTAGACTCTAGGAAGCAACGCTTACATCACCATCTGCCTGCCTATAGGACTAATCTGGATTTTTACATCCACCACGCGAAGTGATTCGGTACAAACGTTGACTTGGACGAGCCCCGGATCTACCGACTTGTAGAACTTGCCGAAGCGAGAGATGAGTCCCACAGATCCTGAAATAGGCCATTAAATATAATCCTGTGGAATGTCGTAGTAAGAGCGTACCTTGCTGAACATTTCGGAAAGGATTTGGACACGGGCAACAAGGGATAGCGCCGAAAAAGCCGACTCCAGTTCCCAGACATTGTAAGAGGGAACCGTAGATTCCATGCGTAACCTTCATGTACATATAGGAATTTGAAGAAGGTATCAAACGGATCTCATACCTCTCCAGTTCCAAGATCCTGTGCGTACGAAGGCTGCAAAAAGTTGAGTTTATATTAACACGCTAAAATCGCACGATGCTCACCTGCATCTCGCTCCTTTTTAGCGGTTGGACGGTGATTAGGTGGTGCTTTGGATCCGCCAGTTTCCTTGGCCCTACGGGTACGTCTGCTGTTACTTTCCCAGGAAATCAACTAAACATTGGCTACCACTATGATGAGAACCAGGCTAACCGTGGGGAGCATCATGATCCACAACGTTCCTTGGCGAGCTCGAACCATCAGTAGGAGAAGGGGCGCGGTCCTTGCGGTCGATTCCGTTGTAAGACATGGCGGTAAGGGTGAGAAGGTAAAGAGTCTCCAATACCTTATATGCAATTTGAGAAGGGAGGTCAAGGCGCAGTAACACAGCCTCCCTGATGTACTAATCAATTTCAAACTCAGCGGATAGGCTTCATTTGGCAGTTCCCGCACACACCTCTGTACCTGATATTCGACGAGCTGTTAGCTGCGACTGCGCATTCAACAAAGCTTTCAGGAAGGATCATAACTCCAAGGTCGAAAAGCTGGATCCGGGGGACAGTAATGGCCGGTTTCAATGGTCATCTGCTGTTGAACTCCCGACTCTTCTCCATTCTACCGAATTACTATGTACCGCCGTAAAGTCAGGACCGTTAACTACAGCTGCAACTTGAAACCTAGCGGGACATAGCCATAAAAAAATTTTCGGCGAGATGACGACTAGCACTTGGATTGCACTACCTGGATGGCTATCAGGTAGTAAATTTTTTCAAGCTGTGGACTTGCGGAGGTCGACACAGTGCCGCATTATGGAGTCTTTGGCTGCCTTCTTGACCTTTTTGACTGTTCCTTCCCCACATTTTGCATGGGAGGCTGCCGGTTTACGGGTACCTTCTCGCCACTACCGGGCATATGAACACGATATATACGAAGACTGTTGCTTTTTCCATGCGTCCTTATCTCTTCCCAGATGGCGTCAGCAAGCGATGTAAAAATTTCCACAGAGGAAAAGAAGAATCCCCCTATCATGAAGATCTCTGCCCATCAAGTAGATACGGGGGCAGTGCTCGTGATGGGGAAAACCGGGCATTTAAGCCCTTCCGAGGCGACAAGAATCAGGTATATTATGTATACTCCCTCTCCGACGGCATCTCACGGTTAGAGCATAATAGAAGGAAAATAGATCGCCATATCGTTCCTCGTTCCTTTAATGTGCCGTGAGTCTCGTCTTTAAGGCCGGGCTCATAACCATATGACAATATTCTAATCAGTGCTGTATGCGTGAGTGACTATGGCTATTGGGTTGTTGTTGCGTTCACCACTGGCCCAGAATCCAATACATGGATAAAGCTACCTTGGGAAATGCCGCAGTCCTAGGTCTCCTGTAAGCGTGCGATCTGTTTTGAATTGTATTCTATATCGGACCTCTCGCGTTTAGCGAAGACACACATCTAAGCACCGACCAGTGAGTCTAGCGTGATCTCCAACATGCTCTCACCTTACTCTTTCGGTGAAGATATAACTGGTTTGTCGTCCAATTTAATTCATGGCATCTGCTTAGTGAAAGCATCAGGCTCGGCACAATTTTTTATCTTGGGTATCTCGTCTTCGAGTTCCCGCAGAATCTGTGTCTGCAACGCCTGCCCGTTGGGAAATGGCTGAGGTATGCGGCTTTCAGAATTAGTCGTACCAGATAACATCATTCCCCATAGCTTCAACATATTAGCTTTGGGCTATAGTGCTGTGTATGCACGCAGCATGCAAGAATTTCGCGGGTCTCTTCGTCGTCCGATTAATACTGGGCATATGTGAAGGTAGTATCACAGCAGGGATTTATGATTGTCACCTCCATGTTCTACACGCGAGCGGAGCAGACATTGAGAGTCGGGTACTGGTGCACGAGTACAATTGGTTATCTTGCTCCTTTGCTAATTCTTCAGGGTAGTTTTGATGAACTGGTTCCAGGTAGGTATCTCCTCTTTTCACGCGCCTGAGTTGACCATTCGGTGTTAGCACAAAGTCATCTCCGGATTCATTAGCTTCGAGACTTTGCATATGAAAACCAGCTCATTGAAAGCTTGGCAATGGTACACAGCCTTTTTATCTATATTTAATTTTGATAGCCTAGTAATTGCTTCACCATGGGCTCATGATAATTTTGGGCATATTGACCATGGTGACTGCCGTCATTTTCTGGTACTATTCTCTCCTCGTACACCAGAGGAAGCTGACATTCGATCCAGGTTCCTTTTTCCAGATTCTCCCACGAACGCATGGTTCCTTACCCCAGAAGAACGCTCTTCTGCAGTTCAGCGAATAAAGGTCAATTCGATGCGGCTACTCTCTCGTGGTTACAATAACCTTCTCAACACAGGAAAATCAAACAGGCGTCGAGAACAAACATTTTAAAAAAGAACAGTACGAAGAGGCCATTTTTATGCTTGTCCTGTTCATTCTGAGTTGGAACCTATACCACCAGGATGATAGAAGCCCTGACGGACGTCAAAATATGGCTATTCGCTATTTTCTCCGTGTTAGCCGACATCCCGAACTCGCTTGTCAATCAGCGACAGATAACATCTCGTCGTTTGGCTTCTTCGACCTTGAAACCATTCTCCTGGGCTGTGTTCCCGGTGCTGTAGCGATCCTGGCCGTTTGGAGCGGCACGGCCATAGCAGGCGTGGATACCCAACAGCAGAGCATGGGTCGGTGTGATATACCTGATACCCAATCTCGCTGCTGTGTTCTTGATGCTATTTCTAAGTTGGGATAATAAACTTGGTTTATTATTGACATTGTTCTTCGCTGGTGAGATGCTTCCGGTGTCCTCTTTCTTTTGTACCGCTTACCGATAATGCAGACCTCGGGTTCACCGCTTTCGGTATGTATGAATGCTCTGCTCGGTACCGCTACTAACAGAGCTGTAGTTCTTTCCCTTTCTTGGCTGTCGAGCACTACGGCGGGGCACACGAAGAGAATAGCTGCTAATGCTATCATCCTATCCGCTTATTGTATTGGTAATGCGGTAGGTCCTTTAATGTGGGCGGAAAAGTTCAAGCCTCGGTGTGTGGGTTGTAGCATGCCCTTTCTCTCTGCGCTGATGAACTTGCGAAACTAGCAATTGCGTACCATGGATAATCATAGGATTTTGCGTCGTTTTTCGGATTCTGACTCTGCTCGGAATTCGGTATGTCTGAAAATCGACGCAGTGACGCAGAACCTGTTCATACTATCTACGACGATGTGTACATTGAGCAGTTGAAAGAGAACGGTGTTGTTGAGAAGGCTCGCGTCGACAAGGTCTGTCGGTTCTGTGTTGTGTGTTATTCGTATTTTCTAACGGCGGTACAGGAATTTCTGGATTTAACAGACAAGCAGAATCGAGATTTCAGATATGTTCTCTAACAAATAGGCGCTAAGTCCAAAGAATAGGCCAATAAATACAAAGTGTTAATTGGATGCATAACGGTTAACGGAACGACGAGAAAACATATACAAGTAAATCTACAGCACTGCTACTTAGTACAATTGTATTTGCTGGGCTACATTGCAACTTGATTCTTCCTTCGAGCCCGTAGTAACCACGATAAAGAAATGATGCAGATGTCCGTTACACGCCATACGCCGGTGGATTCTCCATCGGGACCGTGGCGTCGTTGCTGGGTAAACCTGCTGAGCTAGACTGAGCAGGAGAGTCGTACCTCGCTATATCGACATGTTAGTAACTCTTGTATGAATGGATAATGAAGGTGCACCGACGCAAGATGTCCTCATCTTGCAGCGCCTGTCGCTTCATATAGATCGCCCTCTCTCTGGCCTTCTCTAGGAGCGCCACAAACTGGAACATGGCTTGACCCTTAAATCGCACCTCCACCTCAGTTCCAGTTGTTAGACCTCCTTCCGGTGCAGGCTTAGCTTCGAAGACAAAGTAGTTTGCTCCGAAGGTAGGTTGCATGAACCTGGTAGAGAGGATGGAGTGTAAAGGGACAGATAGAGACTCGAAGGATGATTGCGGATTAGATATGAACAATAACTGCAAGAATATAGAGTGAAATGAGCGCAATAAAGTGTATAGCGTACTCACCCTTTGATCAGTAACCCAGAGTCGGCCCATAGCCTTCAGTGATCCACCAGACCCTGAAGGAACGGAAGGCGGCACTTTCACAGTAAGATCGACGCCTGAATCGACGCTTGTTATGACCATTTCATGAGGAAGAGGGACGGGGTTTCGTTGGTCATCAATCATTGCACAATTTAAAGCCATGGTGGTCTTGAAGGTGCATGAAAGTACGTATTGAAGAGATTCGTCTCAAAAGGCGTTTAAGGTAAGTATTAGAATCATATATTTACAGAGTAGACAGCTGATAATGGCTTCCTGGCGCAATGGTAGCGCGTTTGGCTTCGATTGCTAAGCGGTACCAAAAGGTTGCAGGTTCGAGTCCTGCGGTGGTCATAGTCTTTTAATTTGCTTTCATTTTTAAATTTTAATTTATATAAATTTCAAAGGCGCACAAAACCTGAAAGGGGTGTAAGTTACACTTTATTACCAACCCTCCTCGAAGGGGGTGTTTTAATACTCGTACGGTATTTTACGAGGTGAATATAATCTATTTATCTATGAATGAGACCCAAGGCAGCGGCATATTTGCAATTTAGATTCCTTTTTGGATGAGAGAGAGAAGGTTTTGGCGAAGAGGTGCTAGCGCCCTGAGATACAATCTTGCTACGTAAGTTACCAGGTCACAGCAGGTTAGAGTGATTTCAATGTCTCAATGCATTGTAGAAGAGACAACTTGGAAAACAAAGCTTTCCGAGGACGCAGACGCAAGAAGCGATAGACATATCCGTTTGTCACTACCTCCGCGGAACTAATTCGACGGCCCAACGAGGGAGATAAAACTCCCAATTATTGCGAGGAACGGCCTTTCACCAGCGTTGCATGTTCACGTTCGTCTTTCAACCGTTTCTGGGAAATTGTTGTAAGATAAATCAGCCTGAGACAGTCGCAGTTAGCTACATAATGCATGCGGCGCCTGTAAGGGCGTAGGGAGAGGCCAAGTCCTTAGGACATGCTGTATTTCCAGGAAAGAGCATATTAGAGAAGTCGGCCACCGAAAGGTCCACGGCGGAAAGGGTTTTGATGAAGTGCAAGGTGTCGCGATTCTGAGATAAACTGCGTATTCCTCAAGATCTTATATGTTATGATACTGCGGAGGTCTTGCCGTCATAGGTAAAGTAAAGGCAGAGGCTCGTAGCGAGCAGATGGATCATGACGGTTAGATCTAAACACCCTGAACATTTTACCATTGTCCGCGGACAGCCGTGAACTCAAGAGTCAAGACGCGCCGCAGGATACACGTGACCGTCACGCGACTCGAAGCAAACAGCCTTCATTTCAAATTCCGGCGACCGCGTCGTCGACGCGCCACTCTGCTTTGACTGTGGTCGTGCTGTTCATGGCCACTCTTCTTATCTCTCAGCATTCATCCAACCCCCTCGAGGCTGCCTCATCTGACCCTCGAAATGTACGTTATCGGCGGGTCCTCACGAAGCTCGAGCTCGGCAAGTCGCAGCGGAAGAAGACCCTTCGCCGTCGTCTGAGGACCAGATTTCTGGCTACGCACCAAAGGATGATATGCATGAATACTGGGGACATATCGCTCAAGTACACCCGTTATAT